AAGCAACACGGTAGCTTGCAATTATCAGGAGAGCTCGTATCAGCCTCCCTATACCTAGCCCACCCTTTCGTTAGCACATAAGACAGAGCAATAGTCAACAGGAAGACTTACTCGATGTACATAATACCATTGAACAGCGTCGCAAGTGATCCCCCTCTATTCGCAATGCAGAGGAAATGCACTCGCGACGCCGCGAAGGGGAAGACAAACCCCAGAAAACGAAGGCGCTTGCTCTTTCTGACCTTCGAAGCCATGGCTTCAAATCTCCCCAGCGCCCACGGTGCGTTTTTCTTCACCCGGTCTCTGTACTTGTCGACGCTCACCACTTCCCTCTCCATGAACACGGAAGCTCGATTGATGTAGACCACATCGTGGGGGCTAGCCTTAGGGTAAGTCTCGGCAATGGCATCGTTGATCATATGCACGTTGCCAGTCGATTCCAGAACGGCGATGTTCCTCGAACCCATGTCCAGCGATCGGAATCGGTGCTGCCAAGGCACCCAATACATGTCCTCTTTCAAATCTGAGCCGACGAGTTAGTGGTAGGAATCGAAGACACAAGGTGGGCATACCTGACCGTACTCGGCGTAAAGTCGAGCACTCGCGCTTGTGTATCTGGTCCCAGTCTTCTCCCTGACAGGTTTCCGAGCAATACACCACACTCTGGCATCGAGAGCACGTCTTGAGGTAATCGCTGTTGCACCTCTCGAGTTCGACTTCTCGTTCGCAGTGCTAGCTCGAACTCATCAGAAGACGATGTCGCAGAACATACGACAACACACCTTTAGGTTCTGGCAATAGATCGGATACTGAAACATCGCCTTGGAAGTGCCCGCCGTTCCGCGGAAATGCACTGTGATGAACGCACTCAACCGTGTCCAGATTGGAAAGCCTGGGTGTTCAGGCGATGAGAGGCGCTTGCGGAGATTCTCTGGAACTAGATTGAAGCGGTAATCCAATATCCACCAAACGCGCGCCGAACGCATGTAACCGATAAGGTGGGTGACCATCTGGTCCAGCATCTGGATGTCCTCCTCCGATCCAGGTTCCAGACTATCGAGTCGATCGGCGATGTATTGCAGAAGGCCCGCGTCAACTAGATCGTGCGCGACCTGGTACGCGTACCCCCGCTGGGCGTCCACCCAAAGCATAATGTTGGCGACGTACGTATCCACCAGCGCTGGTTGGTCGAATTGCTTGAACAGTTTCCCGATTCTAGGCAGGGTCCTGGCAAGAGCTTCGAAATACCTCCCGACATAGTATTCGCGAAGGAAATAGCTGCTCAATCGCCATTCGCTGGAAATATGGTTGAGGATCGCGAATATGGCCTTGAACATGTCATAAAGATCCAATCCATTGCGGTCGTTCCCTGGAGCGCCGTCTACGCAAGCTTCGTAGGAGTCGATCAGAGAGACCACCTTGGCTGCGAAGTTCTGTGTGCGAGATGGTGGGAATGAGAGTAGCTTGTCGTAGAGAAGAGTCCGGGATGCCCGGTGTTGTATTGCGCAGGACAAGGCGAATAGAAGTCCCTCGTCGAAGAAATCCTGGTCTTCTGGGTCCACCGACGTCTCGAAGAGGGCGATCAGGGCGTCGATAACGCAAGGCGAGCAGCAGAGCCTTGCGACCACGAGGCGAGTGTCTTCGGTGGGGATACTGAGACCAACAACCATGATTTTCAAAGCCTGGTTGAGGACACGCGTATCGCTCGCCCGAGCAAGCCAGTGCATCCAAGAAAAGATGGGCTCCAGATGCTCGTCGACACGTTTCAAGCATTCGGATCGCGTCGCCTCCTCCAGCCCTGTAGCAACCGCGGCGAGCGCCATAGCAGCCCGCGTCTGCTTATCTTCGTCATCCGGGGTCAGCTTCGATATTCGAGCTGGCATGGGAACGTCCAAATGGACCATATACGCGTCGACAGCCTCGAGCACCCAATCAGGATCATCGGGAGGCCACTGATTGCCATTCAACAGGGATTCCATCCAGGGGAAGTCGCCCATCCGAACGTGGCGAAGGACCTAATAAAGGGGTGTAAGTCGGGCTTCATGGACTGAGAGACTAAACGACAACGTTTTCAAAGCCCTCTCTCGTAGTATAAGACCCTGGTTCCATCTTTTCGCGGCTCTTGAGCACGCGATCTGGGCTGTCCATGGTGTGACGTGACTGCAGCGGCTCTGTTCCACTAACGCTGGTTAGATGTACTTTTTCTGTCATATAACATTGACTTTACCTTTACTTAAGAGCACTATGCCTCCTATGAAAGAAAAATGAAGGGACTAGCTCCGCAACGTGCAACGAGTGCTCGAATCAATTTGAGGCGGAGATTCAAAAGCAGCTCGAGGCTCCACGATTGGTGACTGGGCGCCTAAGGTAATACTAGCTACTCTATAAAACAAACAATCCTGGATCACCTATCGACCGACATCGAATGGCTATCGACGAAACCAATAGTTCAAAGGGAGGGACACCGACTCGAACGAAGCGTCCAGCCGAACCGCAACCCCGCACCCGGGCCAGCGCCTCATGGATCCCCACTCAAACACACGTACACGCGAAAAGATTCAGAAGATAAGACTCACCAATCAACCCAGCACACTCCATCGCCTTGAACGTCATATTGTTATACGCAGCTCCATCCGCGTTCTGCAGTACACTGTGTAAAAGAGACATATAATCGTCGGGTAATACTATATCGGGATTGTAGTGTCAGTCAACGTCCCTCCGATCCTCGCTAAGAAAAAGCGGAGCATCGTCGTAATTGCGAGAACACCACTAAGTGTCGAGGAACTCGGAAGGGCAGAAAGAGGCCTGGACAAGAGGAAAAACAAGGCACAACACTGTACGAAGAACTAAAAGAGCGAATGACCCACCCTCCGATCGAAACAAAAATCAAACTCACCTTCGCAAACGTAACCTCACTAGCATCAGTAGTCCCATCCCCACCACCACCGCCTTGACCCAGATTCAATAGCCGTTCGACGCACCTCGCTCGATTAGTAGACCGTCATAATCGAGTCAACTGAACTGGGACACCCTTGACGTTCGATACCAAATGAGATCATATTCATCCAACAAGGTACACACCATGCTCTAAACAAACACAACCCTCGTTCAGCCCTGTCGCTTACACAACCGCCTATTAAAATCAATAACCTCCCAAAGCTCCGTCCCAGGCGTCGTCCTCGCATAAAACACCCCAAGCGGATCCCACTCCTCCTTCAACGCCTTCAGCCTTGGATAATTACTCCCCCAATACGCCTCCTGCCAATTCGGCTCCTCCAAATTCCCCTCGTTCACATACGCAGCACCGTACGGACTAGCAGCTCGAATCGGTCCATCGATCTCGTTCGTGAGACGTTGCTGAGCAGCAGGGATCTGCGAGAGCGAGCCAGCGGTGTTGGGGAGCATGACGTTGGTGATACTGAAAGAGGAGCCGTTACGCCAGGCGGGGTGGACAGCGTTGTCGACCCACGGCATACCGAAACCTGGTCCAACAATGTGCCCGATGATACCTCCACCTGCGCGTCGAATGGCATCGACAATCTGATTCCCGTGCTGGGAGATATCCTGCTTGGTGAATAGGCGACCTCCAACCAGCGAGTTGGCACCGGCGGTTTCGTCTTGGAACATATCGATGTAGAGGTCGTAGAACGTGCGATACTCGCGCACCGTCGTGCTGTACTGAATCCCGAGCGTTCGAAGTTGGTCGTAGAAGGGTTGCAGAACTTGGTTGATCCTCGCAGCATTCATATTCGGTCCGACGAACGGTCGAATGTTGAGACTGGCGCCGAAGAGCTCGTAGTAGACGAACATGCCGTTGTCGACGAAATGATTGGCGAGGTTGTGGAAGGCGGCGAAGCCCCTCCAGAACGTGTCTTGATTGAAGGTGTTGAGCTGCATGATAACGCCTGCGGTGGGAACTTCGGGGAAGGTCTTGACTGTGACGGAAACGATGGCGGCGAAGGTGGATGGTCCACCACCTCGTAGAGCCCAGAAGAGGTCGGGATTCTCTACGACGTTGGCGGTGCGATATTCTCCGTCGGCAGTGATAACCTCGAACGAGAGGGCTTGGTCGGCGGCTGATGTCCTGAATCAGTGATCGTTATACTAACCCTCAACGAGCGCGAACATACCCATTCCGTAGTACGAAGCGAGAGGTCCGTGTCCTCCACCTTGAATGTAACCTCCAGCGAAACCGACCGTCTTCAAAGAAGAGTCAGGTACGTCGAGACCCGTGATAGAGAATGTAACTTACGGGGCACTCTCCAGTCACAATGGCCACTGGAGGATTCTGCTGATTCGCCAACCTCAACAATTCGCGACCCTGGATTCCAGCGCCTACCGTCACCGCAGGACCGCTGTACCATCCAGGACCGCTGTAGTTCGCATGGAAGGTGACGTCTACGAGAACGGTCAACGAGCGATTAACGGTAGAGACGGTGAATACAAACCTTTGAACGAATGAGTATTGATAGCGAGAGATCCGTAACCCGTCGAACGGCCCATGAAATCGTGGCCAGTGTTGCGAATGATGAGACGGACGTGGTTATTCCTAGCGAAATCGATGCCGGCCTTGATATGTTCTTTCTTCTTCGCCAGGATCACGTATCGAGGTAGGAATCCGAGGGTGCACTGGGCGTTTCGGTTCGTCGTCGGGAGACAGGTGTTGTTGGTCCACAGAATCCAGTGGTTAGAAACAGCACGTCCGCTCCTGTGGGTCAAGGTGAGATTCACAATCGAGCGCGACTGAGGGAGACGAGGATGTTGACGTACTGCCATTGCTGGTTACTCCAGTTTCTCGTCACCTCTTGACACGCCGCCTGGTTGTACGTCGACTGGCCTTCGAAGGTGTTGTAGCACACCGCAGGATCGGGAATGACACGCTGGAGATTCCCCTCCACAGTCGCGTTCAGTTGGGACCACAACGAAGCCGCTGGCCAGCAAGAATCGCCTTCATAGCACTTGCAGCTATACCGAACGCCGTTCCAAGTGAACGGGTTCTGGGCTACGGTCGGCGCGATGAGGTAGGCGGAAACAAGAGCGAGTATAGACGGGAAAGACGGCCGCATCTTCGTGCTCGGGGAGAAGACTTTGCATGTGCGGTCCCGTTAATTAAATTCTTTTTGCGGTTCCGGAGAATAAGCGAGAAGAACAGCGGAAGAAGAGCGGGAGACGTACTGTGAGGGGTGTATAGTATATCCCACACGTCTTATCGTCCATCTACAAGGCTTGGACCTGACCCAATGACACCCAAGACTCGCGTTCGTATTGAATCGTCTTCCCATGCGAAGGCGAAAAGCCGACAGTCGCGTCTTGTATGAGGGCGTTCATGGCCTATTAAAGCGATGGGGATAGTCGAGGCAACGCAGGGACCTTGAAATCGTGTGATTCGGTGAACTTCGAGAATTCATTTTGTCCAGCTGAGCAAAGACAGCTCGAGTTTGAGCGTTGGGAAACGGTGGAATGGTTGAAGCGGAACTTACTGGCAGCGCCTACACTTGTGTCGACCCCTCCAAGAAGTATTCCTCGCAGCACAAAACAGACCACAGCATGATCTCTACGGGGTTACAGGTTGGAGAACGCTTTGGTGGGTTGGGCGATGTGTCTGTTCGATCCATCGGTATGCTTCGCCGGGATTCGTCGGAAACTGCAAGGTCGTCGTCAGCCCATCCTTGGTGCCCGTTCATGTCCTCGACGTCTTGCTGCCAGCGTAGGACTCGCTCTTGAACGAGAGCATCAGCGAATAACAAGACCGTTTCGTTGGAGCTTCGAAGACGAGCGCTCGGAGGCTCGATGAGCGGCTGCCCCAAGGCTGGCCCACCCACCCGCATCAAACAGGGCGTCGACCCCTAAATTCAACATCACCAAACAACAAGCCAAAACAGCGAAGACGACAAAAAAACAGTTGCTGGCGATGAATTTCGGATACGGGGAATCGAACCCCGAGCTGCTGCGGACCAAACTCTACTGAATGAGAGGCAGCAATGTTAGCCGTTACACCATATCCGATTGGTGTTGTCCTCCATCGCAGCCGTAAACAGTCAAATTACCTTCGGTAGGGTGAAGCCTTGCCCGATCATGTTCTCTTTTTGGTCTTTGGTCTAATCGACGACGATCCCCTCCGAAGCTTCAGAACCCGCCATCGTCGACCACGAGCTGATATGTACAACTTCACGTGCATGCGTCGATCCCGTTATTTTGAATCACGTTCGAAGCGACGCCCTGATTGGAAACTGACAATAGACAGCTTGACGTCCAATTCCAATCGAATCGAAGCCCGCAAGGACTGTAAATGGTGCCACGAGACTTAAATGATCTTCTCAGACCGCGTGGTACCACGAGGCAATGGCAAGTTCAAATTTGCTCAACTCAGATCTCGTACGTGCGTTCATCCACGCTTCGGGTTGTCTTCTTTCCTTTTTAGCTGGGCTAACGACGTAGCCAAGGAAGAAACGTGTTGAGAAGTCCCCGGTAAGCTCGGACTTGCACCGACCTCGACACGTCGAGAATGGCCACGGATCACTCCCAGTGCAGCAAATGTAGGAGGTACCTTGGTAAATCAATCAGCTCTCGGAAACGAAGCTACTATTCAATGAGCGGAACAAAGTAGTAGCGCTATTTGCCATAGTCAAAACCATCCAGCACGACGACCCACTGAATGGGCGGACCTGAATGGCTACTCCAATACTCACTAGAACCATTGATCAATCCTTCGGTGCCCCTCGAGTTCCTATCCATTTTCTCACCTAAAACAGGACGAATCAAACCCAGTCATCCGTTAGCGCCAAAGCCAAAAGCATCCCATAACGCTCGAGCGAATCTCGAATCACCTTCCAGCTGTGCGCGCCATAGCCCTGGAGTCCAATTTCCTTCCTTCCATTGCCTTACCCCGACCAAAGTAAGAACCCACCGAAAACCAAACGGCCGGGTAGATCGATTGAAGGCTGTATTCACCTCACCCAACCTTAAATTTCGATCGAGTGTTGTACCAACGTATGCGCGCCACGATCGCCCATTGAATGCGGTACACGAACCACGCTAGTACAACGTGAAGCTCTAACTTCCGTGCTCCAGATCGAAAGGATGTGGCGTAGCGGGGTGATAAATGAAAGGTGAGGAATGGCCCATCGCTGTATTGTTATCGACCGGATTTAGTGGTTGGCAACTAATCTAATCGCGAAGGGCTTAAGCGCCGTCTTCGACGTTCTTCAGTGATCTACACCCTACGACTTACCATCCGAGTGCTACTCTAGCTCCCACTCGTATCCGCACACCTTCCAATGTCACGAATGTCATGATCACTAACAGATATTCCAATGCAGGGCAAATGAGAAGCATACACTCCAATATCCAGAAGATGAGAACCACACGATCCGATGTCCAATCCAGAATCTAAGAACACACCTCGGAAGACCCGCTTCCTCATCGCCCCAACCATTCAAAATAACATCTTACCCCGCCCCATCGTGACATCCTCTCCCAACTTCACCGCACTGTGAGAAACCAACGAATCCACCATCTTAACGAACGCACAAAATCTTCAATTCAAATCAATTGAATTCCATTCCATTTCGTTGAGAAAGCATGAGAAGCCTCGGGATTCGGAATAATGAACGTATAATCACAAAGATCCACTTCCACGGAACAAGCATAGGCGCAACGGGCGGACCCGACATCAACTCCACAGAACCCCCTGGCAATGCTGTGAAGTCCAAAATTATACGAGTACTCTAAGAGCCGGCTAGGAATCCACGGACCTCTGGACCACAGCCCCGAATGCTAGTCCCTTTCAAGAACACACGGAGCGGAACTCGTGTCTTCAAAAGCCTTGATGAATTCCATCCTTACCACGGTGGACGAAAAACAGCGACAGATAGTAGGCGTCAAAGTTGATCGCCATCAAAATTCGCACCAACGAGCGCTTGTTTTCTTTCCACTCCAGAACGCGCGCTCGTCTTAATTACAGGGCCAATCGAGACTGTTACATACTGTGATTATTACGCATGCCAAACCCCCAGATCCTTCCCGTCTCACCATCACTGAAAGCAATACCCAAGTACACCTCAACCCGTTCGACGAAGCACAGGGCAGTGCAGCTTCGTTACTTCTCTAAGTACCCCTATACACTTCGCCTAATTCAATTCCAAGTCGGACACACCGCCATAGTCCCTCGTCGCCATGTATAGGCAGACAGGAGACTGTGAAATCGTCGCTTCCCAGCGCCGACCAAGACATTCACCGCCTCGCACCCTCCGAGAGCTCTGTGTCTCTTTCCACAGCCTCACCACCTTCGACGGCCACGTTTCCTTATTTGCGTTTCCCGGTAAACCGGAGTGCAAACTATATATACATAACATCCCAATTTCCAATCGCCGTCTCTCTCCAAGAATAGAGAGACCGGAGTCCACATTGACGGAGAAGAGCGACGGTTTCATGCATCATATCAATCACCTGCAGTCTACGCACATATACGTTCTCGAATCTTAAGGTAAGTCCATCTGAGTCTACCCATCTGAGTCTACGATACAGTACGCGTTGCAATTGGCAGGGTCCACAAGTACGCCTACACCGCGCTGAGCATTAGCGCACACCCAGTCCTGGCATTAAATCGCAATTCATACTTATCGTTTGTACAGTCGTCTTCGTCGTCACCAAGGGTCCCCATCTTCGCCCATCCCACTGCGTCTCCACTCTAATCTATTATCTATTCGAAGCCTCTCCAACCCATTCGAAGCCCACTCCAATCTATTTCAAGAACTAATTACCATCTCATCACCAATCTCTCCATTTGAGCGCTAAGTCAATAGTGCGGCCCTCAAAGATGAGCACATACAACTGCGAGGTGTGCGTCACCGGATAACCTCTGACTAGAATCTGCTCGAACATTACGAAGTATGTAAGGCTTACCGTGTAAGGCTTATATTCAACCTTTCCTATCTATCTATCGAAGCAGCGGCCAGCATCGAGCAAGACTAAGCAAGAGTCGGATCCTGGAGTGGAGGATCCCACCCCTTGCGTCGTCGTTAGTACCATAATATCGACTCGTTGGATAGTCGACTACAACCTCCTCGAAGCTTGAACTCCAGAACACAAAGCACCACAGCGAAAGCTATACATGCTTGTCCATTCCTATCCATCGAAAGCTGAACTGTCGACTCTGCTGACTCGAGTGGATGGGTCCCATCAACTTGCGTCTCGTCTCGTCGTTACTTCTCTATACTCCCTCAAGCTGGAAGGTCTGGAACCCCTCTAATCCTCCAATCGAACGAGCTCGCTTTCACCCTCGACCACTACAACGACAGTCTAATAACACCCAGGAACGAGGTAAGTAACACCGTGACTTCTCTATTCTCCTCGCATCCAATCTAATCTAGGTTTCTAAACTAACCACAGACGCCGAGGACCTTACACCTCTGAATCCCTTACATACTTACTTACGGACTCTCACATACTTACGGACTTCAAGAACCATCTTTGGAACCGTCTAATCTCGAGTCTCGACGTCCCTCACGACTCACCACCACCACCACCCCGGGCGCCCAAACGTTAACGTCCCATGTCAGCTGTCAACGCCAATATGTACATCCCTCCATCGAATCAACCCAATACACTTCGAGATGTCCTACCAATACAATGCGATATCACCCCAGCCAATACAGTTCTCGCTGTCACCTCAGCCAACTTGCAATTGAACACCGGACATCACCCCATTACCCAACTTCAACACACTTCGACACCATCTCAACACCACCTCGACGTCGACAACAACAACGCCCGATCACTCTCGAGCACGTCTCGCTCTACCTCCCTCCCCTCCCCACCCGCCATCGAAGCTCCGCTGAATCCGCCCTCAGTCACCGCTTCTCACCGTTCGCTCTCAAGGGGATGACGGAACAACTGAATTGACTGAATGGAAGCAAGCACCGAAGCGTATACCGTACCGACATTCCGACTATATTCCCAAGGCACGCACCCATCCTCCCACCTCATTCCCAGATCCGTCCACCGTCGCGCATCGAGGCAACCGTCGAGTCGATTCTAGGTCTACTGGTACCTCCCGCAACCGACGCTCTCAATACCAACTCACAACGTAAGTAGCCCCTCGAGAAACCCAGACACAGAGAGAGAGTTCGAGTGAAATTCTATTATAACACCAAAAAGTACACAGGACGGGGGTATTCAAAAATAACAAAACTACAGTGAATTAAGAAACGATGATTTCAATACCTCGGCAAAAAGGGAAAGCATGTGTGTAAAGATATTTCTGTATGGATGAGCGAGATAATAAAAAAGCAACAGAGAAAAGGGAGGAGGAAAACAATGCAGTTGTAATAAGATAATTGCGTCGATGATAGGTTGAGGTGTTGGTTTAGTTAGTAGGAAAGATGCAGTGAAAGAAAAGAAAGAGAAATAAAACGAGAGTGCGTGCGGGATGGACGATGAGATGATGGTGTTGGTACAAGGGGGAAGAATTTTTGTTACAAGCGTCACGGACCAAGTTGTTCAAAACTCCAGGGGACCGAAAAGACGAGGAAAAAAAAGGGGGAGTGAAAGCGAACGAGGAAAGAAAAGGGAGTATGGTACACCAAACAGTCAGTCAGAAAGAAAAGAAAAAAAATCCGAACGAGTGAATTGATACAGAATAATCAAAACGCCGAAGCATTTTTTGAGGGATGGTTGCGTGTGGGGTGTAGGCTGAACTGAACGTGCGGATGATGATGGATGATGAGCGAGATCCATGAGAAGAGAAGAGAGATGCGAGGTCGTCATAATAGTCGTCGCGATTAACGGAAACTTGAAAAACAAAATCTTGGATGAGAAACATAGGGTCGGCGTCGAGTCGATTTTGAAGCGTCGAGGTGGGGAAGGGGGGAGTCGGGGAGAGGGTGTCAGGGAAAGAGGGAAATCTAAGCCGCACACGCAATAACATTGCTCAACCCACTCGGGACATACGGCCTCTTCTCTGATCCCAAAACGGGGCGGCGTCGCATAGGCTTGCTAACATGGACGCGGTTCAATAGGATACCAGCGACCAACCGGGCCTTGGCATCCTTATCGTTGAGCATACCCGCTTTCGTCGAGGCGTACGTCACAGGGGGAGCAGGCGTCGGCGGGGAGGGCGTACGAGCCAGAGGTCGACTGGGGGTGAAAACGGGGGAGGCGGGGTTGAGCGTCGAAGGTGGGGACGGGCTTCGGCGCGCTGTCGTCGTTGGTGCTGGAGAGGCACGAACGGGGGTGGTAGGCTTGGGAGTGAGAGGCGTCGTCCGCAACGACGGAGACGACGAGGACGGTATCTCGTAGTCGTACTCCTCGATCTCGTAAGACAGCGTTCTAGTCCTGGGGATAGGCGAGGGGAACCCACGCCAGATGTCACCATTCCCGTTATCCAGACCCTGTCGTCGAGGCGCAGGCGCAACATACCCTCCTCCAACACTCCTCCTTTGTTGCTGGTGCAACTGGTGGTTATACAGCCCAGGTGAAGTGGCACGTCGCTGGGGGAGAGCGGCGGGTGCAAGCTTGGGCGTCGGAGGGACGCTCAACGAAGCGAGCGTCGAGAGCGTGGGGACGGGTGTGGTCGGCTCGTCCGCAAAGGGGTCAAACTTGTACGACTTGCGCGGGGTGGGGGCGGTGACGCTCGGCGCTCGGAACGCATACGCTCGTCGACGGCCGCACGCTGGTGGGCTCGGAGAGGTCGATGACGGAGGCTGGTGGTTGTACTTCAGGGGCTGTTGATGCTGCACGTGGTGGCCGGCGGCGCCGAGGGGCTGGCTGGCGTACAGCGGGAGGTTGGCGTGGTTCGAGGAGAGGAGGGGCGAGGAGTGTGCAGCGGAGGAGCGGGCAGCCCATGGGTTGGGGTGGGCAACGGTGAAAGAGGTGTGGATTGTGCGGATATAGTGGTGGGCGGGGGAGGCGGCGGAGACAGCGACGGCGGCCATGTTTCTTCGTTATTAGTAAATTACAATAGTCAATAAATTGAGGATGGAGACGAGCGTTGGGATTGTCGATGGATTGCCTTGAGTTGAAGGGAGGAGGGAGGGGGAGAGCGAGACGAGAGATGGAACCACACGCAAACTCGGGCGATCCTTATAAGGAACCTCAACCCTACGATAACTCGCCTCGGATCTGAGATCTCTCCTCGTCAGGGTCCAGAGCGGAAATGCAGATGCGGCTTCTTACGTGGGAACTTCCACAGGAATTTTCGATAAATTCCATCAAGGTTGCCTGGAAAGGGAACCAAAGGGTCTCGCCACCTGCCCCATCCGGCATCCTGTGGCCCAAAATGCACCGCACCCTTGGCGCCAGCTCTCCTCCCAACACGTGGTCCTCCTTCCTTCCTTGTTGTTCCCAAGTTCCACAGGTCTCCATCACTCCCCACCACCACCCCAACAATCGAGTCGCTCGTTAAGGAAGAGGAACAATAATCAATTCAAAGACATTTGCTTTTTCGTACGAGCCACGCCTTGTACTTCGCTTTTTCTTGTTGGCGTAGCGCATGTACGTACGTACAGGCTTCGCTTCGACGCTCGACGTTCGGCTTGGTCGTCGTCCAGTGCTCGTCGTCGTCGTTATCGAGCCTGCTTCCTATTGTTGCGAAACCGGAATCCCTTCACGTAAAGCCACCCCGACAACCAAGGTTTCATACGGCGGACGTACGGCGTCGAAACAAATGCACATTGATCACTACTTCGCTTCTTGATCCATTCCCTCTTGACTCAATGTCCCTTCTTCCTTCCCTACAAACTCGACACTATGTCCTTACTTGCCTACAAAGTCCTTACATTGCATTTGTGACACTGTAACGCCCACCGCCTTCGTGACACCTTCCTCCCTCTCTCGAAGCATCTCGAGCAATTCAGTCTGCTCGGAAGAACCCATTGACGACGCTGATGGATGGCCATCACCCACCTTCCATTTCCACTTATCGTTATTCCACCTATCGTCCTTCCACTTGTCCTCGAGCCACTTGTCTATGTACTTGTCGTCGTCCAGCCACCTGTCGTCTTAAAACTGTAACGGCTCCAAATCCGCAACACCATTTCCAAGTTTTGCGCCGCTCTGCAGGCGCCGACCGGAGCATAATCAAATAACCGACTCATCGCCTTATTGGGGGGGTGGAGAACTCTGAAGCCCTCTGATCTTACACCCAATTAAGAAGTCAAACCATGACCTTACACCCAATTGGGCAGGAGAACCGTGATCAGAGCGCCTAGTTTGGAAGCAGAGTCAACTGGGTCCACCCAATCCGGCAAGCCAAACATCATCATCAATCATCAGGCGCTTAATGAGGAAGGCGAAAACGTGACTTCAACTTCAGATTTGGGCCTTGGCCTAGATCAAACATTGCCTTTTCGAGAGAACGCTGACGTCGTTCATCGGTCGGATTTATGCAGCGCCGTGAGCCGTCGGGGAGAACGGGTCGGGTCACTCGCGCATCGCATTCCCTCAGCCTGTCGCCTGTGCGCAATGACTGTGTATGAGGAGCAGGACGGAGGGTCGGATTCAAACTGTGCATCGCCTGCGGGTCTTGACGCTGCTCTTACTCAAACAATTTTCCTTCGATTCTAATTTCGCAGCTACGGACGGAACCCCCCCCCCCCCCCCCCCCCCAGTATCACTTCGATGACGCTCCATTCCATTATCTCTCGTTTGTCGGTCTCGAGTCTGGCAGCGGCGGCGGCGCAGTGCACTCTCGTTATTCCATCTATTCCATCCTCTGCGGACCTCGTATAACTATCATGACCTATGAGATCATAAGCAACGGTCATCACACCAACGCCCAATGCCCACTTCTTGACTACGCATAATCTATGCACACCTGACCGAACGTAAACCTTTACACTCAAGCTCACAGTTATACTCGTGATGGACCAAACTCAATCGCACTCAGTGGTCAGACCGCTGACCTCTGACCTCTGACCCCACCATTGTCAATGTGAACGAATCGAGAAAGGTAGAGTCAATCGAAAGTGTTACTGTATTGAACGTCGTCTATAGTTTCTTTGCTTCTGATACCCCACTTTCAATTTTCAAATTTAATGGAATACATAGAAGGTCACTTGAGCGCTGATCTCACGTACAGAGTCTAAGTATGTATGCAGGTCGAATTCGGTCTTGACCCGCTCGAGCTTCGCGTCTCTAACTCGACTCGACCAGAGCGCGAGCGACGGAGAGTAAGTGCGGAACTAAACGACACGGCATCCTACGGTCGTACATACATCACCTAACGGAGTTAAGACTGGATAGAGTCAGAGGGAGGTCAGCAGACCTTTTGTAAAATTGTATTGCACTCGAAAAGGGTCGAAAGTCTGATGGAGTCCTGCATGGTCGAAAAGGCTACGGCTTGATGCAGATGTTCTGCTCTAACGAGGAAAGTAAGTTGTGTGATGGCTAACGACTGAGTCCGATTCACGTTTGAAGGTTAGGTGCGTGTCTCAGCGACAACTGACCAGCTCTTACGCTCGAAAGAGATGCCAGTCGTCGTTGCTGAGAGACTAAAACCAACGTCCCTCTCCTCTTCGCTCTCCCGAGCGAGTTGATTTCTCTGCCGCATTCGTCTCTCTAAGAAAGTATGTATTGATCTCGTCTTGCGTTTTCTGATCCCACCCTCGCAACGTTCGCTCCCGCTCAACCTCGTGTCTGCTCTCTTTCCCTCGCTTCCCCAGACCCATCTGACGATCATTTCACGCCCCTTCGCCACATACGCCATTATCATCAGGTTTTCTGCAGTAACAATATACTTGTATCATTCGCCACATACATAGACATTTTCGTGTTTTCTGATCGTGAGTCCGCACTCCGAACATGTTACGAACCCCTCGTTGCTTTGATTCTGAAGACTCGATATCTTCTCCCATTCGACTGCCACATGCGATGATATGTAAGTAAATCCTCTTTTGTATTCTCAAAAGCCGCTATAAAGGAACCAAAAAATTTCACTTACCACATACCGTCCATACATACATATGCCCCGTCGCTGACTCGTTGTTACTGATCCTTAAAACCGCCGAAAGGCTCGTTTTTGTTCAGAAGGTTGTTACTACATAAGAACTTACTGGTCGCGATTACGGTATTCTATGTACCGGAGTCTGTATCTACAAAACTTCAAATGTAACCCCCCAGTCCTTTACTCCGTCTACATACAAATACATAAGGAGGCTTTTGTCGTCAATGTCCACCAAGTATGCACTCCTTAATCTAATCTACCCAAGTCAACATCTACCCCCGACGCGCACATCTACCGTCCGTGGTCAATCACCTTCGTGAAAGGCATTAGTTGCCGCCTCGTGGCCCTTTTCCAAGTTAGATCCCGAGCGCTGGTCTAGCTAGGGAGCGCTTAATCTCCCTCGAGGAGACTGATAGGACAGAGAAGCTGGTACGGTGATACTCGGACATCTATCACTCTCTAATCACCCCTTCTACGAGTATAGGGACAAGCGCCCAAGGACCAAGTTGACTTTATTCGTTTGATCACTCTCTGTTCGTGGGCGCTTGATGGAAGGGTTGATCGAGGCTGGTATCGTGATACTCGGATGTGATTTCATACAGGTATCGATTGCGAGTCGATTTGAAGCGCCCATGGGCACGGGATCCTCGGGCGCTCGATGTAGTGTTCTCCAGTGATCCGTCGAAGGTATCTCAGTCCAACTGGTGGTGTCCTCGGGACTGTTGAGTGGTCGATCGACAGGCCTCCGAGCCCATATATATGACTGCGCTACACTCTTCCTAGAGAATAGAAATCTACCGAAAACCAAAGCGTGGCATACATAGCTGCATCAATTCCACAGAGAACAATGTGGATTCTCGATACGAGAGTACTCTGACAGCGAGGAGCGATCTCGAGGCAATCTCTCCGGAACGTCGAGAACAGATGAGCGCTTCTACAAACCCCTTTCCACGATTGATCGACTAATAGTATGAGCGCTTATCATATAGATTCTAGAAGCCTGATCGAGGCTGGTACAGCAAGGCGTGTACTCGGACACGACTCTACGGTCTTCGTGTTGGGTTTGTAGCGCCCATAGCTGATAGAACTTTGAACGCTCAATGTCCTCGGGTTCTTGAGCGCTCGATCCTTCTGGATTGTCAGAACGTCGCAATGAATCCATTTAGTTTAGCTTCTTGGTGAGTCTCGTCCTTTGGAATGGAACTGTCAACTGTCCATAACTTTCCCCCAGTCAAGTTACTTGCGTTCTACCATATATCGAGGCGTTTTCCAACCCTCTCTGAGAAACGGGGGAGGAGTAGGCGATTCCGCCCAATCTCGGACCCTAATCCTCAGCCTACGGCGCACTTCTACTACTACTACGACTAGACTGTGGATCCGCCGAGGGGGCTAGTACCACCCGAATCCTGTGCAACACCGGTTACACCTACAGTCACATCCCGACAAGAAGTTCCCCTAAGTGTAACATTACTCGAAATACCTCAGAGGCGGTGAAGCCATGAATCTGATCGCGAAGACAACGCAGACTCGGACGCCGACAAGAGGCGGGGACGCACGTCGACCGGTTGCACCGACATGTTGGATTCAAATTCCCAGTGAGTCCTTCAATCTGTACAGATTCGGTTGACATACTTGTTGTAAATTGACAAGGGCGCGCCACCGCCTCAACCTGGCTAGACTACGCGTACGTTAGTGCGAGGAGGCTAGTGTGCAAGTAAACTTCTGAACGTTCTCCATACGGACCATACGCTCTCTATGTCACGCCCTGGATATAGCCGAGTCCCGACGCATCATCATCATTCCCGCTCATACCTCAACATTCACAGTCCACCTCCGTACAGCCTCTGGGCGGTGCACTAACCTGGACTAACTTCAATCACCTTCGACGTATCTATGATTCCTCTTCAACGTACCATCTCACTTGAGGCACGAACTACTTTGTACGTACCTATCATTCAGCATATCACCGACTCTTCCATCGGTAATTCGCATGGACTGGAACGACCATGTCATGACATCTGTTCAAAGTCACCCAATCCGGAAGGTGGGCGCTTATTCCTCAGATCACCGTGTTCCTGGACGCGGTGCGCAGTGGACTCCTTCTGGCGGAGCACACTGGACCGATCTACATTGTGGAGCAGAGGTATTCCTGGTAGACACCACAGAATAGGTGCATTATAAGTGCGACAAGTTTTACTTTAGAATTGTCCTAATTCGCGAAGGCTCCGAACTTGTGGGGTTAACACGGTAATGAACGAACTTGTGGAGTGGAAGGTTCAATGAGCTCGGGCACTTACTGTTGGCAGTGGCGACTCCATTGGCATTTTGAATTACTTAGTTGGCGTATTTTCCTTATGCGGTGTGCTCTTCTCTTAACTCCAAAAGCGCAGCTGTCCCTTCGGGGAATAAACAGGTGAATAGCGTGGAGAATGTTGGAGGTTGGAGTCGAAGAGGGTAGTGGACTCGGATGACGGAGATAACATAATGGCGAGGGTGAGCCTTCCGCTGGGCTATTCATAATACTGTATCTCCATCTCCTACGACGTGCTCTGACACACAAGCATCCACATTCCGTCTGTCTGCCAATCAACATCGGCCTCCAAGTCACCCAGTCACAGTCCAACCTCCGAGTCAATCGCTGCGAGGTCGATTCGTCATTCTGGCCATTCAAAGGTTTACTCAATGTAAGACGTAGTGCGGTTGTTGGATCGCAGCACTGCAGTTATTGAACCAAAGAGAACTTGCGAGAACGGCGTTGCGGTATGTTCCAACGACTGGGGCATATTCGCGAGCGATGATGGCACAGCCCCGAGTCTATCAAAGGAAACGTCGTGAGCCAGAAGCTTTACACGTTGTAAATCCCGAAGTCTGTGGCCCCGGCCTGTGCTTAGATAGTCCTATCGTATCTCGCTCAACTGTACTGATCAAACTTCCATCCACCGGCTTCTCTCTGCTTCACCCCATAAGCTGCACTCGAGTCGGGTAAGGGATATCAAAACGACTAGAGTCGCTGAGGCTCCACAGTGACTCATAGCCGCCCACTTGACCCAAGCACTATTCATAGTCTATTCCACCAGACAAAGGGCGCCTCAGATCCAGGAACCTTTCACGCATATGTAGAAGCCAGGAAGCAGCTCGTATCCACAATCGAAGCACCCCACCGCCATTCATCAAACTCTCTCTCTCGAATTCGTCCACATCCGATGTCGTAAGTGTACCAGTCCCGTTTCCTGTAGCCCTGATCCCACGCACAGACTCAAATGTTCGCGGAAGACTTCGTTCTTTTAGAGTAAAGGGGACAAAACTGTCGTTTAAGCTTCGAACCCTTTCGAATCATTCACCGTAAACAGAATTCCGAGTCTCACGCCTAAGGACCAAGTGCTTCGCCGCTCTGGCCAGCCTTCTGTGCTGGTAGCGAGGTATTTCGAGGGTGTTCGAGAGTTGACGTTGGCATCACCTCTTCTATACATCGAAGAACTATAAGTTGTAAGTCTCTTGATGAAATGAAGTGTATAGTGTGTAGCCGACTTCGAATTATTGTGATACAAGCCGTCGCCCCATATATTGAGTTCCTAGTTCGTCGTTGTCCGGCCACCGACCGACAGCCATCTAAGAACTGTACAGATTGGTATGTGAACGGTCGAAGGTCAGAAGTCGTTAAGACCATCCTGTAGCAATCTGCTCGCTCTTCATCAAGCCTTCACGAAGTTGCTCAGGCCCTCTCTCGGCTAGACGAGTCGAGGCGCCAGAACTTGACTTTGACATCTCCCAAGAATGCAGCACCTCCTCCAACACCCTCGAATAAGGAAACATATATCTGTCGAGAGAGCATTTAACCCCAATCCTTCCCGCATAGCCTGTACATGCACACAGCAATGTCGTACGTTCAAGGGTACATTGCCTCTCCAACGCGGAGACACCTCGGGAAGGAAACTGTCATATTTGCTCTAATCACATTTTACGGCTTTTCCCTGTTGCTTTATCACCAAGCAGGTGCTGGGGGATGATAACGCTTTGCTTCCTCTCAGAGCATGCTTCACGACATTCGACGACTAGGACGGACCTCGGAATTGGCAGCTCTCAACCTCTAACCCGTTTCAGTAGCTGAAAGTGTGCTGGAATAAAGGAAGAGCGCAAACGTGCATATGCGGGAATAGAAGAACTTCCGACATACCTCAAACAGGAAATCCCGCACCGAACGTGATGCGAGAGGTTGACAAACAAAGTAAGCGCTCCCTTTCTGCCCTATTCCGGCCATCCCTTTCACACCTTATCCTAACTCAAAAAGATGCGTTCGGTGCGGTGAAGGTGACGGGGAAATGGAAGTTGTTCCGACGGTATACTGCGAAGGGAAAGAGCGTACCGTGAGCCTTGTTTTCTCAACAATGTAACTGTGATAAGATAAAAGATTGACAGAGTGTGTGATGCGAAATAAGTTTCCATGAAAGCGGACCGAGGTTGTGAAGAGTCGTTGAATAGGAAAGGTTCTCTTGACTCTCTTTCTCCTCGGCTGAACGAGGCAGAGCTAGACCAATGAAGGCGTCATCCCTCGGAGAATCTCTCTGTCCTTACCCTTGAAAGGTATGCAACTGATAGTCCTGTGAAGAGGCATAGACGCTTGCTCTGGAGATCTCGCTCACTTCAGTGTCCCAAGAAAGATCTTCCTCTGATCTGGGTACCGTGTACCCACACCCTTCGTCGTACCTAGAGATTTAGCCATTTCCATACCTAAACCCACAATCGACGCCACTCGACTACGGACTCGGACTTCATTTGCCATTTCTGTGGTCCACCACGTCGACCAAGTTGTAAGTACTGGCTCCCCCGAGCCTTTTCTCCGTGATTGACATGTTGTGATTGTGATAAAGTGAAGTGCATTGAAAAGAGCGAGTAAAATGTGCAGTGACATAGAGATGACGCCAGGGAAAGGTTCAAGGTACATTTGACCAATCACGTTCGTTATCCGAGGGTGGCGAATCCACGATATGTTCGTATCTAAGACTGTTACATTTTCATGTCGATGAAGGGAGAAACGGTTCTACCGTAAGAAAGTCAACCGGATTCAACCTTCTGTACAATTTTACTACACCCCACGTCTGAAACTCTTAACCGCCACTGTGCTTCGCCTTCGAAGTCATCTTCCCAGACCACCTGGGCCACAAGATCAATCATCAAAGGTACCACACGATCTCCCAAACCCGTAGATCAATGTTAAACGCGTGGATCAGAAAAAAACAAGCCTCAACCTGCCTCGAGGTCAGAAAAATCGAACATCAGCGTATTGGACTTCATTCAAATCAATCTTCTTCCCGGCGGTACGCCTCGTTTTCCGAGTCGGCCTTGCTTCTCAAGTGGCATGATCACGCACGAATGAGCATTGTCTTGTACAGAGATGAACCTGGCGAGGCCGCTTGGTGATGTATGATTGTTGAATTGAAGGGCCGAGGCTGAAATGTCGGAGAGGGAGATTGATCCACGAGGCTCGCTGGGAATTTGATTTTGAAACTGGACTGAAACTCGAGGTGAGGAGTGGCTCTCTGAACACGCGCTGTTTCCCCAGGTTGCTCGTGCTAGATGGCGGAGGATGACGAGAGACCCAAGCCCGAAGAGCGGCAGGGATACCCGACGACGAGAGGTGTGGAGGGTACAAGGGGTCCTGGACCGCCGAGAGTGGAGCTCAGGAATTATGAACTACGGACAGACGTTTGGGTCAATCGAGTAGGTGAGCCCCTGTGACCAGAAAAAATCTCATTTCCTCTCAACGGCTTGGCCATGGAGCGGGCCTAGGCCTTGGGAACCTGAGTCGTTTCCCTTGAAATCATCGCCGAGTGATCGCCCACGGGCGCTAAACAAACAACGATGGGTCGGGGGTCAGATGAGCACTGACGTATGCAATGGTGTATCAATCACTATAGTGGATGGTCCATGTGTGAGCTATCTTATCCAAATTAAACTGATGTTCTACAAATCTCTAATCAGACCGCTCCAAGCCTTCGCTCATCTCGTGTCTCCGGATCTCAATCAACATCGCGCGAACGGTCCCGGCAGCTAGGTGGAGGAGACCTGTCCCTTCCTGCTTGCCAGACTCTCACCGTTTTTGAGAAGCTAGTTGGAGATGGGGATGGCCTCCTCGCACGATGCGATCGACAACTCATTCGACATTGAGCGCATGGACCGGCAGCTTGTCGAACGAGGAATACAGGCGTTCCAAACTACCGCAATGAAATGCTTCTTTCTCCTGCGTTCCACCACCTAGGGACCTTGATCGGGTAGGTTGAAGCCTACCAACGCCTGGATATCACGTTTTCGGTTAGGCCACGGGGTGCGCGATTTAAGCGCCCGTCATAGCTGACAAATTCTCGTCTGTGGTTCAGGTGCGTGACCGCAGTCGTTCAAATTGCTGTCACAAACCTCATTTTATGACTTTTCTATCCCAATGTGTCGACATAGGAGCAACACCCTTGCACCAACGCTGTGAAGATAGAACGTGAGATCGATCCTTGTACCCCTCGGACTAGCTGTCACTTCTCCTGGGGTTGTTCTGATGTGGTCGGCCAAGAGGTAAGTCCAGGCGTGGTAGAGCTAACAAACGATGCTAATGCGCTATGTACATCCATCTCCGACATAACAGTGGGTAGTAGTACGGCATCTCCACGTTCTTCCGCCGCCACCGCTTCCGGTCCCATCGCCCTTAACCTTCCGTTCCTCATGAACAACCTATCAGAATCCCAGCGACAAAGAATGGAGGCTGGAGAACAATACAGGGATAATGGGCTACTGTCGTGGTCGCCTTTAAATAGATTGTTTCGTCGGGCGCTCTTCGTACCGTGGTGCTCGGGGACTTGGAGCAACGACAGAAGCTCATCTATACGACAAAAGAAAGACATTGTAAGGTTCTAACCCACAATCAGAAAAGCCTCTTCGACGGTGTAAATTGTAATGTGCGAGCGCGAACCTTGTACTGCGACTCTCACCTCCGCCGACATCCCAATTTAGAATTTCATCCACCCTCTCAGACTCCTCATCATCTACTAGCGGTGCAATTGTAGGGAGCGAAAGGAACCCGTGATCACCCTCCATACCCTCGTTCCCGCCTTTCCTAAAACTCAGCCCTTCCAATAGATTACAGATACTTACCCTAAACTCTTAAACCTCTCCCGTGAATCCAATTTCCGGTTTCCGACTTTCCAAACGGGACGACGGTCCCTTGAACGTTGCCGAGCAGCAACCAATAACTTCAGTGAACTTGGTCCCATTTAAGATCTCGTATATACAAATCTCGCTTGCAATTGGTTTCGTCAGGGTCTCAGGGAGATGCGAGGTGCTCCGAGCTCGTCGTCATTCCCACTGAGTACAAAAGTAGCGTGTGTACTTATATGTAAATCTGTAGGATCGTTCGGCTTGAACGACCACTACGAATCACGATTTCAAGGTCATCTGAGCGGAATATATGATATCTACACCATACGCCCTTACAATGATCTATGCCATGTTGGTGTAGTACTGTATGAAATCTGTTTGGAAGTCTATATTCAAGCGTGAGTTGTACTCAATACATAACCCCTACGCGATCAAGGGATCAGGCTAACCAAAAGCGCTTGTGGCTCTGTAAGTATGCTTTGCGCCAGATTCACGTTTTCGAATTGAATTATGTATGTACATGGGAATACACGCTAGACTAGACCCCGCTCGTCAGGGGGAGGCAGCGCACGTCGCAGGAGCGAAGGGCCGGAGATTCAGGGATTGTTCCCTACACGTGTATCAGACCTCGTCGGGTTGACGGAGCGGGTCGGCGTCATTCAGACGCTTGGGTCCAACTGTCAGTGAGAATCTGACCCTAAAACAAGTACATACGTTCCAGACGGTCGCCAATCCATCCAGCCAAAAGGTCGTAAGTAAAAAAGAACAGAATAACGCCCCGCCTTGTTTCCAAGTACCCCCGGCGAGACTCGAACTCGCAACCTCCAGATTAGAAGTCTGACGTCATAACCATTAGACAACGAGGGCGTTGCTGGGTCTTGGCTTGCGAACGAGCCTCCGACGCTGGTACTAAGTTCATACATTCACCCTCGTTCAACCATGGCTGAACATGGGTTCAAATTGAGGGGTATACCAGGTATACTATATTGGAGGGCAGTTCCAAAAGCCGAGAACGAATGATTTTAGAGAGAAGGGATCTGTAGATTTTGATTGGGAATCGCGTTGCTCAAGTTGAACGAAAACAAGCTCTCGTTTTCGTTGGTCATGGGGATCAAGGTTGGTGCTTACTATCCTTCCCCCTTCCATTCTCCTCATTACCCAGGCTTGGAAATTTCATCGGACCCCAAGCAACTCTTCCACGTCGTTTATACCCTTGGAGGACTAGAGATCGGGGCCGGTGTCTGCAGTGATCCGTCACCATCCGTGGAGTTCCTGTCGGCTCCCTACTATACCAGTAGAGCAACTCAGGGATGGTATTTTTGACAGTTCACAGCCATTCTTTCGCGCTTCCTGGGGAGTCCATTCGATATTAATGTTCTATTGTCATCTCCGTGGAGTGGAGCTATGTATGTGTTCCCGCTTCTTCCTGCAGCGAAATTGAATAGAAGCAATGACAATAGTGGTACTCAATTCTGCGGAATAGCGAGTTTGCGGAATAGCGAAACCTGGGAAGAACCATGCGGTACAATGATGCCAAGGGTCTGAGTTTGCGGAGACCCAATACTGTTGATGCCGACGCGGCCGACAAACTCGCCCACACTCGCGCTTTTTTATTCTGCATGCATCTTCTTTCCTCCTCCTTCTCGCGATTTTTGCGATAAGGAGAGCAGTGAGCCGTTCATCGTCGTCTTGAGCGTCGTAAAGCAGAATGCACGCAAAATACTCCAGAGGAGTGAGTTTGGGCTTTCCGCGCTGTGTTCTGGTCGGTTCAGTGGATGGTCGTACATCCCAACGTCGCCTTCTGGCCATTAATATAGCATAGGGATACGAAAAAGAGTACTGCTAGTGTTCTGGTAGAAACGATATACGGTGCATATCTAATCTACGAGCCATCAGCGCAATGCCGGCAACGCCGAGTTCAGTCTCCGCTACTAGCCAGTAACAGCCACCGGGACTGGGCATCAGGGTACCATGTGAACCAGGCTTTTGCTATTCCGCAAACTCGCTATTCCGCAGAATTGAGTACCACTAATGGCTTCGTTTGTTACGATGGTGAATTCGTGCGTTTCGCACAGTGCGACCAAGTAAGTTGAAGTTTTGTGTGGGGCGGGGTAAAAGTGCTAATTGAGAAGGGAGAGGGTGAGTCGGATGTATGTCCTCCGAGGGTGGGTTATTAACTTTTCTGCATTGGAAGACCGCGACTCGGATGTGGTTCTTGTCATCTGGACATGGAGATTGTGGTTCTCAGCCTCCTTATATTTACATTCGGAGGATGCGTTGCAGATCTTCGTCACATTGTAAGATCATGATGTGCGAATGCGAGTGAGTGGGCAATAGAGACGAACTTAGTCAGTAGAGATGAGAGTCTACACAGCGTGGACATCTCAGTGCTCACAAGGGGGCAACTTGAAGATTACTTTGAAGACGGCGCTTAGGTCCCTTCGAGATTAGATTGACCCCATTCTACTCCTCGCCCGTTTGTTGGCAAGTACTCCTCTCGTAAGCAAGTATGGCAGTCACAAGAAAAACCAACTTGCAAAGACCGAGTTCGAGCGTCTAATCCCTAGGCCAGTCTCTCATCTTAATCCATTCCCCCGTCTCATCTTATTCTATTCCCTGGTCTCAATTGATGTCCAGCAACGCTCCAATCCTCCAATCGGATATGGTGTAGCGGCTAACATTGCTGCCTCTCATCTCATCGGGAGTCTGTCCGCAGCAGCTCGGGGTTCGATTCCCCGTATCCGAATAGAGGCTGCAATATAATTGTGTGTTTTTTTTGTCGGTTTGTGTAATTCATGGGGAGAGAAACTTCATTTCTTGGACATCGTATGTGTAAGTAGAATTTCACTCGAACTCTCTCAATGTTGCTCGGTTTTTGGAATCGACTCGACGGTTTCCTCGATGCGCGACGTTGGACGGATCTGGGAATGAGGTGGGAGGATGTGTGCGTGGGCCTTGGGAATATAGTCGGAATGTCGGTACGGTATACGTACGCTTCGTTGCTTGCTTCCATTCAGTTAATTCAGTGATAGGGGCTTTATCATCGTTACCCCAGCCGGCGGTTTCCTTGCTTGACTTATACTCGAGTTCCATGAATGGTTGGCAACGTAGAAATACAAATAGGATATCGAACTACGCCCCCTGGACGCGTGACGCTCTGCTACGCCACTGGGCCCGGCGTCTGACGCTCCTTGGGCGCTTCAGTGTCGGCCTCAGCCTCGGAGTCGTAGTCGCGGAGAGACAAGTATGTGAACTGCAAACACATGCGGTTCGGCAAACGCTTCGGGCGCTCTGGCAGCTCGGTCGACAACAACCTATACCACTTGAACAGTTTCGTCTTGATGATCTTCCTCTCGCGCAGCGGAAACTTCATGAGGGATAGATAGCGATCGAGGATGGCGTCCCTGTTCTCATGGAAGACCTTCAGTTCACGCGGATCTCCGTTCCCCGTGGTGAAGTAAATCACAAAGTCGCCTGTTGGCCAGTCGAAAAGGCGGGGAGTGATGAAAGGTTCTCTGAATGAGGGTGGGTCAGGGAGGGCAGATACACAGGAGAATGTTCAGTCTGAACTCACATAGAGCCTTTCTCTCGCCATCTGGGAGTGGCACACCTCGTAATTCCATCCATCGCAAGCCCCTGGCGGCGGCTCCACTGGACGAGCCAAGTGCCAGAGACAGCGAATCCGGCGAAGTACAGTGGAGGAGGGATTGTTGGACCTCCTGGAATGCGGAGGTTTTCCACGGGAAGCGCGAACATATCGGGTTGGTCTTTGAACTCGATAGTGGCAGGGAATGCCTGTTCACACCTGTTCAATGTTAGCTGGCAGAACGTCAGGCGAGCGGGCAGGACTGGACTTACTCGGCCTGGTACCTGACGTACAAGGATCGGCTTTTGGACATTTTCAGTCAGGTCGTTTAGCTTGTACAGACGGTAGTTGGAGGGAGGTGAGGATAGGGTTCTTGTTAGGGCTGCGGAGGGAGGCGTGGGCGCGTCAGCATTCGCGCAAAAAAGAACGCGAGAAAGAGAGAAAAGGCACGGAGCCCCTCCTAATCCTCCCTCGGACGAAGAAACGTTCGTAGTCGTCGGAGGAAGTTAAACTCTTATCCCAATCCTGTTAGCAACCCGGCATTATGGTACGCACCAAGTCAGGAGTCGGGGGGAGGGTTAGGGTTAGAGCGAGGGCGAGGGCGAGGGTGCTTTTACGGATTCAGAGTGAGGGAATCCGAACAGCCACCGACGCCATCACCATGTCTTCTTCCACTCTCCATCACCTCGGAGAACAACGACTAGAAGGACGATGCTAATCGCGAACGAGGAAACACCCTTGCTGAACGGATCCCGATATGAGGCTCAAGCGGGTACGGCGACGCGACTCAGGGGGGAGAAATGGCGGGTATTCGGTGTGGTAGCGGGTGCTGGGTTCCTATCTGGTGCGTCTAACCCTCCAAATCCCGTTCATGCAAAGCACTAAAACACGAACTTGGGGCAGTCTCGACGTTCTGGATATACTATATCGATTGGCGATCCATGCTCTTGATCCTAGGCGGACCATCCATGGTAGAGAGGTGCTTTACACATTCTCTTCGTCATTCTCTTACAACGAACTGAGTCATCGAACAGTTTCCTACGAGATTTCTCTCTTTTACTATCAGCTACAGTCGGCGTCCTCCTCGCGTCCATCTATTCCACGATCCGTACGTTGCCTCCTGTCGTGCATTACTGATTCTACTCAACTCTCGTATCTCGGTATCGCAGATGGCAAACGCAAAGTCCTCCTCTGGACGACTTCATCCATCATCCTCGGTTCCCTCCTAGTCTCAACCTCTCAAAACATCACCTGGCTCCTCCTCGGACGCATCTTCCAAACACTCGGCACGACCCCCACTTGGTCTGTCGGGATCGGGATTCTGGGCGACACCTTCAGACGTGAACAGAGGGGCAGGGCTATCGGCGGGTTTATATTTGTGAGTGTTCAAAGTTGCCTGTCTTCATGAATCCCGGTATGGTGTTGTGGAAAGCTCATGCTTGTTGATCGTTGTTTTTGGACAGGTATCGATGTTGGGAGGCGTAGCTGCGCCTCACCTATCTCGTACGCCCTGCATTCACGACATTACAGCGCAGCTGATAACCCTGGATACGCAGACCTGATGAAGCACCTCGCTCCCCACCTCTCCGTATCCACTTACGACTCGTGGCGGCTCACCCAAGCCCTCCTCGCCATCGCCTCCTCCGTCCTCTGGTTAACCCTCCGCCAATCCACCTCCCTCTCGCGTCCGGCACCTCTATGTCTCAACATCGAAGGATTCTCAGAGGACTCGCTCGTAGAAGGGTTACATGAAGACTCGAGACCTGAACGAATGGGTGGTATCTCGGAGGACGAGTCGCGACTGGAAGAACGACTCGAACGACCACACCGGGGGATTTTGAATCCCTTCTCGCCGTATGGGTTGTTACATCTGAAGGATGTTCTTCCTCTGGTGCGTACCTCCCACTCCTTGCTTGTTTAGATGGCATGTTGAGGGAGGTGATAGTCATTCGCTAGTGGTGCTCCCATCTACTCCGCTACGTGTCGTACGTCCCGTCCTACTCTCACTCGCACTGCAGTAATCGGAAATGCTGATTGGAATTTGGATGGGTGTGGGGTTATAGTACTTTGGATGGAGGTTTCCTCATATAGCTGGGTGCGCCTTATTCTTATCGACAGCTTAAAGATAGGTTTTAACTGACGGTCCTGTATCGAGCAGCCAAAGCACGCAGATAAACTGGTCTACAGATGGTACTTCCCTTCGCTCGCACTCGGGTTGGGTCGTACGTTCCCTTACTCCTCATCCTCGTCCCGCAACTCACAGTTCTCTGTGATGCCTTTCTGTCGCCCTCGTCGCGTTCACAGTCGGCGCCCTCCTCGCAGGTTTCGCGACCGACTATATCCTCATCCGACGCATACAAGACCTCCTTCGTACCTCCTCCCACCATGGCACCTCCCACCCACGCACCTTGAACTTTGAATCAAGCTTCGACCGCCCCGACAAACGATTCTTCGTCTCTCTCCCGGGCGCATTCCTCATCGCTCCACCTCTCGTATTGGTCGGGTTTGTGTTGAATTTTGCGATGGGTGGTGGTGGGAGGGGTACTGGTGTTGGGTGGGCGTTGGCACCGCTTGAATGGGCCTTGATACCTTTCGGGATGAATGAAGTTGGGGTGAATGGGTTTGGGCTGAGGGGTATCATCTTCAATTGGGTGTTGTTCATGCAAGAGGAAGGTGAAGGTGGAGGTGTTGGGCTGAACGTGAATAAGTGGTTAGTCATGGGGTGTTTGTTTCTGGTTGGACTTGGGGTGCGTGGTTATTTCTCTTATGGTCGTTATTCTCCAGCTTTCGCTGCACCATGACCTTTTTTTTGTTTTTGTTACACCGCGCGCCTATACTGATGGACGCATCGTGTTACCTTTAGACATATTCAACCTCCGTACCAGTCCTCACCTACTTCCTTGAAGTCGTACCGCAGTCAAGGAACGTGCAGATTGTTGCTGCTTCAGAGTGCGTACTCGGTTTTTCCATTTCTGTTTATTCGTTCGTCCATTCCTTCTTTCCCCGCCATTTGTTCTTTCGTTTTCGGTCGTCCGTTCCACCCACTCCTGCTCGCTCCTCTCCCTTTCTTCCCTTTTCTCGTACCTCCTTTGCTCGTCCACTCCCCCCTTCTGTTCGTCCATGCCTCCTTCCGCTCGACCATTCCCCTATTCCTCCCTCCACTGGTCTCTTCTACCCCTCCCACTTCCACCCCTCACGAGATAACCATGACTAACCCCCTTACTCCTCGCCATTGTAGTGCACTCCAGATCCTCGTCACCGGGATCACCTTTACGATCCTTGTCGTCCTTGCTTCAGCGTTTGGAACGAGTGTTGCGAATGTTGTTGGGTGTGGGGTTGTTTTGATGAGTCCTGTGTACGTGATGGTTTTTTGATTGGTACTTCTGGCTGAAGTATGGGGTGCTTGCCTTTCTCGTCTGGACTCTACGCTTCTATCTTCTTGTCTGAGCTATATGCTCCTGTTTTCTCGTCTGAACTATTTTCTCGTCTGACCCAACTCTGACCGTTCTCGTCTATGTAGACTGATCTTCTCTGTTATACGTCGTCGGAAGATGGCTGAACGGGAGGCTATGGTTTCGGAAGGGGAGGAGCGTGGGTCTGGTGGTAGTGGTACGTCGCAGGATGGGGGTGCTGGCTCGAGTGGGAGTGCGAACGTGAGTGGGAGCGCGAGCGGGAACGGACATTTATAGGGTAGGAATGAGTGATCTATTGCGGCTGTTGATTTGTTGTATGTACTATATGTCGTGTTGTTTTCTAGTAACCAACTTGTGCTATTCGTCGTTATTCATATGGACGCACTACTGAATTTTCAACATCACCTCTCGAGTGGTTCGAAATCAAATCTAAGCGCTCGTGCTAATAGCGTGCGCGTTGGTGTAGTCCTAGTAAGTTGGTCTACTATAGCTTTTGAATCTTCCTTCCATGGACGATGTATCCAACTCAGTCTTACATTCAAATTGACAGACTACAGTCCTAGTCTAGCGCCTCGGGACCCCCAAAATCCGTTCCCTCTACAGTGGCAAGATGGCCGAGCGGTCTATGGCGTGTGACTCAAGCGTAACAGCTTGCCTCTGTCATTAGGGGTTTCTCATGGGAGTATTCCCGCGTGGGTTCAAATCCCACTCTTGTCATTACTTTTTTTTTCGTTCTTGTCATTTATTTTTTTCTTTCTTGTCGTTATTATTATTTATTTTTTTTCCTCCCTTTGCTCAACCGTTGTGGAATTTATTATTTGGGACCTCCTACGCCGTCATATATATATGTATTGAATATGTTGGCCGTCCTTGATCGTAAGTAAGCCATGGAAGCCTGGAGGAAGAAGGGGTCTTGGCGTTCAAGTCGTTCACCGATTGCACACTCGCATCAACACAGAGTCCCCACACAACGGTGGGTCCGACGATTCAGACATGTAAACGGATTCGAACCCGATACCGAACCTGATTTTTGAAATTTCGTTCCTGATTGACTACCTACCCTACAGAATTCGGAGAATAGGAATATGTAGTACGATTACTCCCAAGATACTTCATGATTGTTGCACCCATAATGACGACGCTCCTCATAGCTCAAAGTATCGACGTGCAACAACTTTTTCTCGGATTGGATGCCAACCTCGCGAGGCTCGCGGGGGATGCCTCGGAGCGACCTAGCATAGGTCGCAATCGAGTGCGCTGCAGCGTGGGTGTGACTTCGAAGGCTTCCAGAAGGAGGTTGTCGATGGTATCACAATGCATGTGGTAGCACTCGTCGTAGGCTACACCAGCATCCCCTCCCCACCTATGCCGTCAACAAGTTTCAGTAAACTCGGTACTTCCAAGCGAAGAATAAAGACACGCACCATTCAGCTCCCTCCCTCGACTTGATACCCTCCGCACCCGTGAAAAGCCCACCACAGGGAATACCATACTCCAAAAACGGCCCATAATCACTCCTTCCACTAAAGTTGGTAGGCTTACTAACCAACTCCCGCTCCTTGAAAAAGTCCTCATACAGCCTCTCGATCTGCGCGCTTCCAGCCGGCCCAGGGATGTTAAACGTATCACCATCGCCATCGTAGATCAAATACCCCGAATTCGGCGAAGCGATCATGTCAAAGTTCAAGTACAGCGCAATCTTCTCGCGCTCGGCAGAGGGGAGGTTGCGGACGTGGTAGGCGGAGCCGATGAGCCCGAATTCTTCAGCTGTCCACCAGCCGAAGCGTACAGCGTTGTTGACGCGGAATTTGGTCAGCTGGAGGGCGATCTCGAGGTTAGCGATGGTGCCGGAGCCGTCGTCGTTGATGCCCTAGAATCGATGGACGATCAGCTTAAATTATCCCAACTCAACAACGAGAAAGTAAAAGAGTACGTACAGGCCCACTGGGCACCGAATCAGAATGCGCACCACTAAAGACGATGTTATTCTTGTCGCCATGCTTGGTGGTGGCGATCAAGTTGCTGGAATAGCGCTGCTCGACCATACCATACGCATCAAGCTTGCCCATGATCTCCTCCCCAGCTTCCAACCTCTCGCGAAGAGCACGACCAGCGACACCAGAGATACTGCCCACAGGGACGTACGGGCCCTCAGGACGGGTCACCCCTCCAAGAGAACCACCGGAAAGCTCGGGATCGAGGTCGTTGTGCACGATAACACCCGCAGCTTTGGCCGCCCCGGCATAAGCGACCTTGAAGCCGTAGGTACACTCTCCACGAGAGATAAGGACGAGTTTACCTTCGACTTCCTCGGGGAAGTCATCCTATCACAGGGGGGTCAGAATATAAGTCACGAAGGAGAGGAGAAGCAGAAACGCACAGCAGAACACCCAAACGAATCAAGCGCATAAAGCGGGGCAGTCACATTCCCACTAACCGCATAAAAGAACGACTTGGTGGGATACGTCTCCCCACCAACAACGCTAAACTGCGAATCCGACTCTGCATACTGATACGGCAGAGTCTCCAGGTAAGTATCATAATACCCAGTGTCGTCGAGCAGACGCTTGATCCACGCGACAGTCGCGTTGTGCCCCTTGGATCCGAAAGCACGGTTGGGCCTGCGGTCGCTCAGCTCGGCGAACCTTTGGAGTTGTTGGGCGTGTCGGAAGAGTGCGCGGCGGGAGATGCGGCGCTGGAGTTGCTTGGAGTCGACCAGGGGAAGGCGGGTGACGGGCGTGCCAGGTCGGCCCTGTGCTTCGACATCGGTGTCTACGTCGGCGTTGACGTCTTGAGCGGAGGAGGTGAGGGTCAGAGAGAGCGCGACGAGGGAGAGGAGGTGGGAGAACTTCATCTTGTGTTGATCCCGTGCAAGACCAATAAATGAAGAGCTTGGAAGAAAAAGCCTCCACTCGATTCTTCCCTCCTTTATTTATACAGTCTCAAGTGACGAGAACATCCCAAGACGCCCAAGACCAAAACCATGTGTGGAAAGTCGTTCTATCCGGATGCCCTACAAGGACTAGTCACCACATCGAACATCCAGAACTTCTTTCGCCTCCGTCGTATTCGCGAGCGAGTGGGTCAAGAAAGGACAAGTATGGTGTCATCCACCTGAGCATCCGAGCAATTACTACAAGCCCATGAAGAACTGAGCGCCCAGGAAACGCAGCGAGTCAGATGGGCAACGCCCAGACAGATTACGTTCCTCTTGTGCAAGGTTCATATACTAAAAGGACGGCGTTAACAGCATCCCAAACTCCCCGCGGTCACAAGGAAGCATGTCCACTCACTCGAATTAAACCCAAGGAAGCACATTGACTCCCGCAGTTCTTACTATAGGACGTGTGGAAGCACGCCCCCAAGTCCCATATATCCCCCTTCACGAAATACGAAGCACAGTGCACCACGCGCTCCACCCCTCTCCTGCGGGCTGCGAAGGCAAAGAACTCTATGGCAAATTACTGCCCCATCGTGGTACTTTTCCCACTTCCGAAGTTCTTTCAAAGAAGCCGCATTCGACATATGCTTCTACCGTTCTCCCGACAGCATATGTACAACATACTTACGCCCTGTCTCTCTCTCCACATTGTCTAAAAGCTTGGAAGAACCCGATTTCATTGAAGATCATGTGCTACGAACCTTGAGGTGAACAGGAACTCGGGGTAGAAAGATGGCGACACAGCCTCTGCATGGCCTTCTGCTAGTACCCCGCGTGTACGCATAATGAAGTCGCATGTTTCGATATACGCAGCATCGGAATCGTCGTCTTTCCTCGTAGCTAAACCGTAGATAACATGCATGTCAGCGCGGGTTTGCGCAAAGTCGAAGAAAATGGCGCCATCGGACAGTGTGGTCTGCTCGCCGTTTGGTTACGGTACAGCGAGAGACCCTGGGCTGGACTTGTTGGAGACGGGTCGACAACGACTTGAACTTCAACTGTCTAAAATACACATGCATGAGGGCGAAAAAAAAAAAACAAACAGGGGAAACCAAAACAGAATGAAGAATCGAACCAATCGATTCTCAAGGAGACGACTTTTGGTAGCAAAGAAATGATGTACAGCAAAGGTAAAAACGAGACGTTCGAAACTCTTCGAACGTCTCCTAGACGAAGATACTACGCTCCTAGTAGACGAAGACCGAAGTGACACGCAGACGAAGATCGAACGCGAAACGACAATGCAGACAGATAGAAATGCGTGTACGAACCAGAAACAAACTGGATGAAACGACGACGACGACAACGTAAACAACGATAGATAGACAAATGAAAAAGCGCGAACACAAAAACAAGCATGAGAAAAAAAGACGTAAAACAGGATGCGTGATATGTACGTAGATTGCTAGATTGAACATGGAACAGAAATGCCAGAGAATAATACAAAAATAGAAGGAAAAATGCGTCGAGATGACGAGAATAGATGCATCGACTTGAAGGACGAAGACTGGAACGACGACGACTCGGGAGAAACAAAGAGATGCTATACCACCCCCTCACTCGCACCAAGCTCAAGCACCCCAAACCGAAGAGGAGTCTTGAGAGCCTCAAACCCCATCCCTTCCTCATCTTCGTCTTCGTCGAGGTCCAGTTCTCCTAGTTCCCCTCCTCCCCCTCCTCCCCGTTCCAATTCGACTCCTTCCTCGTCCACTCGTCCCATTCCAAACTCTCCCTCCCCCACTCCCCCTTCTCCCAACTCGGCATCCGCTTCCTTGGCCATTATCTTCCTTCTTCTCCTCTCTACACTGCTCTCTACCCACCCCATGCGCCCTCCACCCTCATCCTCACCAAGCCCACGTCGGCCCTCACCCTCACCCCCACCCCCATACCCACCCACACAAGCCCTCTCATACGACCTCCTAAACCTCTCCAACTCCTCCCTCTTCCCACCCCCCGAGATCCACCGTTCCTCAACAGCTTTAAAGATACGTTCCTGGCGCCGGGTGAGCCGTGGTTTACTGCTCGGTGGATTGGACTTGTTCTCTGAATCGGGATTCTCATCCTCCTCCCAATCCTCCTCATCATCCTCAAAATCAGTCTCCCCATCCAAATCCCACCCCTCATCCCCCTCATCCTCCTCACAAACCAAAGTAGCATTAGAATCCAACGAATTCGATCTCGTCTCCTTATTCGAACCCGGTTTAGACGGTGGTTGGATCAAGTCTCGGTCGTCCTTTCTGCGCGTCTTGGGTCGTGCTTCGTTATGGGCAGTAGGAGTTCCTTCGTTATGGGTGGTAGCTATTCCTTCGTCACGGGCGGTAGGAGCTCCCCCCTCATAGACGGTAGCAGCCGAGGTAGTATCGGGAGTGGGATCAGCCCCGTCAAAGAGGGGGAGCGGGGATGTAGCCCAAGCGACACTCAGCGAGGCGTCGGCGTTGACGTCGGCGGGGTCGGTAAACCCATCAGCACTGGAAGTAATGCCGTCCATCCCGTCGTCCGCAGACCCATCCCCAAGCACCGACAACTCAACCAACCCATCCAACTCAACCAACTCAACCAGCCCATCCAACCCATCCAAACCACCACCCTGTCCTCTTCCTCGTCCTCCCACACCCCAATCCACCGACTTGGCCCTCAAACCCCCCTCCTCCCTCTCCACCCGCTCTTTGCCAATCCTAGAGAGCGCGGACGAGTCGAACGTATTCCTCCTCCCCGCCCCTGTCGCACCCGTCCCATTCCCCGATGAACCCACCCCCGCCCCCGTCATACCCGAACCGATAACTGTCACACCCGTCCCCATCCCCGCAGATCCACCATCCTCCAACGATACAGGAGCACTAAACCAACTCCTCGCCAACGGCGACCGCCTCAAAAACTTGTACCGTTGCACATACGGAAGGTACACCTCCCGATCCTCAGGGGTCCACCATAACGGCCTCGAAAGCTTCCCACTCGAACCCACACTCGGACTGAAACCCAAGTTGGGAGCTGAACTTGTAATCGGTGGTGTTGCCCCTGTCGACGGGGTCAACGTGGTCGTCGATGGACCCGCCACAGGCGACGGCGACGACGACGACGAATAACCTCCCGACGTAGAGCTGGATCCAGCCTCCCGCCTCCTAAAAATCATACCCGCAACTAACCTATGCACACCTTCCCTCCCCCTCCTCCCCTCCCTGTACTTGTCCTTCTCCCTCCCCTCCTCCTTCCCATTCTTTTTGTCCTTGCGACGAAAAACAGGCGGAGACGTCCAATCAAAATCTGAAATCGGCTGCGGAGAAGGCGGGGATGGCGAATTCCTCATCGTCCTCGTACTCGTACTCGTCGGCGTCGGTGTCGTCGATCCACTAGCCGTTGGCGTCGAGAAAAGACCATTGCCAGCTGGCGTCGAAAAACCACCACTACAGCCTGACGTCGAAAAACCACTAGTCGTAGGCGTCGCACACCCACCACCACCATCTCTCCCTTCCGCCCCTCCAACAATAGCACCCACAACCCCAACACCACTCCCAAGCGCTACCCGCCCACCCAACTTCAACCTCAACAACGCACTAACCTCCTTAACCCTCGCCCTCTCCCTCTTCGCAACCCTCCGCGCATCCGCAGCGATACGCTGCAGCTCGAGTATAGAGGGTTGCTTTATATGTAGATCCCCTCCTGCCGATGATGATGATGACGACGACGATGATGAGGAAGCCTGCAGTTCTCCCCCTGACGACGACGGCGACGAGAAAGCTGGCTGTTGGAATTCGGTAGACGAAGACGACGACGAAGAAGCCACCCTCTGATTTGGACTTGCCGACGCCTGACTTCCACTAGCCGAAGCCAACGCCTGATCTCCACTAGCCATCGACGGATCGACTCTCGAAGGAACAACAACACCCTCCAACCAACCCAAAGCCTCCCCCTCCCTAACCCTCGCATTCCGCTCCGCATTCACAGCACGCCTGCGCATCTCCACCAGACGCTTCACTTCCTCTTGTTCTTGCTCGTCCAGCTGGTAGTACCAGCTTAATTTTGGTTTGTCCCTTTCTTGGTCGTCGAGCTCCGAATGGGAAAGGACGTGCGAGAGGTTGAGTTCGAGGAGGTCGAGGTCGAGTGCTGGCGGGGACCACCACGACGGATATGACGACGACGACGATGCGAAGCAAGTGAAGGAGGAATCAGGCGACGGCGACCTCCTCATCCTCCCCTGCTGTTCCTCACTCTCATCCAACACCAACAACAACCCACTCCTCGGTGAACAACCATTGGTCGAGAACTCCCCACCATCGCCATCGCCATCCACGCCCTCGTCGACCTGCGCTCCGAGAAGCTCACCATCCTCAACCCCAATATCCCAACACCGCCGAAAAGGCGACGGGGACTCGTGCAACACACCACCACCACCCTTCCCAAATCCAAAGCCAAACTCATATCCTGTGTGTTCCTCGAAATCCTGCTCCCCTCCCACCATTTCCTCATCATCGCTCAACTCGGGCAACATCAAGGAGGATATCGAAGGTGACCTCGGACGCCACGAAGAAAAGTACGCTTCGTATGCTTGGTGGTTTGAGGTCGAGGTCTTCTGTGTGCGTGTATCATCGATAGCTGTAACAATGTTCCCAAAGTCAAAAGTCAATTTCCCTTCTTCTACAAAAAGTTCGAGTTGCGCACCTGCAACATCGAAACCCAGCCCTCCACCCTCTCCGAATCTCAATCCCCCACCGCCCTCCTCCACACCCCCGTCTTCGTCATCCCCCTCGAGTTCCAAAGGCCTAAACCACACAGACGCAGGCGTCTCCGGCGGGCCATTTGATTCAGGCGGTGAGATTAGCACCCCCGCAGTCCCTCCCTGTCCCCCTCCCTCTCCCTGTCCCCCTCCTCCACCTTCCAATTCTGGTGTACGCTCAACGAGTGACGAATCCGATGGGGAGGGGGTATGTTCAGCGCGCGGCGAGTCATGTTCAGCGGGTGGAGAGCAATGTTCAGCGAGTGGCGACTCATCGATGCTTCCTCCTCCCTCGACGCCACTGAAATCGGACTCGATATCGATGACACCGCCGGCCTCAGAGATGTCGGCGCTCCACAGCGATGAGGGTGCAGACGTTGACGTCGACGAGCATGAGGATTGAGGGATGTCGAGAAGCGACAACGTCGGTCGAGAGCGCTGACCTCGTTCAGAGGTCGTCGACATCGAGGGATGTGGATGTGACGAAGTCGAATGTGAAGACGAAGATGTCGAAGACCAACGTGAAGATGACAGGAAAGACGATGATGACGACGACGACAGATGTGAGTGTGAAGAAGGGTGGAACGCGTGTTCGTCACCGTCACCCCCATGATCACCCTGCCCATCACATCCGAATCCTTGTCGGGGAACGTGGGCTTGGTCTTGGGCGCTGTCCCTCATGTCCCGCAACGAGGGTCCGTATCCTTGATAGGGCTCGTATTCTTGATTCGGTTTGTATCCTTGATTGGACGAAGAAACGTGGTCGTCTGTACGCGCAGCGCTTGATCGATATCCCCAGGGTCCCCACGACACCCACCCCGAGCTCAGCATCCCCGTGACGTCGATAAAGCTGTCGGTTGTGGTTGTCCATTCCGGCGAGAGTGGCGAGAGGAGGGCGAGAGGTGATTCGGGCTGTGGGGCTGCTTCTGCTTCTCGTTCTTCCTCTGGCCGTGGTAGTGGTGACGATTCTGGTCGTGGTGATGGTGATGATTCTGGTGGTAGTGGTGGTGGTTCGAGTTCGGGTGCTGGTGATTCAAGTTCAGGCGCCGGTAACGGTTCGACTCCATCCTCCGGCAGCGAAAACGACAAAAACGCAGGCGAGTCGAGGCCGTTGACTGGCGAGAGAAGCGGGGTATCGCTCGTATGATTGGCGTCCCCGTCGAACAGTCCTGTCGATGACGTTGAATCATAGGTATCGACGTAGGGTATATCGATGTAGGGTAAATCTAGGGTTTGCTGCCGTTGGCGCGTAGGATGACGATGATGGTGATGAGAATGTTGATATGAATTGTAGTCGGTGTCGTAGCCGTTAGATTCGTGAATAGACGATTCGTGTTGGTGTTGGTGTTCGGGCGGGGTAGCCATAGCTGTCGCCGTCGTAGGCGTGTGCGTGTGCGTAGCGATCGTAGGCGTCGGCGTATGCGTATCCTGATCTTCAGGCGTATACGCGACCATCAGTTCTTCTCCCCGCTTCACTTCCTCTCCCTCGCCTAAACCCTCGCCTAAACCCAAGCTTCTTCTTCTCCTCACACGCCCCGCCAACCCCAAATCCACATCGACCATCCAAACCCAAATCCAACGTTTCCAGAAAAACCAAAAGGCGACAGTGACAGCGGCGGTTCTGTAGTAGACCAAATGAAAGTTGAAGAAGAGGACGAGGAATGGTAAGTAGTCTGCTTGGACAAGACACAGCGTGATCTCGATGAGAAGGGTTAGGTGGAGGCCCGTCCAAATTGAATGCAAGTCGGTGGTCATCGAGGGGCGGGGATGAAGGGACGGAGATGGGATGCAGAGACGGAGGGGCAATCATGGAGCGAATCGTAGGATGGCATTGTGACGAAGAAGAAGAAAGAACGAGGGGGACTCGACGACTTACCAAAAACGACCTTTCGAAACGCAATAATCGCAAGACAAAACTATAATTCCCCACAAGAACACTCCCTCAATTCCACATCTTTGTACACGGCACACAACCCCTCAAATCGAACAAGCAAGCGGGTTCCCAGGGAGTCTTGGTATGGATAGCGGGAGCCTTGGTGTTGGCGTCAACGTCCAGTCGTGTTGCAGGCGTTTAGAAAGCGGGAGAAGGCGTATGCGTGCTGCGTGTATGCGTGCGTGCGTTCGTTCCAGAATCCAGAGCGCCAAAAAAACCGTCACGAGGAGGCTGCTGCGGCTACAGGAACGGCAAGATGTGGAACGTCGAAAATCAAAAGGAAGGAAGACCCCTCGACGAAAGACGAAAGAAATCAAGCGAGGATTAGACAAGCGCGAATTGAATCAGAACTTGTGAATTGGTGACAGCGCTGATGCCCGTTCAAATGACCTGAGGCCTACGCGCGGGTGAGTCTCGCCTTTGACGTTTCGCGCACACTGAGTAAAGCGACTTCCAAGGCGCAACCGAGAGATGAAGAAAAAAATCGAAAGAGATTTCAAAAAAGAAAAAAAGATGTGAATGGAGTGATACACAGAACAAAATCAATTCATCAATTCATCAGTCCCGGGTTGTTACGTCACTGATCTTACGTATCTCCACACCTGGCAGCTCGAAGTGGGGGTTGACCTAAACGCTGGTTCGTCGGTGGAAGAAACGAAGCAGAAAATGGAAAGACTAGAATAGACAAGATAAGAAAGGACGTCTCTTCGGCCGACGACGACGACAACGCAGCGCCTCGAGGCAGAAGGTACCCAATGTCACCCATCTGTCAATTATGTTGCGCACTTATGTACATGTGTCGCGCTGAAAGGAAACTGACATTGACAGTAATCAGCGAGAGCAGAGTCATACACCAGGTTGAACACCGGATTGACGGTGGTCTGATTCTAATCTCGTTGGGAGAACATAACTAATTATAGCTGCCTATCGACAGCGTTCCCGTCTCTAATAGCTAATCTATTAACTACCTAGACAGTCAGTGTCAGTGTCAGTGTCAGTGTCTCCTCTCCTGAAGAGTCCGCATGAGTTCGATTCTGAAGGCCTACTAGTAGTATCTCGTCGATGAAACCCGAATTGGCGCTCGATGCTCAGAACATATAGGACCCACCGCAGCCGTGTCGACGTTCCATATCACTACGAATCATGCTACTGTATGTTATCGACCAGTTACCCGTCATTACTCCTCTTTCTTAATTAAACCGATGGACTTCATTCTACATCCGTACCACATCGAGTATCGACGCAGCAAACCCAGGGATATTCGCTTCGTATAAACCAGTGCCAAATACCAGTTCCATTAAGTAGTAGCACGGATCGGAGTGGGCCAGCGCAAACTACATCAGGAAAAACCCAAACGGCTAATTTTGTCTACGCGAGGATAAAATAGACAAGCCGTGCCTACCAGTGCCTACCAGTGCATATCGACGCCTTTTTTGGTGTATCCTTGCCTACAATTAGTCTGGCTATGTTAGCTTAGGCACGTATAGAGCGAAGAGTCCACTTTACCTTCACAGGTGATAGGCAAGATCCCCGCCCGCTTCGGGATGCCGAACAGGGGGAAGTCTCACGGTAGTCCCCTCACTCTGACCCACCAGGCATTCGTTCTTTATTTGAGGTCCGTCGCGCTCTAAGACAAGAAACCTACGTATTACACAAGAATGTCATTTAATATGAAAGGGCCGCGTCCCGCGACTACGTACGGACCTTGCTTTAGCAAAACCCGGGTAACCGTCCCGCCAAATTCCGAAGGGGTCGTGACCTACCAACGCTCCCGCGTTGTCCAACAACCGACGTACTCCACTTCCCGCCATGACTCCACTTTCAAAGCCATGCAATTCAACAACAAGGACACGGTCGAGATCATCGTCGCTTGTAATTTATTGCGTCCTGAATCCATCTTCAAAAAAATGCCTCTCATCCGTCGTATTCGTCCTTCCTCTTCCTCTTAACCCTCTCTTTCTTCCCTCTCGTGGACCAACGAATTGCGGACTGCCCTTCTCCCCTTGAAAAAGTTGAAAGCCATCCAGTTTCTCCACCTTGTGCGCAGCCAATCCGTTCATCTTCGCAAGACGAGGCGGTCACCGTGTCTGTGGTCCCAACGTCTCCTCGTTCGTCTTATCCTATTCCTCGGACCCCTCAAGGTCGATCGTTTTACTCGCGGATTACATTGCGATGTCCATTCCGTTTATAACGGCGCTCCCTCCCTCAGTGAAGCAACTTCGAACGTACTCCAATAAGTTACAAAGAATGCAGGTCGCCCAATCCCTAGGTGACTATTTTCCCTTATGCTCGCAGGCTGCAGTCATTAACAACTTCCGTAGCCACAGCTCGTCTGCGACTCCGCCTCGACACAGCTGAATTGCGTCTTCAAGGTCTATCATCAGCTCTGCAACGCATTCATGAGCTGGCTGTTCAACTCCTCGAGCACGATTCGCCGGCCTTGCGTCGCCAAATCTACGAACTTATCAATGATGACCTGGAATGCGCCAAGTTGTTAGATCACGAAGGAGAAGCCCAACCTGTTGAATAAGGGGGATTTTACTATGTATATCCAGTTTCAATGTATCGAGACGTTTGTAATCCATGTCTCTAATCCACCCCTTCATCGTCATTCCTTGTTTAATGTTTCATCCATTGTTCAACATGACTTCCACTCACGTTGACCGCGCTACCTTCGTGCGCCGTCTTATAGCTGTATGCGTCCAGTGATTCTATATTTCCCAAGAGCCACTGACACGTTTATCTCTTTGCAGACCAGAAACCTCTCATCTGTACAGGGAATTCTATTCGATGCGAGCGACATCTCCTCCTCTGGGGTAACTGTGCCAGTCCCTATCCATCGTGGATTCGAACGCCAGCGGCGTGTGTGCGACCTTAATACGTCCATTTACCTTGGGGAGCCCAGGGATGAAGGGGGCGTAATCGCCCTCGTCCAATTTCCCAACCTTCACAGCCTACGGCTTCCAGTAGGAACCGATCATTGGACCGCCATCCAAGGGTCATACGTTCGTCTCCTATCCTTTATTGCGATCGATGTTTGATCCTCTCTCCAGTACATTCTAGTGATCAAAACCAATCGGTACATCGCATACGATGCTCACTCTCAGGACATACGCCCAGTCGCAGACGCTCTGCTCAGGTATTTTGTCCGGTCTAGATCCAACCCGAGTCATTCCCGCCTAACGATATCCGACCACAGATATTTTTTCCCTATGGACACTGATTCCGCGCCATCCGCTCAATCTCAAGGGTCGGCGTAAAATTTTTTGGGCTCATTGTATGTGATCAGTAGTTTTACCTGTTGAAGATTTTTTTTCCGTTACTTATAAAATGCATTTGCTCAATGACACGCACTTTCCATCCCCTTCCTCTTTACCATGGGTGTCCCTGTAGCCCGGCGAATCTTCCTCACGGTTGAACTTCTGTTTCAGATTTTGGAACAGGTTGATTGGCCGACCCTTATCCAAATGTCCCGCACATCCACCCTTGCACGCTTCGCCGCCGTGGCCGAGGGACGCCGCCGAGTCTATCTTGCCCTTTCTCGATTTATCACCAAGGGACAAGTCCTGTCATTCCTTACCGCTCTCAAAGACAGTCAAGGGATTGTTGTCGGCTCTGTAGCCTCCACCATCCCTCGCTATGGCGCCCCCTCTTTCGAACGGTCTGACAAGCTCTTGTTGGACTCCGACGATCCTTACGACCTCAACATCGTGGTGCCCGCCGGCAGGCAAGCTCAATTCATGGATGCTATGCATCAGTTCGGCTTCAAAACATGGAGTCGCTTCCCTTTGCGCTCCAACTTCCGACCTTACGCCAACGCCATGTACGAGAGTGCCAGGCCAGTAGTGGAAGTCTTTGTAAGTGATTATCTATATAGTAACGTCTTGTTCGTCCATTAACGTCTAACGATCAGGGGGGGCACGCGCGAATCACGGTAACTGTCGCCGACCGCAATGTGCTCGCAGTTGTCGCCGCAGCTCCGTATTCTGCGCAAATGTGTTTTTTCACGCACGATTGCCTTTACCACCTATACCCAATCACATCGACATCTCGATTTGCATGGGAAAGGTCAAACGGTCGTGCTCTCGATACAGGCCATCGTACCTCTCACGCCTCTCTTTTTCGAACACCCACCAACCACACTATGGCCGTCCCTTGCGGACATTCCTGCCCATCTCTTCGGCGGAAGTCATGGAACGATGAAGGAGTAGGAATTTTTTACTTTGACGGTCTACGTTCGACGCCGAATTCCCTCGTTTTTCGCAATCGCACCGACGACGCTATCATGAACAAGGAGTGCATCGCGTGGCGCCTTACCGTTGCCTGTTGCAATCCCTTTTGCCAATTCTGGGATGCCCCTACTTCGTTGGTTTGATTTAGTCACCTTATCCTACCCTTCTATAATCCGTATGCTACGTATCCCTTAATATCAATGCCATTCTGTGACTATCGCCATCTTTCTGCGGCTTTACCGCGAAAACACCATCGACAGAGACATTCATTGGTACAAACGTAATCTCAGTCTATTCTACAACCATAACACGTTCACATTCGCCACGGCGTATGACCTTGGCAACAGAACTTGCATTTGATCGTCGGAGAGTCTCCCAAACTCTATAGATCCCAGATTCATGTTTATCCCTATGTCCAAGAGTATCCATCCCGCCATCTCCTGCTCCTCGAACCTCCATGGATTCTGTGTCACCATCCCCCATCTCGGGAACTCCAGGTAGATGTTCATCATCGAAGAACATCGCGATGCGAACCGTGCCAAGGCCGTGTCGAGATCATACCAATCCCAAAACTTCATAAGAAGGCGTAGAAAATCCAATCGACTGGTGCCTCCGTATTCCAAAGTAACCGTCAATGTGTTAAGGCCATCTGCTTTTAGAGAATTAAGGCAAATGCACACTGCCTTCCAAGGATGACCCGTCAAGGGCGTTGGGGTGTGCACCAACTTCAACGTCAAAAATTTCAACGAAGGGAAGGACCAAGCCACACTCTTCCACAGGGTCTGGAGATCGAACCGTTGCGCTGGAGCTTAGAGTCAACAATAATTTTCGAAGGCCGTTGAACGCGATACATACCTAGTTTCGAGAGACCATCTAATTGAAGTTCCAAGCTATGTATTCCGGTTCCCTCTGCATCTTCCAACGCCGTTAGGACCGAGAAGTCGTCGGCGTGTTCTGTTCGGAGGTGTGCTTCCTCTACTCGGTCAAGACTGACACAATGTGGAAGCGGTGTGGAAGGACGACCGAAGGAGGTGTTCGGGAAACCCGCCGTCTTCGAATAGAGTAACACCCTGGGACGCAAGTGAATGGATTCAGTTCGTGTTGCATGCGCTACAGAGGCTTCGGCCTCATCCGAGGGGAAAGTGTCGAACAAGGCCCGTTCCATCCCTAACACATCGAGAGCGGGTAATCGAGCGACAATCATTGGTGACGACAGCAGAGTGTTTCGGACCACGAATTGGTTGACGGTGGTAGGGAGTTTCTGTAAGAGGGTTGGCCCAAGACCAGTGACGTTGACAGGTGACGCTCCTACACCCTCTATCGATATGTTCTTCAATCGCCCACCGCCCAGGATCAAGGAAAACAGTCTGGCCATCCTCGCATCCTGCATCCATTCGCCGTTACTATCATGCGAGCAAAGTCGGAGCGATTCCACGAAGCGAGTTAGCCCAGGTGTGGTGGATAGAATTTCCTCTAGGTCGATCTTTCTTTCCTCGATGCTATTTCGACGGCGATGTGGGGTCGTACAGTGGCGAAAGACGACCTCTCTGTATAAAAGCCGTTGACAGACGCTGGTAGTGTTGGGACATACCAAGCCCAGACATGCCAGGGCGCCTTTTCCGTCTATCAACAATAACAGCTCCGCTATTATGGTCAGAAGCTCGGTAGGTAAGCGATGCATATTGGCTCGTTGCTGATCTTGACGGGGAGGAAGCATGGATTACTCTGTCGGGTGAAGAGAAACGGGTTCCAGCGACACTACGTCATGGTCTAGCGATGAATCATAACTGGAACATTTGTCCGTTCTTTCCCATGATGTATGGTGGTCGAGTAACAATCCTTCCAGCATTCGCAGAAATGGCCGCCAATGAGCAGCCATACCAGCAATTTCTGGAGGAATCGACTACGATTATAGCTCTCAAAGTAACCGCCAATCCGCATCTGGTCAATCAATACATAGTGGACAATTTAGGAGTGGTGCGTCCCATACAATCGGCGTTGTCTGGCAATGCCCTTCTTCCAACCCAGACGTGTACGACGTGTCTTCTTCAGGGTGGTGTTATATCTTCTGCAAAAGCTATATCTTTTAATTCAGTCGTTGCACCAGTTATTAGAGATTCTGCACCGGCTACAAACTCGGACCTCGTTCAGTTCCTTCAAGGTACGCTTCATGCCTTATTCATAAACCTTATTCTCAAATGATATCTCTCCTTTTGCCGTCATTTAGCCGAAATAAACGCTCGCAGGGAAACAATCATGTATTCTGTTCGTTTGAAAGAGGTCGGTCTATTTGTGGAACAATTGGGAAACGACAACGATAGAACTGGAGACAGACGGATGAGGATCCTTTTGAATTGACCATTGTCTTTTTCTGGCTACAAGTAAAATTATCGCAACAATACAATTTATCCATTAACTGTACGTTTATGAGGGGTCGTCGGGTTCTCTCTTCTTCTCCCGCCAACGAGAGAGGAAGGGCAAAACGGCGTTATTGAAAGCTTCCTGTAAGCGGCAGGTTAGAGTTTGATGCGATATTCGTATAACCTGACTTACCGATTCCTTACTCGAGTAGTCGGATGATACACCAAACCTGGCCAGGATGTCCTTTGGAGATAGATCCTCTAAATGACTTGCCATTGTGTAGGCCATTAGATCTCTGGTGGCAGGGTAGAGAAAACCATAAGACGACGTAAGAAGCAGTGCATATAATCGACGTGTACCCACATGAGACCATCCAGGCATAGGTAATGGGACGCATGGTACACCTCCATCGCCAAATCCCAATTCATAGACATAGCGAAATCTTGTTCCCAACGATCCGTGAATCTCCAGGCAGTGAATGGATCTTGAACGGTATGCGGCTTTGGGTCTGTTCCTTCGTGCTCGCACCATAGGACAATCTGATTCGGCAGTGAAGATGATCAGTCGTCATGTTCAAAGGACAAGGACAACTCACCTTCTTCAAGGCCTCGCCAGGAATGTCAAGAGGGATAGGACCTTCTTGTATAGTACACACTGTAACCGCCACTTTGTTAATGAAATTCAAACCATTGAACACTGGTAGAGGACTTACGATCCAATACGTCGCACAATACTTGGATCTTCCGCGCAGCGTCGCGGGAAATGGTCACAGTCGTGCCTTCCCGACTTTCGAGCTCGATCCTGTCAGTCGACATCCCAACTGGTAAAGTGACTCCAGGTCGCAGTACTCACCCTAAGCTTTATAAAACATTAAAATTTCGCATCAAAGTAATCGGCCTGCTCCTCTTCATTTTTCCCCGATCTTTAGATGGAGTATGGTTGTCAATCGAGATCTTGCGAAAACCGCTGCACGAGAATGGCCCGAACTGAGCTTTGTTCCGTCAGGGGAAGTCCTCTTTATGGCCTAAAAACGACGAGGAAACCCGAGCGTCTCCAACTATCCAAGTGCAAATGGGTAAGTTATGATCGGAAGTGTGGGGTAAGATCATTGACCTCTTTTTGGTTAAACAGGCCCCGTCTTTCCCCAAAAAGAAAAAAAGCGGAGGCAAATTCGCCAACCTGACCAAACAAAGAAGGACTGAACAACGCGCTGATGGTTCACTTCGCATTTGAAGCTCACCAAGGCAAACTGGCCCAAAAGTAAGTTTGAATTTTTTGAAGAAATAATGACATGATTAACGTTCTGAAAAAGCAGTACATCCCAATTCATTCGTTTTGTATCTACTGACCACGAGCTGTCATGTTGCGTGTCTTACGACTGGGTTCTCCACCTGGGGTATCGTCGGCAACCCTCTTACCTTTTCCCTTTAATCCCGCCCCGGACTTCTGAAACGATTCCGACATGCTCGAGTTCGCCTTCCCGACTGCGTGTGGCAAGGGCGACGGTGCAAGAGTGTAGGACGGTGATGGCAAACCATTGCCTGAGGGGGGTGTCGTCATTGTGGGAGTGATAGGGCTGGGATGAACCATTGGCGTTTGGACCAGGTGGTCGAGCGATTGAGAAGGGGTAACGGGTGCCGCTTGTGTTCCACGGAGGGTGTTCGTCTCAACAGACGCCTTGCCGACAACAGACTCAATTTCACCGGCGCTCGTCGACAATGCGGGGTTCGGAGTGACCACCCCACGAGTGACGGTGGAAGAAACCTGACGGCCGTCGGTGTTGCCATCGAGCGAAGCAGTCACAGGGCCATCGCCGTCCACGACAGGAACAGTACCGGATGTGGGTCCTACCGGAGTGTGTGTTTGGGGCAAAGGGTTGTCTTCGCTGGAGACATGTACGGCGGGGGGTGCCAAGGGCTGGGAAGTGGGAGCATTGGCTGGGGCGACGTCGGCGACAGGGTTAGGGACTGCCATCAGTGGTTGCGCTGCGTTCAAAGGCGCCTGGCCAGGGGATGTGATCATCTGCACCGACGAGGGAGATGCGTTCGCTGTGACAGAAGGGACAGTGGTGACGGGAGATGGGGAGGCGGTGTTGTGGTGGAAGGGATTGTCTTCGCCGGAGACATGTACAGGGGGGGGTGCCAAGGACTGGGAAGTGGGAGTATTGGCTGGGGCGACGTCGGCGACAGGGTTAGGGACTGCCATCAGTGGTTGCGCTGCGGTCAAAGGCGCCTGGGCAGGGGAGGTGATCATCGGCACAGACGAGGGAGAACCGTTCGCTGTGACAGAGGGGACAGTGGTGACGGGAGATGGGGAGGCGGTGTTGTGGTGGATGGTTTCCAAGGCACCGATTGGGGCAGCGGGAGAAGGCGTGGTCGGCGGTGTAAGGGGGTGAGCAAGAGATGATGGTGGTGCTCTCGCTCTGCCGAAAATAATGGGCCCAGCGGACGGATTGGCACGGAAAACACTCGGCTCAGGCTGTATCGCCTTACGAAGAACGCGAATCTGTTCAACAAAGCCTAAAAGTTCGTCAGTGACCACGAAACACCTGCCTATACTGTATGAACTTACCAGTGTAAATGTCTACTTTTCCAGTCTTATCCGTCAACGACATGTGACGCAGCCAAAAGTTAACTTCGACCAATGCGCCAGCCAGCGTACTCTCCATGAATCGGGGGTCTACCAGTCGATCCTCGAAATCGTAGGCCATCAAGGGGCGAATGCAATGATAGGGTGCCACTTGAACAAGGGCGTCCCGGGCAGCACCGTCGAGAGGCCAACGCATGGTAGCGTCCGTACCGTCCTCTGGATCCATTGTCAGTCAAGCTGGACCCAAAGAAAGCAGGTTGACACTTACCGACCATCGGCACTCTACGTGGTTCGAACATGTCTTGGTTTAAGCGAATGCCTGGAATGCCATCTTCCTCGACAAGAAGATATCTTCGGACACATTGTAAGAGATTTCGTACCCTCTGTCACGGTAAAGAGTGCTTACTTTCTGTTACCAGTCGTTTGAGCCACTCGCCCCTGAAGAGTACGAAGTTTCTCCAAGGCCAATGCGAAGTGTGGGTGGAAGGAAGAATCAGGGTCGGGAGGCACGAGCGTAAACTGGAACTTGGCCTTCTTCAACTCGTTGTACTTTGGATTCCAATTGCCGCCCGGGGTGACATGAAGACGCGACGGAGAGACAACACCAACGACGGTGAGGATGCCCCTGGTCTTGGGACGTCCTGCGACATCGAGGTAAGATATGCCTCCACTGGTTACCCACGCAATTTCGTCGATAACACTTCCAGTCGCCAGATAATCGGTACGCTCGACATAATCGTCGGTAGAGGCGCGGCTGCACACACTTTGTCAGATATGCGCCACAGTATTCAAAAGAAATACTTACACGGCATTAACGGCGACGACGGACATCTTGAATGCGACCGGTGGAGAACACAAATGGATGAGAGATGTGAGAGGAAACTCGACAAGGAGCTGACTTTCTTTAAACGTCCTTTCTGCACGACTTTTATATCTCTCCTACGGCGAACGGACCATGCATTTTTTAGGGCATCTCAAGACGCGTTCTTGTAATTCACGAGACATTTCCTGGTGCACCATATGAACACCCGATCGCCTTCCGACCACAACAACTATTAGCCTTGGAATCGTGGACAAGGTTGGCACTATTTCTCTGTGTCTTTCTCTAAAGTGAGAAAGACTGTATACTGACGATGTTCGCAGGTCAAATCTTAATTTTAAAGGCTCATTTTGGTGAGCATGTCGTTTACGAGGGCATTCGTGTTACTCTTGTGTGTGTTGACCAAACGACGGATCACCGTTGCGCTGTTTTGCCAAGCCGGCTTGAACTCCATTCGATCGTCTGAATTCCCGGGTAAGGGTTTCGCTCAGAACGTTTCCATTCCAGATATTAATTTTATGTGCGATAGGGACTGTGGGCACCATGAGTACTTTCGGACACCTTTAAACGGTGGATGTTGGCATGCCCAAGGCGGATCAAATCCTGGTCTCTGATGCGCCGATGACTGAGCGCGACCATGTCACGGCGGTTCATTTGGAAGCGACGTGCGATGAAAACGGAAAGGCGCTCCGTATCGTGATCCTGGCGTCCTTTCTGGTTTTGGGCGTAAACCCCCAAGGCAATCTATTCAACTTCAAGGAGGGAAGACACCGTGCAAACAACGATGGCATCGAGCCCGGTTGGTGTCCAATATTTTTATATTTCTCAATGCCTGGGCTCATCGCACATGTATTTAGGAGACAGAAGTGGAATGGCCGGGCCCTTTTACAGAAACTGTATCACTCGGAACCCATTTCGGCAGTTATTACCGACAAGACCTTCAAGATGTTCTACGCAACCAGTTCGCTATTAGCAATCACCGGCTTCGTACAATGAAAGACATTTATGAGCATATCCTGGCCTCGCCTCCAGATACCCAGTTCGCCATATGGGAAGCGTGCCAAGATCTGCGTCGCAGCAAGAGAAGAAAGCCCGAAGGCGCCAACGAAAGTAGAACCCAGGTACGCCACGTCGGTCATGTAGAAAATGGGACCCTTCCTTACTGTCAGCAAAGTTATCAGATATAGTCTTTCATAACAATGTCAACGCAGAAGATTTATTTCGTGGATTCGACAAGAAAGCACTCGTAGAAGTTGTGCATAGAGTCATTCGACTTAGTAGCAAAGCGCGCACGTCCCGAGTTCAGCTTGCCATCGCCGTATCAAGATCTCCTGTGGACCTCCAGAATCTAGTGATGGAAGCAATCGAAATGATACGGGCACACCGCACAGAAGAAACCGTGGTCGACCAATCTGGGGTTAGAGGTGGTCAAGATCAACGATTACCCACTCCTCTTAACGTAAGTCTGGTGATACATACCGACCAAATACCTAACTTATTTTCTATAAACAGGACTCCAACTACGACTGGCGCAACACTTCTTTCCTTAAAGCAGTGGACCCGGCAATCATTCGCGAACGCATGACGGAGTTCATCAATCGGACGAACAACGCATCTTTGGCCTTGGCAGCATGTTCGATTTGTGCACGGGAAGTGTATGCATACGAATGCCAGGAGATGTCATTGGACGACATCCCGCATCCTCAGTTGTTGTATCCGACATTACCGCATCCTGCTCAGCAGCTTACTCGAGGCATGTTGCTGTTCCCCGGAACATATCGCGACAACGACTTGTTACGCGTGTGCAGGCCTTGCCTAAATCAATTGAACCACAACAAGAAGCCGCCGTTATCGCTAGCCAACGATTTATGGCTTGGAGATGTGCCTCGCCAGTTGCAAGATCTTTCGCTTCCTGAACGACTACTTATCGCGCGTTACATCCCCGCTGCCCACGTCGTTAAACTCTATCCCAAGAAAGTCGGGAGTCGCCACATCGAGCCTGATTCGCTGCATAGCGGCCTGCGAGGCAACGTTTCGTCGTACCCATTGGATCAACGACAAATCGCCGACATGGTCACGAGTGTGAAGCCTGCCCCCTTGTCCCTCCTGTCGTCCACGATCGCCATTACATTTGTCGGACCCAAGCATGTTCCCCTTCGTTGGTTATATGGAAGGCTCCCAAGGAACTTCACAGTTCGAAGGCGTAAAGTTCGCGAAGCTCTGTTGTGGCTTAAGCAGAACAATCCAATATATTCTTGCATCGAAATCAGCCAGGAAAGGTTGCAGGCACTTCCTGAGAACGGTGTCCCAACCGAGCTGTACCAAGTCACTCGGATCTCAGATGACCTTAACGGCCTGACTGAAGAGCATCGCAACTACGTTCCAACGGCACACGACACCGAAGACGCGATGCAGGGAGAACCGTTGGGGTGGGAGGACGTTGGCTTGGTTGAACCAGGCATAGAGCCACCTTCCGCAGAATTCGACAGCCAAGCAGACGAACCACCTGAAGTGGACAGTATAGAACTCGATTGGACGTCTGTACCTATTTTCCCTGGCCACCTTCCACTAGCCGAAGAAGAAAGCCCAGATTGGTTTAGTGAAGCGTATACGGACGAGGAAGAATCCGATTGGGACGATGATGACGACTTCTATCACGGTAAGTCCTTATGCGTGTTCACACCTTGATGTACTCTAACCAACCCGTGAAGGCCCTGACGTTCCACCCGCGGTTATACCGATTCAACCTCTTGGAGTCATCGACATTAATGGCGAAAATATTCCTCAACGCGAGCTAATGGCGCATGCATTGGCCAATGCCGCTACGGAGAGGGCACCGAAAGGGGATTACCTCATTCGGCATGGGAGTGCATTCGTTAACGAATATGCCCGTAAGGATCCAGTGACGGGACAGAGATACGACGGTGGCCCCGACAACCCCAACCATCTTGTGGGATGTTTCCCGTGGCTGTTCCCATACGGTCGAGGAGGGTTCGAGTTAAAGAAGGACCGGGAAGTTTGTTACGAAGCTCATGCACGCTGGGCCTTGCAGTACGCCGACAAGCGTTTTCGAAGGGATCCATACTTCATGTTCCAAGTGTTCGGCGTACTGCAGAAGAGGCAAGTCTGTCGCTCCGCAACCCTCCACATTTCTCGAGGCGGTCTACAACGTCATGGCGACCTGTTGTCCAATCTCAGGCCAGAAGATTTGCTCCAGGCCAGCAGAGAGGAGTCCGCCAATCGCCCTCACCAAAATCCGGTATTCGATATTCTTTTCTATCACTTGAAAGCCATTCGTCGAAGAGTTGAAGGAACAGACGAGCATCGATTTGTTGTTCGGTCCATGATATGGGGAAACACACTTCTACTCAACCTTCCCATTATTTGGATGACCATCAATCCCGCCGATACGCAGTGCCCTATCGCGCAAGTGTTGATCGGCGAAGATATCGACCTCGACGCCTTTTCCCGTACTGCTGGACCCGATTCCCTCAAACGAGCTAGGAATATCGCCGGTGATCCCTATGCCGCCGCAAAGTACTTCAACTTCATTGTCCTGGCGGTTTTGGAGATCTTGCTGGGTATTAAGCCAAGCCAGGGTGGGAGGCCTCCGGAACGACGGGAGGGCATTTTTGGAGTAGTGGAATCGTATATCGGTACGGTGGAGGCGCAGGGTCGGGGAACACTTCATCTCCATATGCTTCTATGGTTACGCGACGCACCCCCTCCCTCGGTCTTAAAGGAAATCATCAAGAGCGAAGAGTTTCGGGAGCGCGTGAAGGAATTCATCTCGACCACGATACACGCAGACATAGACGGCAAGAACAATCGACAGGTAAAGGCTCTACCCCGAGACGGCGAATGTTCATACGCACGACCAACCCATCCCGACGACCCGGAATACGACACCAAGTTCCAACAACGGCAACGCATTCTGGCTAGAACTTTGCAGTATCATGATTGTGATCCAGCGAGGTGTATAAAGAAGATTCGCGGCGTGTGGAGGTGCAAAGCCCGCGCACCTTGGAAAACCGCGCAGGAGGCGTGGGTTAACGATCAGGGGGAGTACGGACCTCGTCGGGTTGCCGAGTTTTTGAACGCCTGGTGCCCATTCATTCTCGACGCGTTGCGATGCAATCACGACCTCCAGCTTTTGCTCGCCGCGGTAATAGTCGCCAAGATTGTGTGGTACATCACCAATTATGCCACGAAGAAGCAACAGAGATCCAGCAATGTGACAGCTCTTCTGGCGAAAAGAGTAGCTTTTCACGTAGGGGAGGAACGTCAACGGGCCGATGTGGAAAGTCGGAACAAACGCCTTTTGGAGAGATGCGCCAACACTCTTACAAGAGAGCGTGAGTTCAGTGGTCCGGAGGTTGCGACGTACCTCATGGGTTGGGGAGATCGTTACATGTCTCACAATTATGTTCCGATCTTTTGGGATGCTGCTGAGCGTGCTTTGAAAAGGAAGTTTCCGGCCTTGAGGAACGAAGTACGGGAAGGAGAGGAATCCGAGGTAAGTGGTAACCTGTTGGGTACCTTATTCTCACTTTCTGCTTTTGTTGACTAAAGAATTATAACATTAGGAGCAATTATCATCACTATCGTTGGCGTCAGGCGTAGTGGAGCTTCAAGACCAGCTTCGCGATTACCAGTATCGAGGGGACGAACTGGAGGAATATTCGCTCTTTGACTTCATCCTCAACACCTACGAGCAGTCTATTCGTGAAACGGCAACAACAACAACAGTCGAAGATGACGACAACGGTGCACCTTCCGACGCACTGGATGGGCACGATATCCAGTCCGAACCAGTCAGGAGAGGAGTAGGAAGACCGCGCCATCACCGTATTCCCTACAAAGTGGAAGCCAACAAACCACGTAAATGTCGTATTATACGGTCCTCCAACCACGAAACGATGCCTCGATTAGTGGGACGATGGCTTCCCCCTAACGACGAGCCTCGACTCTACCCGTTGTACTGTGCGTCTATATTGATGCTGTTGAAGCCTTGGCGTCAATTGGAGGATCTTCACGGCCAACACCCATCTTTTTCTGACTCACTTCAAGAGTATTTATCGACCTGCCCACGACGCGACCGTCAAATTGTAGAAAACTTGCAGTTTTATCATCAATGCGCCCGGGATGCCAAGGCGGATGCACTGGATGCAATGGGACCCCAATCGGACTCGACGGATCGGTCGGGCTTCACTGACGCTGAAGTTCCCGACGAGGACGACGTTGACACAGCAACCGAAACCATCGATACAGCTTTGGAGCAGATACTTGATCGCCTATCGGAGTCGCAATTGCGGGAAGCGGAAACTACGCAGATGTCGGACAGGGAACGATTATTCGCAGAGGTGGCTATCATGAAGGCCAAGAATGCACACTTTTTCGACGACTCGGACGCCAACGGACCAACGGATGTTCTGCATTCGGAACAAGTTAGAAGAGCTACCGAGGAGGAAGTCAGTAACATTGGTCGTTGGCAATCTATACTGGAATCAGCGACCAGAGCGGTGGATACTGAGGACAGTCGTGATGTGGACGAGGCAGATGATGATGGAGAGGCATTCGTTCGTGCAGAAGAGGCCGCCGCATTCGCCCCTTTGATACAACCAGGGGTGAACGGTAACATATCGGATGGCCCAGGCGAAGATTCTCTGGTGGATATGCTTAACGAGGAGCAGCGCAGGGCTCACGATATCATCGTTAATCATTTGGTTAATCATCTGGATGGTGAGTTCTATTCATGCCTACGGGTTACGAGTGAAACTAATCGAAATGCATGGTAGACGTACCACAGGAACAGTTGCTAATGCAGGTACAGGGGGAAGGGGGCACAGGAAAATCGCTCCTTATAGCCGCCATTACGCGATCGTTCGATCGGCTGTCATCCCTTCACTTATTGGCGAAGACAGCAACGACCGGGGTTGCGGCGATCCCTATAGGAGGTACGACCGTGCACTCCTGGGCTCACATTCCAATCAATGTTCCCAACATCGGAGACGACTGGGTCTCACAAGGTGGTCCAAAGCGGAAGGAAGCGCGAATTCGCAAGATATCTGGAAAGGCGTACCTTATCATAGATGAGGTTTCGATGATGACGAAGAAGATGCTGTGGAACCTTAACCAAGTCGTTCGAAGTACGCAATTGGCGGCCGAAGTAGGCGATCCATCGAAGCCCTTTGGAGGCATGAACGTCATTCTATTCGGCGATTTCCACCAATTTCCACCAGTCGGGAATCCTACTGGGGCGTTGTACTGTGAACGGCCCGACGAAGATGTCAACTCGGCTCTTTTAGGGCGGGAACTCTTCAAACAGTTTCATCGCGTCGTTATTCTACGTCGGCAAAATCGAAGCCAGGACGTTCGATGGAACCAACTGCTGGGTCGTTTACGTGAAGGATTGTGCACAGATGAAGACGTCGACATCCTGAGGGGGCTGGTGCTTGACCAGGGACCTTCGGACGCCCTCAATTTTTACGATGCCCCTTGGAATTCAGCAGTTCTGGTGACTCCACGGCACTCCGTACGACACAAATGGAACCATCACGCGATGGAGAAACTTGCCACGACCACAGGACAAGTGCGCTTTATTGTCACGGCCCAAGATGAAGACTGTAGAACTGGGTTAAAACCTTCGAACGCGGTTCGACTTGCCATGGCGCAGAAGACGGAGAAGGACATGGACAGGGGGAAGTTGGACCGAGAATTGGAAGTTGTGGAAGGGATGATGCTCATGGTGCTGCTGAACGTTGCTACAGAAGCAGAGGTCGCAAACGGGACAAGGGGCGTTCTAGAAAGGATTCTTCTCGATCCTCGAGAACCTCCCCTCACCGTGGAGGAAGGAGGCGTGTGCCGACTGAAATACCTTCCTGTGTCATTATGGATCCGACCATTAACGCCTACAGCTCTTACATTCCCCGGTGTACCGTCCGGATTGGTTCCATTGGCGCCTCGTACCGCAAGATATCAAGGTATTACAGCCAGTAAACGCCCTTACCGAGTTGTTCGGAAGCAATACCCCATCACCCCAGCATACGCCTTTACCGATTACAAGTCTCAAGCCCAAACCATCGAGAAGGTCATCGTCGATATAGGGAAACCTCCGACGGGTAATATCTCGCCATTCAATGTTTATGTCGCATTATCGAGAAGTCGTGGGCGAGAGCATATACGACTTTTACGTGATTTTGACGAGGGCTTGCTAACCCGGCATCCATCCGAAGATTTGAGGCGCGAAATGATGAGAATTAGGGCTCTCGACGCAGAAACGACAGAATGGTGGAGGCCCAGAGCAGGCCTTGTCGGAAGAGGGGCCAAGTCCGCCTCTTTAGCAGTCAGTGTTCCAGATTGTTTCAGACTGTCCGGGCACATTGACGACTGACGATGGGTCTTACTCTTTCAGTGATCTCGCCTTCATCGACAATGGATTTTGATATCGAAAAACGAGTTCGAGAAGTGATGATGACTGCACAGGTATGGGCCCGTTTGTTATTTCATCAATCAACACTCACCCCACTGCAGCACCTTGGGTTGGAAACGAAGACAGGCCTACTCTACCCAGCGCGAGGATCGAAACCCCATATCGTTCCGATTGCAGTTCGGAGGGGCAGCATAAGGATAGATCAATGGTCACTTCATGTGGAAACATGGGTGGATATTGATTCCTTAGAGACATCAGCCGTTGTTGATTTAAGTCGTGGCCGAAGTGGTTTGACTGATCCTCTTCAAAACATATCCTGGGCGATAATCGGAGCGACAAAGGTACAGCCTTAATTTTCCTTGAGTACGATTTACTCAATTCTTACGGTCCACAGAGGGGCAGTTGGACCAACGAGACCATTCGAAACATTTTCGGTTACCAGACGGACGTGAAAGGAGACTTGTTATTGCTTAAGTTGTCATTGGCGACGAAGGAGGTCCTGGAACTAACCGAGGATGACGAGCTTCAGTGCCAAGGCGTACTTGAAAGGTGCGTTCCGTTTTTTTTTTTTTTCGGGGGACATATCAATGTAACCCTCGATCGCCTTCATCAGGTATTTGGCCAACGAGTCGTAAAGATGACCAAACTGTCGTACACTGTGTAAATAAGTGAAATTTTACTTGTGGCTGACTGTTACATCCGTCCACATCCTGGTGAATCATGGCACCCTCTCGTACTCGGTCGCCCTCTCGTCGATGTGGAGAATCTGTTGGATCGATACCCAGACCTCATCCCATGTTTCCGAATGGTGTTCGCCGATCAGCACGCTTGGTCAACGCTGTCAACGAGAGTCGCCGCCATCGACAACTACGTGCCGAAACCCTACAGAAAATCTATTCGCAGCAGACCTTCATGGGTCCCATTCTGCACAAGATGAACTTCGAAACGCTGATGTCGTTCGCGGCCACGAGTCGATTGGCAACCGCCATGGTGCAAGGCGAGATCAAGGCTCGTTTACAGCGCAGGTTGGAGAAGTTCATACATCGAAAGGATTTCGCGCGGTTCATGGAAGAATTGGAACGCCACGAAGGGGCGATAGTGGGATCGACTGCCTATTCCTTGTTCGCGTACGGAATACCCTGGTCGGACTCATTCTATCGTCGCCACATGGTTCCGTACAACGAAGTGCAACCAAGGGATTTGAATGTTGTCGTCCCCGGCGAACAAGCTGTACCGTTCATCAAAGCTTTGGAAGGCTTTGGTTATCGGGTTCGAGGGACAGATATCCCCAGAGAGCCATACTTTGGCTGGGCGATGCTCATGGCGACCATGGTACATTCGGAGGTGCGTTGTGTAAAGTATAACAGAGAATGGACGTGTCTAACCACAAGATAGTCAAGGGCCGAGATCACTGTCACCTACAGCCGAAGCAACGTAACGGCGGTTGTCTTAAGCTCAACGAACACGTATCAAATGAACATGATCACCGCGTCGCGATTGTATTGCTGGTGGCCCGAGTTAGCGTACCGCAATGAAGGTTTCCAGGTTGACAATCGCAATCGACGCATGATGCCTTGGAACCAGAACCCCATGGTGGACGTGTTCGTCAACAACAGTCATTGGTTGAACCCTTGCGGTATGAAGTGCTTGGCCATTTCCCGTGTTACTGCCAACGATCATAGGATTGGTGTTTTCCATTACAAAGGCACGGGGTGGACGGATGATGTGGTGATCGCGGATAGGGATTTGGACCCTCTTCTGCAAGATCGAGCCTTATGTCTGCGCGTCCGAGCAGAATGTCGCAATTTCTATTGCTCCGGTTGGCGACCTTTTCACAAAAGGGTATGGTAGACGAAAGGTTTTCGAGCTGTACGTAGTACATCAATATCGAGGTACTATTGTCGAATCAACGTTTGATGCTTGCTGAAAGAACCTGTCTATAAAGGGACGCTGAGGACGTTGAGATGGGCCAACTATGGGTAGGATCAAAGTTTATTGCCTGTAACCCTAGACCATCAATCGTGCAAAAGCTTAAATCCACCAGTTTCAACCCTGATATACTACGACGAAGGTTAGAAGAGGAAGCATGGTTAAGCGCAATAAACGCACCATTTGCTCGGGATCATCATGAGAGGCGAGGTTGAAAAACTTCACAAAGTCCGTCATAGGTACAGACACAGCGATACTGGCGAGTTTAAATCCAATTAAATCTCTAGGATGAAGGAAAGATGAGTAACGGGATGGACTCTGGAATGGCGATACAGACAGTAACGGGACAATGTTCAAGAAATCGGCCACCTCGAGCAACTCTAATACTTGCTGGGTGGACCGCTCGATGAAAGCTTGGTCGAATGGGCAGTAGGGATCTCCGGGATTCACGGGAGAACAGTTATGTCCGCGATGATGCCGTATATAGCGGAATGCCTATTGTCTGTTCAGGGACCCTCGCATGGAATAGGGAGAATGGCATACCTCACGCAAGGCATCGTCTGTGGACGATGGAATAACAAAAACCTCGCCAGAATAAGCGGAGTCTAAAACACATCCAGTTATTTTGCTATTATCAACATGGAAGACTAACCTTCGAGGGTGTGGCGAAGGGTAAGGGATTCCCGAGCGTCATTGGCGTCGACGACAAGCAGATAGCCGGAATCTGTTTGTAGTATAAGTTCTGTCATATAGAGGGTTGAAGGTGGGTGGAGAGGAGAGGGCGACACGTTCCTGTGGGATGTTGGGCGTTTACTACGATAGGTCTCGGACTGACGTCATGGCTTGAAGACCTTTTTAAGGTTTAAATGTCATGTTCGTCATAAACCTTCAAACAAGACGATGGAACAACACATTCGGGACGTGGCGCATATCGCAACCGTACGTTCGTGCTTAAAGAAGGTTGCGTATACTGATACAATCAATAGACATGGGAGAGGCGACAAATTGTAGGGGTTTTGTGGCCGATGGAAGGAGAGAAAGCGATTTTGGTGCCCATACTCCTCGATCGGATGGCGGACATGATTCCTCAAGTTGTTGACGTCGACGTGCATCCCTATATAAACCAATCTTTGCGATACAATCAGCAGGTCATTGACATGGAAGCTTACAGCATTACCCTTTCGAATGGGTCGACTGGGAATAGGACAGAAGAATTCAGAACGACAATGTTCTATGACGAACCGGTACGTCATTGCCTTATCTGGGACTTGATGAGTGCTCATTTGCGGTACAGACGGCCGTAATGGTTAATAAAACCATCTTGAAGCTGACGGGGGGGAGGGTTGTCCGTCATGGCAACCTTTTAGCGGTGAAAAGCAACGAATATGATGAGATTATTGACGCGAGAGAAGGAGACATAGGTGTAATCCAGAATATAGTTGTAAAATACTTAGAGTCGCAGGAACTTGGTCCTGGTGATATGTAAAGGAGATATGGACGCAAAAGCGTGTGAGATGAGTGGATGGAGTTGAGAAACAGGAGGCGAAACCAAGGGTGTACTGCTTCTATATTTGGTTTTGAATCCACCTTTCTCACTTGCACCTTCCACCATGAACGAGTCGTACCGGAAACAGCTCTTTCTTCTTCCCGACAATCTAACGAACGTATTCAAACATCTGCCCTTCCCCGCCATGGAACAATTGTCATCATTCTCGCGCATTCTCCATCGCGCAGGCCAGAACGAAGTACATCGGCGTTTGGAACAAGTGGCGCAACCCTTCCTTGAGGGAGTGGGGTTTGACATGACGATGTTTATCGATTTCCTGGAAGTTGTTGATGGTGCCGTGATAGGATCTCTCGCGAGAGCATTCTTTCTTTTGCATTTGCCTGCGATGAACGATGAGCCTGCTCTTCGGTTTGTGACAATCACCGTGCGGGCAGGAATGATGGACACAGCGAAGGCTCGATTGAGTGTGCAGGGGTATACAGAGTGGGAGGAGGAAAGTGTGTTGGTCACAGCTGTGGAGTGTGTCAAACAGGTGGCTATCGGTCAGAAGGTAGCGGACACGAACGGGGTGCGTTAATTTCGGGCAAGACATACCAGCTCCTGATGTATTTGCAGGGGATCCGAATTCGTATTGTGGAAAGTCGTGGCCATTCGTTATTGCCCTTAGCTGGATCACCTTCAACGTATGACACCGTCGCATTCACGGCCACCCACGTTTACAGCATTAGTCCGACGCAGTTCTTTTCGAATGTGGCAATTGTGTCCAGATATGCAACACTTGACGACGTTGGGCGAACGAATCCCAGGTTCAGGGTGACAATGGATAACGGGCATTGGGATCTTCATTGTGGTCATGAATGTCCTGCAGAGTGGCGGAAGTTTCGGCGGTCGTCAGGGATGGGAGCGTTCCTGTGGAGGCAAGACGTGGAGGACGAGTTACAGGGCTATGCGCCGACATGGGACGGAGGAGAGCGCGAGGTCGATAAAGCATGGAGGGCATTGGTCGAAGCTAGAGAAGGTATCAAGGAGGCAAGGGTTAAATTTCGGTTGTTGGCAGCATGCGATAATCCGGCATGTATTCATTACGGAGATGTGATGTAAAATCCTCATGGGTGTATATAGTGGCTAGTGAGAGATAGGATCAATTGTAGAGCACCGCTTCCCTCCCTACCCTCCTTGCCTTCCTCATCCCCTGTTAACCGATGCAATGATGGCACGGGCCGCCCGAGTAAATATGGGTTGGGCGCTTATCACAACAGAGAAGAGAGAGGGCTGTGCAACTTTGCTTGGCTATGTTTGTTTTCCGCAATCAAAATCTGCAGCGAGATTATGTAATTTACAGTCTCTACGGACCCTTGCTAAAGCAAGGTCGAAATGTATTTCCAAAGAAAAACTGAATGCCACATAAACCCGGTGAAGCTAAAGTCAACCCCTACTACAAGCATGGGTGCAGAGCCTAAAGAAGAGGAAAATAATTAAGTAACGATGCGATATTGGGTCTTGTGACTGAACGGGTTAAGATGGAAGACGTTACAGAGGTCCAAAACATTGCTACTCTTCCATTCAGGCGGTGCCACCGGTCCAAAGTGGGGGAAAAGATGGACACTTCGACGAATATTTGCCACAGGGACAATGCTGGCAAGATGACCTTCTCGACTTCGTGTTGATTTGATCCTATACAGGCCGTGGTTAGGGTCGGGCTCGTCCTCGAATGGCGAGAACCATTCGATATAGGCCAGGTGGGATGGAATGGAGGTCCCGGGACTGAACATAAGCCTGTGTACCCGCTCTGGAAGGGAAAAGACGACGCGAACTCGTCCAACACGATAACCTGCACGATCCACAATGAGTATGGTAAGCTAGATTACGGGTGTTGTGAGTATACGCACCATCCAGCCCTGTGTCTCTCCCTGAGCCCAAGTTGATCAGAGCGGTGTCGAACCGAGCTGGAACAGGACGTCCGTGTTTGTCCGTCGTTTCTGGGCGGCAGTGAATGCTGTCGACAGTCGAGATGTCCCCTGTATAGGTGTCCTGTCGTCGGTATTTGATGCGATGCCAGACATGGAATTTCTGGAGAGGAATGCGAACATCCCAAACGGAACGCTCGAGCTGTGCTGTCGTCTGGTCCGGGTTATTGAGACGTGAAACAAACCGAGCTAACGCCATTTTGAAATGGACTGCGCCATAGTCGTTGACAAGTGTCTCAATCCTAATCTTCCGGGCAGAGGGGTGCTTGGACAATTCTCGAAACTGGTCGAGCTCGAGTCCTGGGGGAATCCAACGCCGGACCTGGGGCAGCTTCCCACCATCGAGCCTCCATTGAATGTACTGTTCGTGCTTGAAGATCTTTTCCCGTCGCTCGAGCCACAATGTCATTTGATTGAACTCGTCCTTGTGGTTGGTTGCTGCGTATGCGTCCTTTGCAATGTCGATGTGAAGTCGTTCGGTGTACTGGGTATCAGTGTTGTCAGCAGTCCCGAAAAGCTTTATCTTCTCGACCCAATGTGTAGCAAAATGAAGCTTCGGAATGTTGAAGTGTTCTCGGATCCCTAGGTCGATGAAGACGGATTTGTTGTCGTGGAACATCTTGAGGGCTTCCTGGGTGATTGCGAGAGTTTCGTCGGTGTGGATAGGGTACTGGGCAAGGTATAGGAAGTCGAGGAGGCCCCGGACTGCCCGGACAACTCGAGTGGAGGAGTAGCCTCCCGGGATGCGGATGTCGATAATGAGCCCCAGCAGGATTCGCGATATTTGATCGTGTTCTTGGCCTGTAATTCGACTGAGGCTGGAGATACCGTTCATGAATAGGCGGATGTTGTGGTTGGGTGGTAGGCGTCGACAACGCGCATCGATCTCAACAGGTCCGTAAACTGAAGTGACCCATGCAACGAGGTGTTTGAAGATGCCTTGATGGAGTTGGTGGAGGATATCGGGAGCGATGGCCTGGTAGATGTGAACGTAGGGGAGATTCTTCCAGAAAGGCGAGGCCAGAGGCTTGATGCGAGCGTCTTGACACGTCTTGAGGAAACCGGCTGGATCTTCATCGAACGAGTCGATTATATCGAGCACCCGATCCAGGTCGCGTAGTGGATGCTCTACCCCGCATTCCCCGAGCTGGTCATGGGGAATACCGCACGTAGGGCATTCCCCTTGGAAAACTCCGGTTGCGAGCGTCTGCTCCGGGTAGTCACCGTTAAACGTTGCCACAATAGGATGACCGCGATATGCAAGGCCATGGCCAGTGACCATCTTCAGGCCCGTAACTCCTGCCTTTTCGAGTGGCTTCAGCACAAACGACATGCAAGCATGGTATAAATTGTTCAACTGTCGACGGCGGGAGGCCTTGTTGGTGACGGTTTCGAGTTTGGTGATAGGAAGGTAGGCCAGTAGAATGTACGCATGGGCTGACACCTTGCGCCGTATTTCCTTCGGGATGTTTCCAATTGTCAAGTACAAGGGATAGGCTTGTTTATTGCGGAAAAGTGTAAGGAGAGTCTTGTCGGTTGAAAGGCTGATGGGAACAACCGTTGCGCCAGGCTTCTCACGTTCGATCGCCTCCTGCAACATGCCGTCAATCAAATTTTCTCTTTTTCCTCCAACCACCACATACCTGTGTCGCCCACCACCACCGCCCAGTATGCATGTCATGATACACGCGACAGTCTTGCTGCTCGTTGGTGTACTGCTTCTCTGGTGAAAAAACCAGGTAAGGAGCAAAATCAGGGTCACCAAACAGCGCTTTAACACATTCTATGACATCCCGATAGAAGAACTCGCAAACTTCCCCGCCCACGACTACTTCTTGTCGTGTAAACGATGGGCGCCCAACAAGATGCTTGTCGATAATGGCATTCAACTGCGCAGAGGTCCGGAAGGAGAGACCCAAACGATCGGCCACCTGTACTGAGGTGAGCGAGAACATATGTTCGATATTAGCAGAATACTCACCCCGTCAATAGCCATCAGCTCCGTGAAGGCTGTCGAGGAAGGTCCCCGAAGCTTTGCCCACCGTGCGATCTCCCACTCCAACTTCGACGAGAACGGTGCATACAGATTGGTGGAATCTCTGATGTGCTCTTGGTGATATGCAGCGCCGGGTTGACTCGTCCTTCTGTGGTCTTCGGCATCTTTCTGATACCTTACCACGAAAGGCTGAAGTTTCAAGCCCTCCTCTGCACCTCCCCGCAGTCGTAAAGGTGTATTCCCACTAGAAGCGACATCTTCCATTGGTGTGTTGTATAAACTGTCCCCGGCTTGTTCCTCACGTGGCATTACGCGGTCAGGTTCCAATCCAAACTCGGCCTGGGCAACAGCTGCGTCTTCGTCGAAAGCATCGTCGTCTTCCTGCTCGTCTGTGGTGTCGCTTCCATCGCTTTCGCTATCACTATCTCCCTCCTCCCAGTCGTTGTCGGTCTTGTAAGCGGAGGGTTCTGACGACTGAAACACCTCGTCAAGAAGAATTCCGTGTTCACCGAAGAAATCACGGCCGACATCAATCTCGATGGTCAATGGGATATCGGCGGGACTGGCAGGATTGTCCGGAACCTCGTGCAAGGTGTCAGGGACCAGCGGGGGAGGGTGATAGGTGGACGAGTTGGGAGTTGGAGGGTTCTCGGAGTGTTGGCTATTCACTCCTGAAGGTAAGTCTTCAAAATCCGAGTCTGATAAGTCGTCGATGATCTGATCATGGTTTCGGCAGTTAGGGTTCTGGCTTCTGAGTGCATGATTCACCAGTCCTCTGCGACGGACAGATGCACCGCACCCCAAACAACGTGTTAGCATAGGGAGGATGAAGCGAAAAGAAATAGGAGTAATGTGCACGGTGGTATCGGGTAAGTGTGCGTCCCTCTCCCGGTTGAACATCAAATCAAACTCACGTGAACCCAATTTCAAAAACCTTTAAACCTGTTCGTGCGCTGGCATTCCCTTCTTCTCAACCTCCCAGCATCGTTGCGTTTACCCGTTCAGTTACCAGTATCTCTCCCAACAGCAAGAAGTCACCCTCCACACACGAAGAATGGCCACTTCAGGTATGGTTTACAATTGCGGTGACCTGCCCTAAAATCTTACGTATGCCTTCCTACAGGATCCACTCGTCGCTCATCCAAGAGGATTGCTGAGCCCGAGCCCACAGTGCGTCGTACTCGTGTCCGACGCTCACTAAGCCCCAAAGGTGGTCAGTCAAAGGCGAAGTCCAAACCGAAGGCCACATCGAAGCCTTCAGCCAGAACAGCATCTGCAGGGAAGTCCTCAACCAAAACTTCGAGTAAGGGCCCTTCCCGCTCTGGAACCAAGAGTGGAACCTCTTCCACGGGTATGCTGTTCTTTACCTCTTTGGATGGAGGAGATATATTGATGCCAATAGCTCTAGTCGTCGCTGGACGTCGCCCGGCCGTTGTTCCTCAAGATGAACCTCCTCGCATGCCTGCCAAGAGACACAAGGTTCTGGGCACTGTTTACGCCTCCTCTGATGAAGATGAATCTGGATCGGACCGAGAGGAAGACGATGAAGGTCCTGAGGACCATTTCGAGGGCCTCAACAAGGAAACTCTGCATGCCGAGGTAAGCATTTATGCTGGACTCAGTGTGACGTTGTTTCAACTCTGACATTCTTCCACCGCACACCTCTTCCCCTTCCCACTTTGAAGGGTGTTACTATCGGGCGCCAGTCAGAGCATGAGCGTGCCAAGCCAAGGGCTAGTGACCGTGACCGCGACTTCATCGAGTTCGTCGACGGTGAAGATGATAGCACCCCCGAAGCTGCCCGGAAGGTAACCTCACACTCGAGCTTGATACTGGACAATTGTACTCAGTGTTCTCAGGCTAGCAAACGTGCTCTTGAACGTCAGGAAGAGGTCCCCCGTTTTGCGACACCTTCGCTTGAGAGCAATAGCCATCCCGCCTCTGTCTTTGTACGTCGAGCTTTATCACCCCATAAAATCATTTCTAATGTGTTGACAGAGCTCCCCGGTACACCCTTCGGACGACGAAGATGAAGACGATGAAGAGAAAACTGAACAAGGTTCCGATTCCAACTCTGGCTCTGAGGGTGATGAGCTTCCGATAGCTCGTGCCTATCCTGGCTGCCTTCTCGACTCACAGTACCCCAACTCCACTTGGCTTGTCCCACCACCACCTGGCACTCGTCACCCCCGACTTGGAGAGCAACAACCCGAGGTCAAAGCGGTCATCACTGCGGGTATAGAGATGATCGTCGGGCACGCACTCTTCCAAAATCCGTTCATCAGCGTCGACCTCAACTATCGCTCCCAACGCAAACTCCTTACCAAGGAAGCGACACGGCTTGGTGACGAGAACCCTAATTCTGGATATCACGATATCGCTCGCCGAATCCGTGGGGACAACAACTATGGTATAACCCTTGCCCGGATGGTTCGTGGTCTCTCTCACCAATGACATTATTCTTTCCATATCTGATTGAACTTGAAGATTATGCAACGCATCGCCAACCTACGTGGCAATTGGAAGAAGATAGCCATCCACAAGGTCCAAGCTGCCTACAACCTCAACTCGGCCAATCCTACTCAAGTCGTCGAGAAGGTCAAGAAGGAGTTAAAGGGGCTGACGTTGGTCTACCCCCGAAACAGTGTAGGTTTATTTGTCTTGTTTCTCGTGGTACATTTAACAGAATTTCCTCCCATCTGCTATTAGGCTGGCAACATTGTACGAACGGAGCCCTTCATGCATGACTGCATTCTGCAAGTCGTGCGTGATGGTCTGTTCCTCAGATCTGGCCGACAGTCCACTGCCCAGAAATATGATTCACTTTTTCCGACAGCATCCTTCGGGACTGGTGACAGGGCCATCATCCGTCGCATGGCTCCTGACGCCGCAGTCTGCTTTGCCGCCACAGTGGTACGTCCCTAGTCGGTGACTGGCCGAAAATTGCACTGATACGGTTGCTAGGTCCACGCTGCGTTGGATGATTGGCTGAATGGGCACCGTGTCGCTACTCATTTCAATGCAGATACATATGAAGATGTGTACAAGAACATGCTCGAGGTTCTTGATACAATTCGCAAGGCTCGCGATGGAAAGGTGTACAATACCTTGATGGCTCGTATCTTCACTGAATGCAGGTGCGCTCTAGTTCTTGTTTACTGGCAGCTACTAGGGACTCGAGACTCATGTTTTCGTTATCAACAGCAAGGGTACCCCTTCCGCTAATGCTGCCACCGTTGAAGAAGCCATCGCCAACCTTGACATTGACAACATGCCTTTGGACATCGTCGGATTGGAGGCTGAGGACGCTGGTAGCCCTTAATTACCTCGGTATAATTGTCTTTATTTATTTCCTCTTACTCCAACTTGTATGTAATAGCCGTATGGGCGCATACAATTCACGTTCGTTGTTAAATCGAATCCCTCCTAAGCGGCAGGCGGCTAGCCTGATAGATATGAACCTGGAGCAAGTGAGAAAAACTGTTATGAAAGTCGGCGACTATTGCGTATACAGTGCGCCGACTTTGTACTAACTCGGTCTATTTTGACGCCCGCGAAAAGCTCAACAAAAATTCTGGACTAATTTGCACGGATCGTCTATCAGGGGAATTTTAGACATATGTGACCTATTTAGACATGTATAGTCCCGATTATCCATTCGCGTTTTTCCAGATGTACATCCCGGTTTTCATCGCCTATAACACGCTATGGAACACCATACCGTATACGCCTCACCTCGCTCCCCCATCTCCTACACGATCGATCGAACCCTCTCCGCAGTTACCCTTTCCCCATCACCTTCCTCGTTCGTACATACCGCACCTCGTTACTTACTGAATACTCGGCACGAGTTCTTAATTTACAAGTTACCCTATAAATTATCTATGACGCAACACTCAAGTTGAACAATCGACCTATCCCGCAAGCAGCACTGTCTGAATCGTACGCCCACACGAATAAATTAACCCTAGCCATCCTGGATTAGATCCTCGTGTTATATATAAAGGTTCTACACTACACAGTGCGTCATACATAGCACATGCCCATCGTCGTCCAGCGTTCCGGCGATTCAATCCTACTTACGAAGGAAAGAACGTTCGAGCTTCCGAGTCCGGGCGCTTGTCTCAAACTCCCATGTCCCACGTGCGCGCTTAAGAGGCAAAAAGCCGGGGCCGACACTAGAATTGGGGTGGGCACTGTGTCACTGTCAGACAGCCAAGCCGCAAGCGCCCCATTGCACGACCTCCTCTTATTATGTATGTAGTACCAGAAAATGCCCGTTGCTCAGCCTACTCTCCCCAGAGAACAGGGGAAAAAAATCAAAGAAAAACGAAACAAGAAACAAAAGAAAAAGAAAAAGAATCCTGAAAACGATCGCAATGGATTTCGGATACGGGGAATCGAACCCCGAGCTGCTGCGGACACACTTTGTAATGACAGATAATGAGAGGCAGCAATGTTAGCCGTTACACCATATCCGAGGTAGCATTATTCAGCTTTCGGTGCTTCACCTTGGGATTTGAGGCGTGGTTCACGGCTCGAGATGTTGGACTCTGTCAGTTTAAATTCTATCCGAGTACGAACGCTTCGAGGACCAAATGACCAGTGCGGAACAGGTTGAAGCTTGCCACAAGAGAGGCTCAAACGGTGGTTATGACCGAAAGTCGTAGGCTTCTTACCCTCACACAGACAAACAACGGCACCCAGGCCCGGTCGGCATCATGCTTTCGGTCGACCTTACGCACAAAAGAGCTGTAGATAACCAGCGTACCCTGCTCTCTAATAATCCCCAAAAACCCGCCTTTTAGCAGAATTCGGAATCCAAAGACCACAGCCCTGCAATTTCCTCCCAGACTGTGACTCAAAACCAACGCTCGTTACCTCAACCCCTGTGACCCCTATTTACCCCCAGCACGGCATTTGATTCCGCATCCGAATCTGAGTCTGACAGCGTTCCGAATCCTTTACCCCCGACCTCCAAGGCGTCCACATGCACCCAGTGGAGCATGCTGCGTCAATCACAATGGACATCTGTATCATAATCACCGCACATGGGCCGTTTGATCCACCACCATCTTATCACCCGGCACGAATTTTCCTCAGAAATCGGCTCAGAAAGGATTTCGACGCGAACGCACCTTCCCTTAGAGGTTTCATGACTCGACGTCCTTAACCACGACTGTTCACGAGGTTAAGGACAACTTGAGTCACAAGTTTGACAACGACCTTAGCCACGACTTGAAGCTTGACCCCACGATTTTAGCCACGACCCTGCCTACGACCTCTCGACGACGAATCAGTTAGGCTTTAGACGAGGCCGAAACGCCCCGCTAGCATCTGCTCTTGTCTTCTCCTGCTCTAGCCTTGCTTCTCGGCTGAACGCTTGTCGGTCCCTCTAGACTCGGAGCGATTTCGACGGCGCGCTTGTAGCTACTTCTTGACGTAAAAAGCCTTCCTCGAGGACGACTAGCGACGTGTCAATCTCCTCGCTTTCGTCTCAATCCACCCTTCCGCATCTTCTACTCCTGGCACCTCCCTTCAACGCGCATACCACCTCTTCTCCAAAATCTCGAAACGATATCAATCATGTCTTTACAAGAAACAGAACAAACGCCTTTACTCCATAACCAAAACCCAACCCACATCCACCTTAACGGCAACAGCAACAACAGCAACGTCGGAAACTTTGGCTCAACCTCAACCTCCGTCGAGGCAGAGATAGAAGCCACCCCAACCAAAAAAGACGCCCACGACTTGATTTACGAGCGCTTCTCAGTACCCAGGAAGCGCGCTATCCTCGCAATGTTGTCTGCGGCTGGACTAATGCCTCGTACGTCACGTCTCTCAAACCCTCCTTACCCTTCGCCGCGATTAGAGGCTAATGCTGCCTGGGACAGTATTCGTCGGCGGAACGTTCATCCCATGTATACCCCAAATCGCCAAAGATTTGGACGTCCCGCCTGGTACGATCAGGTAACGTTCTTCTCGTCCCCGTCTCCGCGACTTTTGGGTGAGCTCAAGCTGAACCCGCACCCATCTCGATCACGGTAGCTTGGCGGTGAGCATCTCAGTCCTAGCCACATCCCTCGGCGCGCTCTGGGGATCCACATATTCAGGCTTCTGTACGTCCCTCTTCCACTTTTTCCAAATTCCCCTTTGGAACCAACAAATCCTCCAATACTTAACAGACGGCCGCCGCCCAATCTACCTCGCCTTCCTCCCACTCTCCGTCCTCGGGTCACTGGGCGTCTCGGTGGCGACTACCATCCCCGAACTCATGGTATGGCGGTTCCTCCAAGCTTTTGGGGTCTCGCCTGCTCTCTCTGTCGGCGCTGGCGTTATTGGTGATATTTATAGACTGGAGGAGAGGGGTACAGCGATGGGTGTCTTTTTCGCTGTAAGCGTCATTTCTAGGATGTATGGTAGTGGTGCTTCAACCGTGTTCTGATGCTTGGGTAGGCGGTATTGCTGGGACCCGCGTTGGCACCGTTAGCTGGCGGTACGTCCTTCGCACGTCTTACCCTTGGAATTATATCCGTCTTACTGAACTCACAATCGCACTGCACAGGCACAGCAGCCCACTACTCCTCCTGGCGCACCATGCAAGCGCTAGTAGGCATCACCGTTCTCCTCGTCTACCTCACCATGGTCTTCCTCTTCCCCGAAACGAGCCACCCAGGAACCCGGGGTATCGACCACCTCAGAAAAGCGGAAGAAGAGACCGGGAGACGCCAAGTTCCACAGTGGCGACCTGTCCTTTTGAACCCGTTTAAGGGTATGGCGCTTTTGAGGAGCCCGAATTTGTTTTTGACGGTGTGTGGGGTTTTTGGTGCTTGGGTGTTTGGAGTGGATCGCTGATTCGTGGGTTGCGCTGTGCCTCCAGGCGACGGCTGCGTTCGTGGTTCTGGCAGTCGATTATGGTACGCCACGTCGATCTTCTTAACGTGATGAAATCCATTGAATACCCTGACTTAGTCCTCCTCATCCCGATTGCCTACACCATTGTGCGTACCCTCCGTCATAATTCCTCATAGAACTGTGGATCCTAACCTTGACCTTGAAAACGTTGTTGAAATAGGGCAAGAAATATAACATCACAAACGAAGCGCTCATCGGCGCTTGTTTCTTACCTAACGGTCTCGGTTCTATGCGTGCGTTTCATCCACTCATTTTTCTCTCATTCTGAAATCAAAACCCCTTTCTCCCTATAATAGTTGGTGCCCCAATCGCTGGCCGGATATCCGACCACCTCGTCGTCAAATGGCGGTCCAAACGGGGGATGTGGTACCCCGAAGACCGGCTGCGCGCCGCCCTCCCCGGCGCCCTCTTCCTCGTCCCCCTCTCCGTCCTCTTTGCGGGCTTTTTGACTGCGTATGTGGATGGAACGGTGGGGTTGGTCCTTAACTTGGTCTGCTTATTTGCGAATGGGCTTGGGGTACGTGTTTTTCCTTCCTCCCCGCATGTCCTCTTCTGCACTTTATGACGTTCGAGTTCCCTATGCCATGTCGTGAAGGAGATGCTGATAATTAGGTTGGGTGGTGCTAGGTCGATGTGGTTTTGAGCCCTGTTTCGTCTTATGTTGTAGATGTGATGCATTCGAAGAGCGCGGAGAGCACGGCTGCTATGAGGTGTGTTTCTTACCTGCGTCTTCTAGTCTTCAAACCTCTCACTGATGATCTCATCTAACACATCCCTTCGTTCATGGATAACCCATCTCATCATGCTCTTTAATCGATTCACTCATTCCTTTACTTATCCCGAATTACAGTGCCTTCCGATCGACCCTCCTCGCCATGGTCATAGCCATCATCATGCCCTCCATCGAACGAATCGGTGTATTCTATACCAACGCGATTGCTGCGTGTGTGGGCTGGGTTGGGTTCGGGTGAGTTGCGATTTTTCATTTCCCTCGGGTTTCACTCGGTTCCAAATTCCCTGCTTCTTCCTTGCTTCATTTTCCTGTTTCTCAATGCTTCATTGTCTCGCCTTCCCTCGTTTGCTTCATTTCGGCTTCTCGTTGGTTTTGACGACCTCGTGGATACCGGTCGTGTCGGCATTCATTCCAATCCATCCCTCCTGCGCGTGGATAATGAATGACCTGGCTCTACTTCGATCCATATGCTCCTTATCGCCTCACCGATGAACCAACAGTTCCTCTTTCATAGGACCATCTTCTCGTGCGGCTTTCATATTACGCAGTTTTCGATGGACCATCGTGGGGTACCCTGACTCTGCGATCTAATACACGCTCGTCATTCCTCACCACCGATGAACGAACACTTCCTCTTTCACCGGCCTTTCCATCTCACTTGTGCCAAAATCCCGGAAGAGAAATATGAAATTAGCCGAGTTCGTTTCAACTTTCGTCCCGATCTTAATTATTCCTCTCCTCTCCTCGACCACGTTTCCCTCCATCTCCTCTGAATCGTTTATTTCAAATTCGGGCCCTAGTCGATCAAAACTTGCGCTCTTTCGTTTCTCGGGGACTGCGAGGCGTTTGGAGACTCGATGGCAGTGCTCTGAAGGGACGACCCTTTTTTTGCGCTGACACGAGGCCGCGCTTAATTGCTCATTGTTTCATTGAGGCTGATTTTTTGGGAGGGGTGTTCGTCATCGACATCGAACACCCCTTTCTTATTCCCCAGAGCCTCGAGGGCGGCGGTTACATACTGGCCAACCTTCTGCCTCTTGGTTGTTTCATCCACCATCATCTTCATATTCTCCCATTTCCAACACGTTTCTTTTCTTTTTTTTCTTTTTTTTTTTTTTTCTTCTTCTTTCGTCTTTCATTCATGCGTGAACGCGACATCTCTTCAACGGGGAATCACAACACCCTCGTGTTCTCTACCACATCGCTAACCAAACCAACCCCTCTTCCCTCCAGGCTTCTTTGGCTCACGATCAAATACGGCGAAGAGATGAGGGCGTGGGTGGATGTCGGGTACTCGACGGTGGAGAATAATTGAATTGCCGTGGTCTTTTGGGGCTCTGCTAGCCCTGGGAGATCGGGGTTAGGGGACAAGGTTGGAGGTTTTAGGTTGGGTGACCGGGGCCAGCTACAACCTGAAGCCAAGGTTCGCATAATTGATTAAGTATTAGTAGAGGTTGAACTTTTTGGAATTGAATTAATCGAGGAAGGAATCATCGAGAACTAGGTCTATCGCCTGGGAGGCTGGACCATGAACGGTAGGTACAATTGGAGGCTGGAACGATGAAGACGCTTTAACTCAATAAAACATGTAGAACATACACATTTGCCATTGATTGTAGTTATCCGCAGCTGTAAGCTCCGAGGCGGCGAATTGGGTTCGCGTTGGAGCGTTCGAGCGGAAATTGAAATGCATGGTCCAAGGTATCGGAATCGAATCGGATTTCGGTTATTACTTCAGTCTCAGGCTATCATAAATCCTTGGTGTATCGACCACACGCACACTGTCTCTCCCTCTCTCTCCCTCTCTCTGGTTCCAGGGTACGTCCTGGCCCCCTCCCGGCTTCCAGTCCTCAAGGTTCAGAAACAAGATCCAAGAACCCCATCGGCTCAACACCAAGTCTCTCCCTTCCTTTCCTTGAATATAGCTCAGGTCCAGTTTCCTGCGCATCATTCGAAAAGAGGGAGACATGGGTTAGCATGTATGTTCAACTTTGATCCAGAGCGAGGATGGATGAACAGAGTGAACGCAATGGATGGATGTACACCGTCGTGACGAAAGGATGGGATATTATCACGGCGGATGGAAGAAAGAAAGCAGTGATGATAGCAACGGACAAGGAAGAAACTGAAAGAACCCGGGCACTCACTCAAACCTCACAAAACTCCTCCCAGGCACCCACACCGTCACATCATACGGCGGGTACCCCCTCCTCATTTCCGCGAGGACGCAGATACGCCATTGGTGGTTGTACGTGAAGATGGATTCGATGAGGCGGTAGTTACAGTGGTCGTCCGAGTCGGCGGCGGATTGTCTGTTTTGGTAGCGCGAGTCGTCCAAGCTGAAGCACTTGTCCTTGTCGTTCTCCGACCTCCCCTCCCTCCTCACATCATCCACCAACGCCTTACACCTCGCCTCCCCAAACACGCACCCCTCCACCGTCGCAACCTTCCTCCTCTCCGCGTACACGTCGAGGTCTACGACTCTGATGGAGGAGAGCGCCGGGATAGCAGGCGCGTTGAGGAGGTTCATGGTCGTGTCGAGGACGGCGATGAATTCTGAGGTGGGGCTGGGGGTGCCAGAGTAGCTATTGGTGTTCTGGGTGGAGGAGGTACTATCTTGGATGGACGAGATATTCCGGAGTCGGTGGTAGTGCTCTTCAAGTGAGGACGCGGCTCGAAGGAAGTACATCCATGTGAAGCGGGTGTGCAAGTGCCGGAGCTTGGGTGTGTAGTCCAGCCCATCTTCGACGCGGGCTAATACATGAGAATAATGAGAATAATGAAGGGGGAAGGCAGTAGTGAGGTGGTGTACGTGGGCAGTGTAATAGTTGAAAGTGGTGGAAAATATAGGACATTAAATTGACTGAGAAAAGGACGCACCAAGTCGCTGGTGCCGCATCCCGTCGCACTCGTAGTGGTGTCGATGGACCCAATCGGCAATCTGACATCCCTCGCTGCAGTACACGACGTTCCGACATCCAGAACAGACTTTCGACTCGACACTGGAGGTCTCAGCCGTCAAATGCGACATCGCAAGGCGGGTCCGCGTTTCAAGTTAGCGCACGATCCATTCGACACGGGGGACCGTGTTCCAGAAATTCAGAAACTTGAAACACCTACCAAGCGATTATCGCACTGCGTAATACCATACCCCTTCACCGCCTCCACCATACTCTCCATATACCCAACCGACTGCCGAACGTTCCCCCCATGCCTCTGGATAAACCGGACTCTTCATGCGCTCCAGTCTAGCCCACTTGGCCGCTGGGATGCGCTCGATAGCTTCCGCGAGAGCCTTGAGCGTGCGCGGGAAATACGAAAACGCGGAGAGGGCCCGCAAGAGCATGTTCGGCGAGAATGAAGATCCGCGAGGTACGATCGGTCGCCCTCCATGCGCGATGATAGCGTCGATCACCACTTCCAGGACGCCTTCCTCAAGGACCTGGGTGAACCCTTGCACAGCGTTTGCGTGGGATTGGTAGGACAGGCGGATAGCGTAGCACGCGACGAGGTAGGTGTCTGCGGGTGTGAGGCAAACCTGGAGAATCTTGACTGCGCGGGCGACGTGGTAGAGGAGGCCGGCTTTGCGCAGGTAGCGATGGATTTGGGGGAACTGCACCAGGTTCATCGATGAGATGAGGAGGGGCAGAATGTGGCAGGAAGTAGCTGATACTACATGGCGCGTCGTTGTCATGTCGTTCCTGGTCAGCACGGGTGTGTGGGCGATGCGTAAGAGGAGGCCGCTGCCGAACGACGCGAGGCGCCCCCGCGAGGAGGCGCCGAGCTGCTCCATCCCGTCTTCGCAGTCACCGAATTTAGCGAGGAGGTGGATGATGGGACATTGGTTCGTAGAGAATGGGGACGGAGGGTTGGCGTCGTTGGTGAGGCGCGAGGACCACGCCTGCAACAGAATTTCTACCGTCGTCTTGGAGCGCAGGATCAAGTCAGCGAGGTCGGCGTCGAGCTCTACCATCAGCCCCACTGTTTCCGCTATAAAATCCACCTCCGCGCCGAGTCGTCGACCTGTAGAGAACGTCGTGGAGTACACCATACAAACACGAAACCAGGTGAGGATTCCTTCGAGACGCTCTAATAACATCATCACGCCCTTCGGTCCTTGGACGCTCGGCTTGTAGAAAATGACACAAACTCGGAAGAGGGGTATTGCGTATTGCAGGCGGAAGGTGATCTGCTCTGAGGTCGTGCATGGAATGAGATCCAAGCGGAGGTGGTTCAACGACGCTTCCAGCATCGACGGGGTGAAGTTTTGCTGGTTGACTTTGCCACTTAGTTCCTGAAGCGCTGAAGCGTTGCCTGCCTTTGCTTCACGAATAAGCTGCATCCATAAGCGTCAGTAAACTAGATTGCATACATAGTTGGAGTCAGAAACGTACCCTTGTCAAAGACATATTTGCGTGACCACCGTCCTGGACGAGGAGAGAAAAGCTAAGGAAAAGCGATGGCTTCGATTTAAGCCAACTTCAAGCTCTTCAAAGGTGACAGTTTGAATCCACGCCTTCTGTTTGGCGCACGTCGCCCAAACTTACGTTCCTTTTTCAGGACTCCGACTAGGCTTTGGGCCTTTGTCTCTCAACAAAGAACAACTCATGATGCATGATGTCTCGAACACAATCATCGTGTTACGGTTATCAAACCGCAAACAGCAAAAAAGTAATGACAAGAGTGGGATTTGAACCCACGCGGGAATACTCCCATGAGAAACCCCTAATGACAGAGGCAAGCTTTCGCTTGAGTCACACGCCATAGACCGCTCGGCCATCTTGCCATGGCTGCACGTCGGAAACATAGAGCCTTCGAGGGTCAAGGGTTTCGAGCGCCTAGACAAACTTACTCGGCATAGGGTTAGGGTTATTTCAACCCCTAAGCTCGACTACTTGATCGCGTTAACCAACCCTGCTTTCGACTTCCACCCTGGCTTCAACGCGCAAACTGGGCCCGGGAGTATCTACACGTCTCCATGTTCAACGGCCAAGAACTGCGATACACACCCGGCCCCGAGCCACAAGCCCCGATCAATCCCGATAGCCAGTACGAGAATCCAAAACTCGAATGCTCATTGACTGGTGACAATGTTATCTGATTGGCAGACCACCCCACCCAGTTTCTGACCCGCTTACCGGCGAACTGATAGAACATATCCCTCAACCTGGTGCTCTACCTCCAGTGGAAGACATCCCATCCCTCGAACAAGTCAAAGGTTACCCTGAAATCTTGTCTTGGGACCGCGTCGTCGAGGACGATTCGCGGACTTTTGAGCCGGATCAAACGCAAGTTTCCTTCCCTCCCTTCCAATTTGACCACGGCCAACCAATAGAGTTATCAACTCCAGGATCTACGTCCTCCCCGAAGGTCTCGATATCCAAGCAGAAAACCTGCGGGAGAACCAACTCCTTCGCCGTGTCGACAAATTCCTGATCTCCTCATTGAGACAGGACCCAGACGGTCGCGTCTGGTTCCTCGGTACATGGTTCTACACAGCCAAGGAGGCCAAACAATACTTCAGAGACAAACGAACCCGCGATATCCTAGACAGACTAGGCGTCCGATCCGAGCTCATACTCTCGGATCACTGGGATGTGGTGCATCCAGATACTGTCATCGGTGCGTTTCATCCTTCTGTAAGATGGAGAAGGGTACCATCGTATCATTGCAAGTTTCTTGGGACTGACGTTCACTGGAGATGCGGCCCCATATGATACATTCGTCTGGGACGACAAGGAGAGTACGACCTTCCCTCTCGAAGGGTGGTTCGTCAGGTACCACTTGACTATCCCTACCACTGGAAACCCCGCCAAACTTAGAGCGATCGCGGTAAGTCCTCTTAAAGTTCCCAAACATCAACCGTAGATCACCTTTTGCTTATCAACCACCTGTCTCTTGATCCACAGGGCCCTATAACAAACCCCACCTTCCTCCCCTTCATCCGCACAACATGCATTTGCAAAAAGATATTCGCACCCGACGACGATAACCAAATCCACTGTCCATCATGCAAGACGTGGTACCACTTCCAATGTACCAAACTCGCCAACCCTCAACCACAGCCTCCTGGAACGCAGCCCCATGCTCCCGATCCAGAACCCCAGTCTCCCCGGGAGATCTCAGGCTCTAGTATTAGTATCACACCACCACCCACTACGAGTACCACGACTCCCCGCTGGAACCCCTCCGACTCCCTCTTCAAAAACCTCTCCCGCGCACCCACGGTCCGCGGAAACTTCAACGGTCCAGACAAAGAAGCCTCCGTCCCAATGGTATTCGGAAACGGGTACCAACTCGCTCGCGTAAGGGAACAAGCGCCGTCGGGACACCATCCCAAGAGGGAGGACGATGCCTATTGGGAGGGTGTGGTTAAGAACCAGACGGTATTGATGACGATGCGTGCGAGGCAATTCAAGTATTACGTGTGTCCGAAATGCCAGATCGCGATATGATGACAAAATCGATGCGGTTTAGCTGTTCGATAGATATCATTGAAAGCTTGGTGAAATGCTATGTGTTACATAGGCGCCCTCTGTATCCGCGAAAATTGTCAAATGTAACATGCAGCGCCACCACGCTCAGTTCACAGCGTTGAGAACGTCATCAATGAATACCCGAGGCTGTAGTCTACGAACTGATTGCCCGAATTCTATACGAAATCAATAGGATACAAGTCCATCCGAAGTTACTTAGATGGACGAACAATGAGAAAGACAAAGGAGTCCGAATTGTCCTACAAGACTTAACCGAAATTCAACACACAGTAATGTCGATGGGAAAGGGAGAAATTCCAGTCGCATTCGTGATCAGTGGGACAGCCGCCCTCCCTCGCTCAGACGACGTATGCGTGAGCATTGTCTGCAGCGTTTTCGTCAAGGTGTTGGCGAGGGTTACTTGGAATGTGTGATAATCTATGTAAAGTAAACATGTCAGATTCCTAACCGCCAACAGAACCAAGATGCACAGAAACTGACCGCTATCGTTCCTCTGGCGCATCTCGGCGTTGATCACCCTGTACTTTCCTCAGCCTTCTATTCTGCCTCGTTGGAGAGTTGAGTGCGTACCATTTCTCCCATGGAACAAGCTCTTCCCCAACTGTGAACCACGACTTCTTCTCTATCCTTTGAGAGAATGTTACGACTATCTGAACATGCGCACCATCAGTCCAACGACGTCCCTCCAGATTCCGCTGTAGCTTTCACTGACCTGACCCCTCCGCTGACCAATCTCAATCCCCCTCCAAAACGCATCCACTTTGGTGTTAACAAGTTGCTCCATCTCAGGATCCGAGACGCCCGGCTTCCAGTACAACGATAACGCGCGCAATGAGAATGATTCGTCGATGTCAATTAGCTGCGTATCCCTCGATCACGGAACAATGCACAGACGCACCATAGTCACGTCTAGCACCTCGAACGTCGTAGGTTTAACAGTCCCAAAGAGCCTATGAAACAATATCGAGTGAAGGACGCCATGTAGAACATCCTTCGCAGTCGAACGGTCCAGTATCTGCCGCGCGCGGTGTTATCCTATCGTTCCACACCCCTAACAGCTTTCGAAGAAAGAGCTCACCAAATCGATTGTTATGGTTGGGTATGTGTTGGACATTTCAGATTCTAAGTATTACGGATGGGTAGTATGGTTTAGTGCAGCGTTATAGAGACATTCGTGAAAACCGCGAGGAGAGTTTGAACAAAGCCAGAGTCGTCGTGGTGGTCAGGTCCAAAGCAGGCCATGACGCCAGGTCCGCCGATGATGCCGCCGCTCGGCACGGTTTATGTAAAGTCCGAATCATCCCACGGTTACGGGCGCTAAAGCTCTGGGAGACCTCGAGTGCGCTTATGCTTGGCATCGCCCTCGAGAGCCCTGCGAGTCTGCATTTACCTTGAATGTCGTATGTTACGAAGTCATCGGGTACAGAGCCCTTGAGTGCTGGAGAAATATGTCGCCCAGATCCAGGAGTGGTTTTGTTGGAGAGAAGAGGCATGCAATTCGAAAGGATGCATCCCCTGTACGTTACAGCAGGTCCCTCGCAGGCATGAGTCGATATCGCTCTCACCACGCAGTGGTCGTGAAGTTCGCAAGTCCGATGAATGGAAAGAGAAGGACGTCCTTAACCCATCACAAATCTGACTCTAAGATGAAGAGAGCTTCTCTGACCCCCTTAAAGGCGCGCCCTTGTCGTTGATCGGAGAATTAGACGTTCGGTTGGACGAAAAATAGCGGATCTTACCCACACCCCCATCCAAGCGTTTTGTGGGGAAATAGGCAGGGAAACGTGGCTAATGGTGGCTTTCAGGTCCCGGGGGGCGTGGTGTGACGAGAACGGGTAGGTATTTGACGATCGCTGTTGTACAGAGTCACTCGACGCAAGTTAGAATGAACGATCGTGACCAGAAGCTAGAACACGGGGCACGGTGTGTGTTATCCGATAATCGCTCCTTCTGCCCTCTTCCTTCGCTCAAGGCCAGCCAATTGGAGCACAAAGGCTGCCGTTGTGTCGAAACAGGAAACGCGGAGGCATTCCGACAATGGAAGCAAATCAGGCGTTCTTCGAGTTGTGCTTCTGGGGGAATTCGCAGTTTCGCCACCCCCACCTTAACTTACATAGACTCTCGCTCAACCTCCCTTCACTTGAATACGGCGCTACACACGGAGCTGTATTGATCTTCTTCGAACCTGTGTTCCCTTGGCGGTCTTGTGTTCTTCTGCGGTGGAATTGAATATGTTGTGGCTCCGAGCGAAAGAAGGATGGGAATAGGGACAATCATGTGGGGTAAAGAGACGCTGAAGAAAGGGCGAGTGGGAACGTCATATGGAGCTAAATTGAGGACAAGGGAGGGGTACATACACGACTGTCAATAGCCACGCGACTGTGATTCTTCCTAAGAAAGGCCAACAATGACCCATAAGCGTTGGATCGCATAGAGAAAATGCAAAGTTCTAACATGAACAAATGAGACGACCTGCTCTCCCCAACGGCGCCTTCGCCTCTGCCGCCTCATGTCGGGTCGGCAGTCCGTACGGGCGATATACGAAGCTCGTCAGAAACGTCCTCATTGGCTGATTCAATTTGACAGAAGCCCAATCGGCCAATCAAAACATTCATCTTGAAAACTTTCCAACTTCGATTCTCCACGCGCGTTACACTTGGTATGGGATACCCCACCCTTTATTAAGTAAAACTTCTTTTTGCGAACCGTTACACTTCCACCTTAGCATCGCTTCGCTGGGCGACGATGCGACAAAAGGATGCTGCAAGAGATGATGGTATTCTTGGAGCCTTATCGGTAGGAGTTGGGACTTACACCATGACGGTGGACTCAATAGTCGAAGTACCCCTCAATGCTGGCGCTTCAGTGTAAACCTCGGTAGTTTGTCGTTCGCTGGTGGCTTTTCTCTATTGACGGGGCTGGTTTAAATACCGGGGCGTTTCTCTCTCGACTGCTCAGGAAGATTTACTTCTTCATCTCCCCCTCCGCTTCCAGCTACTCGACGAGTGCCTTGGGCTCTGCTTTCTTTTTTGCCTAGACGACTTTATCTCTGTCTATCTTAACGACTTCCACCATGAGCTCCGGCAAACAATGCATCGAAAAGGCTGAGTACTCCTCGTCGGGTGCTGTTAGCACTCAGGCGCCTGCGTATCAGGCGCCTCCCACCCCTGCACCTGCGCCTCCAGCACCACCACCGATTGGCAATCCTACCCCTGCGTAAGTCTGCACCTATGAACCTCGCTTCAGTGAACATCGATTTACACTTTTTACAGCGGCATGTTCGCCTTTGCTGGTACAATGTTGCTCATGGCTTTGTACAACCTGGGCGCAGGAGGCATCACCACCCCCAACGTTCTCGTTGGAATGCTCATCTTCGCGGGTGGCATCGCACAACTCCTCGTCTCCATTCTCGAATTCCTGAAAGGAAACTGCCTCTACGCGACCTGTACGTCACTTTCCTTTTCTCCTACCTGTCAACGCAAAAATCTGATCTTTGGTTTTTCCGTAACGCATGCAGGTTTTATGACGTTCAGCACCTTCTGGCTTAGCTACGGCGCTGTGCTCATTCCCGGTTTCGGTATCCTCCAAGCCTTCACTGATCCTTCCGAGATTGGAAGGGCCATCGGCCTCTACCTCTTCGTGTGGTGGATCACGATCACCATGCTCCTCATCGCCGTCGTTGGAAAGAGCACTCTCTTCACCATCCTCCTTTCCTTCGCTTCCTGCGCGGTCCTAATATCCGCTTGCGGCCAATATCTCGCGAACAAGGCGTAAGTAACCCCCCATCGAATCTGTTCCCTTCCATTCCTGATTCCATTTCTTTTTACAGTCTGAACATCGTCGGTAACTCCCTCTTGATCGTCGTCTGTTCGGAGGCCTACTACATTGGACTTGCCGTGCTTCTTCTCTCAGAACCCGGCGCTATCTTCACCCTCCCCATGTTCTAAAAGCCACGCTCCATTTACGATTAACGATCGCACATACATACTATATACTTCCATCGTTACGAGCGCTTCTTTCGACTTTCATATCCACTGTATTATTAGTAGGTCATTATTTATGGGGGTCTCCAACCAAGTGTAGCCTTAGGTCATTGTGAACGAGATTTGTTCTTCTTCTCTAAGCTATGGCGGCACCTGAGCACCACCCAGCATTCGATTTGTCTCGCCAAGGGCTTGGAATCGCAAGAATTTTGGATAAACAAGACATGAGGCCACCTCGAGTCGAATTCAAATGAGGCTATGTCCTTCATCTTTCGTCACTACAACGTAGCGCATTCCTTCAAACTAAGATGAGATGGTACACGCATACCTGTGTGCATTCAATTCGGCTCCGGCCGTCGTTCATGACAGAGTTTCAGACGCGTAAGAGCCTCGCAATACGCTCTTTCCAGCTGCGTTCAATTGAGTAGACACGTCTTCTTTATTGACAGGTATCACCGAGGAGAAGGATATCCGGATGAACCTCGGTTGCTACTTTTGTCGAGCTGGGACGAGCATCGGATGATGCAGTGCCAGGGGTCGTAAATGGCTGCACCACGGTATGTACTACGAGTATTCAGGAGTCAGGTATGTAAACGTTAAACGCCACAAGTTCACAGCTTGAAAACGTAGATTCCAGGTTAGGACGAGTGATCAACTTCTCCAATTAGCCACCCACCTAGATCTGCTGGTTGTACGTCAATGTAATCCTCGTGAAGCGGTGGGCGCCGGGATAGGTGCAGTAGCTGTTACATCGAAGCACCCAGCGGCGACACAGCGAGAATACGGCCCGCTCACGCTGGTGGTGTACGCAGGTTCCTGTCCATCGGGGCAACGGATCTGAGGGAACCCGTCGGGATTCCCCGCACACGTCTCTTTGGGCCTGGGAGCGCCGCTAACTGTCGTCCGCGGACCACATCCTGCACAGACACAGTACCCCCACTCGTAGTCGGGCAAGTAGGTGTATTGGAAATTTTCTGGACAGGCGAATGGTGGGCAATAGAGGGTGCCTCTGGAGCAATCTGTCGCAGTGGGAGTTGGGGTTGGGTCGAACGACGTCAAGGTACCGGTAACGTCGCGTTGCACGACGAAGGCATGGGCATTCGTCAGGAGAGAGGTTGAGAGAAGGGCGACAATGAATCCAAGAGTCATGTTTCTGAGCCCCTTCCCACAGGAATTGGTTTATCTATTATATACATTTTTCCCAGCGACAACGGCAGAGCATAGTGGATGCTTGCCGAAAAACGATCGGTATCGTAAGAATCGCGGGTATCGGACACGGCTGGGCAACTTGAAGTTTCGACGAGACTCCCTTCGGCCAACCTGAATTCCATAGACGCACAGGAGGGTATAAGCTTTGAAAGCCTGAAAAAGGGTTCAAGGATGTCGAAGTAAGATGAATTTTAGAACCACATGGACAAGGTCCTATAGAAATAGACTGAAGCCGCAGTGTAGAGGAAAGATGGCCCGTGAGCGGCGCACATCCGCGTTTGTAAGACTTGTTCAAAACACTCAAATTCGGTATGTCCCTTGAAGGCCAGCCGCGCCAAACAGCTTGCGCTCGAGGCAAATAAAGGAAGTGTAGTGTCTCGGACTCCGGTGGGCATAGGGACGCAGGCGCTCGTCACTGGGCGGGCTACGCCTTTGCTTTTCATCCCCTCACATCCCTCGCAGTAATAACAGTCGGTCTTGGTGAGATGCTAACTTCGACCATAGTACCAGTCCTTGGATCGAATCGCATAACGGACAGGAGAAGTCAGGAGGAATGCATAGATGTCGATGCTAGCAGGTGACAATGGCATATCTATACTATGAGGAGGCGAGACAGAGGATTCACGAGATAATTTGGCCGGAATGGTGAAACTACAGCGACTGACAACCTATAAGAACCAGACTGCTTTAAAAGGTCTTAGGAACTCACCTCTTTTTCGTGGGGTTGCGGAAGAAGCGTTCTCCAAAGTTTCTTTAGATTGTCATTAGGCACAAAGCGCCCCTCCGACTTGATGATTTCCTCGTCGAACAGGAAATCAGACTCCGTTAGGGTGAATTGTGAGGGAAAGATAGGGTCTTGAGATATCCCTCTCGTGTAGGTTACCTCCTGGACGACATACAGAAACCCCGCGACAAATACGAAAACGACCTTTTCGAGTTCAGGGAACTCGCTGAAGACGCACCGTATTTGCTCCTCCGCCTGAGACCTGGCACCATTGATAATACCAAGGGCCGTAATTCTGCCTCCGGGGCTTTGAAGGAAATTTGGCAATGCAAAGAGAGCGTCTCCCGCAGGAATATGGACACCAACCATCGGTTTGATTTCGCATGTGAGAACGGGGAAGAAGTGAGGGGAGGCGTGAAGGAAGACAGAGAAGTCGGGAGTCCTCCATCGGAGTTTGTGATCGTCCGAATCCGTGGTATACTTCGTGACATCGGTGGTCGATTTTGTGACCATGGACGACTCAGTCCCAAAGCTGATATCTATATCTCCAGAGTCGTTTATGGCGACTTGCATGCTCCTCTCGTTGCTGGCTACACTGTCCGTCAGTCTCAGCGCGGCTTGAAAAAGTGGAGAGCCTTGCCTCCGTCGTTTTGTGACGCGCCGGGAGCCTCAGTCGTGTCCATGTTGACATCGTCGTCCCAATCGCCACTGGCATGATCATGCCCAGACTCAGTTCCGTCCAGCTCTGAATTGCTGGAGGGCTTCTCACGAGAGTCCTTGTAGCTTCCTTCAACTATGTCAACGCTATAAGATTCGACATCTATCCGGGATCGAATGAACGGAAGTTCTCCGTGTCTACGTATTGCTGGAACGCACCGTCAATTGAATTATTAAACCTTGAGTCCCCCGATCCTGACCCATCTTGTCTTCTAACCCCAACTTCCTGGGTACGATCTTATTGAGAACGCGTGAGCTGTCTGAGAACCAAGTGACTGGGCCAAGTTCTTACGGGCACCGGATGGGTTGTTGGCTGTCTGTTGCAGAGGCAATCTTTTGGTCTGTGACCGTAACCTATAAGCAGAAAGAGATGGAGGAGGACCTATTCCGGAAACAGAAAGATTCTATCGTCAGCAATCACAAACGACACTGATATCGAAATGAAGGTAATGCCCGACTTACGTGGGACATGGTTCCAACTCGCAGTACCCCGTCGTTTTCGGCCCGTTTCTTCATATCGTCTTTGAGGAGCAGTCGAAAGACGGCGTTCATCAGTTCTAATAGTTTGACATAGGTGATTAAATAGTTTGCTGACGCAGTGATAGAGTAGATGCTCTTCCTGCGGCGAGAATAGGATATCGCTTACTACCTGCCTCATATCCTCACCGAACTCTCGCTCCAGGGTGGACAAACGTGAGTTCGGAGGGAAAAAGGATTGTGTAGTAAGGTTAAAAGGAAGATCAGAGTCCATCGATGAGGCAGAACAATTTGAACGGTGGTGCTGGTGCTGGCAGTGGTATGTACAGTCTTAGCCTATGTACCAGATCGGCGGTCCGCAGGATTGATCCCATCTGATCACAGTGTTACGATCAACCGGAGGAAGCCACGTGAGCTGTTCACCTCCCTCAGCCTTCGCCTACCCCACCCTGACAGTGACTGCCACCACAGAGCACTCGCTTCCCTAGCGTTCCTTCCTAGTCCCCATTTTCAAGTAATGTCTACCTACGAACTATCTGAATCGCAAAAGAAGGCATTCATCCAGAAATACAGCCATCTTCCGCGCCCATTCTTGCCGTGGAGGTGGGAAAAGGTTCGTCCATTCCCTGCTCGGTTGATCTAGTGCCAACACAATTTCCACCTGTGTACAGGACACCGACCAAACACTCTCAGAGTGGGCATACGAACTCGCAGGGGTGTGTCCCCTAAAACACATACCCCGCCGCCTGTATCTCAAAGAAGGAAAGGGCAAGCGATTCCAAGCACCGCGCTTTAACTTTGGCTGGGCCATGGACTGCAACACCCTATGGGACATCGCTCACCGATGTGGTTTCTCAGCTGCCTACGAGGGCTGTACGCTGGCCAATGAGGGGCTGGGGAACGACGGTCTCCCTCATAAACCTTATATCCAAACGGGCGAAGCCACCCGCCTCTTGAACTCTATCCTCGAGGAGAGATTCCCCGAAATCCTGGCTGACCTGGGAGGACATCCGGTTTGCGTCGAATTAGCCCGTTCGAAATGGGATCAGGCCAGCCTTTGCATCTCCATCACCAACAGCTATCAGAGTGGAAATAAGAAGCCCAAGGAGGAACATATCGCCAAGTTGGTAGAGTTTTTCGGCATTGGGCGGAAGGAGGATGGGAAGAGTGAACCGTACGGTGGTCCAGAGCCGGCGTGGTGGCTCGATGGGTTGTGGTGTGTATGGAGGTGGTACGATGCGAGGTTGTATAAAATCGAGATGGGACTACTTAAGGAGCGGTACTAAATCCACCCTTCGCGCTGTACGTATATCTTTATTGCCCGGCGGCCAATTCAAAGGACCCATTCAAGTTTGTCTCGTACAGTAGACGACAGTATGATCTAAAGCTTCGATCTTATTAAGGTCGATCTTTACCATCAAGCTAACACTATTTCCCGCAAAGCTCCGCCCTCCATTACTCCCAAGAGACTTCATGGTGGTGATTGCACCCATAGTGACGCCTTTCTTCGTAGGAGAGGGTCTCGACGTGTAGTGGTTGATCTTGTGCGATTCGGAACTCAGGTCGAGGGAATGGGAAGCCCCGGAGTGACCTCGAGTACGTCGCGATACCGTGTGCGACAGCTTGCGCGTTGACTTCGAAGGTTTCGAGGCGGAGGTTGTCAAAGGTATCGCAGACAGCGTGGTAGCATTGATCGTAGACGACGCCTTCCTGGCCTCCCCACCTGAAGTGCAGTCAAGTCAGGGCGGATATGAAATTTGAATGCAGACAGAGGATGACAACACACCATTCAACACCCTCCTTCGTCTTCACACCCTCGTGACCTGTGAATACACCACCAGCTGGAATACCGACTTCCAAGAATGGACCGTAGTCACTCCTGCCCGTGAAGTTCGAAGGAGCACTCTTCAACTTCCGTTCCCTATAATAATCCTCATACAGCCTCTCAATCTGCGCGCTGCCCTCAGGACCGGGTCGTTGGAAAGTATCGCCATCGCCATCGTAGATGAAGAAGCCGGAATTCGGGGAGGCGATCATGTCGAAGTTGAGGTAGAGAGCAATCTTTGATAGGTAGGATGGCGAGGCGTTGCGAATGTGGTAGGTAGAGCCGACGAGACCGAACTCTTCAGCTGTCCACCAAGCAAAGCGAACAGCGTTGTTGAGGCGGAAGTTGGTTAGTTGGAGGGCGACCTCGAGGTTGGCGATTGTGCCGGAGCCGTCATCGTTGATACCCTAGAAGGCATGTTTAATGTTAGCAGACGAAACGAGATGAAGGGAAGGATATTTACAGGTCCTGCCGGCACAGAGTCCGCATGAGAGCCACTGAAGACGACGTTATTCTTGTCACCGTACTTGCTCTCCGCGATCAAGTTGCTCGACCATCGTTCTTCGACCAGACCAAATGCGTCCAGATGCCCCAAGATTTCTTCCCCATAATCAAGTCTTGCCTTGAGCCGACGACCGTTAAGGCCAGAGATGGAGCCAACAGGGACGTACGGCCCTTCAGGACGGCTCACACCACCAAGAGAGCCGCCCGCGAACTCGGCGTCGACGTCGTTGTATACGATGACGCCTGCTGCATTGGCAGCGCCTGCTAGGGCTACCTTGATGCCGTAGATGCACTCGCCCCGCTCGATGAGGACTATTTTGCCTGCGACAGATTCGGGGAAGTGTTCCTGTTGAAAATCACAATATCAGCACAATGCGGGAAATATTGAGGGAGGGGAGATAGCGGAGACTCACGGGAAGACACCCAAACTCCTCCAACGCGACCAGAGGGGCGGACACATTTCCACTCGGAGCATAGAAAAAGCTCTTGGTCGGCAACGCCTCCACACTTTCTCCGCTCTCAATCCGGAAGTTGGAACTCGATTCCGAGTAGGTGTAAGGGAGACTCTCGTATCGAGTGTCGTAGTACCCAGTCTTGTCCAACAATTCCTTGATGTATTCGATGGTCGCGTTGTGCCCTGGCGATCCGAAGGCACGGTTTGGCTGGCGGGGCGAGAGTTCAGCGAATGATTGCAGCTTTCGGGCGTGGCGCACGAGGGCACGTCGGGTAACGAGGCGTTGAAGGGCGCGAGAGTCGATGAGGGGTTTCCGGTTATAGGATTCTACCGCAAGACCTTGGGCGGAGGCCAGGCCGAGAAGGGAGAGCGTGACGAAGGAAAGGTAGTTCGCCTTCATCTTGGAGAGGCGAAGGGGTTGTCGAGGGGCTCGGGGTGTTTCGATGCGAGCTGCCAGCTTTATACGCCGTCCTTATCCCCGACCATTAGGTGAAGCATACGGAATGATAAGGTTAGGGACAGGGGCGGCGTGCGCTAATTGGCTTGGTGTAACGATGTTGTCGAATGTAACACCATGGGTTGAGGTCAGGTGGCCAGTATCTCTGTGAGGGTTCAATGAGGGTCTGTGGAGAGAAGCGAGATTCTCGTAAAGAACGGTGTGGTTCGTTGGGTCTAGCATTTGGAGAAGAAGCGAGGTGAGTGTCAAGAACCATGCAGCGCGCTGGCGCCATACCTTCTTCTAATGCTCCCGCATTGAGTTCGCACGCCAAGGAGCGACGGGCGCTTATTTCTTTGAACAGTGGGACGCTGTTCACGGCACCTTGGTGTGGAGGAAGGCGGTTATGCAGGCTTTCGAAAGGCCCGTCGGAAAGTAAATTACACTTTCCTCGATGAGTACCAGATTATAAGCAGAAAAGCCAATCAACCCTCGGTTTTACATCGAGGCTGGAATCCATCTATATCCGAGCTAGATAGAAGTTGATCCATCGCGATGTGATCCTTGACCATGACTTGCCTTTAGATGAATGCAAATGCCACTTGACACCGATACATATAATTAAATAAATGGATTGCTATCTACTTAAGCATGGGAATTCGAATTTGCCATCGGTGGTTCGGCAACCTGAGAACTCTCAGGCCGCTCCCCAGCCTTCTCATCCACGAACACATGCATTTGCTCTCTCTCCCACTCGTAGTCAGTGACTCTCCATTTCTCCGCCATTCCAACCTCGTTCGTACGCCTAGGGCCAATGTCCCTTCCCAGCTCTCGAATGACAGGAACCCTTCTCGTGCTGTACCCCGGATCGTCGTCATCATCGTCGAAATGGATCCCGTCTCGATCCGCTTCGACGTCGGTCGTTCCTGCGGAGGTGGTACCTTTCGATTTACCCTTGACGTCCTCAATTGCAACAGGGTTAAATTGAAGTGTTGTGATCTCTCCTGCGGATGTCGCTGATTCCCGCCGCTCCCACATCTTAATCTTGAGCAGGAATCGGGCAGTGAGGAGGCCGGCGAGTCTGTTGGGCGCATGGAGAGGCGGTTAACAATGGGTGAAGTGGGTGATGAAGTACTCACGGGAGCTTCAAACTGTTCATCGGTCGGATGACGGTTCCACCCCATACTTTCTGCGAGAGAGTCAGCGGTGGGATCGATGTAGAGGTTTGGAATCTCACCAAGTTGAACGTGGCCGTTAGAATAGATAAAGCGAAGACGGCCGTGATGTAGATGAGACCTAAAGTTGACCGTAAGCCAATGCGATGGCTCCTAGCACAGATTTACTCACCTTGAGAAAAGATGACAGCATTCAAGGTCGCCCTGGGGTTCTCCCAAAACTTCTTATCGTTTCTGAGAGTCCTTAGAGCTCGAATAGCTGCAAACAGGAACGAGAGAGCCTCGAAGGTCATCATCAAAGCACCCGTAGCAATCCCAACTGAAATCAGAAGGTTAGTGCCAGACGAACGGGCGACAGCCAAGGCGTCGGCTTACCTCTGGAGGGAACAGACGAGGATAAATCAACACGTTTCAGAAAGAGTCAAGGAAGGATAGATGTGCCACGAACTGTTCTGTTTGCTTCGGCTCAGCACATCCTACTATGGGCCCTACCTTTTCAGATATCATTAGCGACACCGTACAGTGCCTGAATTCGAAAGAGTCGCCTACCTGCCGTGCGTAGGCGATATGTGCGCTCGTAATGGCGATTCGCATCACGACCACCGAAAGCCCGGTCAGACCAATCAGGGCGGCGATGATTTTGTTGCCATCGCAGATCGCATATGTTCGTAGACCCCAGACGGCTAGAGGTGCATCCTCCGTCGTCAGCTTAAGATCGATTCGGGAGAGGTGAGCATGGGGCCTACTGATGATTCCAAAGTGCCCAAAGGTGCTGAGGACGCTCGCCGTTAGCCTAACCACAATGCATCTAGCGGGGACGTTAATTAAGCGTTTCGATCCGGGGATGGAATCGGTGTCACTAAAGGATAGAGATCAGCTCGCCGAACGCTTAATTAGATTGGGAAATCGAGGTACCCTTATCTCTATGTTCGACTTGAACAAAAGGTAGAGAAGGTTGGCCGCCAGGGAGTAGCGGCAGCAGGCATACAGGAATGTGATAAACCTGAAAGGGTTCTTCCAGATGTACTCCACCTCAGCGGGGAGAGTGAGGAGGTAGTCGTAATATAACACGACTGCGTGGGTACGTAACGTTAGTCACTGTGACACAGACAATGAAGGAGCATGCTCACCGACACTGGAAGCCTGCAGGCAATAATCGGCCCTGTTGTGGGATTACGGAATGGTAAGTGGGACTGGCTTCGACACCTGGGGACGCCAGGAACTGAATGGCGTTCTTGTGAAAACGCACGTACCGTGTGAGGAGGGCCCTTGTGATAGCTGCGGCTTGGGAAGACATTTGGCTACCCAGAGGACGCCTCGTGCGTGTGGAATGGGAGGACCTTGCAGGAAGGATCCAAGTCGACAGTAGACCAAGGTTCAAGTACTTATATTACCTCGGTGACACAAGAAGCGTCGGAGGCATGCCATGGACCATCAGGTACGTGACATCGAAGCGATGGAGTGTTGTTGTGCCGCGCCTGCAAGGTTGTTGAAATAGCTTATCAGAGTACAAATTAATCGTTGGTCTTAAGGTGCCCGTCCCTTGAATGTCGAATAGCGGAGCTACCGACTTAGACCCCTCGAGTATTCTCCTCATGTTGGAACGAAAAGGCACCGATGGCAGAACGGACATGCATAGAGTCAACCCTGAAGATGGTACAGAGAACTCCAGGAGTAGTAATGTCCCTCTAGAAGCTCGTTTAAGTGTATTGCGGGAATACGCTTTCACATTCTCCCGCTTCTTTATCCCACCAGCACCGTAGAAGAGGGGATTCGATGCACGAAGTTTACCGCAAGAAGAGCGGTGGGGAATTGAAATCCCGAAATCAATGATACGCCCTTGATTTCGTAAAGCTAACTTTACGGCGGAGGATTCTTGAAGGATAAGATAAGTGGAAGATGAAGGAGGACCTAGCTTCCGAGGATGCAGAGTCTTCGAGTTCGCGACGGCTTTGAGAGCTATTGGGGCATCCTCCTGACATGCATCGACCTTGATAAGGCCAGGTATGTGCATCAAACCATATACACAGATGGTGAGACCCGTCGAAGGAGTATTTTGCGAAAGGCTACAAGTATTCAGAGCGGTCGGCAGAAGAGGCGGCAAAGGAGACGTGGGTGCAGTAACGCATCCGGACCACGCGAAGCATCGAGACAGGATTGTCGAGATGGTTATCCAATACTGCTGATCATCAGGTTCAATCGAAGACGCCCGGGGTTCGAGGAGGGTCAATATTGCAGCGGTGGAGCATCAATGTTAGGCGCCATATATGAGAGCTTCTCGAGTGCAAATTCCAACCGTGCTACGGTTTAGTGTGTCGTGCTCGAGTGGGTGTTGCCGTCAGCCGCGCAATTTTTCCCTTGAGTCGCCGCTGAAAGACCGCAAGAACTTGTCGTGTGAGGAGTCTAGGGCAGCTCGAGCCAGGTATAGGCCTTAAAGTGGGCGAATTGTCCTTCACGTTGCAGTCGGTAGATGTCGTTGTCCCGTTCGTTCGATAGACAGGTCGAAGAAAGGCATCCATAAGCTGCAGCGGGTTCGTCTTGCGGCAAGAACGATTCACGAAAATCCCACTGAAAACGTGCCTGCTAAGTTTCCACTCCGCTTGATCTGGCGCAGGCGGAACCTCTCGGCAACCCGGCACTACGCAGCCAGCCTGTTCACCGAGTTTGCTTTTCGTGACTCTCTCACCCCCATCGAGTGGCCACTAACTGGCATTGCTTCTTCTTGAACCACGATGGACCCCAGACGATGGCGACGAGGTGCAATTCAAGAGCTTTATCGTCTCAAGCACCAACAACGAATCCAACTTCCACGCAACTTGCGACCAGGAGCTTCAACTGACTGCGACAAGGGTGTCCGAGACGCTACCCAAGTCCCTCTCCACGACTCACTCCACAGCGTGCCCAATGAGGTTGCTGTTGGTATCATCCTTGACGTCCTTCAAGACTGGTTTCTTGACGTCTGTATCAACTCTTTTACATATTGTTTCGTGCCCATCCGACGCATCTTTTCCCACCCATTATCGTCAGTCTGCCGAGCCTGGCGCGATGTTTACCTTCATTTGATCCTTTGCTCTCCTGTAGACAGGATAAGCGCTGGCGGGGACTACATAGGGTGTACCGTGGAAGAACTCGTCACCGTCCAAAAGTGGCTCCCAGGAATCAACATCCAAGGATGTTTGGTCTTCCTCGGTGATCCCAACGAGCCCTTATCGACCCTTACTCCTGTCAAAGACTCTACACTCATTCCGTCCGATCCATCCATCCAGTCTGCGATTGAGGCCATTGAATGGGTAGAACCCGGTACCGTCTCGACTCCGGTCGCATCACCTCCCGACATCGTGGAAGCAACAATCGAGGTGTGCAGAGATGCGTACCAGAAGGTGGATCCCTCGTCGTGGCAGAGCCAGACCCATCGAATGATCACTCTTCGCAACTTCCTGGTCGACGAGTACCTCGCTCTCGGGGTGTCATACTGCTCCCAGCTAGTCGCCGCGATTGACTCTTTGCCCAATCTCAAGAGGGCGGAGCTTCCAGCCTGGATATGGGCTTTAGCCTACACCAGTGCCGTCACTTCATACCCCCCATCTGTGAAGCTTGGGGGCTCAAATGCCCCGCTCTCAACACACGATGGAAGGCACTTGGTCGATCTGGTCGGGGAACCCGTTACCTCAGCGGAGCTTGCCCAACAGCTGGAGACGCTGATGAACAGGGTCAATTGTATCACTCTCGTGGGGTACCCATTCAGCATCCTTGGGGTCTTCCTCTATACGAACACTTATCCCGAGGAGCTGCAACATTACCTCGTGAATCCAGGGGAGCAAATGGTACAATTCCTCGGAGGTGGCCTTACACAGCTGTTGCTGCCCCGCGCCAGGGTGCCGATGCAGACGACAAGGAAATTGAAGGCCTTTGGGTGGAGGTCTACCTCGCAGTGCGAGACCGCTTGGTTTGAAAATCTACTGATCGCCATGATGGAACAGGAGCACACCAGCCCCTCTCCAGCATCTGCTTGGAATCTCGAGCATCTTCACCTCACAAACAGTACGCAACCAAATCGCTCTCAGACACAGATACTTATCTAAAACCGCTCCGATTTCCAGATGCATACTGGGGACATACTCCAACCGCTTTCATGTCAATTCCACTAATCCAACAATCCAGCGCCACCTTACGAACGCTCATCCTTTCGTTCAAATTCGCAACTGACATGATTGTCGTGCCCCCCTTTCCCGAGGAACAGACCCATCAATGTTTATTCCTCCGCCAATTTGACGAACTCTTACCCAACATCGAGTACTTCGACGTCACTGTCTACGACATCTGTCCTGCGCTCTTCAGCGGAATCAAGTGGCGTCCGAAGAAGCACGGAGGGACGTTCATACTCACACGAGCTGCTGAGCTATGGTACCTCCATCCGTGCCCCAATGGTCCCTTTGCCCAGGGACAGGTTGCCCTTGAACCAGACGCGCTTTCCGGACTCTACATCACCAACCTCCTCGATCTCTCTAAATCTCACTTCGAGGAGATGCAAGACTGGGACGTGCAAATCAGAGTGGAATCGCGGGAATGTATCACAGGGCCGACTAAGCGACGACTGACTGGGCGGAACGAAGGTATGCTCATTGCTTGCGGTGAATCATCGTCGTCTGTGTTGGTTTCTGATCGACGGCCTTCAGAGGGACCGTCAAAATACACCATCGCGTTCTCGCCCTTCTCCGATGTGATCACGCTGAGGAGGTTGCGGAAGAGGTCACCTCCCCCTACCATCACGAATTCCGAACGGTGTGGGAGTTGGGATCAAATCTTTTATAGGACCACGGTGTCGGAATTCGTTCGATGGGTTCGAGAGAATCGGTTAGATCTCAATGATGAAGTCGCTGCGCCCAGATTCAGGCCGTCGGGGTTGGTGCATTGGTTGGAGTATCCTTGGGGCATTGGAAGGGACGATGACGATGAAGTGGATGAAGAGGATGAAGAGGAGGAGGAGGACGATTAGGACGATGTCGGCGATGGAGACCAATGTGGCGATTACATCGTCGAAGTGCGTTCTAATTTCTCTGCATATATATGGTTGTCAATCTATCATCATCCGAGGTCGTTGATGATTCAAGCACCTCACTGAGTCCCTCGCACTCGGTTGCGGGTGAGAAGAGTCACGGAAATCAAACTCGGTGGTTACACAAATAAATCATTCACCAATCAACTTCACAAATACCGTTCCCTGAACACACTATCCATATCCTAAAGCGCTAGCCATCCCTACACATCCATCCGAGTCTAACGCGTCCAGTACGTGTCAGCTCAGTACGCGTCGGCTCAGTAGGGCGTGGTGGTGGTCACGGTGGTCGTCGGGTTGAGGTATCCCTTCGTGACCTCCCAAGGCCTGTTCGTCTTGACCACCTTCGGAGTCGTGGTGGGTTCGGTGGTGGGGTAGATTTTGGTTACACCGGGGAGGACGAGCTGTGGAGAGTATATATGTAAGTATAATATAATATGTTATCATTTTGTCAGCGCGGCGGCGCCGCGGTTGGGGTAGTAATACTGGGTTGATAGTGGATGGAGGTTTGGTGCAGATGGAGGGTTGGGCGGATGGAAGTTGGTAAGGGCGGAAGACTACTAACCTTTGTCGCTTGAGTACCTTCAAGATATGAGAGGGATAGGAAGAGGAAGGCGACGAGGGGGAGGTACTTCAAGTTTGAGTTCGGCATTGTGGTTAATAATAAGGTAGACTATCCAGCGAGTTTGGAGATGGGTTGCTGGAGGACTGGGGAGATCCGGGGGTCCCTCTGAGCATCGTTTGCTTTATTTTATAGCATTCGAACGAGAGTGATTGAGCGTCTTGAACCCGCAAATCATCTTATTATGATACCGCTTGGGAGATTGTCATGACACGACACGATTGCTATCGTGCCATGGGTTTACCGTTTACCCGATACCTGTATTTACCTGACTCGGAGCGTTGAGCGTTGAGCGCTAAGTAGTAAGTGGTAAGCACCCATCTATCGAGGGACGGGGACGGGGACGGGAGAAGCAAGCTATGATACATACGAATGATAAAGTTCCTATCAACATAACATGAACTTAAACGAGCCAAGTACTAGTATGTCACGGTCAACGCAGGTCGAAAACTGAAGACTCGAGAGTCCGTTTCCTTTTATCTGTACGTAAGTAGACCAGAATATAGGCGCCCATCGCCTCTTCAACATTTCAGTGGCTTGACTCCCGCATGACAAGTGTTTATTTTGTGCTTAAAACTTGAAGTCTTCATTCCACATGCGGAGACGCGTGGATGTACTTCTTTACGAAGCTAGGTAAAGTGGAAATCCCCGCCGACCAGCGGGGCTTGGGGATGGAGTTAGTAAGCGCCCAAAGAGTGGCCGTTGTCTAAGTCAAGCCTGAGTTATTTGAGCCGTTAGTTGTTACTGCACATGAACGTTCGGGATCGCGATTCGCCATTGTAGTTAGATAACATGTAGACCCTGTCGTAAACTTTGTCCTCGGGGTTCTACTGAGTAGCGCTGGAGGCCAACCATATTTACCTATCACACGCGCTATACAGTTTGGATGTAGAGAAATAGAGCGTCTTGAGCCCGCAAATTATGATAAGTTCCGCTTGGGAGACTGCTATGATACCAGTCGTACCGTGGATCTACCGTTTACCCAGACAGCTGTAAATATCTACTGACTCCTGAGCGCTAAACATCCATCCGTCTATCGACCGCCAAAGAGGCCACTGATTGAAATTCGAAGATGTGTGCGCTGAGGTCTTCGCTGACAGCCTTCTCCCTGGACGGGAGAACTCAGAAGCCAAGTGATGTCCTCATGATCATGATAAGCTCAAGAACGATAACTTAGGCGCCCCGCGGCCCATCGCTTCTGAAAGACCCGACGCGCAGTCTCGGAAGCTGCGCAAAACGGACAATAAAGGAAGGAAGAAGAAAAGATTCCCTGAAAATCAATAATAAATGAATAAAAGAGAAAAAAAAAAGATCTACCCCATTACAAACCATCCGGTACTTCCTGACTTAATACCAGTAATACAATATTCCTGATGTTTGTTAAGGCCCAAGGAGTCACTGTGGTAGTAGGGTAATTCTTCGTCGCACTCCATGGGGGGTTCGTAATCCCCTTCTTCGTCGTCGTCGGAGTGGTGGTGGTCACGGGGTAGTCCTTGGTAGCGCTCCAGGGCGGGTTAGTCGGTGGGACCTGCTTTTCGCAGTCAGTCGGTGTGAACCAACGGTGGAAATTGGAGAGTCAGCCATCGTGAATCATGTACGATTTGAGACTCAGACTCCTTGGATTTGAAGATGGACATTGGACACACCTGCACTGACCTTTTGAGCGAGCGCGATGGCAGTGAGGTGGGGGCCTAGCCCCATTAAGAGGGCGGTGATTGCGAGAGCCGCGAAGGAGAAGGAGAAGAACATGTTCTTCGCCATCGCAGACTGATGTGCACGTTCAAGTCGGGTGTTGTTGAGGATGATATCGAGTTTGGTGGAAAACTTAGAGCTGAGTGGAGGGGACGAAGGTGAAGGATCGCCTGGGGTGGGAATCTGGACTCGTCTGGGGCTTCTAAGGCGAAGCACTTTGTGTGCGGGTTACATGTATATATATAGTTTGAGAGTGTGTTTGATAGAACGCGTTGCCGTCAATCATGATACTATTCGAAAGATAGAAAGACTGTCATCGTTTGAATGAATTATGATATTAATCGCCGAGGACAGTGCGATGATAAACCAGATAGAAGATGATAGGCGCCCATCGCTTCTGGATAAAAGAAAAATCCGACGCACAGAAATACTCATCAGTAAACCTACAGATCACTTATTTCCACTTGTACAAGCCGAATAAGTCGAAAAAAGCCTTAAAAAGCCGAAATAAGTGCCAAAGGCGATAGGCCGTATAGGCTAGGGTCACTTTTAGAATAAGGGCCGCCTGTTTTGGGCCCGAATAAGTCCCAAAAAGGTGCGCAAGTCGGTAAAAGTCGCAATAAGTCGCTAAGCTCCCGATGGCCGGCCTGATTCAGGCACGCGGCAGTCTCTGTCACAGGAAAGCCTCCCGTAAAACGAATCTCCCTGAAGCCCACAATGGTATAATATAGGATAGAAACTGTTACATTCCAACAAGGTGTTGCAGAGAAAGAGATACGAAGCCCTTGGGTGGTCATAGCTGCGGAGGGAGGTGCTCAAATTCTACACCAAACCCACTTATCAACTTATCAACTTGGCGACTTATGGTGAGTGGAAAAGCCGAATAAGGACGAAAGTGATCTGTGAGTTTACTGATGCTTAGCGCCCAAACGGAAACTCGATCGAGAAAAAAAGCATGACGGAGACTGAGTCAATTCGGATACGGGGAATCGAACCCCGAGCTGCTGCGGACCAAACTCTCGCAAGATGAGAGGCAGCAATGTTAGCCGTTACACCATATCCGATTGAAATTTCTGCTTCAAACTTTCCCACTCGGTTGGCAAGCGACGGGATCTAATCATTATCTCGTGGATCTATCAAGGCTTTATCTATCGTGGACCAAGGCTTTATCTTATCTCTGATCAACCGCGACGATCTTCACCAGCTCATCATCATCATCATCAACAACACCGCACGCGACGACTCGGAGGCGAAGCGAACGAACGGTTTTTCTTTCGTCCACGACCATCCTCGACGCCCAACGCTCGAACTTCTTCTCACCAACCAGGCCGTAAGGGTCTATACCCCCAAAAGACTAGGATCGAGGACTAGAGTAGAAAGAGTTCGTGCCCCTCGAACTTCAGCACACAACACAATTCACAGTTAGTGTTTGCTCCCTTGACCAACACACGATTCTCCTCCTCACCCGCACCCGCTCATTGAACGCCAGCGTCAGGCTCGGCCTCTTCATCCGCTCTTCCCCCCCTTCGAGTGTTGGTTCTGGATTTGCATTGGGACCAGGGATTGGAAGGACGATGGCTATTGAATCGGCCGCTCGAGCATCGTCCACGGCGACTAGCGCTTCGTCGCTCTCGTTTACACTTTCTTCTACACATTATGCGACACCCTCCACTTCGACCTCCACCTCGACAGGGACCTCGATAGATGCATCGACTACCACCCCCGCAGCGTTAGCGATACCACCTATCGACCCAACGAAGTTCGGTCCGCGTACAGGCGTGCTTACTTTTACCCGCCCCTCCTCCTCCTCCTCCTCTTCCTCTCCCAAGGCCGACACCGAATCTATCACAATCGAAACACCCGGCCTGCTAACCACGACCTCTCGAGGCGTCGTACCGCACATCGCTTGGGACACGTATGAGCGGCATGCGGAGATGGGTCCGTTGAAGTGGGTTAACGTACCTTGGGAGAGTTTGTGCGTGTCTATCTTACTTCGTGGTCTAACTTGGTCTAACTATGTCTATTTCTAACCTTGTCGGCGTCGGTGTCGATGCGTAGCCTCGAACATAACCCACCAGTTCCAACCCTCTTCGCCTCCTCTGCTTCGGCCACGAAGGACACTAATGAGACAAAGAAACCGTTCCACCAATTCCTCGGCTTCAAACCGCGCAACCACATCCTCTCACTCTCAGCGCGGGATGCGGACGATACGAAGGAGATGCCGCCGAACGGGAATGATGTGGTGTCTGTTTCGACGTTGCGGGGTGTTCGAAAGGTGCGTTGCCTTCCCTCTCTCTTTCTTTATACCCTCTCCTTGTCCCCCATCTCCCTCGCCTGCCACTCTCCATCTCATGATCCCGAGAACCCTCGCTAACTCTCTTCACATCAACAGCTAACACCCACATCCTACCTCGCGCACATCCACGCCCTAAACCCAGACCTCATCTTCGCACTCCACGACACACCCTTCACCAACCCTCCCTACTCCCAAAAACGGCTGACGAAGAGTATCGAGAGGAGTGGTGCGTGGATTGGGACGTTGCTTGGGCTTGCGCCTCCCTCTTCGGGCTCGGGCTCTGCGTCGGATCCTGCGAGGGGGAAGAAGAAGAAGGGGACGAAGCAGGAGAAGGAGACGAAGGGGACAGAGGGAGAGAAAGCGATCGAAACGAAACTAGGCCCCGTGCAAGCACCCATCATCGCCCCGCTCATCGGCTCAACCTCGCTCCCCGCCCGCGCATACTACGCCAAAACGCTCCTCGAACCCTTCTCTGCGCTGGAGTACAACAATATCTACGGTGTTGATCCTGATGGGCATAATAAGAGTCGAGAGGGAGGGAAGAGGATAGGGTGTTTGGATGATGGAGTTGCGGGGTATAGTTTTGAGTTGAGGTCGCTTGAGAAGGATCTTGCTGCGTCCTCGCCCGTCTCCACCTCCACCTCTTCTTCTCAGCCTTCGTCTACCCCTCACCCATCCTCCGCGCCTTCTACAACATCCCCTCCCCCTCCACACCCCTACACCCCGCACCTCCAAACCTCCCTCTCCCCCCTCCCGCACCACAAACCGCGCATAACATTCGGCATCCGCTCGCCACACGAGATCCTCCTACTCGTGCGGGACGTGGGCGTGGATATTTTGGATGCGGGGTGGGCGGTTGAAGCTGGGAGTGTGGGTGTTGGGTTTGATTTTGTTTTTCCTGTGGGGGATTTGGGGGGTGTGGTGGAGAGCGATGCAGGGTTGAGAGATATCGGCCATAACCTATACTCCACAAAGTACACGATGGATTTCAGTCCGATCGCTGATACCTTCCGTGGGCCCGTGCCGCAAAACGACGTCGGGAGTACTGGTGCTGCTGATACTGCTAAGTCCATCTGCCCATGCTACGCATGTTCGCCCCGCTCGTTTGATGGAGATGCGGAGTTGATTAGGCATGGTGTTGATTCTGATGGGTGGATTTGTGGGGAGGGTACGACCACGACGTCTGCTCCAGGTGCACCCGCCGCGTCGACCTCCTCGACCTCGACCGCCACGAACGCCGCCGCATCGACCTCAACCACCACGAACACGACCTCTTCGAACACTACGGTTGCAAGCCAGCCCGGGAACAACGCACCACCAAGCACGCCGCGCTACAACCCACCCCACACCCGCGCGTACATCCACCACCTGCTGCACACGCACGAGATGTCGGCTCACGCGTTGTTGGTGTCGCATAATTTGGCGGTTGTGGAAGCGTTTTTGAGGGGTATCCGGGGGGGTTTGTTGAACCCTTCCCCGTCTACTTCGGCTGCTTCCTCCGGCTTGGCGTCGTCGACCTCTGCAACCTCGACCTCGACCTCCACGTCTTCTGGTTCGAACAACGGCACCTTCTCCTCCTCCGCAGCTTCGGACAGCACGACAGCCCCAACTACGACCAGCACCACAGACTCGACTATGACCAGCACTGAAGAAACTCGAGCGAGATTCGAGAGGGAACTCGAAAAGTTCTTCCGGACGTACAAACCGCCGGCCTCACTTCTCGAGGAGGCGAAGGAGCAGTTTAGGGAGGTTGATTTGGCGAGGGGGAAGGGGAGGTTGGGGAGGGAGAGGGAGAAGGAGTTGGGGGAGAGTGTTGGTGTTGTTGAGGAGGCGTAAGGGAGAGTGGGAGGGGGGAGGGGGAAGGGGAGGGGCGTTGGTTAATTTGAAGTCATCCTAAAGGTCGTACTCTATCACACATTCTGGGGCGTGTTCGTTGTTTGGGTAACATTACACTGGGAGTGGAATTGCTTATGTAGAATGAACGCATAGGATACAAGAAACGAAAGATGATCTTTAACTCGTCGTGACAATGAAAGTTAGAGTGAGGGGAAAAAGAGAGGTAGACTAAAGGTAAACGAGGGAAAGATCGAAGGTGAAAGAAAGAACGATCGGAAAGTAAAATAGAAAGAAATGAACCAAAGGTAAAAGAAAAAACAATCGAAGCTAAAAGAAAGAAAATAAAACATCAAAGCCCAAGAAAGAAAAATCCAAACCTCAAAAACTGAACAAATCCGCTACAGTAACATAGCTAAACGAAAGGAAAACAAAATTTCTACCATGGCAGCGATTTCGGATACGGGGAATCGAACCCCGAGCTGCTGCGGACCAAACTCTCGAGAAAGGTTGGGATGAGAGGCAGCAATGTTAGCCGTTACACCCTATCCGATGTGTGGTCTTGGCAGTCAAAGAGGAGCATGTGTAGTGGGGCAGGAGGGAGAGGAGGGAGGGAGGAAGGAGGAAAAGGGGAGGAGAGAGGGGTGGGCGCTTATTTGCATTTCTTATTGGGTCCGAACTTCGATATGCGGGGTTTAAGGCGGAATGAAGGCTCGTATGTATTGGGATAAACGATGTTGAATACATTGCCAGAATAGAACGGGAAACACTGGCAAATCGAAGACGAAGAGTCTAAATCGAATGTTCGAAGTGTCGAAAACTAGGCTAATCTCGAACAGTTCTCACTTTCGCTAGCCTACACTGAACCATCCCCTACACCTAAACACTCCTTTGGCACAAAATTAGCATCCTACACCTAAACACCCTTCGGACACAAAAGATCCTCATCCCAATCCTCCGATCCCACTCCAAGGGGTACGAGGAACAAAGCCTCGGGATCGACTCTATTCTTGATCTCCTTGAGGCGGTCGTAGTGCGATCCGAAAAAGGTGGTTTTGAAGTCTTTTTCGTAGAGCATTGCCTGTAGTCAAGATGGGTAGTCAGATTATCGCGAAATGTAAGGGATGATGGGTGGAGAAATATAAAGAGAGCAGGACGCACCTCGTTGAAATAAGCAGCCGAGTTAACACTAACAGGATCTAGAATGTTCGTCCCATTTATCAACCTCTCTCTAGCCCTCTCAATAGTCTCTACATCATTCTCGTTCTCATTCCAGAACTCGCCAAAGTAGACTTCCGCAACGGCCTCTCGCCATGCTGGGTTCAACCCTGCGCTGTCGGGGTCGGGTTGGGCGACTGCGCCGCCTGCTACCGTTCTACAGGGCGTTATCGTTAGTAGATGGATGTGAAAAATAGAAGGGAGAGGAGAGACGTACGCCCACGGCGCCCCACTTGGATTCGGCATACTCAACAACAACCGCGCAACCAAGCCCGGATCCTTCTCCACCACACTCCTCGCCAACAACCGCGACGACAATTCCGCCATGCGGCCTACATTCCCCGTCGACCTCTCCCCTCCAAAACGTTCCTCGAACCACGCGTAAAAAGAGGGGTAGACTTGCGTCGTGGTCTCCGCTGTATGATTGCTTCTTTCTTGGGCGAGGGAGAGGATGGAGTTGAAAGTCTCGTTCGCCTCTGAAAGAGATTTCCCAGGGGAGATATAGACGAATTGGAGATAGGTCGGGAAGACCTGGCTGTACCCGCCCCATCCCTTATCATTAACTCCCGGATGAAGACGGACGTACTCCGTGACCATTTCCTGCGCCACCTCCGGCGAGGTTAAATTCATCTTGAGCTCGACGACGGTGAGCGGTGCGGAGGGGTGTGTTCGGTAGGTGACGGAGGTGAGGATGCCGAATGTACCACCGCCGCCCCCGCGCAGAGCCCAGAAGAGGTCGGGGTTGGTGTGGGCGTTGGCTGTGAGGTGAGTGCCGGAGGAGGTGAGGAGGGTGAATTGGAGGACGTTGTCGACGCCTGCCCAGGGTGATAATTTACATGAGTGGTTAGTGCCTATTAATTCGGAAGGCGAAGGAGAGAATAGTGCTAATACTGACCTAAGCCGTAGGTGGGGGAGAGAGCACTGTGTCCCCCACCCATCACCCACCCTCCAGCAGCACCGACGCTTCCACCCGCTGTGATACCACCTACGAGCGTCCGTCCAGCCTCGTGTGCAGCTTTATACGCTTCGTTCCATTGTACACCTGCAGCCAAGGTTATCGCTGTTAGAATGTGAATCACCATCAGCTACTATACTCCAACTCGCAAATCATTCATGTCGGGTCCAGGTGAAACTGAAACTCACCATGCTGTCCTTCCACCCCATCTGGCGCACCATCCGGCACAAAATCAGTATGAACTTGGATATCCTTCATGTGGTGCGTCCAGATAAGGAACGCCCCACGCGCCGTACTGCGGCCTAGAAAGTCGTGTCCGGTGTTTTTGACGACCAGCCTAAGGTGGTGTTCGTTAGCGAAATGGATTCCGGCTGCGATGTCTGAGGGTGTACGCGCGTCTATGCCGATGGGTGGTACAGAGCCTTGTCCACAGTTGCCAGAACCGGGAAAATCAACGCCAGGAGAACTGTGGAGGAGGAGGCACGACTCGATCGTCCCGTTGGGAAACGTGTAAGACTCGAAGTTGGGGTGTTGCATGGACCCGGGGTGGTTTGAGCGCCATGTGCCGTTATCGCTGTTCTCTCGCGCTTCTGCGCAGAGCGCAGCATCCGAGGGTGAGGAATTCGAAGAGTAGCAGGGAGAGGCAGGAGGAAGGGGACGTAAGAGGGGTTGTGAAAGTTTTAGAGCGAGGACTTCGAAGGCTGAGGGGGAAGGCCAGCATGGGTCGCCATAGATGCAGCGGCAGCCTGAGCCTTGTCTGTGGATGTCCTTGGACAGGGCAGGGAGAACGAGAGTAAGAGATAAGAGGAGGTAGCTGAATGGGTGGAGGAGGATCATGGTTTCTTTGTTTCTGGTTCACGATGGGCTCACTGCAGAGTTTATATATATATATATATATTTCGGTTCTTAACGTCACCACTGTACTCTGTAGAGCTACATCCATTTGGAGTCGCCGTATCTCGCGTGAAAAAAGTGAGACTGCGGCGTAGCACTGTCCATGTATGAAACATTGCTTCGATTCCGACACGGTTCACAGCAGTAGCTGCGGTGTTGCCAGAAGGGTGCGATAAGTCGCGTTCGTTGGTTAAAGCCGTACGGCATGCCGCCTTCTACGATGAGCGGATGAAGAGGAGAATATACTTCTTTTCAAACATCGATGTTTATCACCTCTGGCGGGTCCTTGGGGTCATCAATCGTGTTTCACACTTCAGGGTCGTCGAGTTTTCATAGAGGGGTTGTAGGCTGGGGAAAGGGTCTATGAAACGTTTTTCAAATAAGAGCATATATAGACTGTCGAGGCTGCAAGGAAGGTCGCGCGTCGAGGGACACCAGGGCGAGTCCATTGGGCGCTTAATTTGAATACCTCCGAGTCGCAATGCGCCAAGGCTTCCCGAGGCCACGTGGGCGTTAAGAGTTTGTACTAACTGCGGTGGAGAAACGAAAGGAATACTTACAGCCCGTCTCTTTGGTCATGTTCGTCAACCATCCAAGAATACCCATATACTTGGTGTCGCAAAATCCGAGTCGGAGCGCCCAAATATCAAAGGGACATTACACATGCGACTGTCTCGAGTAATGCACTGCGATCGATCCCTGTTTGCCCAGGGTCCCCGGGAGTTCAGTCAAGCTATTACATAGGGCGTCACAAGCGACCTGAACTTGAGAATGAGTCAACCCCTGGAACCCGTGCAGGTAAACCTGAGATGGAGCGCTCGTAGGCTATGCTGACGTCAACTGGAGAATATGCGAAGTTCACGCCTTCCATCACCAACGCTGGTACTGAGAACTGATCCATCGCTTTTTTACGATAGATGGAAGCCAACATCAATCCCAGTGTATCTCCCTCTCACCAATGGATGGACTCCATCAACATTGCAGTTGCACAGGACCTGATCGGTGAAGCGAACGAGGGATTCGAATGACGCAGTATAGTTTCCTTTGGCGGAGAGGAAGCAATGACAGGCGCACCGCACTCATGGAGCACGTCTACTTTGTCATCTCGGGGTTCACGTTCGCCCGTCTTCTCCAAAGCTAAATATACTCGAACACACTGCCCCAGTCGTATAAATTCTCGACGATGAATGGCGTATAGTACACATGGTTGATGTTACTCGCTTAAGCATGTCGGCTGTTCCATCCCTACACAACACTATTGGCGCCATTCAGATTTGCTCCCTAGTCTCTATTTTTCTCTTTGGGGTTCTGACTCTACAGTCCCATCTCTATTTCATGCACTATCCAAGGGACAAGTGGTTCATCAAAGCTTTGGTACGTGGGAAAGTCGCCCAAAAGGGTTCTAAAGCTCAACGATTCAACCATGTCGATTGTCGACTAGGTCACCATAACATGGTGCGCAACGTCTCCCATCCACTTGATAGGGTGTTGAGGTACATTCCAAGGTTACTCGAATTAGGACATTCGATCTGCGTCGCCGGCGAGGTCTACCGAGTGACGATCACATATTACGGCCAGCCTGAAGAACTCGGGCGCATCCCTCTCCTGCCAGTTTCGGTGACGTTTGGCGCTGTAATCACTCTCCTCGTACATGTGGGTATCATTCACCTCCGCTCTCAAAACCCTGCGTCCTAAGTATCCGTTATTGGCTACTACGCCACCCTTTCTCGTACCACTACCCTTCCAGGCGTTCTTCTCCCTTCGAATCTACCGTCTCTTCCCACCACCCTACCACTACCTCGGAGTCTTCATACTCCTTGCTAGTCTGATCCCCTTCGTCGGTAAGCTGTACGCATCCGCTCAAGCACTCAAAAACCCCGTCGTCTCGGAACTCGAAAAGCAATGGGGGTGGCTGGCGATTGCGTTGTTTTTCTGCGACGCGGGGATGGATGTCCTGCTTTCAGGCTCGTTGGTGGGGTATCTGTGCAAGCAAAGAGGGAGTCCGTTTCGTCGGTGAGTATGAGTAATTCAGACGTTGGAAGCCAGTGGAAATAACGGGCACAAAACATTTCCAAATTCTAGGACGACGGACCTTGTGGATCGACTCATACAGTATACCGTGTGTTAGTACTCCTTCATGACCGAGTCCAATTGGCTGTGTACTGAAAGGCATCTACGGCATTTTTAGGTACTGCACTTCTGCCTTGGTAAGGAGACAACCATCGACAGCGCCTCCTGAAGGACTCACATTTTTGCGTATCCCATCTCCTTCCTCAGCCTGACCTCCCTCGCCGCAGCCATAAGCGTAAGTCCTGTTATTCTCCACATTTAATCACTCCCAACCCAATTATCCTTCTCACTTCAAGCTCCTCGCCGCACCAGACACCAGTAGGCCATTCTATCCAAGGCTTTGAAGAACGAACCAGTCTGACAGAAGGTCCCATGTTTATTCGCCTCGTCGACCTTGAAGCGATCTGGCTAGCCATCTACACCTGCCTTGCGAAGCTGTACTCAAATAGCGTCCTCGCAGCGTAAGCCCCTTCTCATAATCAAATCCTCGGCAATGTGTTTCCTCCTGAAAGTAACATGTTGACCACCCGAAATATCAGGCTCAACTCAAGGAAAACACTGAGATCACGCCTCTCACCCACCGAAATCGTCTCTTTGCCAGAGCTCGGAATCAAGGACTCACAGGCGCCGCCAACCTCGGAACGAATTCACTCGGCCATACGGTTCAGTGCCAGTCCTGTCAAAGGTCAACGAGAGCCAACTCGCGGAGAGTCGGACGCCGAATTATCAACTGTTTGGACGACATCTGAAATGGGGGATCGTGGAGATATCCACGGTGTGTTCTTAATCTAATAGCTATCTATTCTCTGATCACAGAAAAGCTGACAGACTGAACGGCTCCTTTCCACAGTCTAGAAACGCTTGAGGATCAGGATTTAGCCCCGTCACCGCCTTTGGCCCCCACAGAAGCACAATATGCAACAAGCAAGCGTCATTGGAGATGGGGTTTGTGCTGACTAACGTATGGGCGCTTATCTTGGGACGTCGTATAGTGTTCGAAGGCTTCGGCACGAAGGGATGGCTCAGCCATGAAAGGAGAGGAGAACGCTTTGCCAGTTGAGATATGAGTCGCTAATCAACGCATCGTGATCGACAGTAGTACAGAAGGGGTAGGATATGTAGTCCAAGGATATTCAAGCATTACTACTTCTCCGACTCATATGTGCTACTCCCCCTTACGTCCCTCTCTCCAGAGCCTCGCGGTTGTCCCCTCTCAGGGTCCTCTCCGATCTCCTTCTCATCCACACCCGAGAGTTCGAGCGAATCTCGGCGGCGGACTGGTGCTAACCGCTCTCTTTCCCACTCATAATCATTCAACCTCCTCCAGTCAGCCAGAAGGATCTCGTTATCCATCCTAGGTCCAATATCCCTTCCCAACTCGATAATCAGCGGCGATCTGGTCTGCCCCTCCTCCGAGCTGGTAGTCTCATCCGAATCATCGCCCCCTCCCGATCCGTTTGGAGAACAGGGCTTGGGAGTCCGGTATTCCGGTTGGTTGGAGGTACCGCAAGCCTCTCAGGCTGAGGTATCGATAATTGCGGACATGTATGCCCGCTCTGGACCGTGGTAGGATTCCCGGAACGAGAAGAGGAACCAGGACGTGATCCGGGGCGAGATCCAGGTCGACTCGCCGAAAAGAGTTTCAAGGAGGGTTTAGATTTCTTCTTCCCTCGGCCCTTGACGAAAGAGTGCGTGTGCATCGAGTCTTCTATGGGTGTTGGTGTAAACTCTAAGCTCGACGCTTGCCCGATCTGTGAGGTCATTGCCAACTCGCGCTTCTCCCACATGCGGATTTTGAGGAGGAAACGAGCTGTGAGAAGACCTGACAGGCTGGTATGCGAGGGATGGATTATTGGTTTGGTAGGCAGCGGGATTAGATTCATACGCACGGGAGTTGGAAGCTGTTCATGGGGCGTGCAATGCCACCCCATACACGCTGTGCGTACGGCAGTCTGTTAGGTCCCAAATCTTGAAACGAAACGCGAGTTATGAGACATACGATATTAAAAGTCGCTGTGAGTACTGCGAGGACAAAGACAGCCCTATGTACGACGTCCCATTCGAGCGTCAGTTCGTCCTGACTGCCAACTTGATAGACAATCTGACGTACGTGATGTATAACAGCCCTATAGGCATCAAGCGGAAAGATTAGATCAAAGTACATTATGCGAATCAAAGACTGTACCTTGAGAGAATACAACAGTGTTCAAGGATGACCGTGGGTTATCCCAGAACTTTGCATCGTCCCTTACCGTCCTCCAAGCTCTAACAGCAGCGATGAGGAACGAGAGCGCTTCAAAAGCCATCATCAAACCCGCACTCGCCAGACCGACCCTAAAAGAAAACCATCAGGAAACCCACAAACCACCCGGAACGGAAAGCCGGGAACCTACTGCTGGATATACGGTGGGTTCGCGCACTGTGGCCCCGAGGGTGCATGCCTGACATAAACAAACGCAGCACCTGTGATCGCCATCCTCATGAAGATGACTGAAAGACCGAGAACCCCGAGAATCACGGAGATGATCTTGTTGCCTTTGCAGATGGCGTATGTTCGGAGGCCCCATACAGCTGGAGGACATTACATCAGAGGCTATCGCTCCAAAGGAGTCTTGGGGGAGGGAAGGAGAGACTCACAAACAATTCCGGCGTGACCGAAGATGCTGAAAATGGCAGTGACGAGGTTGACCGTGTTGCACCTGTGCGGTAGTACCCACATCAGCTGTGGGTCAGACAACGCTTCAATGAACGAATTCGACTCACTGGAATCATGGTGAGCTCAAGTTATGGACGTCAAGGTTTGGTCGTGTGACTCACCGATAAGCCTGTCCCCGGCGTCTTCAGCAATAAATGTAGCAAGTTCGCAACAAGGGCGTATCGACAGCAGGCATAGATAGCTGTACTGATCTTCCTTGGGTTCTTCCAGAAATGTTCAATCTCAGCTGGAAGAGTAAGGATATAATCGTAATACAGGAGCACGACGCTGGAAACCTGGAGGCAATAGTCGACCCTGGTTCAGGTTCAGTAAGTAAACCAAATCCCACTGTTTCGGTGCAAATGAACACATAACATACCGTGCCAGCAGCAATTTTCGAACCATCTGAATGGCTTCCTGCGACATGATTCCGGTGTATACTTCTTTCTTTCACTGGCTTCGAGTGACACACTTCACCCAGGGGAAGTGAGAAGAGTTGTGGTGACAAGAAGGAAGGAAGCACTGGCAAGGAAGTGGATGGACAAGAATAGAAACGACACAGTCCAACAAGTAACCGTCAAACCAGCATCCCAGCTATATACAGTCTATCCGCATCGCTATCCCCACGACCATCCCCGGGGTAACTAGTATCTACCACTCCTCGGAATCCGGATTCGATTCAGAACCCCTCTAAGTATTCAATATACTTACTCACATATAGTCAATGGTCAGCGGGGCGTGGTGCGCTTTCGACCCAACCAGCAAGTGTGCCCACACAGTTGTGCGGCGGTAAGGGTAAGAAGCAAGATGAAAGGGCAGGGTGCAGAGGGCGAATTGGGAAATAACACGGCTTGGGAAGCGAACTCGACAGGGATGTTGATGTGAGGGAAGCCAAGGTGTCAATCGGAGGCATTGCGGACGTTGCGTATTGTCCCAATGAACAGTCGAGACTCGATGGAAGGAGACCGGGGTAATGCGTCGGACCTCATGGCATCAGGATAAAGGAACAGGAGCAAATCGTCAGTGTTGCCCTCCGAGCAGCGTCGAGCCACAATATGGGAATCTTTAGCGCCCACTCCTCAAGCGAGCAATTTTGTCCAATCATTGGCGAAAATTGAACGCCTTTCCGTGGCACATTGTTAGCGGACATTCGAGTGACGAGATACAACCTTCCGCAAGAGATAGCCGTTCTTGTGACCAGGGGGTGGTACGTGGGTAGGGGCTTCTATTTCCCCACCAAATAATGATCATAAATCGCAAGCACGATGCTGTGTGGCAGAAACTGCGAAGGGTGCAAACTGATCAAATTAAAGCACGAGAACGAAGATCGTTATCAAGGCCCTTAAGCCCTCCAAGTTGGCGAGGTCTGTCCAAGTTCGTCTACACTCTAGACATTTGTGAAACAAACGAGGTCTTTACAACACTGCCCATAACACCTTTTTGTAGACCTTCGTCAGCAGCAGGAAGTTTATGCGATTGAAGGGGAAACAATCGCACCTTTCTGACGTCTGGAACATCCCAGGAAAGAATCTCGCCGGAGATCCGGACTGCTTCGTCTTCACCAAACAAAGGAGATAAAGTTCCATCCCTCCGTAAGTGTCGTGGAATGCAACTAGTTGGATATCGTCGCGTGCTTGCATTTTCGTTACTAGAGTGTCGAACCGACGCGGTGACCAGGGTCGACGCTTCGTCGAGGCTGCACGATACTCCTCAATGGTCAAGGGCTCGCAGAATATTCCAGACCAACCATGGTAGGTGTAAACGCGCGTCTTGTCAATTGAAGGGAAAAGGCCGGCATTAGCGCGTCGCCTCTGGTCCCATTCCTGAAGGGGATACTCAAGCGCTGCAAAAAGCTGACATCCAATGCGGTAAGAAGGCCAGTAATCCTTCATCGCTGTGGAGGAGAGTGTTCGTGCAAGTCAGCGACAGGAAAGGTCTACAGGAATTGGATTGAACGCACATTCTTTCTGTCGTTTGAGGCCATCGCATTCGAACCTGTGAATAAGCTGCCAATCTTCTCGCTGGCACTCTGCAGAGCAGTAACCGACTACCAAGCAGCCGCGACAGGCCTTTGGTACCGGATCGGTGCTTGTCGCTCTTTTGCCATGCTGTACGAGATATGTTCAGATAGTAGCTCAGGCGTGGACAGAGGAAGGGCTTACCATCGGATTAAAACAGAGAACGGACTTGGTGGTCGTCTTATCGACAGACAGGCGACCGTGAATATCGAGAAGAAATTTATACCCCGTGAGCCAACTGAAATACCGGAAACCAGGATGCTTCAACCTGGAGGCCATAGTCGGAGACAACGAATCGATAAACCCGGAAACCAAGTTTTGAACTCTACGAGAGATGAGGTATTGAGGAATGCGGTCCAACGCCACATCGAGTGCCTCAGGTATGTCAACACCGGTGGCGAGGATCTCAGAGATCTCTACCAAAATGCCATTCTCGAGCAAGTCAATCATCAGACACAGTCCTTCCGACCGATGTTCCAGGATCCAATGGACTGCGTCAGACATATAGCGATGGAGATCGTTGGTGGCATGATCATCGAGCCTGATGTTTCTGCGAACGATAGCTGACGCTTTGAAGAACTTGGTAGTGTATCGTTTGGGGGCCAAAAGTCGGACGAATCGTGTGTCGTGGGCCAGTGTTGCCAAGACGAAGTGAACAGTTCGGTAGATGAACCACACAGACTCCGCCTTGTCAGTCGCAGCGCTCTCAGCGAAACGGGTGACGCGTAAGATGAATGATTCGACGTTTGCGATGAAGTTGTCGAGCTTTGTTTGAGGAAGGGAGTAGACTCGGCTAAGAACCTGGTCAGATGCTTTGTGAGAAACAGCTCCGCCCAGTACGTTGGCCACTGCGATGAGCCACTTGTCCCAGTCTTCAGGATTTGGCGTTTTCGATGGAGGGTCAAGGCCACTGTCATGTGTGAGTGCTAGAGCGACCATCTGCGATCCACAAGGGGAAGAGAGCAAGGCGAGCTCGAGGTTGTCGCTCAACGCAATCATGTCATACAGTTGGAAAATCGTGGCCGAGAACCTTTCCTTCAGAGGAGTGTCGGTTTGATTCAGTAGCCATAGCCTCATCGCAGTAAGGATAGGCTCAAGGTGGCTCTGGATTAAGTCGGAGAGTTGGCTGTCGAACGGCGGTGTCGTCAGTTCCTCAAGAACAATGTCGAGTCCCTCCAGCACGAGTCGCACAGCGGGCCCGGGTTGGTCGTTCGACTCCACATCGGAATTCTTCTTCGTTTGTAGAGACACTAGGAAAGCGTCCATAGCCTTCAGAGACTGTTCGGGGGATGTCGGCCAATCGTCCAGCAGACGGCTCATGTGTGGCACTGAGCCCAACCTCGCATACCGGAGAAGCTGGAAAGAAGTGGGGTAATTACTTTTTCCGTTCCATGGCGCAGATTCCTGGTTATATATACTCACTCTCTGAAAGCCACCAGTCTGCCCTTTTGGGCTACGCACGACGGGTGCCATAGTGAGTTGTACCCCCGCTACTATTAACCTGTGACTTCACGGGAGACCCGAACAAAAGTAAGTCAAATGTTTGCAAACTAAATAGTGGGGAATGCGAACTCACCGTGGATTAAGCGCAGAGGAGATTGAAAGTCGCAAGAGAAGGGGAACTTGGAAAAAGCGGCCATTTAAACCAGAAATGTGACCTTCGATTTAGCAAAGCTAACAGCCAGGTTTACATCGAAGAATGATGGGCAGCTCATCCCACTCACGTATAAGATAGTCGACTTCCAGTCAATACGAGTTCCACGTCCGTACATCGAAGAGAGAAGATGCACGCACCCTGATTTTGATTTCGAAGTTGTCTTAGATCGAAGTTCAACTCAAGAACCCATATTCTCGTCGAAACAACGATTCATGAATTAAGACACATGAAGCGAGATACGCGAAACATAAACTTCCTCTCCAGCCGCGAATGCTAATACTATCACCTCCAATCCAAAGTATCATCGGTGGAAACATCAGGAGAATGTCCAACCCGCTTGATCGGGCTTTGAGCGCTTGACCAAGCTGAAAAGCGAGTCAAGCGCTCATGCTTGATCAAGCCAGGGCCCTTATCTTGACAAGGGCTTGATCGCTTGGTCAAGTGTCATTCAAGTGTCCATCGAGATCAAAGCTGTGCGATTTGGCTCAAGTTTGAGGCTTTCTCAAGTGCTTGACCGTCGCTTGAGAGCAGCTTAAGGAGGGCTTTCGAAGGCAAATCCAATGTAGTATTAGCAGGGGGGGGGGGATATTAGAACAGACTAAGTAAGATAGGGAAAAGGAACCATTATAAAGAAAAGGCAAAATTGAATGATGCTAGACGTAGGTCCTAATCGTCGTCATTCTCATCGTCAACCAAATCGAAATCGGAATCATTGTCCTCGTTGGCGACGGCACTGACTGCCTGAGCTCCACCGCTTGATCGACGACGCTTTTCTGGGAGGAAGCTGAGTGCTGGCTCGACTCGGATATTCTTCTTCAAAGGTTCCTTGAGTTTGTCGACGACTTCGAAGTTCGAAGAGCTTTCAAGTCGAGTTGACCGTGATTTGTTGCCCTTCGCGGATCTCTTCGTGATCCTCCCCAGTTGCTCTTAGAGAAATCAGAAATCACCAAGCGGACGACTGGGTAAAATCTTCTCACCAGTCGTATAGAAGGAGAGTTCGCGTTTGCACTGTAGAGCCGCAAAACGTCAGAAAGGCAGCAGATATAAAGGCGAGTGGATGTAGCTCACTGCTTGGGTGGCAAGAATCAAGGGCGGAAGGAAACTCTTTGGAACGATGGTTGACCGGTAACATTGTGAGTGATGCGTAATGGACGGAGAGGACGGACGAGATTACTGAGTACAGATTGAAACAAGCCCTGCAATGGTCACAAAATATGAGCAAAAAGTCGAAGGGAGTTATAGTAATAGATAGTGCTAGTGCATACCGGGCCCGTTGGATGCTCTGGATGGTTTCGATTTCTGCCTTGACATAGTGACGTGGCAAGAAAGACGAACAAGGAGAATCATGCCTAACGGACATGCTTTCGACACGACCAGCTGTTTGGTCATTTCCCACTCTCATCGATGATCCACAAAGGTTGTTGACAATGGCGTATCATTTTTACCTGTTTCTACCCGTTAAACCATGTCAAATCAACGCAAGACGTGCAAACCAAAGTCGTACCGTTGTGCAGAATGTGCAAAAGGCTACACGACACCCGGAGGACTCACACAGCATCGAACAAGGGGTCACGAGCTGCCTATCGCCCTTCGGAAAATGGCAGAACAGCAATCTCAACATCTTGACATAACTCGCGTGACCACTGCGCAAGCTCAACTGCCCGAACCTCCTCCTCTCAGTCGTTCGCCCTCACTCGAGCCTCGAATTCCGGATGCACCAGGGACAACACCCCCTCCAAACCATGTTGAGACCCACCCAATTATCGATGGTATGTGGCTGATTTTATCTACTCTTGGGACTCGCTCATGTTCAAGTTAGGTACCCCCTGTGATTCCGAGGGCTACGACTACGACAGACCACCCCAGGATCTCCTTCAAGATAGAATTCTTGAGGAGATCTGCTACCCATTTCTATCCCCCTCCGAATTCCGCTTGGCTGATTTTCTCACCGGAAATATCGACGAGCTCGTTAGCACCATTTGAATTCCATCTTCCGTGCGGCACTTCTCATTGGTTATGCTGCGAAACATCGAATTCCTATTCAATACGGTTTCTACTATACTCATTCATAATGCACATGAGATTGTTAGTTGATAGATGCGAATGTAAATGCAGGCTCTCCTCGAAGGCATTCTATGCACAAGTGATGAAGAAAAAGCTATGGCGTAAGCTGTCATTGCAAGCTCAAATGATCCAAGTTCGTGCGCAAGTCGCGCAAAGCTCAAGTTCAATGATCAAGCTCAAGTTCAAGCGATCAAGCTCAAGACCAAGCGCTGGCCATTTTACTGAGTCAATGACGATGGATTTACTGGGGAACGCACTGGTCTGGAAACGAAGGAGGAATGAGATCGGGCAACCGACGTCGATAAGAGAAAAGAGTACTTACGGTACCAGTCGTTGACGGCCTTGCAGGTACCCTCAGAGCAGAAGGTGGCTCCGCTCCATCCCTGACCACCGCACTGTCCGTAGAGAGGAGCGCCGCCGGTCTGAGGAGGCTGAGTGACGGGAGGAGGCTGGGGGTTGGAAGGTGGTTGGGTGACGACGGGAGGTGCGGGGTTCCCGCCAGCAGGGCAAGTGAAGACGCGAGGGCCAGGGATGGTGTAAGGGCGACCACCGTTGTTGGGGAGGGAGCCAGAGTAGATGTTGATGGTGATACCGCTGAATTAAAAGGTCAGGACCAATGAACGATAACGAGGTTAAAGAATAACTTACGGGTGGCTGCTTTGGTAGGCGCCAGGGAAGCTAACCGTGTCGGTACCAGTGGCAGATCCACCACCGGTGACGTTGATCTGAGCGCATCCAAGCTACACGCGAGAAGACGAACGTCAGAACACCTCACCGAGAGACATGGTCGGAGATTGTGGTAGACGTACGTAGAACTGCGCACCACCTTGCGAGTAGGCGCTGTGCAAAGCGATAAGCTCAATACGCATGAGGTAGTGGCCGGGAGCAATGCACTGTGGCATCGTGAAGTATTGCCAGCCGTTGTTTCTGATCATGGTGTCAACACCCCATTGACCATTGTTCAGACCCTCTTCAGCGACCTTGAACCAGCGCAAGCCAGAAGGGGAAGCGTTGGCGGCGTTGTCGACCTTGGCGAGGTAGACCATGGTCGGGCCTAATCGAATCATTCAGTATTCAAGAACGAGGGAGAATGTGAGGAGGGAACTAACCCTTGTGGCTTGCAGCGATGGGGTGGTCGGGGTCGTTGGGACCCTGAGGACCTCCGATGACATGTCCCCACCAAGCTCCAACTCGAGCACCAGCCGGGATGTCAATAACGTTGTTGTCCTTAAATTGGATGTTGTTGTTGCAGGCCATGCCACCATCGTTAACGTTTTGGATGGGCTGCAGGACGAGCGTTCGTGGTCAGCAAAGCCAAGTTGGGAGGAAAACGGAAGGCGACGTACGTTGTTGCTGCTGGGAGCACGGACACCCCTCAATTGACCTTGATCGACGCCATTAACGGAGACTTTCTATTCGATCGCGACGATGTACGTCAGAATACGATATGGATATCGATGAAGCTAGAGATTAGGCGTACCTGGAAGATGCAGTGTCCGTAGACGACAGAAGCAAAGGCGAAAACGCTCAAAAGCGAAGAGAACTTCATGTTGCCGAGAGTGCCAACAAGGACGAACTGAAGAACCCAAGACCTATTGGCAGTGGGATCCTTTTATACTTATCCTCCAGAACCAAGTGTGATCGAGAAGGCGAACCTCAATTACCCCGAAGGCTCAGGACAAATCACATCGGTTACCCCGCATGCTCTTGCCCCAAGGAAGCGAAGGATAGAGTTTGAGCCCAATAGGACGCAACCGACGTATCTGGGGAAGGGATGAGAAGGACGAGGAATGGGGAAAGAAGTGCGAGAAGGAGAGAAGGATCAATATCGCAGCGAAGATTTTTCGAATGACCATATCGATAGCATCCGAGTGGTCTCCAAACGGACGTCATAACGACTGAGAAGTCGAGGAAGCGAGTAGCAAGGGGCAGCTCGCAGGTCGTGCTGTCGCGAGGATTGTGGCGGGGAAATATGGTGGACTGGGCTGCGCAAAACCGAGATAGGTGCGTCAGAGACTCAAGGAGGAAGATGGTACGATGAGGGAACCTACGCACCAGTCAGGAAGGCAGAAATGGCGCTCATTGAATTAGACCAAAAGAGAACAGAGTTCTAATCCATCCGCGAAGGTTCCGAAGTCGAAGTCGGCGGTGCCGAGACATACGCGACGATTTTCCATATTGTGTTAGTGCGAGCTCAACCAAAGGGCCCTTGATCGTCATAGAGGTCACAGTAGAGACTGGTCTCGAAGAGATGACTTGAAGCAACCGCCGGATAGCTAAAGGGGGCGAACTAGTCAGGGAGAGTACGTTAACCAGTCAATAATACAGAACGTACTCGATTAGACCTCGGATAAAGTGGGCGTGGTTCGAATGGGAGCGCCGCGCACATGTTGCAAGTCTGGTTCGAGATGTACTTGGAACAACACCAAGGCTGCTTATGCGAGGTAGTTACTGTCAATTGAATAGCGTTTGTCGAGGGGGAAGGATGATGACCAGGTGGGAAAACCGCCGAAGAAGGTTGGATCCAAGGTGGAACCACGGATGCCACCGCTTCCTTTCAGTCGCAGAAGGGATCGAAACGCGAGTTAATATATCCGAGCAATGGTTGCCACGGAGCGCAGCGTATATGTTTCAGAGGCTGGTGTTGGTGGCTGACCTGGGGGCGCATTGGGGAAGGGTACCATATTGCGATGGGTCCCACACACGGGCGGACACGAGTGTCCACGGGGATCTGTGTCGATAGTTTTATCGTTAGATTCATGTGGCTCGAGGTTTTTGGCGACACTCACCGATGGAAAGGGGGCAGAATGTTACCCGCGAAGATGAGCATGTCGCGGAGTATTCCGAGTTGGCCCTATCGCCACGCCTTGTAGCCAGTCTGACTGCCAGCCTCGAACATTAGAAAGCACGTCGTGTTCTCAACAACACGAGGCTGTCCTGATATGGGCGGTGACCGCAGAAATACCCCGCAAATTAGAACGGCGAATTTCAGGGTTAAATGACCGCTGAGAACGAGACAGCCTATAACGGTAAGACGTGGAAGGATCCAGCGAAGCCAGCGAGGAAACCTGGCCATTCTCGATAGTTTGAGGAGAAAGGGAAATGGGAATTTCATTGCAGCAGATGCCCAGTGGGGCATCTAATACTGTGTCTCGCCTCGATCGCGTCGTGAACGCGTGAATCTTTGACCCTCTTTAGTAGACGTGACTGTCAGAATGGGAAATGTCGAGAATCGATGAACACTTACCAGTTCCGCTGCGAAACCAGCATGCCAGCATCGAGTCAGCCGACAGCGAAACGTCGAGCCCCATACAGGGGTGTGGATCGAAAAGCTGGTGGATTTGAAACCCGAGATTACTATGGTACAACAATGCATTCATCGCCCATCTACCCTACCCAGCTCCCACCCCTCGTCAAGAGACGTCGAACCTCTTCTCCGACGGCTCAGACGACGCTCAGAGCCCACCCTTCCGTACGATCTATGATCCTGTCCGTCGATTGCCAACGGCGGACCAATATCGGATCCAAACTCCTCGAAGATCCCTATTCTCGAGTGGGTTTTCACATCAGGCTCGTTAGAAGGCACTGATGACTGCATTGTCGGGATTTGACCTTGCGAGGCGCCTTGGTATTCGGCCTGGAGGGTGTTTACCTGGAAAGAAATCGAGGTTGACCAGTCCGTCGTTGTAAGTTGTGAATCGCGTTCCCAAAGTCGAAGTTTCAGCAGGAATCGAGCCGTGAGCAGTCCCGAAAGCCTAGACGATGCGCCTAAAGTCAACAGATAGCGACAAAAGGAATGGTAGAGAAACGAACGGTAGCTTTAAGCTATTGAGTGGGCGACCATACCCGCCCCATACTTTCTGAAGATATTGCTGAGTAAATCCCACAGTTCAGAGACTGGCATGGGCCGGCGTACCAGGTTGAAGATGGCGGTCAGGATTGAAAGTGCCAGCACAGCGCTGCACGGATCAAACGGAACTGATCAGAAAGAAGCATCCTTCCACCTAGAGCTAAAACGTACGCGATGTACAGAATGCCTGCAAAGGTGTAAGCGTAAACGAAACGCAAAAAATGCCTTGGTACGCACCTTGAGACAATATCACGTAGTTAATGGAGGTGTGCGGTTGCTGCCAGAACCTCCGATCCTGACGAGCTGTTTTCCACACACGGACTGCGGCCAGTATGAATGCCAGAAGCTCAAACAAGAGCATCAGGACCGCGATAGCGATTCCAACTAGAAATGGGAGGAACTTTTATAGAGATTACTCTACGAAGGCTGAGGAATTGGCGCACCCCTGAGAAGAATGTCAGTCGCAAGGCAGATTTCCGAGCAAAATTAAGACCCACTGAGTGTGTAGTGCTGATTTACGAGCACTGGAGCAACGACCAAATGTTTCGTTTGCCTAAGACTAGGTGAGTTTTGCACGAGAATAAACCATAGCAAACGCACGATTCGTAAGGCGAGGGTGGCCAATCCCAATCCTCCCAGTACTCCGGCAACGATTCGATTCCCAGCATAGATCGCACAGGTTCGTAGTCCCCATACAGCTAACAGCGGGACTTCCAGTAAGCATTACCATGAATCAAGGGACTGCGAGGTGAGAGTACTTACACATGATGCCAATGTGTCCGAAGATCGAGAGAATACCGGCAGCGTGATTCACGCCGGAGCAGCTGCCAGTGAAATGTGAGCCGTTGGTAGGAGGATTGTGTGAGACCAATTCCGCATGAAGCGTACTGCAAAATATCGCCGTGTCAGTGCTCAGCTATGCAATACGAACGAGTATCCTTGATGATCGAACTCACCCTCATTCCATCCACCCCAGGGGTCTTGTACAGGAAGTGCAACAAGTTGGCTATCAAAGCATATCGGCAGAAGGCGTACAGAGTGGTCGTAGTCTTCCTTGACAATGTCCAGATGTAGGTGATTTCGTCGGGAAGGGTGAGGATGTAGTCGTAGTAAAGGATCACTGCAAAGGGGAATCCATTCAGTCGAGTAGAATTTCATATCTTCGAGTGACTTGCGCACCGATGCTGGCCACTTGGATACTGTAGTCCGCGCTATAGACACATGTCAGACCTTCTTGACGCTTGAAAGATGGTCTAAAAAAACTCGCCGCTGCAACAAGATGTTCTCGACGTCGTCGTGGCTCGCCGACATCTCAACACGGACCAAATCCGTCTTCGACTGTCAAAAGAACCCAGTCTAACCGCCGACGAGAACAGTACAGCGAAAGTCAAGAAGGAAGGATCACCGGGGAAGCTTCATGGAGAGAAAGCCGTATGGCTGGGGTCATTAGATTCCCAATGGGCGATAGCGTGGAGGCGAAAACAAGAGAAAACGTCCGCCGCGCAGGACGCACAGCTTCGGAGCGGGTAAGCATCAGATGCTATCAGGGACAGAGATCCGATTTTATACCGGGAGGAATTAACTCCTTTCGGAGTTCCATTTACTGCGCGCTTGATCCTCAGACTCAGGGAAGCGATCCTTCAGGCCCGAGTTGGAGGAAGAGAACTGAGGTTTCTGAAATCCTCCTATCTTTAATTATATCTGGAACGTGGCTTAATTGAGGGAGATACGTACATGATACATAACTAACTGAGATATAGCACTCGAGTATATGATGGGAAAATTGGTATGGCTATACTCTGGGCATCGCTGTCGCCAAGACCTGGCTATGTGTATACCTTCGGTCTCGATATATAAAAGCTGAACTTTTCCAATGCTAAGAGGACAACTGAGAGCGGTGCGAGAGTCTCTGTGTCTACGACGCCACGATTCACACATACCTTTTCAATATACGGGTGGTTTCTTTTGGTAAGGGCAGTACGAATTACATGGTCGCCTATGCGCTCTTCATCTTGTTCGACAACGAGTCGGCGCAATGAGAGTGCAGGCGCATCATCAGGAAAGTTCCATTCGAGGTGCTCCGCACGAAGGTGAGTGATCTTGGATCCATTCGGAGTGGTAGTGTTGAAGGTAAATGTGAGATAAGGATCTTCCCCGTAACTGCCTGATGCATATGTGCATGCATGGTCCCCAAATGCACGCTCCAGCTCCGACGAGTTAGAGGTGGCCAGCGCAGAGGATAGTCCAACCGATGGGCATGGTGAAGCGAATCGCCGCTGTGCACCGTCGAGAATGAAGAGGGTGGTCGTAGGTGGCATAGCTCCCGAGTGGATCTCTGAAAGCCGAACCACTCTTAAGTCTGAGATGTTGTACACTGTGAATTCGTATAGCTTCTTCCGCTCCCCTGGATCATGTCCTTCCTGATCGATTGGCGTTGAGAAGGAGATAATCGAGGGTGTCTCGGTGGTACAGTTCGCTTGTGCAGTGACGATTGCTTCCATAGGATATGTATCACATTGATGGGTGTACTGGTTTTGTTGCTCGAGGGGTAACGCTGCAAATGGGGTAAATAAGGCTGCTGAGGAAAGCGTTATAGCGAGGATGATCACAATCCCTCGATACATGTAGCCCAGGATCCCTCTGGGAAAGTGAAAGAGGGAAGATGGAAAGAGTGATAAACGTCCAGTTTGATGGAGTTCCTGGGCGGTAACGATCAGGAACGTGTTCGCACATGTGACGAGGTAGCCATGAACATAAACTGTCAATGAAATCTCATGGTCAAAAAGCCGTACGCTTGCGAGGCGAACACAGTACATGATTAAAGGACTCACGAGCGACGGATAACAGCTTCCAGTTGCGATGAGGCATTGTGAAGAAGTTCCTGTCGTTCGGCCTTGTTCCACCTGCAACGTAAAAACGAAGCCAGACGGCATGTAGCCCATTAATTGCTATTGCTCCAACGATCACTCGGTGAAGATAGATTAGTTCTCCGGCAGTTCGCATCGGATGACAATTACTCACCCATTATCCACACGGGCCGTGTCCACTTTGCATGGTCACGTTCCCGCCGTCTAGAGTGACTTAGTGAATCCACGGTAGTCTTGCCTTTACCCACTTGGGCCCCGTCCCCGAAAATCAGAAGCTGAATCCCTTCCCACAGATAGCGCGGATAGGCCATGATGAACTGAAAAAGGCCCTTCCTTCGCTTGCGCAGAATCCGATAAACGCCGTAGATACAGGGTATGATTGAGAATAGACTAGTAACTTGCCCAAATGAGAGTTCGTCTCGGTCGAATCTGAGCGCTTTCGACAGGGTTACCACCCAGGACCAGTGAAGCAAACCGAGGGCTACGACAAAAACCCATGGATGGTGCTTGAACACGACTGTCCTGCCCTGATGTTAGTACCATCTAGTGTGAGAGTGGCTGTAAAACACACCAGCAAGCCCAAGGTAACCTCCAGATGAGCCTCACTCGACCATAGATGGAAATAAGTCGATCTCCATATGGCAACACTCGAGTAATCTTAGTCCGAAACGGTGTTTCCTCCGCCGACTTGGCAAGTCTGATGATTTCTTCTCGATGTCGTGCAAGGTACCAGCCATAGACCCACAGGACAACGAGTGAGATTAGGCCAAGACCCCCTCGTCGCTTTAGGTCGTCGTACAAGTCCCTTCTTCCTGCAACGTAGGTCAGGATCCAGACCTGATAAGCAGTTTAACACGTCGACGTACCGAGGACGTCGAGAACGCCAGTGAATGTTGAAACAATCATAAACTCGAGGAACCGGGGTATGGTCATTTCGGCACAGTGCTCGGAATTCTTGAAGGCCGTAGTCGAGAAGGACAGGACGACGTTGTTGGTTAGCCATAGCCATGGCAAGGCGAGGCCAAGGAGGAAAATAATCCTTCGCGTCTCTGTCGACGTTAGCTTGGCGTAGAGACTGGTATTGACCCCCAGGGCGTGAAGGATGGAGCATCCAACGACATAAGCGCACATGGGACTGGCGGCTAGATTAATCCCCAATTGCGCGTCGTACACCGATAAATTCTCGCTGTAGATGCTGGAGCAGATCGCCACCAGTACAGGGTACGTTTGGGAATACAAAAGGAGCACTGCAGTCGAGACGTCCTCGGACCAGGTGACGAGGATCGCTGGTGAAGGGTGTTGAGGCTCGGCGCTTAAAGGAAGAACACAACCCATGTGGAACTACTTACGAAGAAGCAAGTTGATCACTATGTTCGCTATTGCTGTTGCAGCTCCACCGACATCGGGATTCAATGGCCCATTTCCGTATTCCAGAGGCACAGTTCGTGCGTCGAAGCATTTGGAGGGAGAATGAGAGGAGTCCATGGGATGGAAAGGTGGTGGGGATCGCCTCGGCACTGACTTCCCTCACTTTAATATAACGATCGCGAGTATCTGTTCACTTGCTGAGGTCCCAGTCTTACATTCTTGTGACCCTACAAATGACTGGTGGTAACAGGTGCCGTCCGCAATGACATTCGAATTGGCAATGCTTGCATAGCATCCAGTTAGATTCTTCAGGGCTGTGCGGCGTGTGATGTTCCAAAGTTGATAGCGCCCGTTTACAGCACCGAATTGAGAAATAGAGTTTGGTCACAAGGGATAGTAATTAGGCGCCAAGCGGAACCGCGCACGTAATCGAGGGATAAAGGTTGTTCGCCTGCCTACCCCCTGGGCCCCTCTGCTCATCTTAATCCCGAGGATCCCGGGGGTCAGCCTTAAAGCTTAGAGGTCCACCCAAGTCCACGAAATCATCGATGACCTCAACAATTTGGCTATTTATAGGTACGACTGTTACAATCTTGAATCAAGAAACGCCAACTCTTAAGACACGATAGTCCGTGGCGGGAAGGAAGAAGTCAGTTGGAGTCAGCAGTCGAAAATCCAACGTCCACGACAGCACGGAGTTCATCCCCAAACCGAATTGTAAGCCAGAGCAAGCTATACAACACCGGTCAACAGGTGAAGGAAAGGCCAATGTTATAACACATACACGAATCCCACAATAGAAACAGCAGAGGCGAGTGAATTGGTCGCCACAACGCCCCAGGCCTCAATCATGGGAACGATGCTGCCAACACCAACGGAAACTATCGCTGAGCGTAGGGCCCTATGTAGGAAATGGTGAACCTGTCAGGTCGGTATGTCACGGAAAGCCTAGTCGAACTTACGCATTAGCGGCGACGCTTTCCGCGCTTCTAGAATGCGCCACATCGACCAAGTAAGCTGCGCAGGGTCCCCACACCATCTCAAGCTGGCCGCACTGATCAATCGAAAATCAAGGTTGCAGATTTCGGTTGGACTCACCCCGAAGCCATTGAAAAAGAGACAAAGAAGATTCAGGGAAAGTCCGAGAGCCCCGGTACCATACCTTGAGAATAAACCCGAGAGAAAGCACGATACTGGGACAATAACCAAGAGCGGGATCTGCGCAGGACGCAGTCGGTCTTCGGGGCACCACACTCCATTTCGTTTGTTCTTCCACTTGATCACTGTCATATCACAGATATAACCAATGATCGGTGTGCCAACTGGAAGGTCGTTCTCAGTACAAGCCTACAAGGAACATGAACGGCATCCAAATGAAGGATACTGACGCATATTTCCGAGTCCTGCGACTAAGAAACATAGCCCAATGATTGCTTCGTTCGTTATCCCGTAACGCGCTCCCTAAAGGAAGGGGTTTGTGGAATTAATTCAGCCTGTTCGAGGACGGATGCCTTACCAAGGTGTAAGAAAGGGGTATCAAAAGAACTGGGTGGATAAAGATCAATGCCGTAAAGCCTGTTCAAAGGGATTTCTTACCCTGGTAGACGTAGAGAGAACATGCCGTGACCAGCGCCTAACAAAAGGGGGTTATCCCTGAAACGCGTCGATTGACAGAGCGAAACCCACAATCGAAAGCATTACCGGGCTTCGTAAAAACGCGAGAGGCCGTAATGGGTTCAAAATGACTGAGCGCCAGCGGGGAAGGGACTGGGCATCGATCTTCTCTATCCCTCTGGTACCAGGATGGCTAGTCTCGGGCAGCCATAAGAGCACGGCGAACCAAAGTGCGAAGCCAATACACCCAAGTCCGAGTTGCATCAGGCGCCATGAAGCATAATGGGCGGCATAACCACCAGCGAGTGGGGCCAGAGCCACACCAAGAAGACATGCCTTGTATCAGCGCAGCGTTGAAGGGAGATCTTATAAACCAATTTTGAGCACCACGCACCAAGAAATACACACTCATCGCCCTACCCCGTTCCTCGAGTTTGTATATATCCCCAATGGTTCCTGCACCAACAGAGCCACCAGGGCCGGCACCCATAGCTTGTATAAACCTCCATACCATGAGCTCAGGTACTGATTGGGCCAACGAGACCCCTGTCGAGCCAAGCAAAAGCACAGGTAGACTGAACAGATAAACCGACCGTCGACCATCTAGTGAGGCATTAGTCATTACCCAAGCCTTCAGGGGCAGAGAACGAACAGAAGCCTGCATAGGTTGCCCCAATGATAGCGCCAATGGCAAACGCGAAGATAGATATGCTGATAGCCAGGCTGAATCGGGATTCGGGATGTGAACAAACGAAACAGCGGCGCGATGCAAATCACAGCAGCCTCAGACCTTATGACAGCGGGCGTGGACTCCATGTCCTTTGCAATTTGAGGTATAGAAGGAACGAAATTCCAGCCCACGGTCACTACCGGAAAAGAATCGTCATGTCAGATTGCACAGGGTGTTGGAGAAACACATTTACTTACGTGGCAAGACACCGCCAACCGAAACGATTGTCAGTATCACAATCTTCGAATTGCGACTAAATCTATCGTAAATGTCGCGGGACAAGCATCTATGGTCGGTCAGGAAATTCTCCTCCACTAACAGAGGTGTCGTCTCGTTGGCCATCTTGGCCGCAGCGAACTTTCCAGGTCACTGGCAGACGGGAATTGAGGGATGGGACGAGAGACGGCGAGCAAGACCATAAACGGGTACCGGTAGATACCGAGTCACATGAGCAAAGCGGAGTTTGGCAGTCGTGCCGACTCCTTTGTCGTCGCTCTGGTCGCTCTCGCTGTCGTGTTTCATGGCCAACGTCAAGCCAACGTTATCAATCACGAAACCTCGGACTTTGGACCCCGGCACAGTGCCATCATACTCCGGCAGAGTATAGATGTTCTCCGATCCAAATACATACGATTAACTTAGGCCGAAGCCAAATACGAAGTGAACATACAAAGTAATAACGATAAATAAAATATGACCAGTCTTGCAATCAAACACTAAGGCCTGTATCAACGTCTGTTCCACTTTGCGCCAATTGGGGGAAAAAGACTGCCATGCCGACGCAAGCGAGGACGAAGGAAACATAAATTAACAACTCCGCTAGAATATGGATTCCCCGGAACGCTAGCGGCACCAGACGGCTTCCACTGGGAACACCTCCCCTCCTACTGACGAAGTAGGAAGCTGCGAACAGCCATATCGAAGCACCAGAGGTAGCGATTGATGCCAAAAATAATCCCAGGGCCACCAGGGGGGTAAGGTTTTGGAGTTTGCTGAAGAATAGCGATTGACGCTAGCGATAGAGCAGCAGGTGCAGCACTCTGAAGCATTCAGTACCTGCGGCACGACTGAGAATGGAAGGGGGCTCACCATTGCCATCTGCTGGGGGAAGCGCAGCTGTTCATCGGATCGAGTAGACCATCGATGTGCATGTTCGACGTCAGTTCCTCGCTCTTCGTCCAAGGGTGGGGACCCATTCTCGCTCACAGCCGAGAGAGGGACGTCGTTCGAGAATACCCCTTGAGTTGCAAACGGCATGGTGTTCCTGGAAGCGGATGTAGACGGTGGGGGAGATGCTAGGCCAATGATTCCCCGCCAGCCGTTTTTATTTACACCTGGTTGGCATTAAGCGCTCGCAGAAGCATGCCCGTGGCGCACGTCTTCCCGCCTGTTCATACATGCACTGGATAACAACCTGTTGTCTGGAACGACTATTTAATAGGTGCTCCTGGCGCGAAACATTGGGACGAGTTTAGAAATGTAAATGCTTCCCCCGGTGACATCGTTCTTTCCACCCAACTTGATTAATCGACCTCGAGGTTGTGCTCATGGGGCTCAAGGTCAGGATAACATGCGGCGTTCCTCATGGAGGCCTCACGGTAAAAGGACTGTAAGCTATAAGAAGTCTATCGCGCATGCGATATTCCCCTCATCTTCCTGACTTCCCAGACTTTCCGGGATGGCCACTTCGTTCCAAGGCGCAGAGAAGACCGCTCCCAGCACTACATCGTCCATGATCGCCTATTATTTCAATCCCTTATCCGCACTGGTGCACGACGATCCCCAATGGATTCTCCTCGGGCAAGTTTCAAGCCTGGTGGTGGGATCTCCATTCCGTTTTCTATTGCGTGTAGTCGCTTACCCGACCTTTTTAATGGTTTTATGGCAGGCTATTGCAGTCGCCATCGTCACTATGACCGAGTTTTATCTTGCGAGCGAGATAATCAAGTCTGGAGGAAGCATGCACGAGCCAGCCCTAGCTAATAACGTATACGGCCTCGTCTCTCTTGCCTGCTCCTCATCAACGGCGGCGCTGGGAGCAGCAAGCGGGTTTAGCCTTCGTTACGATACGTCCGTAGTTCGACGAAGCGTAGTTCTTGCTATGGACGTAACAGCGCTCCTGACCTTTATCTACCTTTTTCGCTCCACGTAGCTACTAAAACATACACCGTCTACTAACTCCATATTGTATGCTTCTGACTGCCATTGCATAGTACTTACCACTTGTTGTCGCCGTTCTTGTATGTAGCACAGTCTCACAGTTGATTATGATGCCGACCGTCTGAGAATGCATATGCAAGCCTGCCCTTTATCTCGTGTGCGACGATTATCATCACTGTGCGGTGAGCTTAAGGTTCTGAATGAGAATATCGATTGCCCCTTCGACCCACTGCAACGCGGCGAGACTATATGGCCTCGCCGTCATGGGGAGACATCCTTCAAACATGCGCGGCAGACCTGTACAATCCTCCTTCCTCGAGGATCTGCGCCGTATGAATTAAGCGGCCATGCATTGATCATGAAACGTACACCACCAATGCTTCTATCTCCCACGTGCTCTACCCTGGTCCTCATATCCTTCCTCGCTATTCCTCACCCTCTCCCATGAGGAAGATATATAGCTATCGCATTCCCTTCTCAAGTCTCGATTCAGCCTTTGGTTGCCATCTCAAGCTCGATCCAAACTTCATCAGATTGCTCCTGTTAAACGTATTTATTCAGTGCCCTTGTACATATCCGTTACACCCAGTCTATTATACACCCTGAAAAGTTCGACTCTAAGAAAATTGTCAGTGTAGAAAGACAGTCAATATCTCACGACCAGGCTCCACTGTCGGTTGGCACCCGCAGAAGAGAGCCTCCTGTGGCAACCGGCAGAAGAACCCTCCTGAGATAGTCCGCATTCACAATTATATAGACACACCGAGGAACACTTGAATTTGAGAGAGCAAACATCCTCGTTGAGCCTATTTAAAGGCGTAGAGCATGTTCGACGACGATCCAGAAAGGATCTTTGGCGCAATAACGAAACAGCCGGTTAGTGCACATACACACGCGATGACCAGAAAGAGCAAGGCAACGTCACAGAGGCCACGCATAGGACCTCTGGACCGTGCCACCCCTAGGCCAAAGAGTAGGGACGAGCACATAGAAGAAACCGCAGCAACCTGGAATACCGCACGAGCTAAACCCACGCTGACTTCTTGATTTTTTGGATAGTAAAGGGATGGGATCCGAGCGATAGTGATGGCCCAAACGACCTAGAGAACCCTCTCTGAGCTTGAGCGCCAATGGAAGCGATGGGCTGGCGTACCAGTATAACGCGGATGGCTTCACGAGGCATTTCCGATTAAGTGGAGGGTGTCAAATTCGAAGCGTGTTGAATTTCAACTTTACTTGGCTACCCGAAGTTCATACAGAGTGTTAGCACTTCAGAGGTGTGATCGCGAAAGTCGCTCACGTAGAAAGGGAAGCAAGAGCATAGAGATGTGGGCGTCGTTCAAGCTACTGGGTACTAGGTAGTCGCGGCCTACTAAGTAGTATAAATGCAGGTCCACCGACAGGGGTGTGATCCTTAGACGACTGGTACAACGCACCACGGTGCTTATTCCTTCCGTAATTTGTACACCATAGAGCACCGGTTTTTTGAATGCTGTAAAATGCATGAATTGAGTTACAACTTGGATAATCATCTTCCCCGCACAGCATTTGAATCGCACTGATCAGTACGAGGCGGATGGCCACTTTTCTGAACCACAAAGCGACGTGCACAGTCTCTAAGCCTGTATCGTCTGAGAGGATTGAGAAGGAATCGTAGTAGCCGCGCAATGGTCTTCCTTGTCTGGCCTCTGGTCCACGGAGTACTAGTGAGACTAGTATAGTAAAGCACAGCCTTGAGCAACGTTGACGTGCGTTATAGTGACATCAACGGTCGCCTCGAGTTCTCCGCACAACTGCTGTAAAACAACGTGGTTCCAAGAGAATACTTAGAACCCTAACCATTATGAATAACGCCATGAGGTAAGTCATAAATAGTTTTGTGAATTGCCTTTACCCGTATCACCCGCGCTGAATCCCAAGTTGGTGTGACCCTGTAGAAGGCTCTGCTGCTCAGAGTCAGCTAGGCAAGGGGAATTATATAATGTCCGGCCACGGGCTAACTTTCCGTGAACCGTCTTACGTTTGAGCTTTGAGGCGAAGAATTAAGCGCCCAAATTGAAGTAACCAGGGAACATACTCTTGCCTGTCTTATCTGAATCCTTTCGTTACGCTTCCTCATGTATCGCACGCTCTGTGGCAAGACCTTTAAATAGTTTAGAGGCATTGTCCCTCAGGCCTCATCTTCGGACACGTTATCTCTGTTGAGCGTCTAAGGGGTGTGAAGGAATTCGGCGGAGAGTCGGCCACGTTGACAGCTGTTTTCTTTGGGCGTTTTCCGCTTACAGCCATTCAGGCCTATAAAGGCAATGGTTGATAAACAACTTCTAAAGCAAGCTTTCTTCACTTCACCGACCCTACGTATCCGCAATTCTGCCATGGCAGACTTCAAGAGGGAAGACAGACAAGGTAACTGGACCGTCCAAAACACTCAGTTTCCTACAACCTGAGCATCTGACCGACTACTTTTCCTTCACAAGTCCTTCAGCCCGGCACCGAACACCATCTGCAAGAAGGGTATGAAGAGCCCGAACCTGAATTCAGGCTATGGGACTCAGAGCCGCAAACCTTCACAACCTACGTGGTGGGTCGTTACCTTTTCAGTTGCTTGAGTCTCTGCGATTGAATATCCGTACCCCATCGCCCCCCATCAAAGGCCATCTTCGTCGGCATCGTCGGCATCTGCCTTCTGGTTCTAGCGAAAGAAATATCCTCTCCACAGGAAGGGACCGGCGCTCCTCGTCTCTCAGAGGACATCCGGTCCTTCATCTCCCTCTCATGCATGCAGCCAGTCGTGACACTGTGGGTGCTGACCTCGTTTTCTGTTCGACACGGTGCCACTCTGCCTTACCGGCTCACGCTGGCCATTCTGAATGGCTTCGTTGTATTCATGGTTGTGAAAGCACTACTCCCCTAAACTAGCTCTCCATTCACTCGAGTCACCATTCGTCATAATTTAGAATGTAGCTCGCTCAGATCTCCCACACTCGCCTCTGTCCAACGCTGCCCTTTTTCAGATCGTTCTTCTTTTTGTACCCATAGATGCTGTTACTGTAGCACATGATGTATTTACCTATACACGGCCCGTCCCCAAATACGAATACCATACCATTCGACGTCCACAACTGTTAACCGGAAACGGCTACAAAGCCACCCTACCATCTTCGAAGTCGTCTAGATGACATGAATGAAGTCTTACGATCCAGCCAAAAATGAAGATCCGGTCAGTACTGTGGAAAATTTCAACCGTCGCACGAAGAACGACGACGAGTTTGACAACGGTCAGCGCCTAGACGTAATTCGTCGCCAGCGGACAACATCTCTATTGAGCTAGAACCGAGCCTCGGCTCTGCATGAAGACGGGACTCCTGATCCTTCGTAATCATGGGACAGAAGGCCTATGGAAAAACACAGTAGCGAGTTGCAACGGGCGTGAGTGAGTTTGAACGAGCGAACGGAGGTGAGGTATACACACCGTATCCACATGGGGCGCATGCAAAGCCTGCGTGCACCTGTACCACTTGGTCCGTGACACTATGCCACAAATGGGCCTCAAAATCTACGCCCTGAGTCACTTCAAATGCATTTCTCCCTTCTCAGCCACTGCGTCCTCCCACTATACCCGCTACACCCATGCTGTACCACTCTGGCCTTTCCAGCATATGCGCCGAATCCAGACAGGTCCTCCACAAGGACGCCCGCAACCAGCAGCCCACCAGCCCAGAACCAGACAACCGACTCTGCGCTTAGGATCTACAATCCCATTCTCGATTCTCGTCCTCGCCCTCGTCCTCGTCCTCGAAAACATGACCCGTGAGCTCTCATGATGGATCTCGGGAGCACAGTACCAGTGGAGCAAGCTGGAGACTAGGAGTAGTGTGGGCGATGACCTGGGTGGAGATGAAGGCGACTATTAGGGGAGAAAATAGCCAGGTCAAGATACGCTGAGATCGCAGGTTTGGACCGCCCTCATCGTCATCCCAGCTTCCGCGTGACCTTGCCTCTCCAATTCGCTTGCCGCTGAATTCTCGCTGTCGTCTATCCCGTTCCCAGCCACTGGCTCCCAACTCCGACCCTACGACGAAGAACATCGTCGGGGCCTGGTGGGCACTGGGGCCTATATGGGTTCCCATGTTCATACAGCGCCATCGCTAGTGGTGGTGTATCCCGCCCATGTGGACCCGACCACTAGTCACCGAGCACCAACGCTCCTATTCAGGATCCTGCCCCCCCAGAACCGGGTGCTACCGCTCCAGCTTCGATCCAAATCCGTCACAGCCCCGTTCACTCAACACCCCATTCTCATGACAGACCTGCTTCCAGCGTCTAGAGGTGAACCACCGCGCGAGAAGGACGAGCCTTGGACGGCAGTTTGAGGATTCTCTCCTTCGCCTGGTCTGATTCGTTCACGACCGTGCCCGTTTGTCCTCCTCTCCTTAGAAGGCCCGACAAGCCAAGCCTGAGCCACATCCATCCAAAGACGACGGTACAGGGCGGTAGCTCCATCCAGAAGCTTGGGAGCTCAATGTTCAACCGTTATCGACATATACCGTTCCACTAGTAAAAGGATCAACCAATCTTCAGCATCATTGCCTTCAATTCCATTTGACCATAAACAGCGCACCGAGCGTACATCCTCCCATCCTTCCGTCCCAAGTCCGAGTAGGAGGGAGTCCTGTGAATCTGTCGACACTGCGAACAGCCGAATACATAGAATCGTGACCTATCGTAAGGTCAAACGTCAAGACCTAAAATTTAAAAGTCTATAGTCAAAAGATTTGGCCAAAGGGAACAGATTCGTCGTACTCACCGTGTTTCAAGGTGACATTCTTGTCCTATACTGCGAGAAGAAAATGGAAAGGTCTCAGTCCGGTCCTGGCAAAGAGGCGGAAGAGAAATAGGCAAGGGCACGCTGTCCCCTCCAGCACAAGGTCTGAGTCAGCCGGAACGGCCGGGACCGCCTAGCCGGGATGTCCGCTCGGCGCTAAGCGCTCAGTCGAATCCCTATAGAAGTGCAGAACTTAGGCTCAAAACAAAGAAATTGAACGGATTCAAGTGCCAGGCAACACATAACGGATAGCACGGCTCTGCCTAAGATGTAGAACCAAAAAAGAATCATTTTACCCCAGTACATTCGGATACGGGTCGAACCCCGAGCTGCCGCGGACCTGACTCTCGAAAGATGAGAGGCGGCAATGTTAGCCGTTACACCATATCCGATGACAATGGTGCACTTTCGTGCCTTCATCGGGTACTACGTAGACTTATTGCGGCCATCCAAATTCCATGTATCGAGCTTATTTACACAGTAAGCGCACAAGCAGCGTTGACGTCCGACCTTCATAACTCAGGAGTCGGCGTAGGCTCATAATCAAAACACCCTGCCAACTTGCACCAACTCGTCTTCGATTCCGGTGGCCAAAAGCTCGTCACAGTCCACGTCCTCGCCGTCGTTTGACCACTCGGACAAATAACGATACCGGGGTAATCGCCGCCCTGGCTTGGAGGTGGTGTGCATCCGGCGCCTAAGGTTGTTCCAGGAGCTGAGATGGGAATTAGCATGACATGGACAGGGCATCGAAAGGGAGCCTGGAAGGATAGAGCGCACCTGGAATAGGAACCCCTCGGGTAGCACTAACAGGTGCACACGCAGCGCACGTCTCACACCTCGTCCCAATCATCGTGATGGTGTGGGTATACGACCCGTCGGTGCCGCAGTAGGGGAACGGAGGGCAGGGTATTGGTCCAGGCGGCGGACAGGGGGTGGGGGTGGGAGACTGAGTGATAGCAATGGTGGTTGTAGTCGTCGTGGTCGGTGCATCGGACTCGGTGGGAGTTGGAAAAGGCTCTGAAGCAATACGAGCCGCGGATGTAGAGGAAGCGAGTACACCGGCTATGAGGACAAGACTGATGATTTGAGAGGCCATGGTCGCGGTTGACGGGGATGAAGGACGTTCCGAGAAACAACGGCTTGTTCTTAGACAGATGTAAGAAAAGAAGAACTTCAATTTGTATAATTATTCCCTCACCGTTTGACAACGTGAGTACTCGCGACACTGGACCGCGTTCGAAGAACCTTTCAAAAAGACGCTTCTAGTAAACCGCGCCCTGAGCTCCGAGTTCCCCGAGTTCATTCTGTTCAGCGTTATTGAATAAAGTCAAAATCGGCGGATCTTCATCGGATACTCGAGCTGATCCGAGCTGACAATCGCGTGGGTTTAGAAACCACCTGAGCATCCACATACAGCCCGACGCTTTGGCAATGGGCGCTTACAACCATATCTGCAGGACGAGGACATATGTGTTTCCATGTATGTTTGAATGCCAATCCAAAAGCCTTCGCCTCGTGGCTCGGAGGACAAAGTTTACTTCCAGTCCTGCTCACGGCCATCGCGCAGAAACCTAGATCCAGTCTCCACGACCCTCTTCATGGGACACTTATACAATGCCTCGAAGCAGCCCTTAAACGGCCATTCTCCCCCGCTTTGATTGCCATTTATTACTGATTGTGAAAAGAGAAGATCTTCTGACACACCTTTGGAACGATTCTTCGAAACATCCAGGCCCCAGAACTCAATACAAGGCATGACATGCCGATGAGAGAACCCAGACAATACTCAAGCTCAAGCGCTCGCACCCTGCCTGCGAGACAAGGTCCTGTCCATTCATTGGTTAGACATCGATATACAAAGGAATTCATCTTCTCAAATGACGTCTGGTTCCCAGCAACACCTCGTCAGCTGGGCACGAACCTATCGTCCCTCCGAGCAAACCCCGCCAAAGTTCGCATGTGAAGTGGTCGGCCCCTCGGCCTCGTACTCGCCCATCGAAGTTGTTTCACAACACTTCGACAGGCACGAAGGGGTGGGAGTTTAAGATCGAGCGATACTTATAAGTACCTGTCGAGGACATTGAGAAACCAAGCTCGACTCAGGCTCGACATCCAAACTTCGAAGGCAGCTGCAAAGTGACCCACACATCCAACGCTTCCCTTCCCAAGTTCCAGCAATGCTCAAACGCACAACCCTCCTCACCCTCCTCACCCTCTCACCCTCCCTCACATCCGCACAAGACCCCACATTCACACCAACCCCCACCCCCCAACCCCCAACCCAAACCCGCACAGTCCGCTCCTGCACAGTCCCCGCGACCCTCCCCTGCCCCCCAACCTGCTACTGCCCAATGGAATACAACTCCCTCAACCACCCCCGCTTCACACCTACCCCCGTCCAAATCGGTGCAACCTGCCACCCCTGCACCGCGTGTGCTTTGGTCTCAACCACCCGCGGCGTACCCCGCCCTACTACCTTGCCCGACCCTGCGATCACATCCTTGGGTGCGGTGTGTACACCCGAACCAGGCAACCCGTGGGATCAGCGATATTGGATTATCTGCCCCGAGGGCCAGGAAAACGTGTACACTTGGACTAAGACGAGTACGTGGATCTGGACACCAACTGCGACCCAGGTGGAGACGACGGCGTGTGCGTTTGGTGGGTGTTACGATGTTGAGCCAAGTTTGACGGCACCTACGACGTATGCAACTGGGACGAGGTGGTCAGGGTGCTGAGGGATGAAAGATAGAGTGCGTCTTGCACTCGATGGATATCATGAGGAGACGAGATGTGGTACCATACAAATGTCAATAACTGTAACCTTAGCCAGACGAAGCATGATTACATCCAAGTAACTTTCAACCCAACTCACGCAGAAGAGGAACTTCTCCTTGTATCGCATCGTAAACCAAAAAGAATAAACCAAAATACCCTAGTCCAAACGACACACGAACCATTCTCAAAATACCAGAACTTCGAAAAAGATAGCCTTCGCTTCATTGATTCGGATACGGGGAATCGAACCCCGAGCTGCCGCGGACTGACTCCCGATCATGAGAGGCGGCAATGTTAGCCGTTACACCATATCCGATATCTGATAACTGCTTCAATGCACCTCATCTACATACTATTCCTTCAACGTTCAAGATAAAAACACTCGGCAGCACAGAAGTTGAAGTTCAGAAACGTCATGATGAGACGATCATCAGATTCGAATACCCATCGTAACTGGAACGGGTAGCGTCCCAAAATAGATAACAAGACACAAAATAAAGAAAGAAAGGACTAGTATGTCGTAGAGATAGTAGCGATAGTACGTATGCGCGTGACATGCGGCAAGAGATAGTATGTGTATGTAAAAGATGCAAGGAAGGAACGACGTGATAGATAACTAGAACTAGCTTTGTGAGATGATCGATACAAGATGGAGGATGGAGGATGTAGATGTGTGTAGTGTGTAGTATGTGATGTGGTATGTATGCGTAAATAAATCCAAGAGAAGCAGAAACAAAGAAAGAGAAGAAAAGATCATAAAGCGAGAAGGAAGAATCAACCTCCCCTCCGAAATAAAATAAAATAGAATAGAAAATCCAGACATGATAAAAAAAGTGAGAAAGTCGATGCAGAGGACGACGGCGTCGAATGAAACAGAACAGAGGGAGAGAGACGAACGAGAGTTTTTAGAAGACACTCAACACATCCAACACCAAACTTCGACCTACAACCCCCCACCCTCCCTCAACCCAACAAAATACCCTCCCTTCCTCTTCCTCAACGTACCCGGACCTCCTCCTCCTCCTCCCACCCCAGAGCGCGAACCACCCTCGCAATCCCCACCCGAACCGGAAACACGAACACGAAGAAGAGTAGACGAACAATTCCTCGACTTCTTCCTCCTCACCACTCCACCACCTCCTGATCCATTACCGATGGGCCTGCCGAGTCCAATTCCTGTCCCACTAGGCCTGCTGAGTCCAATCCCCGGTGGAGACCCAGGACCAGAACTCGAGACAGGAGCAGGAGGTGGGACCGGAGCAGGTATCTTCGAAGGCGAAGGAACCCTCGCCCTCCCACGTACAAGTGGTCTGGGGTAAGGCGCGTAGCCTACACCCAGACCTGCATGAGTCGACGAAGACGCATCAAGACCCGCACGAGTCGACGAAGGCACATCAGCGGGCGACTGAGAAGCGACCAAAGGCAACTGCGGTGACGGGATAGCCTGAGGCGAAGTGGAGATGGTGGCCAAAGAGTTCGATGCGGTGGTCGAAACGGAACTCGAACGAGAACTCGCCGAACTCGACACCCTCCGCCTCTTCACACCCTTCAACCGACCATCCTTCTTCACCACTCCTGTACCTCCACCTCCAACCATACCCATACCCTCGCCCATATCCACGTTCTGCGCTTCCACCGGGTGCGCGTGGTGGTGGTGTACGACGCTCACATCGACCCTGTTCCCAGCACCGACGTTCACGTCCACCCTCCCAAGCACCCGCCTCACCACTTTCTCCCCTCCCACACCCTTCTCTCCTTTCCCAGCACCATAACTCTCCACCTTCTCCCCTCCTCTCTCCCCTACACCCCGTCCATCACCACCATCCCCTCCAAGTTTCCGCTTCAAAATACTCTCAACAACAGTAGCATTCAACGACGCGCACAACGTACTCGTGGATAAACCAGGCGGGGACCTCGAGATACTCGTCGTCGTCGTCGACTTCCCTGGTGTGCGACAGCCCGTCGTCGTCGCCGTCTTCAACGCTCCCAACGGAGTGTACGTCGTAGTGGATAAACCACCCGGATACGCAGGCGGCGGGAAGTCCAGCGAATCTGACGGCGTCTCAAGACCAGGCGGGTACAACGGCTCGTCATCTACCATCATCGCGTCCTCAGCCACGGAGAGAGGCCTAGCTTCACACCTCAACGCAACACTCGGCGGCGCACGCGACGTCGACCGTCTCGGCAGTCGTCTCGGTGGCCCCACATTCGCAGTTGTAATACCTTGCCTGGTGGTCGTCGTAGCCGAAGACTTCAGAGGAGACGTTTTGGTGTCCAAGTTCAACGGAGAACTCTTGCCACCCCTGGAACTCGCACCGGGATAGACTTTAGAGGCCACAGCAGACCTAGCATACTGCAGTCTCCTCGTCACACTCCTAAAGGAGGGCACCTGCACCTGCGACGTGGCGATCGATGGCTGTGGTGGTGGTGGCGGTGGCGGTGGTTGGTCCAGTACACGGGTCGGTGTGTCGAGTACAAAGGTCGGGGTCGGTGAAGGCGCAGCGGTTGGTGGGGGAGAATGCGAATGAGGCGGAGACTGGGCGGATAAATCCCGCCTAGCCATCTGCCTCTTCAACATCCTCCACTCCTCGTCTTCCTCATCATCTCCTTCTCCATCCCTATCCCCACTCCCATCCGTACCCCCAATTACACACCCACACAAATCCCCACCACAACCCAAACCACAACCCCCATCCCCATTGTCCTCACAGTCGTACCGCCCATACGCCATCTCCATCTCCAACTCAACCAACATCTCCATCTCCAATTCTTCTTCTTCCGCTCTTCTCCGGTCGTCGTCAAGGTATTGTTCGTCCATATGGATATCCTGGCCGCGAAACCACCCATCCCCTTCCTCCTCGTAGTACGGCGTCCACCCAAACTTCAACGGGGAGGGTACGATAACAACTCCAACACCCTGCTTCCCTCTCCCTCTCTCCCCCTCCCCAAGTTCGCCTCCTTCCCCAATCTCACCAGAATCATCCACCGGTTCAGGCGACCGGCTCCGCGAACTCCTTCGGCCCCTCCTGTTCCCATTCCTGTTCCCACTACGCAGTTTGAGCAAAATAAACGCAATAGCGTGCGCATAAGAAGGGAACGGTTGACCTATAAGCGTGATCTCCGGTTCGTCGTAGATGGGCTTAGGAGGGGTCGTAGGTCGTTCGGGTTCCATAGCTAATGAAGAATGCAAAGGTACTGAAGACTCCGAAGGTAATGAAGATTCTGAAGGCGATGAAGCTTCGGGAGAAGACGCAGAGGCTGGCGTCGAACAAGATTCGGTTTGTTCGTCGTAAGGCGTCGGCGAACCAGGTCTTGGAGGTGGATGGTTATCCTCTTCCTCTTCCTCGTGAGGAGAATCAGAATCAACGTCCATTATCATATCTCCATCCCTATCTCCTCCGCCGCGCGTGATGGTTTTCTGATCCTCGTCGAGTCCGAGTACACTCCCCAACGACCTCTTCAGACTAACTTCGTTCCCGAGGGAGCAGTGTTCGCCTGTCGATAGACGGACACCTCCACTTCCACTTCCACTCGAGCTCCCGGTATCACTTCTCCTTCCACCACTCGCGCCCCCACTCGCACCCGAACCACTACCACCCGAACCACTACCACCCGAACCACCACCCATCCCACCAAACCCATTCCCAACCCTCAAAATCCGCCCCCCAAGCCCCTTGATCAAAAGCTGCAAATAAATCCTCATCAACAGCTTCTTATCCAACTTTTGTAGCGCCAGCCTCCTTTGATAGCCGTCCTCCATTGTATAAGAAGAGTGCGAGTAAGAGTAAGAGTAGGAGTTGAGAAGGTCGTCGTAGTCGTCATCGTCGAATAGCGAACTTCGGCGGCGGAGCTGTTGGTGTTGTTGTTGGTTTGACTCTTCTGAGTGGGTGTTGGTGGGAGTATGGGTTGAGGAGTCGGCGGTGGATGAGGAGGAAGAGGAAGAGGTGGAAGAGTGGATACCATCTGAAGCGAGGAGGATCGTATGGTATATCGATGCTTGGAACCGGAGGTAGCTTGAGACATTCAGGTATGACGAGGATGCTGGAGGAGGGGAGGGCTGGCGCTCCCGAGCCAGGACTTCGGATGCTGGTACGGGAGGAGCGGGGGAGGGTGGGCGAACCAGAGCCAGAGCTGGAGGCGTGGGCGTAGATGTAATCGACGCAGAGGAAGTCAAAGACGAAGAAGTACCACCAATAGAAGTCGAACACCTTCGCACCCTCTTCCTCGGCGGCTCCTCAACCGCAGCCACAACACTGACGGATGGAGCGGGGGTGTTGGTGTGAGTGGTTTCGCCCACCCCAGATCCAACCTCGCCCATCACAATATCACCGTTCCCGTCCGCAGCCCCATGCTCCTCCACGCGCGCAGAGGACGAGGGGGAAGACGGGAACGCAACAGGGTCCGCACCCGCAGGACTCGACGACGGTGTTGGCGGGGTTGAGTACATGGTGTACCCCGAAGGGATAGGAATGGCAGTGAGCGTCACAGACCTCTTCCTTCTCGCCACAGGTCTAGACTGGACGTCACCTCCAGCTCCAGCCTCACCCGTCGAGTCACTGGACGACATTGAGCTCGACGTCGACGACGCCGATTCCGAGGCGAGAGGTGACGAGCACGACGCGGGAGCAGACACCCTCCTGATCCCAGGTGCGCTACTCGACCTCTTCTTCCTACCCAGCCCGCTGCTCCCGTCAGCCTTGACACGTTCGAGCATCTTGTTCCTCGCCATCCTCCCGCTGTTGAACAGCGAGCTCGTGGAGAGCGGCAGACTCGGCAGCGGGAGACGTTTGAGCAACGCGTGGCGGGGTGATTTCGGGGGAGAGGGTGCGGTGGGGACTGGTTTCAGGGGCGGGAGGGTCGATGCCGAAGACGAAACCGACGTGGAGGCAGAGGTGGGCGTGGATGTAGAGGTAGAGGTAGAGGACGAAATGGTCGCCTGGAGCGACGAAACAGCGGAGGTGACGCTAGCAGAGACGACTTCCAGAGCCGCTCTCATCGCTGGCGTAGCACTACTTTTGGTGGTGCTCGTGCTGGTGGTGGCAACTGCACCAATGGTGTTTTGGTTTTGGTGGTGAGGCCCGGGTGACGAGGTGACAGCGTTCTCGAGCGAAAGCGTGCAGCTGGCGGGAGAGGCCTTGCGCGCGCTGAGGAACATGTCGAACTTCATTCTCGCTCGTGGTGCGTGCTGGTTGGCTGCTCGTCACTTTGTCACTGGTGCTGTTGGTGTTTGCGGTCGCGTAGTGGTAGATGTAGGCTTGGTGTTGGTGTACAATGTGGGTGGATGAGAATACAGAAAGGGTCGTTACAAGGGTGTCGTGAGCGAGGTCGTAAAACAAACAGTCGTTTGTATGTCGTTACAGTATCATGCACATGCAAAAATCCTATCACCGCAGTCGTTGTTAGCCCTACATGGAACAAAGAACACCGAAGAGAGGGACGCACCAAGTCAAAGTACAACCAAAATCCAGAAAATCCCAAAAATCCTACACGTCGAGTCGAGTTGAGTCCAAGTCGAATTGGAGTCTCAAGCCTGAGACGAAAGGGAAGGTGAAAGTGAAAGTGAACCACCACCAAAAGGTCCAACTCCTCTTCAACCAAAAGTCAACGAGATCCTCGTGACGTCGACAACCAAGAACCAACCAAGCCTCGTTCGCTTCTAAGGAAAGTTCCGTCTCTTTATATCGCCGTCACGTAAACAACGTACCATCCTGAATGGAGTATGCGCCATCGCTCAATGCCTCAGGGTCATCAATGCCAGGGTCCACGAGGCGGCCCGGTGGCTAATTGAGCGCATAATGATGGTGGAACGACAATGTCTGGGATTGGATCAATAGGGATCATGCAATATGGCGACTGACCATTGACTGTGAGTGAGTGGGGGAAAGAGGGGAAGACTTTGAAAAGTTCCGGAATTTGGGGGAACGCGTTCAGCCTCGAGGCGCATCTCATCACGTGCAGCGCGTTTCGGTCTTTGGTCTTGCTATTTATGGCCTTTCCGCCCCTAACTCAGATCTTCAAGCTCGGTTTCGATCAGAAAGGTACTGTATGTATCTGTCTAGATGTTCTTGAGATTTGGCTTGAGCCTCGAGGCGTTCAATGCCGGGGCGCCGGCGTCTCTAGATCTTCCGAGAGCATGAGTGTGGGGATGGGTATGGCACCACTGGGCTCTGAATCGAACGTTCGCTCAACCCAGCCGATGAGGGCGCATGGCGTATAGACTCGACATGCACTGCGCGCCGCTGTCATTATCACTGACATACGTCGAGATTAGCAGATAGAAGTTGTCTGAAAGGTATTATCGATGGAAACACCGCAACAGCATAGACGTATGCATACCCTGAGCCCTATCGCGCTGCGCATGCAGCTCGCTATCATGCAGATCACCGACGAGTCCAGAACAGAACGAGAGCCATGTACCAAGTAGCACCAAGCTAACCAAAGAATAAAAAACATAAGTATAAACTTCGGATACGGGGAGTCGAACCCCGAGCTTCCGCCTCAAGCTCAAGCCCTCAGGCTATAAAATGAGTATCCTTGAACTACACTGAGTAGTGCATGCTCATACTACTCTCTCTGATACACAGAAAAAAACCCTTTATGTATACAGAGTAAGTACGAGAGGCGGTCGTGTTAGCCGTTACACCATATCCAAGGACCAACTTTGACGTGTTTGACCTTACGATTGTTTACTACTCGGCAGCTCGTAGTGTTGAGAGCCCTCTCTCCTGCTCGGACTTATGGACGGAAGGATCGGTACGTTCAGTACGTTGTTTGTTGGTCAAGCGGAATTGGAAGGAATGATGCTGATCCCGATTGGTTGATCCTTTTACTAGGAGAACACTGTATGTCGTTGGTGAACGTTGAGCGCCCAAGCATTCGATGGAGATACCGACCTCTACCGTCAATCGTTGCTGCTTTCTGTCGTTCTCGAATGGATGTGGCCCAGACATGGCTTGCCGTCGACGAACAAAGCGACGTGGGAGTCCTCAGGTTGCCCTCCAACACGAGCGCCGTGCTGGTCCCATCTCGTCCCGCTCGCGCAGAGGTGCTGTGATGATGTTGGGTTGTCTGCGACCGTTGTAGGGGAGGCCCGCCAGGAGGCGCATATATTGACCATGTCAAAGCGGTTCAGTATGGGTGCTGTGGGTATACTGTGGTCTTAAACGGGTATCGGAGAAGACATGTCCTAGCAATGCAGAAGTGAGTTGCCCCTAGAAAGAGCTAGTCTAACCACGTGATTTCATTTAAGCGCGCTGAGCAGGTGCACTCGGGGAAGGCGAGCATTCTGTTCCTTCTGAGAAAACCTATCAGCGCAAGAAATCCGAATCGACACTCTCATAAACATCATTCGGAAATCATAAAGATGAAAAGCTTCTTCGATTTTATTTTGAATTGAGCAATGAGTATTGAAGTCAATTGGCGTTTTCAAACGGTCCCCTCGTCGATATTCAGAATTATCGAGTCACTTGCCACAGTCAAGCATGCTGTCCCACACCGTCAATCTCATCGTCTGGTGTAGTTTCCAGCCTCCTCTCCTCCTAAACCTACATCGACGCACATCTCGTCGACGATCACCACATACAAGACGTCCTACAATCCCAAGGTCCAACTACCCCCTTCCTCCTTTCCCTCCTTGCCCTTCCAACGCCAGGTTTCTTACTGCTCAACACCCCACCCAACTCGTCGCAGTTGCATACGACGTCGGCGCGTCCAAACTACTTTCAACGTCATAACACCCCTCAAACACGCACGCCGTACTCGTCACCTGGCTCGCCGTCGGCGTCCACACCCACGTACTCGTCTCCATCCAGGTATACACCTTGTCCTGCGCCTCCGGACAAATAATCCAAAACTTCTTATCAAACTCGTTTCCCTGCTCCGGTGTGCACACCGCGCCCAACGACGTGATCGTGGGGTCGGGAAGAGGTGTGGGACGAGGGACACCGCGGGTGGTAGAGACCAGCGCACATGCGGTGCAAGGGTGGCATATAGTCCCGATTTGGACGGGGGTGGGTGTGAAGCGGGGGTGATTGAGGGAGTTGTATTCCATTGGGCAGAAGCAGGTTGGGAGGCAGGGGATCGTTGCGGGGACTGTGCAGGAGCGGACTGTACGGGTTTGAGTTGTGGGCTGGGGCATGGGAGTTGGAGTGAATGTAGGATCCTGGGTGGATGCGAGGGAAAGAGGGAGTGCGAGAAGGGAGAGGGCTAGTGCCAGTGGGAACTTGGTCATGGATATGAGCATCGTTAACTCGTTCTTGAGCTTGGAAGGGGATTGGTAGGACAATCTGTGTTGATTCTTCTGGTTTAAATATCTCTCGATCTAAATCTGTAGAAGTTCTACAAGGTTGAAAACATCATCGCATACGAACCATACCGGTGTTTACTCGGGGATGCTATAGACTGGGACCGCCCAGGAGAAGTCAGGTCTCTAAATGTGTGAGTTGAAATGCCAGGCCGCTTGTTAGGTTTTCCAGCTTCGAAGGTACGAAGAATCATTGGAGAACCGTGGCCTTTCGCATTAGTTGACCGAATAGGAATGAAAGGCAGGGAGGGTTGCCGCTCGAGAAGTCCTTTGAAGCGTTACTGTCCGAGGGAGACGGTCATGAACTGGTCCAGTCGATATTTATGAACGGTATAGCAGCACACCAGTATCCTTCTCAAAATTACAGGGGTAGTGCAAAGTAACAGAGATCAACAGCAACACGGCACGGATAGAGATTTTCACCTCCACCACTGGATTTAAGCGCCCAATGTAAGGGACAGGCTATTGACGCTCAGTGACGTCCAAGCCCACGACTTTAACAGCTCGGATCAGTCCGCGTGTCCGATGAAGACCCGATGAATGGGGCTTCTTCAAAAGAGCGCTGAAAATGTTGAGCTCGGGGAGCTCGGATTCTCAAGGACGCCTTTAGAAGCGTCTTTTTGAAAGATCCTTCGACTTGGTCTGGAGTTGAGAGGGTTCACGCTGTCAATTGAGGAAATACGGATTCGACTTCTTCATTCTTCTGGCCTGTATTTAAAATAAAATACAGCACAGAACCTCGCATTCAGTTCCCGTCAAGCATGGCTGCAAACGACGGCGAGGACGTGGACACTGACGAGCATATGGCCCCCGGAATCGAAGACGAGCTGGTGCAAGTTGGCCAGTTGCTTTGATTACGAGCCAACAGCGACTCCCGATGCCTGACTTCTAAAGGATGTTCTCATCGTCAAAATCCCTGCTGCAGAGAGTGTATCATGCTTTACATTTGTAGATGTTTTACTTAAGCAACGTAATGTTGGTTTTGTCAAGCTGGGTTCTGTCACGGTGGTCCCACGGGAACTTCTTCGAGACAGCTGTCTGACGGGAAGTGTGTGGTGAGCATTAACATCATAAGTAATATAGATCTATCTTTTGCCTCACTAAACTACCTGGAAACGTTGAAAGGAGAGAAAAATTCGAATTCAGTTGTACAGAACGTTGTAATCGCTCTCGTCTTGGAGATGTTGGCAAGGACTTTAAGCGCCGAAATTCAGTCCAGCTTGGCCATAGGCGCCCTAGCCACAGAGATCATCAGCTCGAATCAGCCCAAGATTCCGATGAAAATCCGTAGTGCCAATCCCACGTTCACTCAAAGTCTCAGGTCAGAGTACTGAACAAACTTGTAACTCAGACACTTCGGAATTTTCAGGGGTGAATTGAGGAGCGTATGTGATGGTTCCAAGGCGTCTTCGACAAGATCACACGAAGGGGTTCTCACACTGTTTATTCCATTCACACGCACAGAGGCTCTGTCTTGATATTTAAAGTACAGACTGGTCGAATGCGAATCATGTTCTCGACGTATCGCTCATCCTCTTTAAGGATGTACGCTCACATCACCAGCTGTACCCTCATTCTCGTATGGGCCAGCGCATTCCTCTCCGTTGCCTCAGCAGCTCGTGTCACCTCAGGACCTCTACCAACACCTCAGTCGGCGGATGTCCTAACGGCTACTACCACAACTACAGCCACCAGTACAATCACCCAATCCGTTCCCCCATGTCCTCCCAAGACCATATACTGCCCACCATTCCCCTATTGTGGCCAGGATGGGTCATACACGACAACCTATACTATGATCGGGACGAGATGCGAGGCATGCTCTGCTTGTGCGCCAGTGAGCACTACACGAGGGATGCCTATCCCAGGTTCGTACTAGCTCTCTTCAATGATGAAGAATCTTCATCACACATCCTTGACTTCACGCTTCCGCGTTATTCTTGAAAAGTGTATCGTATACATTGATTATTAACAAATTCCACTCTCGGGTCCTTGCAGCTCCAGGGACAACCTTAGGCGCCGGATGCGCTCCTCCACCTGACCAAGCCGTCGATTACCCCAGCCTCGTAGTTTGCCCGAGCGGCCAGACGACAGCGCGGACGTGGGCACTAACCACCTTCTGGAATACGGAATCGAAGACTCGGTGGTGCAAGTTGGCAGGGTGCTTTGATTATGAGCCGACGGCGACGCCTGTGGTGTGAAGTCGGAGTGCTCTGCGTTGTCCTAATAGGGCGGTAGTGATATTAGTACCGCCAACATGTTAAAGATATCTACTTGTTTTCCTGCGAATCCGTAGTACTTGATCGACAGAGCCTACCGTTGCCATCGGATATGGTGTAACGGCTAACATTGCCGCCTCTCATCGTCGAGAGTTTGTCCGCGGCAGCTCGGGGTTCGATTCCCCGTATCCGAAACACAATCTTTTATTGCGACTTCTCTTAAGTTCGGGAAGCCATCTTTTCCTTTTGTTTTTGTTTCCTTTTGTCTTTGCTCTTGTTCTTCGTCCTAGCGTTCACCACCAATCTCGCAGATGAGCCAAATCGGTCAGGGTATGAAGCATGGGCGCTTGTCCCCAGACCCGGGTCAACAGGCCCGGGCCACCGGCTGCCTGGAAGGACGCCGCATGCCTGGGTCACGCTCTGTCCATGCTCCTCTGAATCTTCTCCCTTTCAACGTCGAAGTTGCACTCTTTCTCTGCCTCTTTACGTGCGAAAGGAAGTCGATCCTAATGGAACATAGGCGGCACTCCAGAAGAATATTTAGGACGAGGTCGGGCTTCGACATTTTGTCATCTGGCCACATGACGGCTGGGACTCTATTCTGAAGATCGTACACTGTGTCTACAGTCCGAGTAGGAGATATGTAATACGGAAGGGCGGGGGATTCACCTACGGTACGCCCATTACCATCGTACCACGGGCAAGGCCAAACTGATTTGTCAACCGTTTTGAAGCGATAGTCTGTCGTCGGAGCGCCCACGGATCCCGATGGAGATACCGACGTATATTACAGCTCACTCGCTCCGGCCTTTTTTACAGGTCGTGGCTGAGGGCGTACTTGGACAGGCTGGTGTGAACAACCGAAAAGGTCCCTGGGGTGAGACCGAGTTCATACCTGCCTCAAAGGAACATCGCAGAGCCCTCTGTTGAGAAATACCATCCAGTCCTCCTAAGGCCATGCCTATTCTTGGAATAAACACACGTTCTCCGCTGCTCGAGGGGTCGGTGAGTGAAATACATGGTAAGAAACTCGGTCGACTGGTCCAATGAAGCCACTGAATAGAGAGAGCTTCATTGACGGTCAGGGTTTGGGGATTCGGAGATGGGGCTGTGAGTCCATATGTCGACTGGGAAGTGACCCATAGAGACGCTCAATGCTAGAGAAACTTGGGTACGGATACGAGAAACGAGCCGCGACAACGAACCTGGATGTAGGGTTGTACTCTCCCTAACTGTGGAGACTTCTACGGTTTTACCAACTCCTTTTACCAACTCCTTGGAGAACCCGGCCAGTTTGTGGTTTGCATATCTGCGTCGACGACTCGACGGGGGTGTAGGAAGCATGGTATTGGCCGTCGGGTTTGATGGGTTGGGCGAGTGGTTTCGCAGGTCGATGCTATGGGTTGGAAGAAAACATCAGGTCTGAGCGATGGTCTGGTGGATCGGGAGGCGAAGGGTTGATTGATGGTGTCGTGTTCACCGGATATGAAGCCGTAAAGTAAATGACCGAAAATGAGATACTTAGTCGACAGCGGGAATCCAGTTATCTGATGACCTACCGAGACTGTGGGCCAGCGTACTGGCGAGGAGATGTCTATGTCTGGGATGAGTTGACCCTCCATGAACGCCTTTGACTCCCGCGCTCGCCGTCCTCGACTCCACCTCCACCTGGCAGAATTTACCCAAGGAAGAACTACGTTTCTTTGGTGTAGTGGGTCCGAGAGAACGTGTACTCGAGTAGACGGAGATATGTGTTAGTCCTGGGGTGTGTAGGGAGCAACCATTGGCTGGGTGAGTTCACCAATGGGGCGTGATGAGCGTGGGTGGAACTGCGGCATGGGCATACGTTGTACGTCGCATAGGGCGATGTATTAGAGGTGCACACGGTAGGCTGTCCCTGGGAGTGGTCAGTTGGTTTATGGTTACTGAAAGCTGCGTCTGCATACCTCATGCCGGTCCCTATGTACGACATGCCTGTCGCTAGCAGTGATTTTCCGTGTCCTTCTTTCGCATGAATCTCTGATAGAACGAGGAACCCCGTGGCCGTTGCGGTGGGCAGTGTACAGGTGGCATTTTGTTGAGCACGCACTTACGAACAGGCCTGCTATTAACCGTCGTTCAACGACGAGTGACAGTCACACAAGTTACATCGTTATGACCAAACTTTGTTGAGGATTCATTCACCTAGGCGACTCGTTGACGGACCGTCAACGGTAGCCCATTCGAGCATGGCAGCGTTGATAGTCATATAACACCTTTATAGGTTATCATAAAGGGTGTACATAGTAAACAGAAGATAAGCTCAAGGGCTGTTGGTCTGGATTCTACTCGTATGGCCTACCGACTAGGATAATAGAGGTAGCTGGAGTACTTTAAGGAAGAAGAGCTTTTGCTACCATGAAGACTACGATGCAATTCAAAATCGCCAGCGTGACCTTGTAAGGGAGGGTTGCCCCATGTCTGACGGAGAACGAGGTCAACACCCACAGGGTCACGACAGGTTGCATGCACGAAAGGGAGATGAAAGAGCGGATTTCCTCTGAGAGCCGGGGACTCTCTCCCCCAGTAGGGCTGGTGATATCTCTAGCTAATGTGAGCAAGCAGCTCGCGACGATTCCGACGAAGATGGCCTTTGATGGAGGGAGCGATTGGTTTGAAAAACATTGAGCCTACCAGAAACTGCTGCCCGGTGAAGAATGAAAGGATCGTACCACACAGGTCGTGAAGATTGGTGGCGAGTCCCAGACGCTCGGTTCGAGATCTTCTTCGTATATTTCCTGCCATTCGAGGCGAGCGTCGGGCACCATGGCATCATGAGGCAAGACTATACACGACGAGATGGTCAGTGAGGACAAGATCATGAAGGTCGGAAAGTCTGACCACCTGGCACATATTCGTTCTTCACGTCTGACATCGGCGTGCACGCAGGTAGATAGGTGGGTAGGTAGGGTATTCACGTCACGCCGAAGGAAGAGGGAGCAAGGTGGGTGAGAGCCACCTTTGAATGTTCCTTTTAAGTATAAGTAATCCGATTATCGACAGATTCGGAACTCCGCTGATCAGATGATGCTGGGTGCAGGGCTATTAAGCGCCCATTGTATGTAATCACGCTGGACGTTTCGTGTTTGAATGTGACTGCCATCGCGTTGAATCTGGATGTATATAGCAGGGGTAACCTGAACTGGGTCGCAATTTAAAGGAGAAACGCGACCATTGGGATCAAAGCCTGTATCTGCCCAGGCGTCTATCTGGCCAAGAACCGGGCACCGGGACAAAGACATGTCCTCGTGCCCTACGGAACCACTACATATGAATAGGAATAACACACGAAGCTTTTCGCCAAATGGAGTGCCAATAGTAGTAAACGTATAATTGCAATTGTTCTGTCGTGCGTTTTACAGCAGTTATCACGTCTCAATGCACGAGGTGATGAAAACGGCATGTTGGATATGAGTACAGCATGACAGCAGTATCACAAGGCGGTGCTCCGCCTGAGGAACAATGCGATTCCTACAGTTCTTCAAAATGGCGCTAGGCGTCGCGCTCCCTCCTCAAGCCCCGATAAGACAGAAGACTCTTCAACAGGCGGAACTCGCAACGAATTGTTATCCAGTTCCGGGAGGACTAACTTGCAACCTTTACACCACAGCATTCCGGGTGAAGAGGCACAGAATGCTGTGCGCACGATGCTAGTTACGGAATGAACACGAGGCGGACATGAGTCCTACTAGGATATTATAATGGGATTCAAGCAAGGACAACACCATCCCCCTTCTTTCTGCTCCTTTCACTATGTGAGCCATATTTACTGCGCCCCTCCTAACGTACTAACACCCCCACTCTACTTGGACCGACAGACAGTACTCAAAACTCCCGATTCTTCAAACACAACTTTGAAATCGTCGCAAATGCCGCAAGATCCCAACTGGCGCGCGAGGATCCGAGTGACACTGGTAAGCTATTTCCTCGATCGAATAGATATACCCCTCAACTCCTGTGCCAACTTCCCTTCAGGCCGTCGTCGCCATCTTTCTCGCTCGATTCTTCTCGTTATATGCAGAAAACCAGGAAGCCACGTTATCCTTATCTCGCACAATATTCAAAGTCGCCAAGGGGTCTTCAGTGATCTCGTCCATGCTATTTGGTCTGCGAATCGCTCTCAGAGGCTCCAACCCTCCGCGATACCGTGGCATGTGCGACATTGCGGTACTATTCCTTGTTGTCTCCTTTGTCTGCACCATAACCGGTGTCTTCCTTATTGCTCCAATGTACCTTGCGAGTGTGTCGTCGAGTGACAAGCCCCCCACCTAACTAGTAACTGCGGGTCCTCGATACGGCAGTAAATATTAGAACCTAGCACAACCCATATTGTTTGAGTGAAGCTTCTATGATCTGTAGACATGATTGGAAGCAGCACTCTGAATAGATGTGTTTCTGATGTATAGTATCCAATATGACCTCCAATGTCCATCGCGAACGCTCCTCGTCTTCCTTCCGCCCACATTACTATCCACAGGCCTACTCTACCAATCCGTCCGACCATTATGCATTACCACTTCACAGTCCCAGTCTGGCGATCTGATTCATCGTCGTCCTGCCTCTTCCACTTTACAGTCCCGGTTTGGCGATCCGAATTCTGTCGCTTCCACTTCACTGTACCGGTTTCGCGGTCGGCCGGTGGCTCGTTTCGTGGCTTGATGACGCCCGTTTGCCGTTCTGACCGTTGAACTAGATCTACCGTGCGATAGTGGACGTTGGAAGATGGGTAACGAGTATATAAATGAGAACTAACCTCGATCAACCCCGATGATATTTCTCCTTTCCGGACCTTTGACGACGCCAGTTTGGCGCTCGGACCTGTTCACGAGGTCTATACAAAACCGTCAGTGGACTAGGTACCGCGAAAGTGTTAATAGCGAACCTCCAGAGGTGGTAGGAGCTGCGACAGTGAGGCTAGTCGCCGCAAGGAGGGTCAGGGCAGAAACAACGGAGATGCGCATAGCGTATACTCAGATCCTGGATACGGGGTAAGGACGAAAGGTAGAGAGCGACGCGACGATGGTCTCGTTACTTATACCCCCGACACCGCGACATTGGCACCGCCTGGACGTACCTGGACCCCCGAGATATTTCCCGGTGAATTATTCCCGGAGGCCTTCCCATCGGGGTCACTGCAAGGGACCTCGTGGTCACCGAACTCGCTATGGTAATTGTAAGGCACGAACTTGGTCCCACCTGATGGCCCCGATAACTCGAGTCGTGGGCGCTTCAAGTTGGACTACATACACGCGTGATCAGCCCTAATCAACCCATAATCAACAGATATCGCCAACGGAGACACGGGAACTCTCCGGCGTCTATTTCAACTGGCTTGGGCGCCTGCCTGGACTGAGATTTTACCATTGGTCTCCCCGTTGATCAAATTTCACCTGACGTGACTATTGCCTGCCATTTGACAATCGTTGACCTTTCTGTTCGGACATTTTGAGCCAATTACATCCATGCTCGATGCATATCATACTCGTTTCGCATCCTTGACGAGAGGCTGGTGGATGATTAAAATTCACAAATCGAACCAGCAACTACGGTCTACGCGACAATATCCTGGTCTCAGAGCGTTGGTTCTACAGAAGGGAGATAACTGCGTCAGTTCAACTCAAGCCTCGAGCTCGAGGAGCGAGTGAAGTGCCACCTTTAATTGAACAATGCTTGGAAATTGGAAATCCTCAAGGCGACGTTGGCACGCAAGTCCACTTAGGGCATTGGCCTGGGACTGTGGTCTTCGTGGGGATGAAGCTGATGGTTGAACCGCTGCTGCACAAGGAGTCCCATCCATCGATTGGTGGGGTGCAGGCAGAGGCGAGTGAGGCGAAGAGTGCCGCAAGCAATGGGATGTGGAAGTAACGCATTGGTTTCGACGAGTTGTTGCTGGTTGGGAGGTGTAGGTGGGCTGTGGAAGAATGGGGAGGGACATGTGGGTCTAGCGAGCAGCTTTTATCCATATACCGTATGATAGTAATCTTTAGACGCGAGGATAAATAGATAGGCATCTCCGACGGTGGACATGAGATGCGAGCAACCTGAGGCTGTCGGATTTCTCAAGGCATTGTCAAAGGCTTCCCTTTCAAACCCCTGGGATTCTTGGAATACTTAGACGGAGTCCCAACAATATTTGGTTTTGGATGTGCGTGCCCAGGCAGGAATGTAAAAATTTGAAGGTGTCTACGCCGAGAAATTTCAAACATGGAGCCTGAATTTTATTTGCATCTGTTTGCCTGGACCTTCCTCCGCCTCCCAGGGCCTGCTCTCGTCGCGAGCCACTTTGGACTTTGCCAGCCACATACCTCGATCGTTCGGCAACGGGACAAGTCAAGCGCAAGGGTAAGAGCAGTGTCCCCACGACTAAACACCACGCTAACCACTAGATATACGATGGTTTATGGGGTGCAGCCTTCACAAGAAATGGCATCCGACCTGAACGATAAGCCATTGCCACTCGCCGCGCGAACGGAAAATGCTCCAACCATTCCATTCAACTTGCTTCCAGACGACGTCGTAGGCGATATCTTCATCGAATACTTACGGGAACGCTCTGTTACTCCTCTGTCCGGTGCCCCGACCAATCTTGCCGTGACTGTCCACGGCAGTGGCTCCACCAACACCCCCATCCTGCTCACCTTCGTTTGCGCTCGGTGGAGGCGACTATCGTGCTCACTTCCGTTTCTGTGGTCATGTATAACGGTCTTGGGGGTAGTCCGACTACCGGTACTGTCCGGCTGATCGAAATATGGCTTTCACGCTCCGGCTCCGTTCCTCTCACCGTACGCTTTCAGCCTGGTCATGGAGGAAAAGAGGTTTCACCTTCCTTTGACGAAGCCTTCCATCTCCTGACTGCCCAGTCTCACCGATGGAAGGAGTTCTCGATGTTTGATAGGGAAGACGATAACCGTCCACCGAGGAACCATGTGTGGAAGGAGATACGAGCGTCGAACCTCGAAAACTTGATAATCTTTTTCGGCAAAAGATGGTCTTCAGACAGTGCCTTTCAATTGATGAAGACTTTCTCCTCTTCGGAAAAGTTGAAGTCCGTTATCCTTGGCTGCCATGACGACCTTGCCCTTCCGCAGCTTGCATTTCCCTGGAAAAACATCCAGTTCTTCGACGTCAATTGTGGACAGACTCCTTGTCAAGAGATCCTTTATCTCTTGTCCAAGTGCACACGGGTCACTGAATTCAACGTTGACGTACCCGCATGTTGCCACACCAATCCTCATCCATCGACACCCTCGATTGTTGTCCCGGCATTGAAAACCATGCACTTCGTATATTTGCGAAGGTTCCCCCGGTTCTTGGACTCCCTTACCTTCCCGTCTCTAGAAGATCTCGATATGATGAAAATCATTGCCGGAGCCATATCGCCGACAGCTTACGCCGATCTATGGAGAACCCTCGCAGAGCTGGGGGAGCGCTCCGAGTGGCGGTTACGGAGACTGCGATTCCCAGCCATTCGCAAACTCGACGTCGACGTCCCCCATGGTGTAGAGATCCTTGCAACCAGTCATTCCTTTGTCCATCTCACCTCTTTGACACTTGCTTGCCCGTTGGTGGACGATGCGCTGGAGCTACTCACGTTCAGAGAAGGCTACGAGCCTTTGCCTCGAGTCGCCACAATGCTTTTGCTAGATTGTCGCTCCACCGACGGTGTGCTGTCAGCCATGATCAAGTCTCGTACGGCAATCCGTTCGACCGGGTTGACGCCGGCACTGCAGGATATCAACGCATACTCGTGGGCACCAAAAGTGATGGCACCCTGTCACTGACAACTCGTTAAAGACCTTTCTCAGCAATGCAGAAAGATTTCACCAAATCGCTTGAGGTATAAATTTAGGCTGTATGTACCTATCATATTAAGGAGTTTGAGCTGGAATGACTCCGAACTGAAAGTGCAAGAGGAAAATTATATCGAAAATATACATTTGAGGCCAATGTGGATCTCGGCGAGCATTGTCTCTATTAGGTTCATCTTTGGGTAGATTATACAAGGCTGAGAACACACTCTTTATGCAAAGTTTGCAAGGAATACGTGCAGTAGGTACTGGCTTATCGAGGCTACAATGTTGCGATTTTGGCAGAGAAATCGTGAGAGTGCCATCACTTTTGGTGCCCACGAGTACTTCTGTCGTTTTGGTCCCAGAAAGCCCACGAACGAGTGGCCTCGAGACACCTCACTCGAGATCCCTGGGATCAGGGTATACATTTGCTATCATTCCTGGGACAAGAACCCTGCGCCCAGTACATCAGGATGAAAAGGTACGTACCAAAATAGCTGATGCATCGATGATTTTCTAACTTTTTCCCTTGACATAATACAGAATGGTTACCTCTCCCTCTCAATACAATGTTGTACAATCTGTATGCTCTTCCAAATGCCTATTTATGCAACGTTTGAACTGGCAACTCGGCCCCCTTCCTCTCCGGCTTCCCTGGGATTTCCGTCGGAGTCGGTTCCAAAGTTGGCTCTATTTCGGAGCCGGTCTCAGTAGCGCTGGTAGCGCTGGTGGTACTAATGGGTACGCATGTGAGTGGGGGACATTGTCCTGGATACGTCCGAGTCGAAGTTGTTGCTGAGATAATGCTTGGATAAAACCCGCTGGGACAGATTGAAACACCTGGAGGGTGGGGCGTGCATCGACGATTGACGTGGAGGTTATCTTCGTGCCCCTCTACTTCGAATAGTCTCCGATAAGAACCTGCGTCTATGGACTCTGATTTTAGAGGCGGCTCACCAAACTTCGTGACGATTGGCCTTGGTAAAGTCGTTGCGGACGCCGTTGGTGTGACAGTGTTGGGCACACAAGTCCATGAAGGGCATTGCCCGGGAACGGTGCTTGTCTTGGGAGGGATGACGCTGATGTGGGAGCCACTGGGACACAGGGACTCCCAACCATCTCGCGGTGGTGTGCATCGCTTTGCCAGGACCGGTCCCTCCAAGGGATTGGGGGCCGCGAAACCGCCGGTAGCAAGGATCGTCGACAAGAACACCAAGAAAGGTGTGCGTGATGGAAACATGACGAGGTGAGAAGCCTCGTTCGTTCGTCTCAAGAGGCACCATAGTGTGTAGTCGAATCGTCCCCTTTATGTGCTCTTTGAAATATCCGAGAATTTGACGGCGAAGTTGCTCCCTGCGGGTGTGTTCGATTGATCGGCATCGAAATGGGACGGCACACCAAGCCGAATCTCAAGACATACCGCTTCTATGTACTCCGACTTTAAGTTCTGGTCACGGTGAATCGTGTCTTATTCAGGAGGATAAGATTCAGAACTACACCCCATATGGGTCACAATCACAAGTAGAAGCTCTCTGGCCAGGGGCAATCTCGTGACAGGCGGTTTCCTCAATTATACTGTGTACCTCCTCGACATCTCTCCGTCAGCTCCCTCTATATCCATGCTCGGCGCCCGCTACAGTGCCTATTTCATCTCTGTATAGAGTCAGCCCAATACTAGATGGTGTCAGATAAGAGAGAATCGCGTACCAAAGGGTGTGATAATCGGATCTGGCAAAGGAGTGGAAGCGGTAGGTGTGGTAATGACGGGCACACAGGTCATAGAGGGACAGGGTGGTGGCGGATAGGTGGTGGTAGTCGCAGGAACAATGCTGATGTATGATCCACTTGAGCAAAAATCGGGTCGTGGCGTACATCGTTTTTCTAAGCCTTCTCCGTCCGCCGGATTGGGGACTGCGACGATGAAGGGAGTGAGAAAAAGAGAGATAAGTGCCAGCAAGTGCATTGGCGTTACAGTTGCAAAGGGTGGCTGGATGTAAGGGCACGTTCACTTCCGACTTGGCCTTATATCCGAACAGGAGTGATTCCTTTGAATATCCGAAAATTCGACGATTGAGGCTCCTCGACTTCTTCTTCTTGGTGCCAGAGTATGCCGATGCAAATAAGAGGCCGATACAGCTGTGGTACTCCTAAAGGGTCGATGCCAATTCCACGCTCCCATCGGTCTGCCTGCATTCAGCGCTACGAAACGAGCGCCTAAGGGATAAGGCGGGCCGTTCATCCGCCTTCGATTGAAGCCCATCACAGCCACCTGGCCCCTCGTTGGTTTCGTTCCACCATGTTCCAAGTTTACTCAAGCCCCCGTTTGCCTTGAATTCCCTGGGCATGTGGCTGGCTTTTTACCCTTATGTATACGACCCGCGATTATACTTCAGAAGCCCCTCCTTCAAGTTTTAGGATGGTAGAGCTTGTTGGGGTAGGCAAACCCTAACCGAGACCAACTCGTGGCAACAATGAAGCCTCGAGGAGAGCACAGAATTATGGGGATAAAATCCCGGGGGACTGCGGGTTAACCGCTAACTGCCTACACCAGTGGTTACCTTTTCTCGCTGGCCTGTTTTGACGCCTATTGGTGAGCCAATTCTTTATCACGTTGAAGGGCGGCAGCTGATGGGGTCATTCTATTCACAGCTCCTGTACTCCACCATCGAGTTTGGATATATATTTCTCGCGTCTTCCCGGTTCGCCGCAAACGAGTGGCCGTTTGTCACAACCCCCGACACTCATTGGTGACGATGTTCAACACCGATGTTCCTCCCACTCCCGGGCGCACAGACTTTCCTATCACGGGCGACGCCGTTGACCCTTTCCATCGTCCAGTATGTGCCCGGCCGCCAACCAAGAAGGAAATTCAACACAAGTCTCCCCCGAGGTTGCCCTCTGAACATACCGAAGAGCTCCAGTTCCAAGGCGAGGTCGTCCACACCCTCATGATGACGACTGAAGTTGCCAGGGTGCTGGCGATGCTAGATGCGATTATGGGCCCGGCGGAAAAGTGTGGATTAGATCCCACTCGGTGTGGCGAGCGAAGCCAGGGAGACGTGACACATAACCTCGTCTCGTATGGCGACCAGGCCCAGTCGTTCACCTTGCGCGTCTTTGGAATCGACTGCACATGCTCGGTATGTCTGCGTCAATGGGCTAAAAAAGCATCTCCCAAGAAATCAACATCGAAGAACGGCCTCCAAGGCACTTTGCTCGACACCCAATCTGTCGTTTCTGCCATGGTCGATTTCCTCGGTATCGAAGTGTCGAACGAAGATGCGGGTCCCTCGTCAAAGTCATTCTCTCAGCAGTGGGACAGAGAAAGAGTTGTGAACGCAATGCTGTGGTTTCTGGAGCCATTCGTCCGGTATTGGCTCGTCGCAGATGGAGAAGGCTCGACGGAGGAGTACCATGGTCAGTCCTATCCCCTCCACCGACGGACCGTGGTTCTTATGCCCTAGTCCTTTCCTCTAGATTCCGATAATGACGACACTCCAATCCCACCATGCACTGACGAACCCGACCAACTCGAACTGAATCTCGGCCTTCGGATGCAAGACCTTCGACTGATCTTCCGTACCATGTACGACTTCTACGCCAAGGGCCTGAGCACGAAGATAATGCCTCTGTCTTTACCCATACGACTCTATCGGTTGCATCGACAGAGAATAGCTATGCAGGCGAGAATGGAGTTGGAGAAAGAGTCAGAAGTTCAGGCCAAAACTGGAGCTGCACGACAGGAAATCGCCACAGTTTCGAACCAAGACGCACCGATGGATACGGAGGCGGGCTCTGGTGTCCAGGGAGACGATGAGCTTGAAGAGGGGGAGATCCGTGAAGACTCCGTCTCCACCACATCCATCACGACTAGCGAGCCAGCTCCGGACACCATGGCGCCTTTCCCTGAGGGGTCATTCTACGACCACTTCACCTCCAGCACACATGCCATCGCGTTGATGTTTTTCCAGAACCGGTCCCACACTGGCGCTGAGACTCCCCCCAAGCTCGCAATCCGTTCTGCGGCGGCCCGGGCCGCAATGCGCGAAAGAGAGGGCAGAGGAGGTGGGATGCGGGGGTTGACTGGGAAGGCCAGGGAGACAGCACTGGAGGCCAGGGTCGTTAAGGCGCGCCTGGAAGATCAAGAGAGGAGGGAGGCTGCTCAGACTTTGGAGGGCAGGAAGGGTCAGTTGACGTGTCGGCCCAAGAATTCCTCGCCTCTCCGGCTCTCCCTGACGAGAGACGAGGCTTTCGCTCTGATGGATGCGAATGAGAGACGATGGACAAAAGTCGATCGATTGATATCCCTGGTCTACGGTGATATGCGACATGAACTGGAAGAAGCGCAAGCCAGGTATTTGGTACCCGGCAAGGGTTTGCATATCGACGAACCGACTTCACGACTTCCAATGCCCCTATCGGATAGCAATCCTTGCACGACATCCCCTCCTGTCGCAGATCCTCCAACATGGCCTTTCTCTCGTGATCCTCTTCCGAAGCCAGCACTATGCTCTCTAGCGCACAACGGAAACTTGATGGGATACCCAGCTCGCATCCCCGTCACCGACTCAGTCGCGCAAATACTTGCCAATGCCAAAGCCCTACTACTCCCCCATTGGTCCACGTTCGAAGCGGACCTGAAGTGCTCAGTCGATAACATCTACACCGAGAACCCGCGTCTCCAAGAGGAGCGGGATCAGTGTCAAGTCGAGAAAGAAAAGGAAGCGATGGAATGGAGAGATCCTGTCTTTGGACCATCGATCCGAGATGAAGTTCCTCCCAACGACGAAGAATTCGAAGACATCCCAACGCTCTCGCCTCGATTGAAGGAGCTCGAGCGGATGATCTTTCGACAAACTCGATTGAAGGTCGTATCGGAGACGGGGAGCTCCCTTTCGTCGAATGGGAATTTGTTTTATCAGCCTTCTACCCTGACTGCCTGAACGTGGCTTGCTCAGTTCGGCTTTTGTATCATGATACATGGGCTACCGATAGGTGTGGAGCAGGAAGAGGTGTGTGGACGCTTGGCTTCGTTTGACTTCCTTGACACGATTCAGATATGTTCGATGTTGATTCATCCAATACAATTATTCATGTACACGATTTCACCCTACGACACCTATTTATCGATTTGCCGCATTGAGGTGTACAGCCAGTTTGAAGCGCCCAATCTCGGCTCCTGAGCTCTTCTCATAGTCTCCGCGTAGAGAAAGGAAACGAAGATGAAGTCCACGTCTTCTCTAGATGGTTCCTGAATCTCTCTCGTGTCGATATATAAGGAAGGCCTTGAGCCCGATGGGGAATACTCTGCGACGATTCTCGGAGCATTGTCTCCATGGGAGCGTAGACTTGTATATCCATGGTCCAGAGGAACGAGCTGTTCGTCAAAGAGAGCGACAATGTTCCGTCAAGGATCTGTAACCGAATCTTCGAGGTGCAAATGCCCACCTTCAAGCCATAGGATGTCAGCTTCCATGTAACCCTCTCGGATCTGAGTGCGAATGCAAGTTCTCTATTAACACGTTAGTTAGCCTAGACATCCCAGATGTAGATAAGAGGGCAAATACTCTATTTTAGGCTATCCCTTCCTCTTGAAGATGTCCGTCACTTTCCTCTCTTCACCTCCCGTCATTCGAATAGTTTCTTTTCCAATGCGAGAAATCACAAGTCTTCCAACCTCTTTGAATCTATCCTGGAAATCTAGCCCATGGGGTCTGCCTGAAGTTCGAGTCTACTGGCAGTCGAGACGCTTTACTTACCTTCTTCGGTATCATTTAGTTGCACCCGCTCCACCGTTAAGGTTTTATTCGTCAATCTCGATCTGGATGAGACTTTGTAGATTACTTGGCCGTTTTCCGTACAGTAATCGGTGGCCAGGGAAGACCCATTGCGAGGGTAAAGGCGGAATACCGACATCGTATGTGGCAGAAGCGAAGCCAATACAAGAACAGCTACCCCTATTCACTCGGTGTACGGCCTTCCATCGGGGATGCGTCCAATAGACCACAATTCGTTCACACGAAAGAATTGCCTGTTCTATGACAATAGGTAGTAATAATGTTACAAAGCGATTTATATAACTTCAAAAGTCTGTGCCATTCTACGTCACGCTTGCACCTCTCACCAAAAGGTCTTCAGAGTCCTCTCCACTCGAAGCCCTTCTCAACCTTCACGCTACCCTCCAACGTCAACTTGTCGCTGGCAGTTCCAACCTTCACGCCCCAGGTGCTTCCACCCTCAACAACCCACCTATCCAACAATTCGCTCCAGTACGAGACAGCATACTTGTCCAGCGTAACCTCAACCTTCCTCTCCTCACCAGGCTTGAGGTCCTTGACCTTCGAGAAGGCCCTGAGCTGCAGGGGAGCGTGGGTGAGAGGTGAAGTCGAAGGAGGTGTAACGTAGACTTGGACGATCTCGGAGCCGGGAAGCGAGCCCGTGTTGGAGACGGTAAGAGAGACGTTGATGGCGAGGTCTTTAGAGCCGTCGGCAGCGGTCTTGTATTCAGGGGCGGAAACTTGGAGGTTGGAGAGGGAGAAGGAAGTGTACGACAATCCGTGACTACAGATTCCACATTAGCGAATCGTAGATGGCGGTAACAAAGAAAAGACTCACCCGAAAGCGAAGAGAGGCTCGATGTTCCTAGCAACATAGTGCTTGTAGCCAACGAAGAGGTCTTCAGCATATCGAACCTTGCCGTCCTCACTATGGAAGTGACCGAACGAAGGAACGTCCTCTTCCCTCTTGGGGAAGGTGAGCGAAAGCTTGCCAGAGGGGTTGTGCTTGCCGAACAAGACATCGGCGATCGCCAAACCAGTTGCGTTGCCGAGGTACCAGGCGTGAACGAGAGATGACACCTGGTCGACCCATGGAAGGGTGATCGCGGATCCCTATATACGCCGTCACGTCAGCCTCGACACTGAAGAAGGATTCGGAAATACGGACACTCTGGGTAACAACGACGAGCTTCTCGTTGGCTTCCGCCAACTTCTGGACGAGTTCGTCCGTCCTTCCGGGTAGAGCCAGAGTCTTGCGATCGTATCCTTCGGTCTCCCAGTCGGCGTTAAGACCAACGATGGCGATGACAACGTCCGCCTCCTTGGCGAGGGCGACCGCCTGTGCGAGCGTCTGGTCGGGGTCGTGGACGGGTGCAGCACCCAATCGTACACCAGGATTGCTGGACGAGGTGCATGCGGTCAATGAAAAGTTGGGCTGAAGAGACATCAAGACATACCTATCCATGAGGGCCTCGTCCTCGTCTCCGTCAGCAGGTCCTCTGACGTTGCAGAACTCGACAAAGATTTCGTGGTTCTTTCCTGCCTCGAGCGGGTAGACACCCCTCTTCTCGGGAGTACCCGACCCGAAGAAAGATTCACCACGGATCTGGCGGGTCCAGTTATCGATGACGAGGTTGCCGTCAATGTAGAGCTATAGGAGGTGTGAGCTTGGATATCACATTAAAGATCCTGCAAACCGACCTTGGCCCTTCCAGCAACGGTCAAGCCGAACTCCCACTCCTGACTCTCCTCGACCTTCATGTATCCCTTCAGCTTCAAAGTCCACCTCTTCGTGATTCCTTCAGGGGCACTGTTACTGATGAATATCCTGGTCTCGTCGATGAACCTGTCCCCAATCGGCTGGTCGAGAGGGACCAAGCTGTCGTCGTTGGTATGGGGATGCCAGGTGCCGATCCATCCGCGTTCGCCCTTGTCAGTTTGCAGGATGTTCTCAAGAGTTGGGAGGTTCATGAAAGCTGAAAAGCGATGTCAGTTCTACCCATTTTAATCGAGAACAGGAAGGAGAACACGGACTTCGAGCGCCTTCAGAGTAGGTGACCTCAACGTCTGAGCCAAGAGCATCGACGATTCCTTGATAAGGAGAGATGAAGTAGGAAGCCTTGAGTGCGGCTGATCCACCACCACTGAGCACTGTAGCCTTGGCATTTCCGCCAATAATAGCAACCTAAGCCGAAGCTACCATGAGTTCAAGGACGGTATCACCTATGAAGTGCACCCTTACCTTCTTGCCCTTCAAGGCAGCGGGATCGAGCGGCAGAATCTTCTTCTCGTTCTTCATCAACACAATCGACTCCCTGGCGACGTCCTTCATCAAGATTTTGTCTTCCTCGGACTCGACCGTTCGCTCGAGGCCATCTCCGTCGAGGAGCTACAGCAGAAGGAGGGTAAGTATCTGAGGCATGGCGTAATGAAGGACGGAAGACTGACCTCGCCAGCACCAGCTGCGCACTTCTTGACCAACTCCAGGACGGTCCTAGCTCTCTCCTTGATAGTGCGCGGAGTCACCTTTCTCGCTTGAATGGTCCTGTTAACCTTCTCAAGAGTTCTCCATTTGTTAATTCCCGGCATCTCGAGGTCAAGACCCGCGTTGAGGGCGTGTGCAACGGAGTAGGTTCCGAACCTGAAACCATCAGTACCGACAGGATAGCGCGAGGGTAGATGACCCACCAATCACTCATAACCAATGCATCGGATTTCCATTCATCCCTGAGAATGTCCTTGAGGAAGTAGGGGCTCTCAGAGACATGAGTTCCGTTGACGCGGTTATATCTGGATCTCTGGCGTCAGGTTGGCATCCTGAAGTGGAATAGGAGAATACATACGCTGTCATATACGACCAGGGCTGCGCCAACTTTTGGGCAAGCATGAAAGGCATCAAATAAATCTCCCGGAGTGCTCGTGGGCTGATGATACTGTCGTAGCCCATTCGGTCGTTTTCTTTGTCGTTTCCTCTGCATTGGACAGGGATTAGTGCGCTTGAATCGAGAAGATGGAGATTAAAACCTACACATAATGTTTGATCGTCGTCCCGATACCTCCATTCTGGATTCCATTGACATAGGCAGCGGCGATTTGACCCGAAAGCCAGGGGTCTTCAGAGAAACTTTCGAAGCTGCGACCGCCAAGGGGGTTCTATGGTCGAGAGCTATATCAGCGATATGAAGTTGCCTTGGTGGAACATAGACGCACGCGCTGGATGTTACAGGTAGGTGCCAGCACCACCGACGCAGCCCTCAGTTTGGCTTCCTCTGCGATCAGCTTCAATCCGACAACCTTGACGAGATCGGGATCGAAGGTGGCACCCAGAGCGGTAGACGACGGCAGACATTTTGCAGGGGTACTCATGAAGAAATGGTTTCCTCGAATACCATTTGGACCGTCGCTGACCTGCATATCGAGATCGCGGCTGTCAGCCTCTGAAGCGGTGTACACAGGGAACTGAAACATACCTTTACGGCCGGGATACCGAGCCTTTCAATGGGATGGGTATGCCAAAATCCAACGCCAGCTGTGAGGAGGATCGCCTCGTCCGTTGTGAGCTGTTCGACGATCTCGTCGATGTTGGCTTTGGCGAAATCCGAGGGCGCCATTTTACGTTCGACTCGAATTTGTTGGAATGCAAGGGTTGCACCGATCACCTCTTTCCTAGGAAATGAGGGAAAGAAGGGAAACGTAGCGTCGATACGCTCATTAACGAGTCCATGGCTTTATAGTAGAGGCTGGAGGATGGAAGTATTGCGCAGAGAAAGGTCCGAGGTTTATCCGAAGCGCTTGTTGCCGTTAAGATTTGGCGGCTGATGGGCCCCTTTTCGTCACCGTCAAGACACCTGACCTACTCGTTCCAGTCATCTTCTTCTCACTTGCTCCACAGTTCCCAAGGTCTACAGAGGCCTACGCACTATATATGACTTTTAAAGGCATTTAAGTTGTTCTTTTTGCAGTTTCTCGAAGAGATACCAGAGTTCTTGGTGCTGGTAACCTTTACCAATCTGGAAGGATTAAGCTTGTACTTGTCCATATCCATTGCGATTGGGCTACCGTTGGGCTAGGCCCTGGGTTACAGCCGGATGTCTTCTCCCCTTTTCCTCTCGCTTCCGCGATGTCAGCTGGTGTCACCTCTCGTGTGGTCGACAATAATCAGACCACATCGCCCACAGGGGACAATACGACAGCTCCTCAGTCAAGACCTTCGATTGGCTAAGCTTCTATGTGGGCGCTGCCAGTGAGGTCCACGACTGTACAACAATTTCGGCCCAGAGGCTCAAATTGAATTGAATCCAAGACTTCTCAATATGTCTACCGCACTACTGCAGCAATGATATAACCCTATCGGGTTTCTGCGTCTGACAGAGAAGGGTCGAGGTGGGAGATCAATGTGAAGCCAGTTGACACTTCCTCAGCCAAGTTCCCATAGATAACGTAGGGACGCCGTTGACCATACCCAATGCTTGGGGTCGATCATCTGAAAGCAGCTGACAGCCATAAGCGCCGGTACCGGCGCTTAGCTTCCCATTTCGTCCAGCTGAGACAGCGGCGCCCCGCCCGACACAATCTTAACCCAGGTCTTCCAGTACAGAGTCTACGTAAAATGTGCAGGTAACGGGTAAAAAAAGGAGGGCATGTTTAGCCAAAATGCGGCCGTCCACCACTTAGTGCTCTCACAATCTATTAAGGAACACCAAAAGCAAAATGTTGCGTCAAGTTGCATATCCAATTGCGCCTGGAATTGCTGGACCATACCGTCCTGAGTACCATTCCTAGGATTAGCTGCACCCCAACTCCGTTCCAACGACGCCGGACAGGTCAGAAATCTGATTCTAAGAGATAAGCATGCGATAAGATTAGATCCAGATCATCAAAAGGTACCGTAAAGATCATGCCATCACCCATCTAATCATCTATCCCCTCTGCTCAGCGTTGAGTAGCGTAACCAAAAGATCATAAGCGATAGAGGAAGAAATATACGGTATGATAAAAACCTAGGTATAAGAGCAATAGCGTTTGAAGAGAGTGTTCAACTTTATGGCACTACTTGTAACAAACAAACAACAAATATACAACAAAGATAACATGTGGTCGGATAGAGAGAATCATCTACCAGGATATAATCAGAGAGGGAGTCGCAGCATCATGATGACAGCGAGTGAACGAGAAGGTATGAAATTGGCTGAAAAACAAACAAAACAAAAACACAATCAAGCGTAACTCGTATCGTAGCGGTTGGGCGTAGTAGTAGTCGTAGTAAGGGGGGAGAAGAGAAAAGGAGTAAGTAGTAATCAATCATGCATGCGTATACATCGTAAGCGAATCATCGAGGATGAAAAAGAACAAGAGTACTAGGGAACAGAGAAAGCGCTGATTGAATTGCACAACAAAAAAAAAACAATGGTAACTTCTTTAGCGTCGACGACAGGACAACCCCCTGGTCCATCCTTCGCCACACGCGTCTCTATAGTATACAAACCAAAAAAAGAAAAAAAATACAAACCGATGCCCAATGCTTAACTCCGGCCGGATTTGGACGTCTTCTTACCAGCAGATGGCTGACGATTATTCGCGGCAGGAGGAGGGGAAACCTGTTTCGCAACATTCGCAGGCGCAGTCCTCGTCAGCCCCGACGCGCCATGCGGGATCGGAGGAGGGTTCAACACTGGCGGCTGATGCTGCAACTGCAACTGCTGCACCGGTTTCAAATCCTTCTGTTCACCCTCGGCCTCTCCATCAGCCACCACAGCCCCAGCTTCGATAGGCTTCATCGCATCCGCCTCGTCCTCGTCCAACAGCTGCATCCCTCCCGCCTGGACGAGTTTTGAATCGTCCCGCTTGTGTTTCTGCGACGCCTGGCGCTGCTGATCGGCCTTCGCCTTCTTCCGCGCTGCTTCCTCCGCTTCAGCCCTCTTAATCACGTCGATCTCGCCTTGTACGACGGTACCCTCGAGCCAGTTGTGGTGGATCAACTCGGAGGCTTTGGCGCGTCGATCGGGGTGGAGGCGGAGCATCGGGAGGAGGAATGCCGCGAGTGCGTCGGCTTCGTGTTTAGGGAACAGGTACTTGTCGTGCAGCACAGAGTCGAGAGGCCAATATCGTAGTTTGTTGATGTGCCGTAGCTCACCTGCGTCGCATTAGAACCTGAAGAATGAATAGGAGTTGGTGCGACATACCTTTCCGGTTGAAGAATTCGGAAGAGTATTTGCCGGAAAAGGCTATACTCCTTGGTAGCTCGCCGAGCAGCTCCATGATCTGAGCGATGTGGTCGTCATCCTTGCTGTACCTCGAACCAGAGGCGGGATCAAATAGATAATCACCGCCAGTGATCAATTCGAAGAGCTAAAGAAGAGTCAGCACACTCGAGGCGATCTCAGATAACCAAAAAACGTACCACGCAAGCTACACTCCAAATATCTGCACTAGTGCCCCACTTGGCGCCTAGGATGACTTCGGGACAGCGGTATTGTCGAGTTTGGATATCGTCGGTGAAGTGATGCTCAACCCACGTGGCTAAAAATCGCTCAAAAACATGTTGAGGCAACTAAAAGAAGAGGCATACCATTTCCCAAATCCGCGATCTTAACAGTGATCTTCTCTGACAAGTCGATGGCACTGGAAGAGTCGGATCGTTGATCGACCGACATCACAGAGCGAGGGGCCCCGTCTGCTGGAGGTTCGGGGGATGGGGCGCCAGGAATAGGAACAGGTTTGGTGTCGGTGAGCAGGGAAGGTCCGGGCGCGCCAGGCATGCGTCCAACGTAGCTAGCCTGGGTTTCTAGTGAGACGTTGTTGACTTCAGCGACCAAATCCGTCGAGACAGCCCGTTTCACCGTTGACAGGCCCTTCTTCTCCACGATGCCATTGCTGTTGTCGTCTCCCTCAATCCTGCTCATACCAAATGCCCATTTGTCTAGCATTGGGCTCGTGCCAAAGGATGAGGAAGGCGAGGGAAGGGGCTGTGAGCCGGTGATGAAAACGGATTCGGATCTTGGAGTTTGGTTGCCTCCACGTCCTTTCGAAGGAGGAACACCGACTAGCCTCGTGGGTGGCGTGCTGGCTGCTGCAGAAGAGGCTTCAAGCTCGGCTAAGATGACGTTTTCGACGTCGTCGATGCAGATGAGGACGTTCTCGGGCTTAAGATCTAGAAGGTTCTCTGTGAGTGGCATTAAGACCCAGTGGCACGAGATTTTCGCACCTGTGTGGATGACGCCGCAACAGCGATGCATGTAGTCGAGACCGAGGAGGATTTGTTTCGCGATTTGCTTAACGAGATGCATCGGAACGCCCTTGCTCTGGTGTCGTTTAATGAGACCAAGGAGGTTCTCGCCCAGAACCTCGAAAACCATGCAGACGTGGGTTCCATTGGGCCCCTTGTGTCGGAAGTGATCCAGGAATTGAATGACGTGCGATTTCCCGGGGTGGGTATGAGAGGGAGACGGGGGTGGATTTGGATTCTCTGGGGTGGGCGCGACGGGTGGAGTCGAGGACGTGATCAGACGCTGCAGGAGCTTGATTTCGTCCAGGGCGGTCTCTGTATATCGCGGGGCTGATTTCACGATTTTGAGGGCAACATGGCGATTCATCCTAGCCACCCGGGAATGTCAGAGAATGTGGGTCAACCTTGTGGTCTCGTGAAACTCACTTTGTGTCTCTGGCGAGCCAGACAGTGGAAAAGTGACCCCAACCGAGCTTTCTGACGACGACGTAGCGTCCATCGGAAAACTCGTCGCCAATCTTGACTGGGTGGTAGCCTCCCTTGACATAGTCCTCCCAATCTTCTTCGTCTTCAGTCATGATGGAGGCAGAGTATGAAGAATAGGAACCGTGAGACATCGTTTATGATAATTCTAACCAATCCGTAATCTGTTGCTGTCCTGTGGCTTCCCGAGATAAGGGTCGAGTATCTGGAGGCGGTCAAAGATAAGCCCTGGTTGCCTAGTTTAGCCACCCAATTGGAGACCAAATCCGCAGCTGGTTGCCGTTAGTCGTGTGGTCGCCGTGGGCCCCGGTGGCGAGAGGTGCGAAAAGGTGTGGAACCGGGCGAGCTCGTCGTACGCGACGATGAGGAACGATACGAAGACGGTTCAGGACGGGTTTCGCCAATTTCCCTTTCCAGAGCTTCCTGTCTAAAATCGATCATGTGATTGGTTAATCGCAATGGCACCGATTTTGACGATGATCCGAACAAATTTCTGGTTTCTTCTTTCATCCCAACTTCCGCGACAAGACCGCATAGGTCTTCATCCATTTTCCTTGTTCAAGCTCGAATTTCTAACTATCGACAGAACGAAGGCATACAGAGTTTAAAACAAGGTGTGTCGTTCAAGTTATCGTTCCGCCAATCTCCTTTTCTCCGTCGGCTAAATGGATTCAAAGGCTTGGGACCGTCATATCTGGCAAATGTGACAGCTTTCGGTGGCAGCATTACACTTGTCGTCTCCTCGTTCACAGTCTCGCAGCGTAATACCGAAGTCTTATCGGATAGTAACCCTGTTGACCCGACATTATTGTCTCAAATCTGGAAACCCTTGTCGTCATAGGTCATGGGTTCAATTCCCGCAATTCTTCCATGGCAGCCCTGGCTACGGCAATCTTACTCTTATGTTTGATCTGGGGTTCTCATCATAACACGCGTTCCACACGTGTTGGACTTCGACGTGCTGATTCGTCGCCTCGAGCTTCACATCATATCCAACTTCCCAATCTGCTTTTGAAGACCTCTGCGGTGTGGTAAGCGAAGTAGGTGCCCAACATTAAGGCGAGTGCCAGATCAACGTCCCGCTTTTCATACGCTAACTTGTTCAACGGATAGACAACGTCCTTTGGTAGAGATCGATGAGTCGGATGTCCCAACACCATCTCAGTCCTCTAGCACCAGGTAAAGGACGTAGTCGAGAGCAGTTTACTATGTAAGGTGGTTTGGGGTTCATATCAGAACATGCCTCGTACACGTGTTGGACTTCGATGCGGTGATTTGGCGCATCGAGCTAATTGTCAACCTCCATATCATATCTGACTTCCATCAATCAGCACGGTCTATTCCCCTCATTCAACGTCTATTGTCGTGAGACCCGCTGCCTCGCCTTTACGGTGTGGGGCAGCCTGCAATTCATTTCATTTCTCTAAAGGCCTCGCTCATGCACGCGTTTTACATAACCCCTTCGCGTCTACTAACTCCTCCTTGCACCAACAAGCTTTAGCATGAGGCTCTGGTTGACTTTCCTAGTTTCTTCATGTCGCTTCTTCCAGCTCGCCTTTCTCTCCCCACCTGAGCGCTTGACTTCTCTTTGTTCTTTTTGACAGACATGGGCGATATTATCTTTAATGAACCATCAGAGTACGTACCTTGGTTTCTTCTCGACCGCCGGACAGGCCGTAAATCCTGATTCTCGATCTTATAACAGCGCATGGGACCTAACTCCCACCATGGCTCCTTCAAAAGTGCCCGACGACGCACCCCCGTACATCACCACCAACCACCCTCCGAGGTCTCGAACGACGGCTACATCATCAACGGTCGGCAAGACAGCAACTTCCTCTTCTTCACGGCGACACAAGTCTACAAAGAGTTACGATGCTGAACTCCTCGAGGTACTGCAGGAATTTCGCAAAGCTAAAGCTCGAAGACCGAGCCTACCGCAAGGAGTCCTCGCTTCTAGCCTCGCGGAGAGCGGAGGTATTGGTCTTTCAGGGATCTCAACCTCCACGGTCTCCCGTTCCCTTTCCTCCGGCAAATCTACGGGTGGTGAACGCCATGCCTCCTCAACCTCGTCGTCCTCACATCACCGCAGTCGCTCGCGCAGTCGCACTCGATCGACAGAGTCCCCTTCCACCATGCTTCTCTCCATAACGACCGAACGACTCGAACAGGAACGTGCACGCGCCAGTTCTGCAGAACGGCAGTGCGCGGAACTCATGTCCAAAATCAAAACTCTTCATGAAGCCCAGCTGCAGTCCCAGCGAGAACTTGACACCGTTCGGCAAGAACTAAACCTATACAAGATCCAGTTGGAACTGGCGCAGAAAGGTTGACATTTTGTATTTCTGAGAAGTCTTTTTCGCTGATTGGTCAAACTGTAGAGATCCTACGAGCCCAGGAAATCGTCAACGAGGTGGATCAACAGCGAGTCAGCGCAGAACAAGAAGCGTCGAGAAACCGTGAAAAGGTCCGCCGTCTCATGGAGGAACGTATTCTCGCCGAAGCACTCGAGGAAGGCCGACGAGCAGGTTATCGTGAAGGATTGCGAGAGGGCAAGTCGATAGCATTGGCTCAACTTCGAGCTCAAGAGGCCCTCGCGCAGTCAGAAGCTGAAGAGGAGGAAGAGCGTAGACGTCAGCGACGCCCTAGACGCAACACGATGGAGAACCCCAGTAGGGAGAGGAAGAGGTCTGAGAGCGTAGCTCGACCTTCGACTTCGCAGGGTGGGCCGCAGGCTACGAGAGGTGGTACACATCGACACGCTTCTCCGCCACCGCCGGGGCGTTACCCAAGTCGAAGCAAGACACCTGTTGCCGGTCCATCTCGAGTCGCACCCATCCGGGAACGTTCGGACACACCTCCGTAAGTCTACTTCGATTAATGCCTTGGTCAAGAATCTCACTTCCCTCGTTTTTGCTGTGTGCAATGCAGACTCCCCTCAAGCTACGCAGACACGGGTCATTTCCGATCTCAACTGCCAGCTGCAACAATTACCACTCCGGTCCCAGTCCTCGTTCCTTCCACGCAGACCCAACCTCCCGAACGCGTCCCGGAATCCATCGAGATCCTGCCCGCCAGTTCCCACTCCAACGGCCACGGAAACATGCAAGCGTATACCCCAAGAGCCAACCGTTCCGATGTACACCTTCCACCTGATGGTTACATCCCCACTTTGAACCCAGCGGACAACTCGATCTCGCTCCCTCCGCCTCACGAGCTGAGTATGCCAATGGTGCCGATCGCGCGGGAAGGGGATCAGACGAACGGACATGAGACTGTTTCGAGCAAGGTTAAGGGGAAGACGCCCATCCGCGGAGGCGGTCTTGGAGGTGGGCATAGTGGCGGGGCGGGCGCGAGTACGAGCACGGTCCCTCCTGGCCGTTCCCTCCGAGACCGCGACGCTCTGGCCGTTTCGAATGGTCCTACCGACAATCATCATCGTTCCGCACCCCAGTCCCATCAATACCATCCCCATCAACCCTCGAGCACAGGTCTAGGCGCCAAACACGAAACTACTACCACTAACGCTGGTGACGTCGACTACTTCTCGGGATATCATCGTGATGAAGGCCGGTCGGAGGGATCGTTTTTTGCAGGGATGTCGTCGGGGTACACTGGGTACGGGATGGGGATGTACAGTTCGACACCGCGCAATAGGAGGAACCGTGCTGCGTCTGTCACGTCCTACGGTGCATCAACGCGGATATCCCAATTTGACTTGGTCGCACCTCCATCACCATCTGAACCTAACCATGCACCGTCGGCACGGTACGGCCTCGGTCACGGTGTCGGTGGGCCTGGCGTCGGTGCTGTTGATGGCGCTCGAGAGGGTGATGATCCAGATCAAAGTTTTGGTTGGGACTTTATGAATCACAATCAACGCAAAGCTCAACGCGATGCTCAGGGACAACCACCACCCCAGTCAGCGTTTAGTAATAGTGACGCCAACAATGCGACCAACGCAATGAACCATCGGCGCCAACCGGTAATCCCTCGAACACCGGAGACACCTACACCGGCGCCAAGAACGAGACCGAGGGCTCAGACGCAGCCTCAGGAGATGGCAGCGTATTGGAGGTCGAAGAACTCAGATATCGGATCTGGTAGTGGAACTAGGGCTGGCGGTGAAACAGAAACTGCGGCTGCGAGCTCGAGGAATGGATCTATGTCGGGTTCGTCGAGAAACCGAACACGTGGTGGTTCGATCTCTACCAGGCTGCATACATTGACATCAAGTGACCGGGATGGAGGTCCCATCGAGGTACGTAGAGATTGGAGTTTCGATTTTTGTTTTGGAATATATGTTTTTTTTGCGCATTACTCCTTCGAAAAGCAAACGAATTTGTATTGACTATCACTTTTGAAACTAGCGCCCAAAGACAGTGGAACCACACCTGCAGCGGTCTTTATCACCTCGGGTGAGTTCTGGTCTCTGCCCCCTTGTCCGAGGCAATGCAGCAATGCTCACCGATATGCCCTGCAGCCTGTCCTACATCCAAACTCGGTCAATGTGCCTGCGAATCGCAATGTTGAATCCGAGAAGAACAAGGGTGCCCATCCTGGGACGTACTTGGAAGTTGCTGCTCCCGACAGCGCCAACTTTCCGAATGGGAACAAGCGCACTCACCATCGTACCTTTACATCTGGAACGACACCAGAGATAGGTGTAGAACCCCCTGTATGTCTATCAATTTTGTTCGTGTTTCAACGCGTTCGCTTACGATTGTTGTCAATTCTTTTGCATCTCGCTTTTCTCCTTGAACCCGTCGTCTGCTAATGTTGTTGTACTCATGTTTCTCAGTCGCGGAGCCCGACGAGTGTTTCTGACGGGACTGTTCTCGATCCAGTCTTGCTTTCGCCATCAGGGGCACCGGGGCCGTCCAATTCTAGACCAAGCCACGACACTCAACAGCGCCAGCAGCCAACGTATGTCGGGTACTACATGGCACCCTCGCTCCCGCGTTTCGACTACACCAGCACAGGAATCGACGTCAGACGTTCACCTTCGAAAGATTCCAATAACAGCAATGTGTATGACCGTGACAGTGACAGGCCCCCTGGATATGTCGTCCCACTCAGCCCTATTCCTAGCCTGAGCCAATTTAGATTCGATTCAGCTTTAGATGCCGAGACGGGACCTACGGCGCCAATCTACGGACGGCCGAACTTCGAATCGTTCAGCGCCGCGGTTGGTACGATTGCATCACCGGGCGCTAATCCAGCAACAAACCGACCCAAGGACGAGGAATTGTTCGGAAATAACAAGGGATTTTTCTCCCCTGCGCCGCTGAATCGACCAATTTCATTGTTCTCGGACACGTAAACCTTTGGGTTCGGAGTACCTTTGTGGGCGTCACCTTTCCGATGTGCTCTGTGGATGGGGAGCGTTGGAATGGATTCATTTTTCTTTGGTTCATAAGCGGTATGGCTTATAGGTTTCATGATTAATTGTGCTCATCAACCTGAATCGGTTGGCCAGAGTGTTATGTACGTTTATCACATTCCCTCATACAAGCTAATCCCTGTTGGTGCAAGCCCCGCAGATAACCATCGGCGGGACCGCAGCCCCTCTTACACACGGATTTAGTCCTGCTCCGTCATCGCGACTCCGGTGCGAGCGTTGTTCTCATTTCACATATGCTATTTCCTTTGGTCTATCTCATACACTTTATTTTGATGTTTATGTCTTTACTTCCTCTATGCTCTGTACCTCTCGTTACATCCAGTTTGTACCATGCATGACCTTTTAAAACACACGATTAAGCGCTAATGAGGCGCGGTTCGGTTGCTAAGGGCGCGTCATTCACCTCTGTTCCGGATCTCGGAGGGGCGGAATGATGTCCCGATCAAAAGCATCACACACAGCATTTCAAGTGGTTCGCCGGCTTTTTGATTGGACGAGCTGAATGGTTGCAGGCCCAGTTTTGCAGGCCCAGTTTCCGAACCAGGGGTGTAGCGTTATAGTCGACGGAGTGTCAGAGGAATGCTCAAAAAAGGATGAATCTTTCTCTTTTTTTTTGTGGCCTTGCACTGCTAGCGTCCCGACGTTGCGATCCTAGGACCCGAGCGGAAGCGCCTCCAATGAAAGGCGGTTACTGGTCTGCGGGAGAATGATTCAATCATTTCTATCTTTTGCCCTGCGGAAGGATTGGAGCTTTTAGGAGGAGTCCGTATGAGTCAGCGGAAGTTTCTGGAAGTGCAGCGACTCGACTGCAAGACATTGGAGCCCAACTTGGAGATTGCGCTGCGCGGACGTACTTGGGTTTTGTGCCCTTTGTGTAGGCCCTTGTACTGTTTCCAGCTTTGCGTGTGCTGGAATTAACGCTGAGCATTCCAGAGTTAATCCGTTGATTTTTACGGGCTTAAGTGTCTACTCAGGGCTCCTGTTGGACTACTATCTATCGTCGAAGTGCGTTGCACCCGCTGTACAGCATTAGTAGCAATTCCCAAATCCAGTCCCGGAAGATGAGGATGACTCGCTCATTCGGAAGTTTTTCCTATTTAGATTGGCTCAAGAGGCTACGGGATTGCAGCAAGCCGCATTTGAACAGATATACCAGTCGGAATGGCGAGGTATGACGCCGGGATGGTGTGTATGTCATCCTGAAATGATTCATTTGTTCCTGGAAGGCGTTGCTCTTGAGAGTGATCTCCATCTACCCGTGCGTCAAACCGATGCACTCGACCACTGAAATCAGGTCCGCAGATCATTTACAGTAGGATATGACTTCACCTTCTATTCCGTGAGTATACTGCGAGCTGAACCAGAGAGCAGTTAAATAGCAGCGGATTCAACGAAGAAAGTCATACCAGCTCACCTTTCCTCATCTTCTTCATCCTCACTCCTCTAATACACTCGCTGTAACTCGATACAACAGACAATGTACGGTTCCAACCCTTACGCTCAAGCTGGATGGTCCAACCCAATCAACCCACTCTGGGTCGGACGAAGCTCTTGGGAAACAAATCAACCTCATTCTCCAACGTACGGAGCACTCCCAACGGGGACGAACGTCCAGTCTCCCAACATCATCACCTTGAGATTCAACTCTCAAGATACGCTAAACTGCGCAGTCGTTGGTCCACGGAATGAGAGAATCATCCAGATTACTACAAGCGCGGGCCCACACCAACGCATCACGACGTTCACATCCGGGAACGGGACGACATTCGCGAACCTAGAATGGTCTCTCCACCCTCTGATTACTATTTCTGGTCTTGTTCCTCGTCAAGAGGCTATGAAGTGGCTTGTTTTTTCTGGAGATAGAAGGTCAGTTCTAGTATGAGAGTACCACGTTGGTCTGCTCACCATTCTCTCCAGGTCTGCTCAAATGACAATTGGCCCTGATCTCTACATCTGGATTTTCCACGGACAAACGATTCATGTAAGTGAGATGCAGCCTTTACAATAGCTTCATACTAACAGTCGGTGCTAAAATATAGCTTCATAAGAACCACGGAAGTCCGGGTGAACGCCTGGCGAAGATGTACTGGAACAACGGACTGTGCCTCGACGTCAACGTCTCTTCGGTCCGAAATGGCTTGCTAGAGGTGATCCTAGTGGCAGCTGCCCTTCTTCAATCTAGGCAGGAAGGTAGAACTTGAGCATTTCCGTTATTTATTGAGGCGCCCTTTCGGCCCGAATCCCGTCATACTTGGACAGGGTTTTCCCATTTTGACACATCTCTTGCCGTTCTTGGACTTTATTATCGTTACACTGTAGATTTTGACGTATCACCCAGCCAGATAATATTCTGATATTCTCTCGTACACTAATAGATATCTAACTTAATGCCGAAAACCATCGAAACAATTCCATCTGTTCGTAGGCCCCCTTTAGCATAGCCTGTGTTAGGCAAGCCCGTTGTTTCGAAACAACGTCAAACAGAGACAACGGAGGTGCCGCGCCACGAGCAACTTGGTTGCTCTCCTGCCATCATGATCTATCCTCGCGTAAGTACACTGTGTGTTAGCTTTGCCCAGATCTACGATGGACTATTTGAAACGATACATCGCAGTTATACGACTGACCAAACTACTCCCTACGATTAGTCTATGGGTCAGGTGAAACTCTTTCGATCTCCCGACTCGCCCGGTCCTGGCACTATGCGAAGTGTTCACCCAATGGAGAGTGTCTACTTCCGCTTTGGTTCATTGACTCCAATTCTTTGTTTTCCTCGGTGTCACAAATCCGGTCAAACTACAAGGATATAGTCAAGTTCACCCTCTCTTCGACTCACTGTCCAAGTCGACCCCTTCCGTGGAGCACCCAAACGCCCTGTGGGCGTCTGAGCAACCTGGCATCATATGAGAGTGACGCGTAGGTGAGTCACTCGTATTGAGTCGGAAACCTCTCAATTCTAAATCTGAATCGCCTTTTCAGACTGAATCCGAATGGGGACGAACTCTCGTAATCTATGGTGGTTCAATGCCTCTGTCGGCCATGCTGGAAGAGCTCATATCGCATGACCGAAACACAGGGTGAAGTTCAGTTAGCGGGGCTTCACGAGATTCCTTCGCAGCCACAGATGCGCTTTTGATGGGAGCGTTTCGGTGATACCCATTACGGGAATAGGAGACACGACACACTTCGCCTAAGCGTACTAGGACTGTGTTTCAATCTCTTTGATTCCTATGCCAAAGGATGATTACAGACTCTGCGCGTCGTATTTAAGGACTCTGGGCTTATCGTCTCAAAAGCCAACAAGCACCTTCACCTCTCTTGCCCGACTGCGGTATCCGTCACGCGTTTTACTCTTCGTCCTTGCAACTTCTGTCTTTACCCCAACGATGTTCGGAAGCAACCCCTACGCTGCTGGAGGCTGGTACAACCCTCAGAACCCCCTCTCAATTAATGGTGGTGGCCACCCTTGGTTCCCGAACTCCAATCTCCCGCCCACCTTTGGTGCTTTGCCTACCGCCAACTATTCGTCATCGCGATTGGCATTTGAATTTGCGCCGGCGCAACCCGACATCCTCAACTGCACCGTGGATGGACCGAATCGCAACACTTATTTCAGGGTTGCGACTGCGAATGGCGCGACGGTAATTATGAAGCCGCGCAACGAGGGCATGGCACGGATCGAATGGGGGACAGAACCAAGTGTCGAAATCCGAAACATTATCCCGCGAGCTAACGCGTCGCATTGGCTGCGGCTGTCCCAAGATCAAAGGTTCGATCAAGTGTACGCCTAAAACCATATCTCCATTGACTGATCCAACTCCGTTTATCCAACAGCCATAGAACCATGGTCGTCAATGGACGGAACTATGTTTGGATCCCACGAGGAGGGGCTATTCTTGTGAGTGAACTAGTCCAGTTGTATCGTGGCCCATGGGCTGATAACATTTTCCAACCAGCTTCTCAGTGCGGGACCGACTCCGCCCGCTGAACTAGGTCGAATCACGCGGTCTTCGGGCAAGGTGACCTTGGAATTGGTCAGCGATGCCATCCAAGCAGGCTTGCTTGAGGCGTCTGTCGTCGCCACGGTTCTTTTCCAATCCGGACGAAACATGGGCTAAGGACATTTGCAACGTCTTGGCTGTGACGATTTTGTTCCAACTATCATGATTCTCATTATTTAACTATTGAACTGTAATTTATAGCCTCGGCTTCGATCCACCTTCCCTGTTGTATTTGTAGCTTCTGCCCTCGAGATGTATTAGTAGAGGTTGCTTTTGATGACTTTTTCTCTCCCGTCTTTAGATTTTCTATCATAGATCGGTTCCTCGATATCCAGCTATTTAAATGACAACACTATTCAAATACCCTTAAACCTTTCCGGTCATTGCTTGAGCGCTTGACCCTGGGTGCCTTGCATGTTGACGAAGTGGGCTTCCTTTCACTTGTTGCCACGTCGTCATCGTTTACCGCCTCAACCAGCCCAGGATCCCAAACTCCTTCGGGTGACCTTTGGGTTTCAGTAATGCGCCCGGAGCCATCAGGGGTGGAAGCGGCGCCAATCAATAGAATCCTATGGGCGTGCACACAGAATGCACATTTCGTCGGGGATTTCTGACCGTCTCCCTTACTGTATTGGCGGAAAATTGCGGTATATCAAAAGGCCTATTGCCTTCGACATCATTTCTGAGTTGTGGAACAACTACTCATATGACTCGGTGAGTTACTTGCAATCTCCAGGCTGGTGGACCGTGGCGAAGCCGTGATGAAAGAAGTGACGGCACTAGTGATGATTGCATCACTTCCACTGACCCAAAATTGAACGAAGTGACGAGCCTCGCTGCTGGACAAGGTGTGTTGAGCGACGAAGCGGTACTGGGAGCAACGTACTAGTTGCTAGTCTTCGACGCGCGTATCTGTCTGTACAGGAGAATTCGATTCGCCGGGGGATGAATTGTGAGTTTTTCTGTTGTGACAACCCATCTAATCACGGAAGGCTGAGTTAGATGGGACACACACCGTGTACAGGCATAGATCCCTCTGAAATTGGGACTGAAGGGGCTTACTTCGGCGCACATAGCCTGAAAGCTCTGTTCGCCCAGAGCGCACAGATTACCGAATGACACAGTTAAAAGCTTACATCTCATACTGGACAAGTCCTTGGTTCTCGGGCCAGGCACCGACGACTTCAATCACAAAAGAAGCTGTTCGTTCCTTACAAGTTACCCAACTTCTATGTATCCGTCGCTTCAAGGCCCGCTCTAGCGCCCATGAAGCCGTGGGACGCCTGTCGTCATGGTAAGCGCACCCAGCGCCTTGATGCGCCATCAGTTTTCAGGATCGCGCCCGTTAACACCAATCAGACCTCCCTTTCCCTTGCCCATAAAGCGCAATATTCCTCCGTTGAGATGCTTGTTGGCGCGTGTTCCATCAGGTACTGTTTTGTCTTTGCCGTTTAGATAAGTAGAATCAATTCGATGACCATTCCCATCGTGGACTGCTTTCCACTCACAACGTTGGTATGAATCAGGGAGGGATTCTCCACTGTATCAAACACTTTGCCAGCGGAATTTGACCAAGACAAGTCAAAGTCAAAGTCTTGAAATATAGCAATATTCGGATTCCTTCCCGGACAGGAGGATCCGAGTCCTCTGCACTGTTCACACCTGCGAATAACAGAACAAACCTTACGGTGCGAATTTCACGGACTTCGGTGGGAAGTGAGAAGTGAATGGAGCGTGGTGAGATGATCTGCCGCTCTCAGGCTCTGGGGTATCAGTTAGATTGTGTCGCGTGAACGACTACTGTGTGAGTACAGCGTCCAAACCTAGTCTCGTGAACTAGACTCGATTCCTTGGAGAAGTCCAAACCTCTCCTCCCATTGCGGAACCGTCTCGAATCGTTGGTAGAAATCTACCCCAATCGCCTAGCTAGGTTTCCATCTTTTAAGAGCAGAGCCGGTATAATTTGTCGTCTGGTGAACGATATGGGCAGGTGGTCTCGTGGTCTCTTGCGACATCAACGTCGCTACCAAGAAGAGAGGTGAGAAAATGAGTGCATTAATTATTTGATTAGGGTTCTGGGCTGATTCCGGTTGGTGTAGAGACCTCAGACCATATGTCGTTCAGCCCAACCGGGCCGAAGGAGCACTGGGAGCGCAGAGTTCATTTGAACCCAGTCGTCGGCCCCCGCGTTTCGCAGGGTGCTCGCTGTTCGCAGATAACCCATCCCCGTCGATTCCAGAGCAGAGAACCTGAGGAAACGTTTAGAAGGACATCGCCTCCAGAGTCGAGTACTAGTGAACAACCAAGAGGATTCAAGTTCGAATAGCGCCAGGACTTCTTGGTTTGAATTTACAACCCGGGACCAAAGAACACGTCACAGCGCTCTCTTCTTATCCCACTGGGGATCCAACTACGCTCACCCATGCTTCCTTTTCAAGCGCCCTGCGGGAATGAATGGGAACTTGAGAAGTCAAGAAAACAAGGGGAAAATGCACCGCCACCCAGGGGTAAATTTTCGCTAAACCCATGAGGAAATAAGTGGGAGAAAAGGAAGGGAGGGGGGGGGGGGGGGTCCAGGTGCACGGGTGCAAATGCACATCTGGGAATCGCTCTCGGAGTCGTTCGGTGGGCTGTCACTGTCAGAATTCAGTGATGGAAAGTGATCGTGATGGGGCTTTTGGGCTGCTTTTTAGTGAGAAATGCAAGGCAAAGTGTCAGCTGAGCACTGAGGAAGACGGATTTAGCTCGAATATCTGTTCTGGTTTGATGGAGACGTGTCAGGAATCTACTGGAATCCATGCACCTCCAATCTGGAGATAAAGAAGATTTTGACAGACGATGGAACGGTCAACGGAAGGGTGACGGTGTAACAGACGTTTCATTACGAGTAAAAGATCCTCTACGCAATCATTGAGTGAATTCCGTTGGGAATAAGCAGTACATAAGAGTAGTGGGTGTGCGCAGCAGTGTAGTACAACCTGGGGTATACATTAACCACTTGGATTTGGAATCGGAGCTACAGAAACGGGTGGCGGCGAGGCTGCCCGGAGGAGCGAGTGGGGGTGGCTGGAAGTCAATTGTCACTTAATTTGATGATCGAGGGTGACTACGTACGCATGTACGCTCGCTACCTAAGAGAGTTGCTTCCGCTCTGCGGAGGCTTGTCGATCCACTCGAAAAGCCTGCCAACCAGGCCTAGACCCCAGTGATATTGAGAGTGAGGGTTTGAATGTGGATTGAATGGGATAAATAGAATTGCCTATCGGGCATCACAGAAATAGGCGCCCAAGGGACAAAAGGGTTGCTCGACTGGGAAGTGGGTGATTTGAGGGGATTGTCAGGGGCGGCGCTGCGGCCGTAACGTGCTGGTGTCTCCCGGCGGGAAGGAGGACGAAGTACATGTACAGGATGTCGCTAATTATGTCCTTACCGCTGTACGCATCATTCATCCATACTACTACTCTTGGTGGAATCGTACGAGCGCTCGCAATGACGTTACGGCGCGACTCTCCCAGCTGTCCAGCCTTTATTGGACAATGTTTCATCTTCGAAAAGAAAAACTTGAGTCCATGTTAACAGTCATATCTAGTCATTCTGACTGCTTACCCACCGACTAATCATCATTCATCCTTTCCATCCGCTTGGAAGACTTGAAGGGGAGTATTTATTTCGGTACACAATAGACTTATTCGGCTCCCGAAAGCGCTCATTGCTGTTCAGCGTTCACAAGGGATTGTGTCATCGAGGGCCATTGGGACTGGCGCTCGAGCACTAGACCGGCCTTTGGGGGGAGAGTAAGAGATTCCTACCACACCGAATAAATTCTTACTCGAGCCGAGAGGGAAGGGGCGATTATGCTACTGTAAGTAGAGGACCTTGGAGCATCACAGGGGGCCGTCTCCACCCGACTTCCAAGCGCCAACAGAGGTGAATCTGTGCATCAGTCATTGTCAAGACTCAAAATGTAGTCGTGATTTGAATTTTGGACGTAACCGATCCGGTGATATGATAACGCCGGGTCACACTGAGGCTACTTAATTTTCTGGAAAGTAATACATACGAATCATGGCATGCTTCATAAGTTGTTGAATGCGCTTCGGTCGATATCGAGCGCTATTCAATGAGCAGTGTTGTGAGGTGGAGGTGGCGCCAGTGGGTACAATCCAAAAACTCAATCTATCTTGAGCGGACTGAAGGCTGCGAGTGTGGGCCCGCCCTATCTGAATCGCGTCATCGGGTGGACCCTAAGCACGTCTGTGTATACACTACTACTTGCACTACTAAGCCAATATTACTACTCTATTACTTCCAGACCCGCGCTGTGGCGTCCACGAGGTCGCTTCTGCCCACACGACGTTGACACACAACATAGAATAGAACTCGATTGCTTAGGCGAGCTATACATACATAAGTGTAAAAGCGTAAAAACGGTGTACATATTTAAAAGCCCGAATGCCTCGTGCGATTCGACTCGGAGGATCGTCAGGGGGTTCATTTCATTCAATTTAAACTGGTGTTCTGATTGTGTGTACGGAGTACGTACAGCGAACAGGGAATTTAAACAGCGAAGGCCGTGCGTTGGGATGTGGCGATGGAAGGGGATTCAGTATTCAGAGCAGAGGAAGAAGATTCGAGCGGGGTGTTCAATGGGAACGGCGATGAAGGTCAAGTCACAGAAGTGGGATTCGCGCCAGTCTACGTATACTATTGAGTCGATGTTGCATAAGTCATGCTAGTCATATAGATGCGATCCTGGGTGTACGCAACTGAGCAATTGAAATCAGTATGCGTGACCGGTTGACCCTCCGCGGCTAAAGGTAGTCCGTGAGCTCCTCCCATATAAATGCCAGAATTCAACGTGTAGTACGTCACCGTCGAATACATAGAGGTAATTAACAGGCAGCATGTCAGTGGCTGCAGTCCATACGATGCCGTCCCCCTCGAGCGCTCACGAGATGTGAATGGGCTGCGGGGGCGGGTCCGTTCACGACGATGGGAATTTGTTCACGGGTTATGAAGGTGCGAAGGTATTTCCTGTCTTACAGTGCGTTCAGCGCTCAAGATTGAATGCTTACAGAGAAAACTTACGTGCGCTCGTCATCTGTTCATAGAGCTTACCTTCCTCGGCTAGTCGATTGTATGATTTGAGCTTTCCACCAAGATAGCACAATAGTACAGGCTACACCTGTTCAACTCCAAGTTGATACATCAGCAAGGGTATTTTTGTTGTATTACATCCACATTGAGAGAATCAAGACGCCGCATGCGGAATTGAGAACAGATCCTTGGACTCTCATCATAGACGCCTGTCTAAATCCAAATCCGATATCGATGCCAATGTGATTTTCAGGTTCAGGGACGAACACCTGTCCCCGTCCCAACTTCTGATCTCAGCTACTTATATATATCTATGCGTTCGCTGACGTCGTGCTTCTCTTTATAGGTTCTCTTTATAGGTTTGGGTCCGTTTGACCTGACGTTCCGCGATTGGATGGACTCTGACGATATCCGGTTAAAAGACGAGCGCGATCACTAATACCGTGGGCGATTCTCCTACTCGTTCGTTAACGCACCAGGCACAGCTTAGAAGCCCCTCGTGCAAAGTTCAATCACATAAAGAGGCTCGTACGTATTGTACATACTCTATTCCCCGAACGAGCGGGAAACTCATAGAATACGAGCGCGGGGCGATTAAGCGCCCAAAACTTGAACCCAAACTCGGCGCTCGCTGTACATTATGTAGAATTCAGTTGTTTCCGGATGCGATTGGCTCGGGAACACATATATTTGATGAGCGACAAGTTGAAGGTGTCTCCAGGGAGCGCTTGGTAGAGAGCCCATTCAATTGCACCACCTCACAAGCACCCTTGCCCTCTTGAGCGCTACGTGACCCGTCAAGCGGAGATGTAACTCTGATCGGGTATCGCGTCCAGTGACCTTGGTGACTGGTCTCTACGTAGTTATTAGTACTAGCATGTATGGGGCACAAGGCTCAGTCTTGCCGATATGTAGTATTGGCTGATAGACATCTTCGTCCTTTTTTCATTTATGGTTTAACATTCAGTTGTGTTTGGTATGTTTTTGGGGCGGGCCCGATGAGCGTTAATTCATACCTTCCTCGAAAGCTTAGTGGAATTCTGGCTTTGATCTTGGGGTCATCGATTAAGGTTTCGTCATTCAGCTACTACTACATATTCAAGTCTTCGCCGCTCGTCCTCAGAATCGCTTTATCTAGTTACATCTTCTTCACTAGACAGGACAACAACAGCAGAAATCGACGGGAACAAAAAGGCTCCAAAAGCCAATAAAAATAAAAGGAGAAAGGGTTTCATGGACAAGGGTCCAGGGACAAACATGAGACCATGGTTGGACGACGGACGTCGACGGATAGACGAGATGTCGCAATGCTGAATGGTTCCTGGGTCAGGATTCAGTCCGAGTCCGAGCGGATACCCACTCGTCGGACTGTAGCCGTCCTCTTATCTCCACTCCACTGCGAAATCAAAGATGGAACGCGAGCGTAAGTAAGGGATGGCCAACGCAAACTCGGATGGGCGATAGACCGGCGAGACTGAGCTGTCCAAGGATGAAAGCCAAGTCCGTGTTTTTCGAACCTCGGATATCGATGTAGCTTCCAAGTTCGAAATTTGAAGGTCGAAATTAAAAGGTCGAATTTAAAGGTCGAAACTGAGATATTCATTTGTTCTTGTATGAGGTTGGAGTGGGCCGGAGGTGGAACTGGTTTGATGGAGGGTACTATCGGGATGGGAGAGAGGGAGAGATGAAAGGAGAGAGACGGGGAGAGTGGAATTTGGAGACGAGATGAGGATGGGAATGGGGATGAGGAGAAGGATCGTGATACAGCGCAGAATGAGAATGATAAAATTCATTGCGAGTATTAGTCATTGCGGGTATTTACCAAAGGACAAAGGATAGAGAGAGACTCAGAGACGATGTGAGAGCCAGGCGAGATGTGTAGGATTCTTGGAAATATTGGCCAGAAATTCCGACAAAATCGATTAGATCTTGAGCGCTCCTCATTAGAGGCCGCCGAAAAAGGATAAGCGAGCTTCACCAAAAACATCCATCCGACAAGCGAGCGACACGCGACACGTGTTGTTGTTTGTTCTGTCAGTGTTCTGTTACAATTTACTTTCGATCGATCGAAGAGTCGCTACTTAGTGATGATGCATGATGATGCGTCGGGCGACGGGTTGCCACCTCCGAGGTAACTCGATCATGAACGGAGGGAAGGCGAAGGGAATGAGGAGGAGGAGGGCTAGATAAGAGAAACAGAAGTTCACATCTTAAAGCCGATTTCGGGATTCAACGAACACTACTGGAGACAAAGCACCAAATGGCGCAGTGCGTTACGTTTGGTTAGATGGGGGGTGCGTGCCTCACGAAGCACAGCTGTGTAGTCAGGTAAGGTAAAAAAAAGCAGCGCTTGGTTGCCGTTGGTGGGTGTTGTTGTAACCGTCGCCGTAAGGGTAACGGAACGGTAACCTCTTTAGTCAAGAATTGGTTAAAGAGCTGGGGTCGGACTCGGTGGAATGATGGAGTGGTGATGGGGTGATGAATGTTGGAGTGGCGACGAGGGAACGAGAAGAGGGAGAGAGATATGGACTACGCAAGGTGTGTGCTTTGTGAGCTAGAGGTTCTAGCGGGATCAGGAAGAAAAGCGACTAGTCGAAAGATAAGATTGTAAGTATTTGAATACGAGTGAAGAGAAGAGAGGAAGTGAAGGTGGGGATGGAGCCAAGAGGAGAACGGGCCTGACCCGATGGAGCGGCGCATCTGCTCATGTGTACCTGACCGGAAGGAGAAACGTGTGAAAGAAATGGTGCTGTATCCCCATTAGTCGAGTATTGGTGGGAAAGTGTCCCGGGGGCGTTTCGAGCAAAGCGTCTGGATTTGTGGAAAAAAAAAAGGACGGGGGGCGTGGCATATGCCCTGTTGATCAGGCACCCTTGCTTGACCATCTTTATATCACTTGGTTCCCGCTTTTTTGGCGCGCCCTGCCAGAACGTCCCTCGTTGTCCACCTTTCGGCTTTTTACGCTTTCATTCCTAAACCTACTTCCTTCTTTCTGAGCGGGGCAGCTTTTCGTCTTTTTTACGTGGGGTGCCCTTTTTAAGTGTGGTTGTTTGTGGTGTTTTATGTACATGGATCCGCCCCCTGAACCGCTCTCCCCTGAAAATAAGCCTCGAATCACCGACGCGTCCACTGCTACCCCTGGTTCCTCGCCGACTTCTCCTGACCAAGCTACTACTATGGCCACCATGGTCGTGGCTCCCCCGCCTGCCCAGCATCCCTCGCTGGCAGGCCCACCTCCCTCGGCAACGACGACGACGACGACAGCGGCAGGGACGAAGCGATACCGGCCAGCCCCCACCAAGACGTTCCAATGCCGCGGCTTTGGCGACTGCACGATGGTATTCTCGAGGAGCGAGCACCTGGCTAGGCACATCAGGTACGCCCCCTCTCCCTCGTCATAGCACCCACGCAAATACGTTATCTCAATACATATACAATTTACAGAAAACACACCGGCGAACGCCCCTTCTCGTGTCACTGCGGCAAACAGTTCTCTCGACTTGACAATCTCCGACAGCATGCGCAGACGGTGCACGCCGACAAGCAGGAGCAGAACGAGCGGATGATGCGCGATCTGACGTCGCTGCATGCTTCTATGGCCGCGGCGAACAAGGTCGGCGGTGGGTCACGCGGTGGACGGAGGACTGCGACGAGTGGATCGACGAACAATCAGGGCCACCAGGTTGGCGGGGGAAGCGGGAGGGCAGGAGACCGGGATGTGGGGGTGACGCCGAAGCAGGAGGATCTCGGCGTAGTGCCGATGCACCAGCGGCCTGGGACGAGCACTGGGTACGAAGGTGGGGATGTGTATGGTTCGACGTCGGCGTCATGGCACGTGTCGACTGGGGAAGATGGACACCCTCCGCGGCCTAGCGGGGGGAGTCATTCGTTTCGTGAACCCGGGCAGTCCTTTCTTGGTCCGGCACACGCCTCAGCTGGAGCAACAGCCCCCGGCCAGTCCTTTCGAGTCTTCGGAAGCAGCCACGGCGGGGATGGACGTCCACGGACGTCGAGCTCCCGGCCGCCCACCTCGACTGGTGTTGCCGGCGACGCACAACGGCGGACGCTCCCGCCGCTCTCAGCAGTCGTCTCCGCATCCCTCCAGCACCGGGAGTTCCGGGAGCAACAGCAGTTCCCCACCCCTCCACCCTCCGCTCACTACAACTACGGGATCCACGGACAGTCCACACAGCACGTACTTCCATTTCCCTCCCAATTCAGACGACCTGCAACACGCCCAGGCACTGCCCCAGCCTCAGCAGCGTTCTTCTCCGCCAAACCTTCTCTCTTTGCACCAAGACTTGGAATGGACAGGGCCGAGCTACCACCACTATCCGGACATGGACGTCCCCCATCATCTGCCTTCGCCGGGTACGCCGGCAGTGGTGGACTGGGTGAACCAGACGCAGACTACGATGAATACGGCGCACAAAGAGACCAAGATGACCCATTCTTTTTCCACCCACCTGCCCTCACCGACCCACAGCCAGGGCCAGGCCCTCTCCCCCCACCCACCGCACCCGCCACAGCCACCTCACCGTCCGCCGTCAACCCTCGTAAACGGGCTTTCGCAGGACCAGATGGCCCATTCGATGATGCCTCACCCGCAGGGTCGCGCGAGCCCCCGGGATCAGCAAGTCGCCCAGCAACATCATACGACTATGGCTCAGAATCAAGACCTCAGTCTCGCAGAATCTCAGTCATGGAACTCTGCAATGACACCGATACACCACCCAAATCCTCAAGTGGTTACTCCTCAGCCACAACAACAGCAGCAGGACCCACTCCATTTTTACTATCCGCCAGCTCCAGCCTCTCCAGCGCTGGGGGCGGTAGTGGACCCGTCGGCGTTGGTCGGTCATTCTCCGCAGGAACAACAGCCAGTGGTTCAGGCGCCAGTCCCGAATCGCGGCCTACCACTTCTTCAGGACTCGTCTCATCGACTAAGACGCTCCACATCTTCGATCGCGGTTCACCCATCTCATCAAGCCCACCCTTACTCACGCGACCTGCGAATGCCGCCGTCGTCTCAGCTCTCACAGGAAATCCTGTTGGGTCGTCGGAATTCGGAGCCGATGGTTCAGCAGGTGCAGGAGGGCGAGTATCATCATCATCATCATCAACAACAACAGCAGCAGCATCTTTTGGAGGGAATCGACGTCTACCCTCACCCACCCCAGGCTCATCAACACTATTACCTTTCTCCACCGCACGACGTGAATTCGGGTTCGGATTCGCCCATCATCCCACCCCACCCCCATCTTCAGGCGCCTCGAGCCGTGACGCTCACGGCGGCGACCGTTTCTTCGCCCAGTCTCACCATCAATCCCATTCCCAGTCCTATCAGCAATCCCAACACCACCAACACCACCACCACCTCCCTCCACTCTCAGTCTCTTCCTCCCTCTCAGGCGGAGGCGGGTCAGGGACAGGCAACATCGGGGGGAACAACACAAGTCTCGCAGCCTCTTTCGCTTTCGCCAGCCGGGATCGAGATCTCACCCACTCACCCGCATTTTCCGCCGCATCCGTTAGCTCGACCACATCCGAGTCAACCACACGGTCCAGTAGTTCAGACGAGAGTGAGCCGCTTGCAGGGGCGTCACCCGATCGACGGGCTGGGTGGGGTGAGCGGTGGGGTGGGCGGGAATATGGGAGTCAACGCGAATATGGGAGGGAGTATGAGCGTGAACGGGAGTGGGAACGGGACAGGGACGGCGACGACGCCGGGCGGTATAGTCCACGAGCTCGACTTGGTTCAGGGCGTGGATTCGCTGGAGATGGGTATGAGCGTGAGCGAGCATATGGTGCATCATCACCCCACCATGCATCCGCACCACCCGCACCACCACCAGCAGGCACATCTTCAGCAGCAGGGGCACCTTCCCCGACAGCACCCGCAGCACCCACATCAGCAGCACCCGCATCAGCAGCAGCAACAGCGGGAGCACCAGCACCAGCAGCAACAGGACCATCTCCGCCAACAGCATCTCCAAAGGCAGCACGAGCATCACCTTCAACAGCAACAACAGCAGCAGCAGCGGGAACTGCAAGTACAGCAGGAGCGGTATCTGGAGGTGCAGCATCAGCAGATGGTTATGCACCAGCAGCAGGAACACCATCGACAGCAGCAGGAACAGCAGCATCGGCAGCACCAGCAGCAACAGCAGTATCTCGCTATGGCGGCGGCGAGCAGCGGGATCAAGTTCGAGCCTTCTCTCCTCAGTCCTCCCCCGTTGTTGTAGAGATGAGTGTTTAGCGGTTGGGGCTTTTGTTGCGTGTGATGAGGATGGGGTGCTGGGGTTCAACGTTCAACCGTCCTCCGTTCGTCCGTTCGTTCGTTCGTGTGTGAACCATCTTCTCGTGGTATATTTTCTTAATCGCGTTGTGTTAATCATTCATTTGTTTTAAAAAACGTTTCTTCGTTTCGTCCTGATTTCTTTTCTGTCTTGCCGCGCCTTTTTGCTTGTTTGTGCGTTGGTGCGCGTTTTGCGTTTTGCGCTTGCGATACATCCGATTCGATTCGATTCTAGCAGTGATACGTTCGAGTTTTTTTACACCCGTCGTACGTTGTATGTATTATTTCATCCCACCCTAATTAGTTCTCTTTTTGTTTTCGGTTCGTGGTTGTTTAAGTAGTACTTACTTACCTTTAGCTTTTTCTTACTTATTTTTTGGTTTTCTTTTTGGTGTTTTAGTATTTTTTAGTGAAGTGAACGTAACTCTCTCTTCTCTCTTTTTCTTTCTTCTCTTTTCCTATCTCTCTTTTCCTATCGAGTCTCTTTATCTGTCTCTCTACCTTTACTTATCTCTCTTGTCTCCTTTCTATCTCTCCCTTACATCTCTCGTTTCTCTTGATCCTTGGAATCGACAGCCTCTAGCTACAGTAGTGAACTTACTCGTACTTAACTTACTTAGTACCCCACCTCTTCCTCTTCCTTCTTTCTTTCGAGTCTTTGATATATACCTAGCATATACCTTGTGTTTCTGTGTTTCTTTCGTAATATCAAGCGAATTTTATTCGGTTTTTTCTTCTCTATCTCTGTACTCGTCCCTCGTACTGCGACATCGGTGCATGTGTGTGTGTACTGTGCTGTGTACTCTACTGTCTGATGATAGACTAGGAGGTGTATAGTACTAGCTAGCGAGCTAAGATGTTTAACTCTTCCTTTCTCTCCCGTCGTGTGTGTCTGGCCTCTCAGCCCTCCTCGAACTCGAATTGGTCTTGACATTCCATAAGTATATCACGTTTGAATACTAAGTATCGTCGTTATCATCGTTTAAACACCGTCCAATTCCAAGATCCGAATTACATACTCTTCTCAGCGACGGGTCGGGGTTCTGAGAAGTACTGCCAGACAGCTACTACTAAATTCCGCCCGAGAAGCAGTTGTTCCAACTACCAACTTCGACATCATGTTTCCAATCGGTATATATATGTCGTGGTTTCTTTGGTTCGCTCGGGAAGCGGGCTGCCGAGTAGAATTTAAGGACGTCCTTCGAGGGATGTCCGACTTGGGGCATATCTGCGCTTTCGAAAGTTCTATGCAACTCCCGTTTGGTCTTCAACAGTTCGCTCTGTAAGTCGCGATCACAACATGAACTTGGGTACTAATAGTAACTGGGTTGCACGATATCGACGTTGGTGGCAGCAGTGCGGATGGAAATAAGTTGACGGATGGACAAAGGGAAGGCCGGACAAAGGAAAGGCCTCGGAAAGAGTCTAAGATTGTGCAGTGTTTTCGGGTGTTCTGTATATATCTCAAGTAAATAAGAGGAAGGTGATGTTCGAAGTTCGAAGATTGGCTTTATGTAACTGGTTTAGAACATGGGTTTGTTCTTCTTTCGACGGCGGAGGCGAAGTGGTGGGCGGTTTGTTCTGTCCGCGTCACCTCCGCGGTACAATCTGAGTATGTCACGTTCGAGTTCTGGGCTAATTCGGATTTTGGGTTACTTCGATTGACGATACTTGGTCGACTGGCATGTCCGTGTCGTTCATGTTCAGGTATTGGGAATGTATTACCGTTACTTACGGTGGCGGGGTACAGCTGGGCTCAGAAGTGTCTTGAGCGCTATGCTATATCCTTCGAGAAGGTGCAGTCGATCAGCGTTGGAGAGCCAGACTGGGCACTTTGAATTGAAAAGCGGGCATCAAGCTTCAAGTGCAAGAGTGAATTGTATGTATGTCAATCCAAAGAATGAATGAATGTGACAGCAGAGTGTTCAGCCTTATCTCACTTCCTTATGTTTATAATGAGTACGTGTGAGTACAAGTGGCGATAGAGTCGACGGCGTCCGTCCTTCAGAAGTGGGAACATGAGCACCAAACCAATTCAGAATCAATGCAAATTGTACGTCACGCCTGGGCGCTTAGCGCTTATTTTCGGGGTTATCGGACTTTGACCGACGCGAGGTGCGATCGATGCCTGGGACCCTGATTCCTCGAGGCGCCGCGTGTTCTTCAACTGTGACGGTTATCATAACGGCCTTCTTGACCCTGACTAGTTCTCTATCTCTTGGCTATGAGGTGTGTTTTTCACCTCCCCCCCTCGACTGATTCCTGAATGACACTGGGTTTTAACCCGAATCTCCAATTTAGGTTCTTCTACTATCGTTTGCAGGGTGTTGCAACGGATTTCACTCTCTCTTCTATATCTCTCTGTGTACTCATTTTGGGAATTTGAAATTTGGTATTTAGGTTGCTGCTCTATTCGGCTATTCAGTTATTTAGTCATTTAGAGAATCAGCGAAGTTCTCGTTCTGCCAGAGGGAGGCCGGTGGAGGGTGTCTCAAAAGTACCAAAAGTCATAGTGTTGCAACGACTGTGACATGATGGCGAACACTCCGATGTCACATCATTGGCAACTCCGAAGGGGGGAGCGTGACAAACTTTTGATCGTTTGATGAAAGTCGCGGGAGGTCGCGTTGCAAACTGCTGGGAACGCTCTCTCGCTCCTGTCACGCTCCCAAGATTTCTGTTTCGTCTCTTCAGAAAGGGTACGAGGGGCATGAAATGTAGACCAGTGGGTTATAAAACATTCATTGTTAATTTATATGTAGTTTACAGTCGTTTGCATAATTTCGTTCATGCTGGGGAAACAAAAAATCGGCCAAAAGGAGCCGATCAGTGATGCGATTGACCGGTCTGTGCAGCCAAGCCTCATCCAGGATGCAGCAGAGTGAGCAATTTCTTTCACTTCTACTTTCCGTGGTACCTCCTGAGCGAGGTTTTAGGGTCAGTGGTTGAAAATGATATAAAAACCATGAATTTTTGGCTTTCCGCTACGCTGGGCTTGGAGAAATTGACATCCTCTGGCGCGCTCGAACATGAGCCGAACCTATACGCACATGCCGCCATCACATCAAATTAGTTTTTCTGTTTGAACGACCTGAACGGAATTATGCAAACGACTGTATACGGTCAATCCACTCCCACTCATTGCGGAATGTCCAAACTACGTGGGATTTTTGCCTTTGCAACGAAAATTCTACCACTGATAACGCATTCCTCTGAGAAGCAATTGCTTCTCCGTTACAAAAGTTAAATAGAAAGCACTGTCGCGTTCACCTGCATAGGATTATATAAAAATCTGGGCCGATAAAGCAGCGCCTGGGCTGCGATAAGGTCCGTTGCAACACTATGACCGCGTTGCATACCGTTGTCAATGATAGTATTGCTTAGACCGAATTTGAATGCCAGTGGTTGACAATATGACAGCGATATCAATCTTTCCGCTAGAAGTTGAATCCCTTTCTGGTCAGCTTCGGCGCCGTCCACCATGGGCGCTCTCACCAGCGGTCACACTACTTTTCTGACTGAATTGATTGGGCGGGGGTTGAGCTCGTAGCTCAGCCTGCAAAGTAGGCTCCGAGGGCTGCAGCTGGACGGCACCCCGGGACCGTCATCCTCCAGGCCTGCCGCCCTCAACTCAGGTCTCCTTGCTTATCTCTGCCAGGCTTGCCTTGTGGCGAATGCGTCCTTACATCACTCAGCCATCCGGAGTTCGGAGCCCGTGTTGCCAGAAATAAAGGGTCGCTGAAACGGGCGAACGGAGCACGCGAAACGTGCTTCGAGTTTGTGGAGACGCAAACAAAAATGGATAGCGTGTGTGGAACATTCGGATAGAGGGCTACGGGCGGTCTTCCCTTGTGGGTCCGGTCTGAGGTTTTGTTTTCTTTCTACCACGACGACGACCACCTCCCTCCTGTGTTGGACGAGATTTCGAGGGCGTATCTGAATCGGTCGGTAGGGCGCGTGATTTCTCTTTGGCTTGGTACGGTGAGTGATTGGAGGTGATTGGAGCGTGTTGTGAGGCTGATTTGGGCCCTCAGCGCGATGGCAGGCCTCTTCCCGAACACGACTCTATCCTTTTCGCTATCGACGTCTTCGTCTCAAACGCAAAATTCAACTGCTACTTCGAACGTTACGGCCTCCCCACCTCCGACTTCTCGGCGCATCCCAACTGAAGTAATCGATCTCATCCTCTACCACGTACATGCGCAATCCCAGTCGCAACACCACCAGAACCCTCATTACTATTCTGGCAAATCGACATTACTGGCCTTTGCACGCGTCTCAAAGGCGTTCTACGAGAGGAGTGTGCCTTGGCTCTACCGAGATGTAAAATGGAATATCTCGAAACCCGAACGGTTCGTCAAGTTCCAGAGGTTTTGTCGGGCTGTTCAGCGCGGTGGGGCTGTCCTAGGAAGGTATTCTGTGGAAGAGGAGGCCGGAGCTGAGGAGAACGGGGATACCGAAAGGGAGACGAAGGAGCGTGAAACCGAGCTGGGAGCGTACGTGGAGAGTTTGGAGATCGTGAACGACCAACCGAGCGTGTACGAACTACACGTCCCGGCGTTCAACGCGTTCAGGAAGATGAAGAACCTCAGGCGGGTGGTGTTTATCGTTGGGCAGGATGATTCGACTCCGCCGTCTTCCTCACCGGTGGACGACCCGCCCAAGAAGAAGGGCGTGGATTGGAAGACAGATCTCTCGCGGACGGTACAAACGAACCTCTCGATATTGTTCACCCTTCCTTCCCTAACGTACCTCAAACTCTCGGGTATTCACTCCCTCCCATTTACGCTGCTCACCGCCTTCACTGCGATTCCATCGCTCACGCTTTCACACACCGATATCGACACGACGGACGAGACGGGTGTTCTGCGCCGGACGCCCCTGCCTACACCGGAGAGCATACGCCTGAGTGAGATCGAGATTGTGGGCGGTGTGAGTTCAAATTTGGTCAGGACTTTGGGGAGTGTGTTGAGTGTTAAACCGGGGGTGGTGCGGAGGCTTAGGCTAGTTAGCGACGTGGAGGATCTGGAAGGCGTTTTGGGTGCTACGGAGGAGAGATTGTTTGGAGCGCAGCTGCGGAGGAAGGAGGACGAGAACGAAGATTCCGACTCTGCATCTTCCGTTAGCGGTGGGAAGCCCAATAACCTCCAAATCTCCATCCCCAACGCTGACAAGAAAGGAACGCTGGGCGAGTGGGTGCTAGACCTCAACGGCGAGCGCGGTGGGTCGGGTTTTGGACCTGATACGCCGGCTGTGGAGAAGCAGATGGAGTGGAAGGTGGGGAAGAAGGGGAAGAGGTTCAAGATCCCGCATCTACAGGTGAAGACGACGAAGATTGTGGAACCTATTCAGCCGATGAAGTATCCTGCGTTCTCGAAGGCCGCGTGGTGCCTTATTGAAGCTGCGGGCACTTCGTTGGAGAGGCTGGAATGGGAGTGCTCGAGCGTGTTGCGTGAGTGTCTTGTTTATGGTTTAGTGAAGGGGTACTGATAATTGGATAGCGCTGTCGTTTAAGCCCATCAACCTTCACTTTCTGCGCTACACTCTTCGGTTCTTGACGGTCACGATTACCTACCCCTCGCCATCGTCCCGACGAAAAGCACAGCCCGTCCTCACCGATATCCTCGAGCTCGCGAAGCAGCTTTCAACGCCCGAAACCGTCCTCGAAGAGCTCGTCATCAAGTGTACATGTGTTGACCAGGACACCGCACCTCCCCCTGTTCACCCTTCGATGGTGGAGTCCAAGGCCGGCCTCGAGAGCTGCAACTCGTCGATGACGACGCTCGTAGGGTCTGACAAGACAGTCATCAGCTCCACCTCCTCAAATTCGATGACCGAACTCCTCCGTCTCCCCGATCGTTTTACCTCAAACACCCCAGGTCACAGTCCGCCTCCTCTGCCCATACAGAGTGCAGAGTACCTCAAGGAGTGGACGGCGTTGGATACGGTGCTGAAGGGGAAGAAGTATTTTAAAAAACTGGTATGGGTTGTGGTGGAGTTTGTGGCTGGGGGCGAGGGGCTAGGAGGAGGGGCGGGGGAAGGAGTTGATGTCCCTGAGCTACAGTGGTGGAAGAACCATGCGAGGAAGGTTGAGAAGCGGCTTGTTGGTGTGAAGGGGAGGGGTGCTGGTGTGCGGTGCTTCGTGAAGTGTGATTAGATTCGGTATACCACATTTTTGTTCTTGGAGATACGGACATGTCATTTCATCGTCGGGATACCTTTAGAGTAGTGTAGTGGGCAATTGAGCCTTTAATTAACTCAAGCCAAATACTGAGATGGGATAGGTACCCCCTTTCGATTGGAGGGTATTCTTAGCCCATGGACGCTGGACGTGCACCGATGGAATCCCTGCTTGACGCAAGACGCTAATGTTAGGCACCGTCTACTCAGCCATCCTCTCCAAGCTCTCTATACAAAGCTATACAATAACGTGTGAAGGCGGACAGTACTTAGTGGGACAGCCGCGGTGAATTTGAAGAGCCTGTGGATTTGAATCACCAAATCGTCTATTATGGGATCCGAATAACCACTTCGTGGCTTTGGTAGCGCCGCTTCCTCTCTGATTATCCGACGTTTAGACTCCAATTTGACGTCGCCTCGATGGTCGGTGTGCTCGGAGCCACAATTTTGAACCCTGAGCAACCAAATAGACCTGGCTGTATATAAAGCGCTTAGCGTCGTTGACGTGTCCTCCAGTCCTTCCCTTCGCAGTTTCCAGCTTTCCAGCACACCTTCCACTCGTTTATCCACCTCGCCCAACTATAACCCAGTAATAATGCGTCTCACCTCTGCCATCTTTGCTGCATCCCTCGCAGTCTCCGCCCTCGCCGCCCCTGCACCAGGGCTTGGCATCGCCAACTTCCAAACAACATACTGTGGAAACGGTGGCCAGACAGTGTGCTGCAACAAGCTTGAACAAGTCACCAGCCTCGACACTGGCGTCGGCAAGATCCTCGGCCTTTTGAACGTGAGCCTGAGCCAGGTTACGGGCTTGGTTGGTCTACAGTGCACAAGCATCAACGCACTGGGACTTGGTGGTGCCGTTAGCTGGTACGTGGACTCGTTCAATTTGGTTTTTGGGACGAGTAGAGAGAGCTAAGTATTTCGTCGCGGTATAGCACCCAGCAAACTGCTTGCTGCTCCAACAACAGCTACAGTGAGTCTCCCCTCTTAGTTATCCACGTCAGAGTATACTAATATTATTCTTTCAGATGGCGTCGTCGCTATCGGATGCGTCCCTATCAACATTAGCATCTAAGCTCTTTCATTCACGACTCTGGCCCACTCTACCTATAGACTACCTTCCTGTACCGCCTGTACATAATTTCATTGGGAGTTGCCAGCGTGGCGTTGATCACTTTGGCCTACATGCCCTCCAAGGAAAGTTTCTATTCACGCGAAATCCAAAAATGGCTACAGTCTTTGAAGCAGGAACCACAAGAGCCTGGGTGAGACTGCACCTTACAGCCGGCAAGTAGTCTCGTTTTCTTCGAAAGCCTTGCGTGCGTCATCTCATCTTTTAATTGCTTGGGCGCCTATCTTATCGGGTCAGAGATTTGTCAGCACTACAGCCACCTTGGGCTCCGCGTTTCGGCCTTTTCTTTTTTAACCATTTGCTATCGTGCACACCGATAACCACAATGCCTATTTCATGGCAAGTATTTCGACTGCTCAGAACTTGGACAATACTTACCTATTTTGCGCACTTAGGAGGGAAGGAAAGCCCTTTAAACAATTCTATATTCCTGAGAAAGCAGTCGGTGCAGCGTCGCACATTCGTGGCTTTCTATGTCCGCGATTTTTCAAAGCTCTGCAGTGTAAATGCGATGGTCTACTTAACTTTTGATCGTCGTCCGATTCTCGGTCCGGCAAGAAATAGACTGACTCGCTTGCTCCTTCCTTGAAGCTGGAAGCAAACCTCCCATGAACGCGAGCATCCTTCATCGCAGGCTTAATGCTATAGTACCGATAAGTTCTGTTTATTAAAGTTCTCTGCCGTCTACTGACTCGAGCGTAGTTCGTATGCCGAGCCTGTCCCTCTTCAGCAACGTTCTCCTGCGGCAGTTCCACAGCGTTATTGCAGTCATGATCGTCCAGTCCCGCCGCCTGGTTTCCTGCCAGCCTCCCAGTAAACGTTCAGCCTCATTGGTTTCTGCGCGAGCAGTGACCACACTTCGAGATCACAACCCGCGAAACCCCACAATATTCCGATAAAAGGGCGCTTTATATTCTTCCAAGTCAGCCTGCTGATCTCGAGGGTCTTCTTACAATTCATCCATCGCGTACGGAGAAGAGTGCGTTGAGAACCGTGATCTACCCACTAGACATATTCTTTATGCTTCTTTTCTTCGACCACGACGCTCGGCGCTCGCTTCCATCACCGTTCGAAGCTCGGGACCGCTGGAAATGCTTCTTTGACGTTCTCATGGGTATTTTGGGTTTCTGGGTATTAGAGGGAGACCGTTTGAGAGTGAAGCGGTCATCGGATATCCTGTATTATGTTGGGTATATCGTATTGCCCTGCTGAGTCGCTTTCACACTGTGAAACACTTCTATTCTTTCTGATTTTCCGAAGATTTTACAGTTCACCGTTATAATAACGGGCCTCGTCATCCTCAGGGGACGACCCAGAGCAAGTACCAATGCGGTCTCTACTCGTCGCAGGCTTCCTGATCTCCCGGGCGTTAGCCCAAAACCCGTTCGACTGGAACGGGATTCGCTATAGCTGCAAATGCTATGAAGGCGACTCGTGTTGGCCCTCAGAGTCGCTTTGGTCTGCCCTGAACGCGACTGTGGAAGGGAACTTGCAGAGAGTTATCCCTGATCCTGCGGTCTGCTACAATACGTTCGAAGGAATTCCGACGTATAACCAGGCTGCCTGCCAGGAGGTTACGAGGAACTGGAGTGGTCAGCAATGGCAGTAGGTGGAATGACTCGCCTCGTTTCGAATGTTTACTGATCCCGTTGTAGGAGCGACCGGGCTGTATCCAACCACTGGATCCTGTGGACCAACAACACCTGCTTGCCAACTAACAATCCCAATGCCCAGTGTACGATCGGCTACCTCCCCCGATACGTTATTCTTGCCAAGAAGAGGGAGCACGTCAAAGCTGGTATCGATTTTGCGAGGACGAACAACATCCGGCTCGTCATTCGAAACACTGGACATGATTTCATGGGTCGCTCAACTGGTTATGGATCGCTCGCCATCAACACCCACTCTTTCAAGGGTACGCCCATTCACACTGACACGAACTTAAATGCTGATCCCACTTGTTCGTAGACGTCAATTTCATCCGCAACTACAATGGACCTGGTGGTTACACCGGTGGCGCAGTGACTGTCGGTGCTGGTATCCAAGGGCGAGAGCTTCTCCGACTTGCGAATCAGCAGAATCCCCCGGTCGCGATCGTCACTGGAGAGTGCCCTGTAAGTCTCTCTGTCCGCTTCTGATCCGACACTTCAACTAACAGGATTTAGACTGTCGGTTTTGCTGGTGGCTACATCCAGGGTGGAGGACATGGTCCTCTCGCGTCGTACTATGGCATGGGTACGTACATCCAAGTATCTAAATTAAACCATGATCTCATTGCCTCTAGCTGCCGACCAAGCCCTCTCGTTCGACGTCATCACCGCTGATGGAGAATTCCGTACTGCGAATGCCGAATCCAACCCTGACCTTTTCTGGGCTCTCAAGGGAGGAGGACCATCGACGTTTGCCGCCATCCTCTCCGTCACAGTCAAGACGTTCCCCGAAGTCCCCACCGCTGGCGTCGTCATGACCTTCAACAGCTTCAACCCCGACGTCTCTTGGCGCGCATTCGCTGCTTTCCACAACCTCGCCAACCGATGGGTGGAGAACGGCATGTTCGTCTATTACGAACTCTTCGGACCGTTCCTCAACATCCGACCCTTCGTTGGCCCTAACATGAATGCAGCCAAGATCAACCAGGTCCTCCAACCCCTCTACGACCAGCTCAGGAGCATGAACGTGCAATACACAGCTACCGTACGCGAGTACCGAACCTTCTTCGACCTCTACATCGACCTCTTCCAAGACGAAGCCGCTGGTGCCAACTCGATCGTCGGAGGACGCATCTTCACCAAACAAGACATCGCCCAGCACGGGGACGAGATCGTTGACGCCATCCGACGCTCAGGCGGAGGCATTGTCGGGCACATCGTTGGACCAGGCTTCGGCGCGCCCAATGTGGACAACGCGATCCACCCCGCTTGGCGTAACGCGTCGTCGTTCTCCATCACTGGCGTCAACCTTCCCAACACCTTTACCTGGGCGCAGAAGGAGGCAGCGCAGAGGCAGTTGACGAACGACGTCGATGGTCCTATTCGGGATGCTAGCCCGTATGGTGCTGCGTACGTGAACGAGGGAAACCTGGAGGAGCCCAACTGGCAGGAGGCGTATTGGGGCAGCAACTACCCCAGGTTGAAGGAGCTGAAGGCTAAATGGGACCCCCAGGGAGTCTTCTATGCTAGGACGACCCCTGGAACGGAGCAATGGGAAGTTATTGATTGGGGCAGGAGGCTTTGCAAGAGGCCCAGCTAAGTGGGAATGAGTAGCGAAGTTAATCTCTGAAACGGCAGAACGAATGTAGTCTGGACGATTTTCAAATCCCACAATTCCTTAAGAACATACGCTGACTGGTGCACTGCACCTATGTGCTCGGCCGTGCCCAAGGTCCACCAGTTTCCGCACCCTCGCCGACCCTTCCGTTACTTTTGAAGATGAAACGTGCGGCTGTCAGGTGTGTTTACTATTTGAGATGGTTTCTTCCCGTATGAGCGTTCAGGGTTTTTCACATCAGCCAACCTGTTGAACGGCCTTCCTAAATCCCGCGGCAGATATGTGTGATGGTTGCTATCTTTCGAGCAGCTTAGATGGATTAAGGACAAGGGACCACGGTTATCTCGTGTTTCAACATTGACGATGTTTAGAGTTTCCTCTCGTACATATGCATTCGCTACATTATCTGGACGAGGCGGACGATATTTTGCGAGCCAAGCTAAATAGTGGTTAATTATTATCACAGTGAGATCACTGTCGTTCCTGATCTCCACGGTTTTCACTGACAATCTCTTTATGTAGGAAGTCAGCAGTCACGAGCAAGAAACACATACTGTTTCAACACGGCCTTTAAAAGGAAACCCTTGCCTAGCCTTGTCTGTTTGCAACTGCTGATCGTCCTTCAAATTCGAAGAATTGGGCGCTCAACGTCCGTCTTGGTCAGAGAATACCCCTATACGCCACTGACACATGAAACCCGACCTATTTAGGGCGGCTGATGCGGGAATTGTTACCGCGAATGGGCTTCCTGATAGATGGACGGAGAGGAACACGAAAAGATATAAGGATCGAAGGGTGAGCCCTTGAGTTCTCCTGGTCTCGTCCGGGAGCCTTCTGTGCTTAACTGTTGCCCAGTTTCTTTGCGCCACTCCAAGAGAATGACGCGTTTGGGGAGCTTCTTATCCTTTGGCTTTCTGACCTTCGCTCTGACCGTTCGAGCGACCAGTGGAGTACCGTTCCCCCCATCTATTACGCCGGCTCCTACCCCTTGTGAGATTCGTAAGTACATTTTCAACTCACCTAATAGTTCAACGCTAATTACCCTTGGCATTCCTTCGAAATAGCTCCTTCTCCATCATGTCCCGTCTTCAGCTGCGGCCAATGCCCAACGGGTTTGATACAGACGATCACTAGGCATGGATGTGCCTGTCCTCAGTGCGCATGTGCACCTCCCGTCCCTGTTCCAACCATCCGTTCGGATTGTCCCATGCCTTCCTGCGGCGCATGTCCGGACGGGTCCAGCATTGCCATCACTTCCACGGAACCCAACTGCCCACTTTGTACCTGTCTCCCCGTCCCCGCTCCGACCATCCGTTCAGTGACTGCCCTATGCCATCCTGCGGTGCATGCCCAGACGGCTCCAGCATTGCAATCACCTCCACTGAGCCTAATTGCCCTCTTTGCACCTGTCTACCCACCTCGACTGCCGTTCCTCCTCCCGGGTCATCTTGCCCTACACCTTCGTGCGGAGATTGCCAACCTCCCAAGACGGCTACTCTAACCATGATTGGGACAAAATGCCCTTCGTGCACCTGTGTGGTACCATCAAACACCTCTGCACCTGTGTCGTGTCCTACGCCTAGCTGTGCGGGGTGTGCTACAGGATCGACAGTAGCGATTACGACTCCGGCGGGCAAGTGTCCGAAGTGCACTTGCTTGCCCACAGGTACCGGAACGGCACTGAGGAGCACTACCACTCCTCCTCCCCTGTCCGATGTGGACGAGGATGCGGATGCGGAGGATGTGGAGAACCTTGGCCAGACCGGTGGAAGTGAGAGGATAGCTATTAGATCAGTTTTTACCGGCGTACTTCTGGGGTCGGTTGGTTTGTGGTTCTTCATTGGACGTTGAGTCGCATGCTGCCTGCTAGCTTTACGCCACAATAACCGAAATTCCAAGCCTCGATTATTAGTTTCCCGTACAGATGTATTTGGGTTGTTCATGATACTGACGAGCAAAATGTGCGATTACAATTGGAGGAGAGCGTATAATCATCTTAAACCGAAAAACCTCGACGCTGAGTTGCGTATAAGAATTCGGGTTCTAACCGTGGAGGACATACAACTTCCCTGTGGGTCAGGGGAATTACTACGTATGTCAGGTCGCGGCCGTTCCATCGAGCGCTCGATCCGACCAACTTTGCTGCGCATTTCTGATGGTGGAGCGGCTCTAGAGCGATGTTTTCGCAAGATGATTTCCGTGGTGCGCGCTTTGGGCTCCCACACCTCTCAAGAAAGGTATAAGTACGAGGCAGGTAAGTACGCCTGTTTGCTGATGTCAAGTTCCCATACTCTACACGCCAGACATGCCGCGTTTTACTCACTTTCCCTCTCTCGCTATCGCAGCCCTGTTTGCCATGGTCGCTAGCGCCCAATTGACGCCCGCGCCTACCGCAACCGGGGGACCTGTACCTGTCGGCGGACTATGTGGGCTAATAACCAGTATAGCTTCGTAATGTCCAACTGATTTATCCCTCTTTTCAAGGCGGCGGGTCGACGTACACAGGTCCCACTAGTTGTGCCAAGTAAGAGTCGATGTACGCCCTTTCTCGATCAGTCATACTCACCTTCTATTACCATTACAGCGCTGGAGAATGGCCTGCGACATGCCAGGCCAACGGAGATGGTGCGACCTTTCTCCCAATTCCCTTAATTCCATTCTGACTATATTGAACAGTTTCACGATGTGCTCCCTGCCCCATCTTCACTTGCGCACAATGCCCTACCGGATCGACCCATGCATTCACAAGCATTGGAACTCAGTGTCCTCAATGTGCTTGTCTTCCAGCGACGATGATTGAGCCTCCTTGTCCTGTTTTTACTTGTGCAGCATGCCCTAGCGGCTTTGGTCAGGCCATCACCTCGACTGGAAGCGGGTGTCCATTCTGCACCTGCACCCCATCCGCTCCCGGCATCAGTACACCTCCCGTCCCAGCCCCGTGCCCGACCTTTACCTGCCCAGGGTGCCCTGTTGGTTCCAAGCCAGGGTTGACTTCCTCTGGAAGCAGCTGTCCTACCTGTACATGTACTCCGGCAAGTGAACCCACCCCGCCTACCACCGAAATTGTCACCGTGCCTGCCGAAGCTCCACCCTGCCCCACTCATACCTGTCCTGCGTGCCCATCAGGATCGAAGCCAGGATTCACTTCGTCTGGAACCGAGTGTCCTACGTGTAGTTGCCTTCCAGCTGGTACATCAAAATCAGGGGCGTCTACTACCGCCTCAGAGTCGAGCTCCTTCACTGGTACATCAGGAAGCGAGGCGGATTCTGCAGTGAATGAATCGGGTGCGACTTCAAGAATTAGATGGGCATCAACCTTTTCAGTGGTTGTGAGCCTTGTTTCCGCAGTGGTCGTAGTAGGATAGTGCGTAGGGATCTTATTGGCTGCCGGTACTGCGTTGATAAGATATTCGAAAGCCAATGAAACTGATAATCATTCATAACATCCAGGAATGCCAAGTCACTTTGCCGGAGTGGTTAACGGGATCGCCTGCTATTGGCCTTCGGGTCAGGCAAAGCGGTTGGTCTTTGACCGCGTGTGTTCGAATCGCACAGGTGACGCACTTTTTGCATCTTTCTTTTTTTACCTCGCATCTCCGAGAATCGGAACCTCATTATGATTGTAGCCAGTGCACTTCCCGCCGTCTCCCTTGCCAATGGCTGCGAAAACGCAACTCAGGCCCCACTTTTTCGTTATTTTCTGAGGCACACGACATACCGCAGCTGGGTTCACTCAGATCTCCGATGTCATTGACGAGTCAGTTAGATGGAATAGTACGTATTATTCACGCAAAGACACGGTACTAAATGGAATGTCAATCCGCGGTTGGCTTTGGCGATGCTGCTCGAGGCACTGCGCCCGATTTCAAATACTCCCTACCATGGATTGGCTGCGTCGGGGTGGGCGAGTCGGATAGGGTTGGCGAGGTAGGTGGCTGGGATATGGAAGTGCAGCCGCAACCAGGACATCCATGAGGTGGTGTTGGCGTCAAGATGAGTTCCTCGTCTGGTGCACACGGAACACACCCTGGAATTGGGCAGTTCGGCGGGAAAGTCGTTGGAATGGAGCTTGGTACGCACGCACACGCTGGACAGTGCGTACCGATCGTGGTCATGGTGTTAGAGAGCGGTGGGGGACATGGTGCGCAGGGAGGGGGTAAGCATCTGGTCGTCGTCGGCTCTGGTTTCGGCGTCACACATACACAGTGCGGACATTGTGTCCCAGTTGACGTCAAGGTGACAGTCAAGGGAGGAATGCACGGGACACATGGGTAGGGAAGGCACGTCGTCGTACTAGTTGTGAATGTTGAAGTGGGACGACAGCTACACCAAGGGCACGAGGTCCCAGTGCTGGTCAAGATGTTCGAAGATCCTGGAGGGCATTTGGCGCAAGGTGGGATAGGACAGAACGAAGTCGTGGTTGGTGAGGGTTTGGTGGTGATTGTGATTGAAGGTGGTTGCGATGTTGTAGTGGTCGTCATTGGGGCACAACCACAAAGGACACCACATTGACCTGGGGTATGTGGAGGCCAGGTCACCGACGACCCTGGTGGACATGGCGGACAGGGATACTGGATACATGTCGTCGACGTCGGTGCTGTGGTAAGAGTGGGCCCAACGGGCGGGGCGGTGGTAAGAATGGGCGGTAAGGGTACCGTGGCAGAAACCACATAGACTAGAGTCAGTAGGAACAAAGGCTTCGCTCTGAAACCCTGCATGGTGGGCTTCTTGGGAGGAAGTGATGATTTTCAAATTAGCCTTTATAAAGATCTCCCAGGTCATGAGGTGTTTCCCATAACGCTGTTTAAGTGGAGAAGCGGGGTTCAGCGTGGGTTCTCCCGAGGTACTTGGTGTTCTGAGCCCTGGTGGTCCTTTGGCGGTAAGCCTGAGGATCGACGCTTCCCACAGTCGGTTCTTTGTGAATGGAGTTTCAGGCCCATCTCCGTCAGAAGGGTGTCAATGTCGATGAAAGTAAACCCGAGTTACATCTGCAAGAACCTTGAGTTTCGCCGCAAGCATGTCGGTTGCAGTTCTGGCAAACGAAAACGTTAAAAAGACGAGGCGGAAATTGAGCGGTGCTGGCAAATTTTGTGAGACGCAAGTTTGAGCGGAGTTCAAATGGAAGATTAGATTAGATTGGCGCCCGCCGGGGCTTTGAAATGAGGTGCCTGTACTTGACTCGGCGCTTGCTCGATACCCCATGATTTCCGTAAAGAAGACGTTTTGTTATCTGCGTTCCGGAAAGCCTCTACCTCTCAACTGTCAGCATCGTGAGGCTGACGACACAGCTCTTTAAAAGCCGATTACAGGCTTCCGTCATCCAACCAAACCAACTCGCCCTGTAGAGACCACCGCCATGAGAACGCCTTCTATCTCCTTCGTCCTTCTTGGTCTGCTTTCAGGTGCAATGTCTCATGAGACTATAACCTTCTACGACCTTGGCGGGATAGAGGCGAATTACTCAGTCTCCGCCTTCTCGACAGACACGGTCGGATTCACTCACTACGTCGCATCTGGCGTTCAATCCCAATATGCCGAAACGCTTGAGCCAGAAGGGAAAGTCGTGACAAGGAGCTTAGATACACCTTTTACGCACGTCGGTGAGTACCCATTTAGTATCACTCACAATCCCGCGACAGCTTGCTTACTGTCCATGAATCTAGTCACGTTCCAGGCGGATGCTTCACGGGTCGTGAAGACTGGCCATACGACCGTCCCGTTGGAACCCACTCAGTCCAGGAACGACGTCCAGTGGTCACTCGAATGTACCCACGATGTCGAGCGGAGCGGCTCGCATGAAGGCGAACCCGTGGTCTGCGTGAACAGGGCCATCGTCTCCCGACTGGAAGGAGGGTCAGTTAGTACTCAGCTCCATACCTTCACCGGCACGGCCTCTGCATTTGCGGTCTACACAAGCACACCCAAGCATCTGGAGGAAGACAAGGAAGAGCACAAGTCGGATGTCGTTGCTAGCGACTCTTTAAGCCCTGCCAGTTTGAACATTATTACCTTCGCTCTTGTATTATTTGGGGGAACCGCTGGTGTCCTATTCGTCATGTAGCCTATTACCCGCTCACCAAGGACTGGAGATATGCTCGTCTAGATCCTAAAATGCAATGATAGTCCAGATGTCTGATTCAACATGTCGGTCGGGAGGTACTTATCACAAACTCGGTTGAGGCTAACTGCGATCAGCGATGAATGCAGCGGCGCAGCGGGTTGTGGAGCTGATAGGCATCTATGTACCTACCGCGCGTCGATATATATATAGCCTCGAGAACGACCCCACCTCGCGTTGCAACCATGTTGCTTACCCTTACCACGAACGACCCATACCACGCGAACTACTGCACAGAAGAAGGCCAGGTGATTTACAAGGTGGAATCACCCTTCAAACTTGTTGGTCGAAAAGCAACAATCGATAAGATTGTCCCAAATGACAGTACGTGGCAGTCTACCTCGAGGTCGGCTCGGATACACCTTCTGACGCACGTTCGTAGCACCTGAGGGAGCGCAGGGCGAACCCGATATGCAGGATAGATTTACTCGTATAGGCTTGGTCGAGTTCAACACAGTCACATCATCGAAGATTACATGGGAGAACGTTATCCACGACACAAGCAAGTTCTTTCGCAAAGAAAGCATGGGGTGGCTGGGAAGGTACGTTCTCCTCTTCATTAAATCTAACTACACGCTTCACGATTTTGCAGGGATCGCATATTTACTGGCCCTGACGGAAAGGAATACCGCTGGCTCTTGCGAAACTCAAAGCCAGAGGTGAGTTCCTGGTTCGACTGAATTGCTTTAAAAAATTCCTGACGGGTCGCATTGGCTATTCGCACAAGCTCGTGCTAAACGACGACGAGCGGACATTGGTAGCCAAGTACCACCAGAAGCACCACGGCGTAGTTCAAGATCCCCGTCCTGCATCCCTTGAGATACTCCCCCCTGGAGAGCACATGGTCGATCTAATTATAGTCACACTCGTCTACATAGAGCTCCTGCGGAGGAATCGCGAACGAGCCGCGAAGAGCCCATAAAGTCGCGTCAGTGGAATATAAAGATAGTCGACGATCGATGGGAGTCTACCACCTCAGCCTGCCGTTAAAGGACATGAGGACTGGCAACGAGACACTCTTGGTACTTGCTTGGAACATTGTTTGCTACCCCTTTTTCGCAGTCTAATGATAATGATCTGTATACATTTTACAGGTCTGTGCTGTGCAAGATCACGGATTCGCTTCAAAGGACGCAGGTCGCGGAATGCCAAGGTTCTGAACCGAGAGGCAGGCATGTATTTATGTAAATTCTGCTCCAATGTATAAATACTTCAGGCGTCCACCTTCAAAACTTGACTCCCCTCTGTTGACACCGCCATGCTCCTGGTTCTATCAGGCAGCAAACCTTGGAACTCGGATTACTGCCATCCGAGTGGACAAGTTCTTTACAGAGTTGAGTCTCCTTACGCATTTACGAATCGGAAAGCGACGATCATGAAGGTCGTCCCCAGTGAAGGTAAGATATCCTTCTCTTTCTGCATGACATAGCTTAGCGAAACATCGCACCCTCCATTGTAGACGGGTCTCTGCAAGACAGATTCACGGCAATCGCAGAGATTGAATTCCATACCTTCACATCTTCAACTATTACAATCACTGGACAGGGTACCTACGACACGAAGTCGTTCTTTCGGAAGGGAGGGCTCAGCTGGAACGGCCGGTGAGTAGTAGTACATCAAGCACTACACTCCCATACCTCGGTCTTACCGTTCATTTCCTCCGAAGCGATCGAATCTTCACAGCTCCAGATGGCCTGGAGTACTGTTGGAAAATGGGGGGTCGCAAAGTCGAGCTGTACCGCAACAATCCGGCGAAGACGCTGATTGCGAAATACCACCTGAAGCATTATGGAATACTACGGGAAGCCCGGCCAGCGTCTTTGGAGATATTCGAGGAGGGCCAGGGTGTGGTAGACACGATATTGACAACCTTTGTTTATGTGGAGAAGCTTCGGAAGGACAGGGAGCAGAGATCGAGGAATTCAGGTGGTGGTGGTGGTGGAGGAGGAGGAGGAGGCTAAGTCGAGAGCGTAGTAGTGTCCCTATAGCACTCTCGTCATTCAGAACGCTAAAATACTGCAATGTCCCGTTAATAGACACTATGACTTCATTGTCACCACCTCTTAGACTCTAGACCTCCTAATCACGGTCTGACGGGAACGAGTATCGGAGTCGCAAACGAGCTGTGATGAGCTCCTCAAGTAGCGTCTGTGGCCGACTGATGGTAGACGGGCGTCTAAATCCTACGTGTCTCTCCCCAACACTTTTAGAATCGACAGTGACCTACGCATGCCTATCTCAGCGCCGCACTGTGCAGAATCACGGTCTCGTATTGACTCGGAAGAACACCGGCCAAGGAAGGTTCGAGAAGTTCAAAGATCAAGCTTCAGCGTATAAATACCTCAGGCGTCCCCCGAAGACATAACTTCACAGCACTCCCGCACTCTCTCACCCCCGCTGTCAACACTACCATGCTCCTCATTCTATCAAGCACCAAACCTTGGAACTCGGAATATTTTAATCCAAATGGACATATTCTCTACAAGGTTGTGTGCCCTTGGTCACTTTTTCATCGGAAAGCCACAGTGATGAAGGTGGTCCGTAGTGCAGGTCGGAAATTCACCCAGTTTGCACTGCGTCCTGCGCTAATGTCGGCGCTCTCACCGATAACCTCTTCTCTGTAGATGGGTCCCTGCAAGACCGATTTGCGACAATTGCAGAGATTGAGTTTCACAGCATCACATCTTCTAGGATAACGTTCGTCGGGCAAGGTACTTACGACACCGACTCATTCTTTCGAAGAGGGGGGTTCAGTTTGAGCGGTAGGTGAGCAAATTCACAACTTTCCACCCGTACCACCCGTCGGGGTTCTTGCCGACGTTGCTTCAGAAGTCGAATCTTCACAGCTCCAGACGGGCTGGAGTACCGTTGGAAAATGGGGGATCGCAAAGTCGAGCTATACCTTAACAATCCGTCAAAGACACTAATTGCAAAGCACCACCTCGCGCATTATGGGATACTTCAGGCCGCCAGACCAGCATCTTTGGAGATCTTTGGGGAAGGGGAGGGTGTGGTAGATATGATTTTGACTACGTTTGTGTACATGGAAAGGCTTAGAAGTGAGAAGGAGCGGAGGGCGAGGAACTCGGACAGCGGAGGCGCCTGGGGAAATGGAGGAGGAGGCGGAGGCGGAGGAGACTAAGTCGAGATAGCAGTGTCCCGATAGTGATCTCTCTCGTCACTTGTAACGCTAATACACTGAACAGCCCCATAGACGTTATGACTTCATGTCCATTGCTTCTTTGGACTCGGGTCTGTGGGGCTAGGGGTTCCTGCAAGGCTTTAAAGCTACAGGAACGGTTTTACGAGCTTACACGTCGTTCCATCCCTCCTCACGATGCAGCTCACTCTAACAGGAAATCGTGCATGGAATTCCGATTTCTGCGCTCCCGATGGGAGACTCTTATACCGCGTTCGGATGTCGAACCGTAAAGCCTCCCTCTTCAAAGCCACCTCAAGTGGTGCGTATCAAATTCATTCAATTCACTGACGCAACCTGAACTTCTCGAGGCTGACTCGTGTCCTGGTGTACATGTACTTGCACAGGTCAGCTCGCAAATCTGGCAGAAATCGAATTTCACGCCGTCAGGCCAACCAAAATCACTGTCCCTGGAAAGGGTGTAACGAATTCAACGGTATTCTTCAGGAAAGGTAGACTGGGTTGGAAAGGACGGTATGTACAACTTGAGGCCTGCAGCACATGACGTCATCTGAATGGGACTGGACCCCTATCTGACCCACGGGCGCTACGGCTACCCCAACTGACAGAGACCGAATCTTCACCGGGCCCAGCGGCCTCGAGTATCGCTGGAAGCTGCATAAAAAGTTCTCTGAGCTTTACACCAACGATATTGCTAAAGCGTTCGTTGCGCGATACCACCCTCGAACCAGTCACTTCCTTCAGGCGTCTACACCGGCGTATTTGGAAGTTTCTGAAGGAGGGCTGGAGATGCTGGACTTGATCATCATTACTTTTGTGTACATCGAGAAGATCAGGGAGGAGAAAGGTGCGAGAGAAGGAGGAGAGGAAGCTGGCGATTTCGGTGATGGAGGTGGAGGAGGAGGTGGAGGTGGGACCTGAGGCCTGAGATTGTGCAGATATGTGCCTAGCTACTTACATACATGGTGTGCGCACTTCCCATATTCAAGTAACGAATCCGTCAAGGAGGAGACGACGATGATCATAATCCTTATCTTTGAATGCACAGCCTCTCCAGCCCCTATTCTCCTCCCATCACCATCACCATGATCACCAGCAGCGGCTGGATACATACGGCGCCCTGAACACTGTGTAGACGACAGTTCATGGTTGGCAATTTGTCGACAATCGTCATTCGTTTCATCGTCGACTATGTCTCGCTGTTGGCTCGCCCTGGACCTCTTGACTCACGTAGGCTCTCCTGGACCGTCACGGTTTCTTTGGTTTTTTCTGGACTATCATCATCCTCGAGAGGGCTTCTACCAAAGGATTCCACGTCCTACATGTCCAAAACGCTCAAAACATCTCAGGCGTGCACAAAACGTGTCTGTCATTATAGTACTCCAGTCCAATCACCCTCGCGTTGCCACCCTCAGGCTGCACGCTCGCACTCCACTGACACTGACAACGACTGTACCGCCCTCGGATGTGAACAACCGACACGATGCCACTCGGCGCTCGCTCAGAAACAATTGTCGTCGTCCTCAGGGTACCCTTTGCTCATTCAACGACACCTGAAACACATCAACCATTAAATTACATAGATTCTCGGATCCTCGTTCCTCGTTGCGATTCAAGGAAGATCTTTTTGATATGGGATATGTATTATGGGCGTCGCCTCGCTACGAGGTCCTGACACTGACCATGTGCTGCGGACTCGGAGCGCCGCGGCGGTGTCACCTCGTCTCTCGAGACCCTGGAAGTCTGCCACTGAGGGCAGGTATAATAGGGCGCGGTGAGGGGATCTCGTCCCATCACTTCTGCCTTTGTCTTCCACCCCACAGAGAGCTCTCTACGCCTCGCTAGCTATCCCTACTCTGCGTCTGCGCCACATTTATTAGCCACTTCACCGCCTAACCACTATTACATCGCCGCATCTAGGCCCTACATCGTCGACCACCCACAACTTATCAGGCAGGCACGATGAAACTCATCCTCGAGAACGACACGCCATGCAATACCCGCTACACAGACGAGACCGGTCGGATACTCTACCAAGTCAGCACATCCGGCAAGTACATCAAGTGTAAAGCCAACCTCGAGAAGCTCGACCTCAGACAGGGTATGTTAAAACATTCCTTGGCCTCCACTTACACCCTCTACGAGCGATGGCACATTAATACTCCTATGATCCATTGGCATCCGAGTCTAACACAACCTCACCTCCCCTCACCGGCCTCACCCACCAGGCAAGTTCATACCCTTCGCCAGCATCGACTTTCACAACTTCAAAGACGACGTCCTCCGAATCGGCCAAAACTGGGAAACCAAATCAGGCGACTTTTTTCGGAAAAAAGGGTTCAGTTTTTACGGGCGAGACAGGATATTCACCGCTCCAGATGGGAAAGAGTATCGATGGGAGATGCAGGCTGATCGAGCAGAGGTACGTGTGTGTGTCCAATTCTATGTACCATGCGTAATTCAATGTACCATTTGGCATTTCACCCTCGTCGACTCTTCCTTCATTCCTGATTCCCGACTAATTCGAATTCGTTTTACCGTGACGTTCCAGCTGTACATGATGGACGAAGCCAAAACCCGCATCGTCCGCTACCACCGCAAAAAATACGGAATCTTCCACGACAAAGCGCCCGCCTCGCTCGAAATCGAGCCATGCGCTGAAGGAATGATGGACGTCATCATGCTCACCTATATCTACATCGAGTATCTCAGGAATGAGAGAGACGAAGCTAACTCGAAGATCGCGGCGGGTAATATCAAGGATTCTATGAAGCCTTGATTCATGAGCAGTGGCCGATGGGAGGTTTTCTTGTATTAGTATGGACGCTGTATGACTGTAATATGTACTTTAATTTATACCTGGGCATATGGATACGAACTATGTAAAACTCAAAATGCAGAAGATTGGCTTACCATGCGCAGTCCGCCGGAAATTCCTCAACTGAAGCTCGCCACACCCTGTCTACCTCGTAGCGCCGTTTGCACTGCCGCGGATCACGAAGCTGACGTCGGACGGCGCACTGAGAGCGGAGAACGGAGAACGAGGATAGTAAGCAGCACAATATAATTCCAAAGCAGTAAGCATAAGAGTACACACAGGCAGGTAGTAGTAGGATGGGGGTAGTGGTCAATCAAAGAGGAGCGCCGCCAGTCAGGGGTGGATGGGTGAGCAGGGGACTCGGATCAAAGGGGAAGAGGGAACGGGAGGAAGAAGGATATAGGGATCGGGTTAAGGGAGGACGAAGAAGGGAGAAAGAATCGGATGAAGATGAAGGGACGTGAGGGGAATCAGGGGCGTATCAACAGGAAACACCATCACCCCGTAGTAGCTAGAAGCACAACCCAATAATCGAACAAATAAATACGGTAAAAGGGTTAGGCTAGGGATATACAAACGCGTTTTTCAACGACACAAACCACAGAACAGCGACAAGGGGATAAGGATATCGATAAAAAACGAGGATCCAGCAAAAAGAAAAAAAGGGGCCAAAGCCCCGACTATATGTAACACACAGGTGAGAAGCGGAACCAGACCGAAACACACAGAAGAAAGTTTAAAAAAAAGGGGATCAGCACTGTACGTGAGGAAGAGTTCGTTCGTGAACAAGAAAAACGGCAGCCAGGCGTTTGATTTTACAGTGGATATGGTATCATGCGCCTCGTTCCCATTTACTCATTCGCAACCTAGGAAAGAGGTCGGTAAACTACCCCTGGGGAAGACGGGAGAATACACACCTTCAGAACCCTCCTCGGTTCATCATCGTCGACGCTATACGTCGTGTCCCTCTCGCCGGCCTTGGCTTGATCGAACGGGTTAGGCAAGGGCGTGCTGGCGCTAGCAGCCGAGACAGGTGGGTTGGGCGCAGACGCCGGGGCATCATCCGACACTACATAGCCTCCATACGCATCCATCTCATTATCTGGCATACTTGGTTGACGTTGATGAGTCGAAGCACCAGCGGGGTAACCTTGCTGATACGCCGAGGACGCGTTGGGCGGCATGGCTGGGTAAGGTCCATAATTGTCGTGGCGAGAATTGTAGTACTGCGAAGCCGTGGTCGAGGGAACACCGCTGTATTGAGATGTGCTTTCGTGGCTCGTCAAGGACTTGTTGCGCTCGAGGGTGGGGTTGTAGCCTTGGTCGTAGCCGCTGGAGGACTGGGACTGATACTGCGAGGGGCCGCGCGCGAGGCCAGCAGCACCGGCGCCGGCGACGTGGGCTCCCATACCAGCTGCTTCGAGGATGTCGTGGTCGTTCGGGCGTCCATAGGCAGGTTGTTGATGGCTTGGAGCGGCAAATGCGGGGTAGGGCGAACCGCCGTCTTGAAGCGCTTGACCATAGTTGTCGCCGTGCCTCATGCTCCTGGCCCGCGCAACACCGATACCGGCGTTACCAGCACCAGTTGCGCCATAGTCGAACACTTCTCCAGGGGCAGGTCCTCGACCAATTTCGCGCATTCCATAGCTCTCCGCATGCGACATAGGGGATTGGGCGTAGGTGCCGTGCGACGAGGCATCCGAGTAGGCGCCGTACCCAGCGGCACCTCCGCTGGTGTTGTTTCCGTAACCACGGTTGTAATCGTCGTCGTCGTCGAGGAAGCCAGCGGGTGGTTGGGCAGCAGCGGCCTCACGCGCAGCCTCTGCGATCTCGCGATCAAACTTCTTGGCTCGTCGTCGTCGAATGCCATTGGTCACAACAGCAATAATGATAGCGAGGACGATGAGACCAACGACACTGAAGACACCTGCTACAGCGCCGGTATTTTGGAAGAACCTGGGTAAGATGCCGGGTTAGCATTTGGACGTTGATAGAAGACGAAAAAGGAATGGGAAGGGCTGATTCGAAGAGTAAAGGGGGAGTCGCTTCCGGTGGTCCGCGGATGTCAGGAAATGAAAGGCCCTTGCAATCGGGCGTCGGGCGCGCCACACCAGGCTCGCGCTGGTAATAAGAGCGGGCGTGGGTGGTAATACGGGTCTCCGGATCTCGTCCGCCTCCTCTTTTCCACGGATTCCAAAAATAAGAAGAGATAGAGCCAGCTCCCGGCAAAGTACGACTCGGGTGCGAAGGCGAGCAAATCAATCCAACAGAAGTTTGCAGGAACGGGTACACAGCGCAAATTCTCGCACGGCAAAACACAAAAGCGCACTCACCCTTTCCCATCCGACGAAGGCTCCAGCGTCGCTGAAGGCACAATGCTACGACTCCTAGTGACAGTCTGGAACGAGGTAACGACGTTAGGCGTTGAACTTGTGGTGTCCGTATCGGCCGACGTGGGTGTCAGCGTGGGTGTCGTTGAGGAAGACGTCAGCGTCGGCGTCGTGCTGGACGAGGTGGGCGTTGAACTCGACGACGGGGGCTCTGTTGAGGACTCGTCGTCATCGTCTTCGTCGTCGGTCTGCGTCGAGGTGGGCGTGGGCGTCGAGGTGGGAGGCTCGCTCGGAGTGCTTGTCGGCGGGGGCGGGGGCGTCGGGGTCGAGGTCGGGGTGTCCGAAGTCGGGCCGTCCGAGGTGGTGCTAACGCAGACTTAAAAAACTGAACCAAGTTGAAGTAGATTCCAGAGCAGCGTACATTGGAGGGGTAGTGTCCGAAGCTATACAGCATTTCGTCGGTTAATATCATCAACAACCAAATCGGAAGCCTTGGCTCACTTTCAGACATAATTGCGGGGTATTTCTCGAGTTATTTGATAAATACTGACAGGATTTGGGGTAAAGGAATGTGTATCCGCCTCGACTGGATGGGAGAAGAGGGCGGAGGTCTGGAAAGAGGGCGATTGGCAGCGCAGGTGAGAAGAACGACAGGAAGTCACACCGACAAGGGAAAGAAGCAAGAACCAGGCCCGCGAAAACACTGCCCGAATCGGATATCAGCTTACCTAACCATCAATCACAAGACTCATCACATCCATGATTGGAAGGTCTCGTTCCTCCGAGTCCGCTTTTATTCCGTCTTGAAACGATCCAGTCAAGGGCCATTTTCAAGGCTTTGCGGGATAGCAGGCACTGTTTTGTAGACAGGTAACGTCTCTATCTAGTCTGTGCCTAACCAGCGGTATGTAGTCGCCACCCTACTCCACTGAACACCTCCACCAACTTCGCCTGCGCCAAGGCCTTGAAGAAGGCGTCTGGAACTCTATTGGCACAATGCTCGTTGACAACTCCACTCTCACTGCTGCTTAGGGACGTCAACAGTCTCGTACGACAGGTTTTGGTGCCGACCACCTTGGACATTGCGTCAGCCGCCAACGTCCAACGGTCGAGGTCGATCCTGGTTCAGATAATCCTTGATCATCACAGCGACACGCTGTGTAGCCAATATGCCATAGCAACTTTAAATTGGCTTTTCATTCACGTTCCGCCGGACTTTGCATCGATCGCATTCCTTGTGACCATTCGCCGCGTATAGCCCTGAAGTTTATTCTTTTCGAAGTTCCTCCATCCATCGCCTGCTGTTGTCCGCCTTCAACGTCCCTCTCTCGCCTCTCTCATAGGCCACCTTGACTGTGTCCTTTGGTGTATTCGTCCGGACTATGTGTCAATCGCACTCCAACCACCTCGTGACAGCTTGAACGTATCTTTCACCTGAATAACTCCTCCATCCAACGCCGGGGAAAGAAACCATTCTACTTCCCTCATCGACCGACTTGTTGGTGCCCTCAGGTTGATCATTCTCCCCCTCCAACGATTCCATGCCTCAGAATACACTGCCCGTCCTCAGAGTACACTGCCCATCCGTTGAACAGAACCTGAATTCAATCCTGTGTGCTTCTAGAGGGATTCCAAATTTCATCACCGCCTCCCCATCGCCACCCAGAGGTGTGTACTCGTATTACGTCTAATCATAGATGTGCCAGCTCCCCCTCGTGGCGTCTTCCATCGGCTGACTGGACTGCAGGACCTGGTGTCGATATTCTCACTTATCGCATTCACTGCATGCATTCTAAGCAATAACCATCAATAAAATGATCTACAGAGCCTCTCCTGTTTCCTCCTTACCATCTCCTCCCCACCATCAGGACCCACTAACAACCGCCATAGCGCTAATCCGATTCGCATTATCCAAATCCTCGTCGCTCTTCTTCTGCCTCAAGCACTCCATATATACATACGTCAAGACCACGACATCCACAATCCCCTCAGCGCTGGGCTGGATTTCAAAATACGCAGGCGACTTGTCGTGGAAGATCCCGTATTTCTTGCGGTGGTACTTGCCCATCAGAGTCTTGGATGCGTCGTTCAAGCAGAGCTGTACGATCCATCGAGGTCGTAGAGTAAGGTTGAACGAGGTCGTCAGATTGGATGTTGCAAGGTCAGAACTTAGACGATGCGCCGCACCTCTGAACGATCAGACTGCATCTCCCATCTATACTCCTTCCCATCCGGCGCAACAAACGTTCTCTCCGAGTCATACTTTCCTTCCTTCAGGTACTCGTCCGCGTTTACCTGCCAATCACCCACCAAAATCCTTAGCACGTCCGATTTTAAGCTTGTACCCGACATCTCTATTTCGGCAAAAGGCACGAGCTGACCTGTGTATGTGTAGTTCGATCACGGATTCAAGTTAGCGGCTATCTGAAAGATCGTTCACCAGGGCTATGCCTCTGGAAGGTACTGTATTTCTAGCAGAACGAAAGCTCACCTTTCCCGTCTTCACCCGCCTTTTCAATCAAATACTTGTTCTCCGAATACTTCCCCGCGCTCTTCACTTTATACAACACCTTCCCTTCTTCATCGGAGTACGTCGCGTCGAAAGCGTTGAAGGGCGAAGAGTTTGGCTCGATGATGAGTTTCATTACAGCCTCTTCCTTTCTGAGAGAGACGAGCAAGGGTGTTGACAGTGGATTGGATGCACGCACACCCACAAATATGTATAGTATAAGTACCAGCCCCCTCCATTTGTTATCAAGCAGTGCATGGGCGGTGATTGATAGAGGTTGCCAGCCAAGTAGTTCTAGCGCTGATGACGATATTCTTCCGCCTCACTTGATCTCGTTGCAACTTCCTATGAATCTTTGTTACGGTTGGGCAATACCCTGGTCTCTGATGTGCGCCCGTGTTATCGATGTGACATGCCAGGTCACCCGTTAGGCGCCCGAGCGCGTGGTAGCGCAAGCGGTCGAGAACTCAAATGCTTGGGGACAGATCAGCTTCCCTGCGATAGGACCATTGCTTTGGTTGTACAGCCATTCTTGTCCCTTTTCTAGGCTCTAGCTCTTTTGGGAAATCCATGTCCTCGTTTACCTCGTATGACCCTTAGTAGATCATCGTTCGTATACCCAGTTCTCTTGGAAGGACACATGGCATGACATCATATCCCCCAGCTCAATATAGCTAGGCGCCCAAGACACGTTCACTCCACGCCCGAGGCTTTGCAGTGAGCTGTTTTCGAGGCTACTCCAGAAACAAGACAGCCCTGAATCGATTGAACCATATTGGGCGAACGTAACATGCCCCAAGAGAACTCCTCTTTGAAGTTCGACAGTGCACCATAATATTCCGGTTGGTCGGCGCCAGCTGCGATCGATAATAGGCGCCTGGAAAGAACGTGGACACCTCAAGGCGTTCGGAGGACATTCCATCTCCTACAACACCATACACCTGTGATGCAGGGAAGCCACGATCATCGATGCCTTGAGGTGACTGAATAGATTCAGAAGCCTTGCGGCTGAGTCGAGGCTGCCCTCTGGTACTTAAATAGGCGCAGAACCCACTCGGACTCAACCACCACGCCTATTACCTACTCTACGCACTCGCAGCTTAAGCCATGGCAAAGAAGCCTCAACGTACTCAGGCTGCTGCTGTCACTGACCCCATTTTGAGGGATGGAACTGACAACGACATCGTAATCCCGTACGACGTTCTCAACACCGAACGGCTCAACCGCTAACCCAGCCAATAGAATCATGGGACCTACCGGCGCAGGGAAGAGCACAGTACTACTCCCCTCTCCTTTCTTGCATACCTCCACTGACTCCCGTTACTTACCTCCTTCCAGCTCCTCAACCTCTTCCTGGGCCCTGACCGCAAATCCGAGCACGTCGAAACTTCCGCACGCCTCGTCTCATGCACGACCGTCCTCCAACCCGTCACATTCGACATACCCGAGAGCCACGCCCACCTCCGAAAGAACGGTAAAGGCAGGATCGTGATCGTCGATACGCCCGGATTCGACGATACCTTTGTCGATGATGTGGATATCCTGAAGAGGATTGCTGATTGGTTGGCGAAATCGTATGTGCTTGTGTATTCGAGTGTCAAGAGGAGTCCAGAGTCTTAAAATACGGCTACCTTTCATCACAGATATCGCAACTCGATGAAACTTGGAGGTGTAATCTACGTGCACGACATCTCCCTGGACCGGTTCACCGGCACCGCCAGACGGAACCTCATCATGTTCCAACAAATCTGCGGCGAAGCCGCCTTCCCCAAAGTCCTCCTCCTCACCTCCAAGTGGTCCAACTTCCAGACGAACAAAACCCACGTCGCAGCCAGCCGGGAGAAAGAAATGATCGACCTTCAGTGGAACGAAATGATCGCGCACGGGGCTGGGACTTTCTCCCTCAACCCGCCGAGAGGCGTCAATGAGCGAGAGGAGAGCGAGTTCGCGTGGAAGGCTGTTGAAAACATCCTGGACCGTGTTTCTGAGCAGAGGGAGAAGCAGAGGAACACTGAGAGGGAGAGAGCGAGAGCTAATGCAGCTGAGAGCTTCCAGATTCAACGCGAGCTTGTTGATAAACATAGAGTGTTGCCCCAGACTCATGCAGGGAAGGAACTGAGGGGTTCGTTGAAGGAGGTGATGGAGAGGGCGAAGCATGATCCCGAAACCATGGCGAAGCTTCCACCTGAGATGCAGACCAGGCTGGAGGCGGAGTTGAAGGAGTTCAAGACCCCATTGTCGACAAAGTTGAAGCAAATCTTCGGGGTATACGTATGTGAGTCGTTTTGGCAATACTATGTCGACTGACTTGAACTCTGATGGTGATATACAGCGCAATGAAGATACGTGAAGATCGTTGGGCGCACGTTCAGACACCTGTGCTTTTTACCTGATTTTCTTAACTTATCGTCTCGGTGACTAGGAAAAACTCTCCAACGGAGGAGAACATGGATGAGATAGCGAAAAGTGATTTTATTTAGTCTAGCATAAATAGCAACATACTGTATCATCATGTGTATGATTTTAAGAGGCACGTGTAAAGGCATTTTAGACCAAGACGACCTCGAAGCCAGCAAACCTCGAGAGGTTGACATCAACCTCCAAAGTCTTCTGCCTCCTGTCGTACCTGATCCTCTCCCTCTGGATGATTGGGAAACCGTTGACGAGGACCATAAGAGGCTGCCTATCAACACCAGCAAACTTGACAGTCCTCCACTGCACACCACGCTCAATCTTGTATCCGAAGCGGCCGGAAACCCTGAGGCGGCGGTTGCGGTACGAGAACTCGACGTTGGTGACATCAGACGGGCTGGGGTCGATAGTCTCGCCATCGTCGATGTAGAGCGAGCCAGAGGCGTTGCCACGGGCATCGGGGGCGACGACGATGTCGAAGGGCTTGGTGCGCAGCTCGGCGGTGGTCATGGCCATCTCGGAGCGGAGAGGGAGGACGGCGCCACCGCGGATGTGCATGGGGATCTGGGCGTGCGAGACGCGGTGCTGGGTGACCCAGCCGGTGCGGGTGACGGGGGCGAGCGTGAAGAAGTCGTACCAGGTGTCGGCGGGGAGGTAGTAGGTGACCGAGGTGGAGCCTTCCTCGGTGACGGGGGAGACGAGGATGTGGGCGCCGTAGAAGAATTGGAGGTCGATGGGGAAGGTCTCGGTGTCCTTGGGGAACTTGTACCAGACGGGGGAGAGAACTGGGGTACCGTCGAGGTGAGCCTGGTAGAGGCCAGTGTAGAGGTAGTCAAGGAGGCGGTATCTGCAATTCAGGCGTCAGAACCAGCGGACATGGTTGAGTCTTGGGTGTGAACGTACCGAATGTCGATGGCAGCCCTGGCAGCCTCAGCCGTCTTGGGCCAGACATAGAACTCTTGGCTGACGTGGTTCTCACCGTTGTGCTGAAAACGGCTTCAGTTAGACCAAATCCGGACAAAGGCAAGGGCCTGTTACTCACGTTGCGGAAGAAGGGGTTGAAAGCACCAACGAGGGCCCATCGAGCACAGAGCTCCTCAGTGGTATCGCCGACGAAGCCGCAGACATCGCTTCCGACCAAAGGCATGTTGAAGATGGCAGCAAAGTTGAGCATGGAGGCAATGCTCATGCGGTAGTGCTCCCAAGAGCTAACGTTGTCACCGAGCCACTTGCCAACATCGCGTCCGGCACCAGCAAAGGTCGAACGAGTGATGATGAAGGGGCGGCGTCCGGGGCGCCTGTTGATCATAGCCTTGCGGGTGAAGGTGGACATCATGCTGCCGTACAAGTTGTGGGTGTCGTACTCGGAGAGACCGTTGGCGTGAATGATGTTGGTGTAGGCAGTGCGGGAGGAGATGGGGCCGAACTCGTTGTCGATGGCATAGGGAGGGTTCAAGAGGTGCTCGTCGTCGGAGGTCTGGCGGCGCTCGAGGGTGCTGGAAGATTCTTCGATGACGTTGGAAGAGACACCAGGCGCGCTGGTCTGGATCGGGGCATACCAGTCAGTGCTGCCTTCAACGAAGATGGGTGCGTCAGGGGCGGGGGGCTCTTGGTCACGGGGAGGAGGAAGGTTCTGCTTGATGGCTTCACCCCAGGGGTCGAGGCAGGGGTAGTCGCAGAAGCTGGCGGGCTCGTTCATGTCGATCCATGCTCCATCGATGTTCAAGCCGTCCTCGGCATTGTAGAAGCGCTCGAACTCGCCATTCCAGTACCTGAAATAAGATTGAGTGAACGGCTCGGTGGTCAGATGGTCGTTAAAGACTTACTGCTCAACGTTAGGGTGGAACCAATCGGGGAAGACGGTGACACCGGGCCATACGAGTCCAAGGTGGTTAGATCCGTCTCGGTTCTTGAGCCAGACTCCGAGCTCCTCGCCACGCTCGAAGGGAGGATAGGACTCGTCCGGAAGAACGCCCACTGCAGGGTCGGTCATGACGACTAAAGGAAGAAGTATTAGTAGACAATAATAGATGAGAGTGAAGAAAACGCACTGAAGTGTTGCTTGTTCTCGTGGAGGTGAGAGACGATCTCGCGCATACGGTTCAAGGGGAAGTATTGAGGGTCCAATGTGAAGATGAGACGCCTGTCCATGTAGTCTGACAAAAGGGTAAGCAGACAGAACCAATGCAAGGGCGCGATTCCATACCGATATCGGTCCACATGGTCTCGAGAGGGATACCGGCCTCCCTGTATCGAGCGATAACACTGGCAACCTCAACGTAGTCTGAGGAAGATAGTCAGAGGATGGTCGGCGATGAATTGAAGGAGACATACTCTTGTAGCCAAATCGGCACTGGTGCAAACCGAGACCCCAGTAAGGGAAGAGGGGAGCCAAACCAGAAACCTCGGCATACTGCTTGGCAAGAGCCTCAGGGTTGCTCTCACTACCAGCCAAGAAATAGAAGTCGAGAACACCACCGATAACGTTGTACTCAAGAGAGGTGCCGGTGGCGGTCTCGTTGAGCTTGACGTCCATGCCGTTGGAGTTGAGGAGGAAGACACCGTGAGTACCAGTGGTACGATGCTCGAAATAGACGGGGTGGTTTCCGTAAAGGTTGGTGCCATTGGGGACACCGTAGGAGTCGCGGCTCCAGAGGGTGCGGACCATGCCACGACCATAGTTGTTTGCATCGAGACGGAAGGTCTCAGTGTGCTCACCGAAACCGTAGATGTTGGCACCGGCTGGGAGATCGGTCTTGACTCGGAGGTATTGGTCTTCGAAGATCAAGGGGTGGTCCTTGGTGGAGAAGAGGACTTCACCAGTCGAGCGACGAGAGACAGTGAGGTAGAAGGGCTCTGGGTCGGAAGTGTAGTTGAAGACAAGGTTGGATCGCTCGGGGAGGATGCGGCGGTTGGGTGGGCGAGGGAAGACGTCTTCGGGGACCTCATAGCGCTCATTGTTGGCGTCGGTAATCTTGACATGAAGACGATCCTCTGTAGTAATTTGTCAGGACGAAGCATATGGACGGAATGTAATGAACTTGCCAGTCTCGTAAGCGACGGTGACGCGCAGGTTCTCGATGTCCTGACCGAAGACATTGCAACCAGGAGAGCTGGCCAGAGTAAGGTCAATCTGAGCCTCGCTTCCACCATGAGAATAGGTGGCCTGCTTGGCGACGTAGCCTGGGCAGGCATCGAGGACCTCGGGAGCGACATAAGCCGCACGAGACTTCGTCAGCCATAAGGCAGAGGAGAGAGCGATGGGGACCGTTGTACGCAGCCGCATGGTGGGAAGGCGGGGTTTTCCCTAAGTCAACTTGGAAGAAGCTCGCTCGTTTAAATAGCTGTTCGCGAAAACACGCGGCTTCTAGCACGTCGTAATGACATCGACCAAAGAACCGTCTGTGGGTAAAGAGGTTTGGGCAACGCATGGTTGATCTTCACTTGGCTTCGAAGTCTGGTCCGGCTCCCTGTAGCTCCCAAGTGTCTTTGGGACAATACGACATTCTGTAAGGGACGTTGAGTCATCGATTTCTGCGCAGAAGTGGTTTACAACGGGACTTATACCTCAGTGAGCAACCGCAAGGTAGTCGGTTACTTGCTCCACCTCCAAGTCCGAAATGGCTACAAACTTGGAGCCTGCGTGCCATGGGCGGCGGGGGCCTTCCATGCCATGGTCAACAAGTTCGATTCGACATTCAAAACCGCCCTAGACGAATGTTGACTTTGGGAGCGTGTTCAATGCATATCGTGAAACCCGTCCGAACTAGTCAAAATAGACCCATTAACCCAGATTTGGTCTGGACAGCGTTTAACACCGTCGATCGTCGACTATGATCGATAAAGAAGTGGAGGAGAATCACGACGAAACCGACGCTGGGAGAAATGGCTGTTAGCCATCAAGAATTGGTGGGAAACATCTGATGGTTTTGATGGGCGCTTAGCCCTACGTCATATCCCCCAGTGGCCATTTCTCCTTCGACTTGCTTGAAATTTCTTACTGCTGAAGTATCAGAGTAGAATATGTAAATCCTACATAGGTGCAGAGATGTTTAGGTTTAGCTTGGTTCTGCTCTTCATGATCTTGCATTTACGTTGAATTTCCACGAGAATGCGATCAGACAGTTGAATCCGGAGTCATCGCAGAATGTCGTCGGCCGACACTTGGTGTCAAATAGCCAAAGTCTGACCCTTCTACTTGGTCCCTATATTGGAAGCAGCAATACCCATGCGGACTCTTAGACCCACGGCGAAGAACCCCATTTTTTGAGGTACGAGAGAATCAGAAACCACTTGTTGTTTGTGGTTGGAATGACTCCCTAACCACTTCACCTCTGGACATAATCACGCACAGGCATGATAGCTAGGCCTTACCTACGGGCTCTTATGCTTAGTAGATACTTCCAGAGCACATTCGAGCTCATTTCCGGGTGTTGTTGGCGCGTTCACAAAGGCTATTAAGGTGGGGTATATCCTCATTTGGCAGCACCGGACCTTGCCAAGGGATTGTCCATGTGGATCGTGGTGTGGCAACCCGCCCCAACCAATTCAGTGGATGTGCGACCGTCGCGCCAAATGAGCGCAAATCCAGCGTTACTTGGGGGATGCGGCGGGTAATTAACCCAGCGTGAACGGTGAACGAAAGGATGACGCGGTCTGCGATGCTCTGGATTGTATGAAGAGCGTTGACATGTGCCCACACCGAAGCACTGTACTCTTGATTTCTGCCGGTAAATACCAAATCGAGAGAAGTCTGTGAGAAATCGTCACCGTTGACGAAATGGGGATGGATAATCAGTTTCATCTACTAATCAGTTTCACCTACTTCGTGATTCAGAGAAGGTCAATTCCCCGGTTTCTCCAGACTTTTCTGGGGACAGTCACATCGCCCTCATCCTTGCGCGCTATGTACAGTCAAATTGTATGCGCACATGATCTTGGGCGATCACCCACCTATTCAATGTATTGAGCGCAATCTACTCAGCGGAACCTAATGATGATGGTAGTAATGATATCCCGGATAATTCGGTTGTAACAACCTTTCGCGCACGTGTGAGATAGTATGGCGGGAGAATCAAAATGCGCCTCAATGCGTTCGTTGAAGTGTGATAAAGTCTATGCGCCTCTCAGGCTATCCAAGCCCAGAGTAAGTACCGCGGCTCTCGCGGATTATTGTAGTCTAGACCACCAGTCATGGTCTGGCTACTTTAACCTGTAAAGTACACGATAAAAGTCTCGCACGGGCTATACCAGTGGTACTCGCTACACCTAACCGAGATAGAAAGCGTATAATAAGATGGTCTTGGGATGGACTTGGAAACAAGGAGTCGCCTCTCGATCCTCATTCGAATCAGACGACAACTTGAAGCTGTGTGACAACGAATCGCTTTCAATACTAGAATCATTCGAGGGCGTAATCCATTGACTGTTAATCGATGGTTATCATTATTGGACCTCTGGTATTCACTACCTATTGGAAGAGCCTTCACGCGGAAACCGAGCTCAAGTCGCAGCATGTGCGACTCTGAATTGGGTGCCCTTTCCCAATCTCCGAGTCGGGATCCATTCTTGAACCATCCTTCCTCAGAAGTCCGTTGAAAACCATTAGCTGTAACGACACCGCTCAAAATGAATGCTATACTACGGGAAGGCACCTAATTCTTCTAGCAAGGATCACGGCTGATATACAAGAAGGCAGGGCGTCACGGGCAGAAGCGCACTGGATCCGTCAGCACTTCGCAGAATTGCGAGAGCTGGATTGGTCATAGATCACCCCTTAATCATAGATCGCCGTTTTATTCGAATTGTAAAAGGTAATCTTAACCAGCTCAAGGGACATCCTACAGAGACTATTCTCGCTCGGCAAGCTACTTTCAGCCTTCGAAATGGGAAAAATGAATAAGCGATATGTAGTGACCAACATGTATTTCAACCTCTCGAAGTCAAGTAATACCCGACTTGAGGCACTTTTCCCGGATTAATATCGCCTCCTTCATGTTTGGGCGTATATCGAATGGGTAACATGATGATCTCAAATGCTGTAGGGACGGGTCACGAGTCGGGTATGGTCTCCGTCCCCCACCTTATATATCTCCAGGTGACAAGGTCCCAAACCGCAACATTCCCTAACAGTCCTCAACGAACAATCCTACGTTTCCGTTTCCACGCAAAAGTTCCAATGTCATGATTAACCCTGACTCTGAGATACGATATGTACTATCCAAGATGAAAACCCTATGCAGGGTAGTCGTAAGGATGGCGTCTAGACACCAACGTTGATAGGGGTGCAACCAAGCGCGATAACACCGTCTACACAAAAAAAAAAAAAAAAAAAAATGTACCCATCAATTTCCGCAACAACAACACCAGTCACCAAAACAAAAACAAAAATCACTCACTGAAGCTATTATTCGTGCAGCACACCTTCTGCTGCGTGCAACTCGATCCACCACCAACACCAGCCACATTAATCGCCGTGCACTCGGTCCCAACAAGACCCGTAATCCCCTTCAAATCCAACCCCAAAAGCCCAATCAATCGAGTGGTAGTCCACTCGAGCGCTTTGGTGCTCTGAGCCTTATTGCAGCATTGGATTTCACCTCCGTTGCATTGCGAGTAGTCGTAGACAGCGGAGGGAGCGGCGAGGGCGGTGCTCGCGAGGAGGGCGGCGGTGAGGAGGGTCGAGGCGCGGGCGAACATTGTCGAATTGAGTGTGTGTGAGAGAAAGTGTGTGTGTGCGTGTAGGGTAGGGTAAAAGAGTGGACTGGGTTGAGCTCGGAAGAGAGTGTGGTTGGCTATGAAAGCTCGACGGAGTGGGAGATTCTGAAGAACGTTAGGTCGCAGTGGAACGCTTTATATAGCGAGAGGAGTCCGAGTCGTCCGAACCTGATGTCGACGTGGTGGACTCTCATGGGCCAGCCCAGGCGGCCAAATGAACCCTGAATGAAAAAAAGCGATACAAAAGACGACGCAAATGACGGGAAGCGACGCTAGACCAAGTCTGGGCACCCCAAGTTTACGAGAAAAAGAAGCGAAAGAAGGTATTTGCCGACCATTTTCGGTTCACCACTTATTAGGCGCCCATTCATTTACCTTGTTACGCGAGTTCGGGTCACGGCAAAATGCGGGCCAAGTGTAGATCAATAGGCAGCGGACAGCAGGGATTTCCAAGCAAATTCCACGGAGGCAGGAAGTGAATGTAAGCGATACTAATACATTGCTACAATAGTGATTATCGTTAGAAGAAATAACGTGGATAAAAATGGGTGGCTTACTAGCGAAACGGCAGACAAGTAAAACGGATGTGCAAGGGAAAAAGAAAAAAATGGAGAAATGCTGCGATGCGATGGAAATAAAGAAAAATGCAATTACAACAATTAGAAAGTAGTCGAAAGTGGGAAGAAGAGAGACCAGGGGTCGTAAAAAGTCGTGAAAGATATGATGATACAAGTCGTACTCAGACAGCCATACTATGCCGCCTCAACTCTCCATCGCTGGAAGCCTTCTTACTTCCCCTTCTACTGCGCCCCTCGACATTTACATTACTCCACTTCTTCGAACTGGGCGGCACATACTCCTCGTCCGCCTCAGCCCCATCACTCTCCTCTTCACTGTCGAAATCGTGGTACATCTGCGGCCTGGACTTTTTCCGCCTAACAGGTGCAGGAGGCTCAGGGTCTTCGGGTTGGGGAGATGGCGCGTGCTGCTCGAGAGACGAGCGCCGGGTGGAGGATTCAGGGATTGACTCGGCTGGTGACTCGCCTCGTTGCTTCGAGGATGTGGTGGAGGTTCGCTTCTTTTTCGGTGCTAGGTCAGGACCTGTGTAACCATCGGGTTTGCGCATTTTACTGGAAGAACATGAGTGGCAGCACAGCGGTAAAAATGAAGCGTACATACACTTTAAGACTGGGCTCTGCATAACTGACGACACTCTTTCTCGCTCGTCGTTCCCTGCCGGTCGTTTCGGTGTCGACTTCAGGAGGGGCCAAGAACTCCTTGGGTGGTGGCGGTGGTTCATCTGTATTGACACGCGCTGCATTAAAGGGTCAATGAATCTGGGTTAGAAAACACGAAACGACGAACCATTATTGTCGATAGGTTGGAGAGCACTTCGATTGCTCTTGGGTTTGAACGGTGCAGCCGTGACCGCCTCAACCGTCACAATGGCGGTATCGTCTCCCTCTCGTCGTCGCTTCCTGTCCTTGGGTATTGGCGGTTCGACGTGCTCCTCCTCCTCTACCATCTTCTCCTTTTCTTTACGATTCTTCTTTGGTGGTTCGACTTCCCCTTCCTCCTCAACCACCACATGTCTCTCCTTGCGACTCCTCCGCTCTCTCTTCTCAACGTGCTGAGCCTGGTCCACCACCACATCAACATCAACCTCGCCATTGATAGCCGCAATCTCTTCCTCCAGCTCCGCCTGTCCTGCCTGCAGCCTCACAGGGCTACCAAACGCCGGACTGGCTGGCCGAGCCGCGGACAGGGCTTCGTCCTCTTGCATATTGACGGATAGCAGGCCACTCTGTCTCCGTACAGGCTTCCGTTTACCAAACGCAGTGGCAACACTGAGGTCCATGTGGACGACCGGCGCCGGTGTGGTGGGTCGGTTGGTCGGCAGGGGGAGATTCGAAGCTGATAGTCGGCGCTGCTGTTGAGATTTGGAGGAAGAGGAGGAAGACCTGCGCTTGGGAGGCGGGGTTTCGCTGATTGGTTCCTCTTCTTCGCAGATCCCAGGGACGGTGGGAGGGCGGGCGATTCGCATGGCTTGTGGGGAGGCATCTGGATCTAAATCCATGGGCGGACGTTCTGGACGGCGTCGGGCTTTAGGCGAGGGTGGAGTGGGCGGTGTTGGGACTTCGTGTGGGATATCCAGAGTGGTGCGGAGATAGTTCAAGTGTCTCGTAAGACTTAGTGTCTGTGGCACAGTCAGTATTTCAGAATCTAGAGTACTTTAGAGCGTGCGTACCGCTGCTTCAGCATCTGCCATGATCTTGCGAGACTTTTCTCGCTCGCGTTTGAGCTCGGAAGTGAGCTGAATTTCGGAGGTTCGTAGCCTCAGATTCTCCACATTGAGGGCATGAATTTGAGCATTCAGTTCTTCAATACGGACGCTCAACGTCGAGTTTAATCTGTCATACGTTATATAAACATCCTAGGAACCAAAAGTAAGCTCATACTTGGTGATATGTTTGTTGGCGAGAAGGAATTTCTTCTTAACTGTAAAAACGAAATGAAATGCCACCATTGTTAGTAATGTTCTTCTTCGAAACTGATCGAGAACCAACTCACAGGCTTCAAATTCGTATAGGGCGTCGTTTTGTCGCGCCCCTAAAGAGGAACGCCTGCTCATCGCGACCGACAACGAGCAGAACGAGAACAAGGAACGCAAGTGACTGCCGCCGTCGTTCTGGGTAGCGAGGAACAATACACACGTGACTTTGTTGATTGACAGGCGCGGGCCGCGTTCTGTCCGACGCGACCGTGTATCGGGCGCCTAAAAGGCAAAACCAGAGTTGGAGCTTGATACTTCCAGAGAGAGGGTAAGAACAGAGGCAAGCGGTAGAGGGACCAGCTCAGCAGGTATATCCAAACTTTTGGAATAGTGTCGTATCTCCCTGAAAGCACGGAAAAGCCCAAGAAAGCACGTCAAGCAAGTCCAGTAGTAGGGCAAGTCCAAGCAGCAAGGGCGACCGTGGGTCTGAGGGCTGCTTATGTATATTGTCCCGGTGCTGATTTTAGCCCAACAGAATGTGTTCCGACTCCTCCGCAAAAATGGGTGTATGCCTCAGATTTTCAGACAGCCAAAGGGAAGCAAGAGCAAAGGGTACACTTGAGCATGGATTGTAGAGGTTCCCCCTTATATACATAACTTTCTTAAGGAGAAAATACTTTAAGCTGTCGTTAAGCTCCTGTCACATCAGAAGGAGTTGACTTCCTCAATAGAGCAACTTCGATCTTGGTACTTGGGCCGATAGGAGCAAAGTTGTCGAAATTACATTCAGGGTGCTCTCATTGTGACTGCTACTGTGACTCTACCTAGAAGCTGTGAGGCCTATCTGGTCAAAATTCTACCTCCAGGTCTCCCCAGCGGTCGTATTGGCTTTTAGTTGCCCTCGTCGTCAACGGATGCTGGTCTTACGCGGCTCGAGCAAGGTTCGAACCCGCGCGGCCCAGAAAAGGCAGTGGCCATCAATTCGGCCCTCGTGATTCCTGGTTCCGGTTAAAGCGACCAGGGCCTTCTTCGACCGGAACGATGACGAGCGGCGGCATTGAACAGTTGTTCTCTCCTCTGGTTAACCTCAGACCACCATCATGAAGACAGAAAACCGAACCTTTATCGTTTCCGGAGGGTAAATAACCATGTTCTCCCCAAGTCTCGATCCTTGAAGCGCTGAGCTCCTGTTTCACAGGTCCTCCGGATTAGGAGCAGCGACCGTGCAAGATCTCCTCGCTCAACAGGCCTATGTCTCCATCTTGGACAGGTCTCCTCCCCCGGAAGAGTTCAACTCACCCCGGGTCAAATTCTTCACCGTCGACATTCGGGAAGTCGACCAAATCGAAGATGCAGTCGAGAAGACTGTCGCCTGGACAAAGGAGACCGGTGCTCCTCTCGGCGGAGTTATCAATTGTGCTGGTGTCGGGGTAGCCGCGAAGATCATCGACGCGAGGGGAGAACCCCACTCCCTAGACTTGTGGGACTTTGCAATCGCCGTCAACCTCACGGGTTCCTTTAACCTGTCCCGATTGGCTCTGAAACATCTCGTCAAAGTCGAGCCCGAACAGGGTCCTGACGGCGAGCGAGGGGTTATCATCTTCGTCGCGTCTGCAGCCGCGGTGAGTCCTATCGCTATACACATCATAAGACACTGCTGACATTCCATTAGTTCGAAGGTCAACCTGGTCAAACCGCTTATTCGGCGACTAAAGGCGCCCTCAGATCCATGACTTTACCCATGGCAAGAGATCTGGCGCGACATGGTATCCGCGTCGTTACCATTGCGCCGGGTGTCTTCGACAGCAGCATGACAGCCCACTTCCCAGCCAAGACGAGGAGGAGTCTGGAAAACGAGGGCATCATCTATCCCCGCCGGTTCGGCCAACCCTACGAATTCTCTCGTACCGTCAGATGGATTCTGGACACACCATACGTCAACGGAGAGACGATCAGGCTCAGTGGGGCAGGGCGATTACCCGGAAAGCTCTGAATCGGTGTTTGGTGTTTCTTTTATTCCACGCGTTGTACCGTGCCATCTGCCGACCGTTCTATACTCGAGATTTCATTTGGATCTTGCACCGTTTGCACTCATGGAGATGCTGTCACTCGCGCGGATTTGAACAAAACGAATCTCTTACAGGCGAAGTAAATCCGCTCGGAGAAATGCTCTCACATCCAACGTGTCAGTGTACCCCGCGGCATATGAACTTCAAACGAGGTTTGGTTTCATTCTGGTGATCCCGAGGTAACCTCTCGTTACCCTGCTCATTGCCCATAGAGATCAAGGATCACTCGACCTCGTTGCGGTAGGCCGACGGACAATTCAATGTTACTTGGATCACTCCAACTTTGATGCGTACCGCTCGTCTAAATCTTTGGTACGTCCCCTCCACCCCTACGGTATCATCTCGACATTGAAATCCTTAACGCTAGCTTATCACAACATGTCAGGAAACGATGCACTGTCCGTCGATAAGCAAGGGTCATTCATTCAGTCACGGGTTTCTATTCCGTCATTGTCACCCACCTGGACACCCCTTGACAGGAGCTCCTCGGCCTCAGTCGCACTCCCCTGAATTGTTACCTACATGGCCCAGCCTCGAGGGGGGTGCTCCCAAAATAGCATCATGACTGAAAACTTCAAGGGAGGAGCGACGAGCCGAAAGGATGTTCTTATCCTTTTAATTAGAACCTCGAGGGGACCACCCGTCGCTGATATTCCGAGGAGGGTAACATGCAGGGGTGGAATTCTCCCGAGTCGGTATCACTTATTCTCTTCTTCTTTTGTGCAGATCCCTGCAGACTTCTATCGCGTGGGTGCCAAGTGTGGAGTTGTTGCACTGCGAACCTGTGTTCTACGTTGGACAAGACAACGCAGGTAAGCAGGTCGGTGCTGCGTTAGCAAGGGGTGTAATATCAATACTGATCGCTTTTTGAACGCAGATTGCATACTTTCCCCGACAACGCGGAAAAAAAATGTCTTTTCAAAGCTTTTTTCTTTATGTAGAGGGTACGTACGTATGGATTGATGCTTGTTCAGAAATGACAATCAAACTTGTCAAAACCGTCGTCAGCTGTTGTCGTACTCTTTGTGCCCCTTTGTGGCCCCCAAGTCAACAAGTGACACCCGCCTCCCAGTACTTATTGGAACACTCGACGACCAAACCCCCCGTCTCCCCCCTCGGTCCTCCCCATTCCCCATTCCCTCTTACCCGTACCCCCGTACCCGCATTCTCAATCCCGACTCTCCAAGGCGTTTCATATTTCAGCGCCCATCCCACCGAACGGGCATCATTCCAACTCACCCCGGCGGCAATAGTCTCCGTCGTCCGATGCCGACCAATCTGGGCTCAGGCACACAGCCATGGACGGGCTCCCTGAAACGGCTCAGGAACAAACTGTGGCCTATACCTATAATAACAAGTGTAACAGTTGGCATTGGAAAGCCACCCGCATCATCATCATCATCACGCCCCAGGCAAGCCCATAAAGGACGCAAGTCCCATAAAAGGTCGACTTCAAGTGTAAGAAGCGGCTGTTGTCTCCCACTTCTTCCCCTGCCATCAACGCCCGCCCGCCCTTCTTCTTCTTCTTCCCGCCCTTCGACGTCTTCCTCCCGCCGGGTTCCCGCATTTGCTGTTTCTACACGTCGTCGCCGTTCGCTTTCGCGCTCCCGCCGCCGCTCAATGGCCGATTCAACTTTTGACCCCTCTGCCTCTCGGCTCTCCTTCGAGTCGACCGAGACCCTCATCGATGCCTCGCCTCTCATCCTAAAATTCAATAGGCGGAGTGTCACGAATGCCACCATCTATTCTCACACCTTCCCCGTCTACCGCATTTCCACCAACAAGGACGGGACCAAGACCGATGTCTACGATACGCTGGGCAATGAGACGAGGATAGCCACGATCAAGAGGAGGGAGTTCTTGCCCGACGTGATCAAGTATCGCAATCGGGGCAACGGGACCGCCGCGAACGACGTTGTGAAGATTAATAATTGGTTGAAGTATGAGAAATTGGAAGGCGGACTGTGAGTGGCGCTCCCTTGCCCCCTTTGTTCTTCCCTGGAGGCCTTTCGTCGCTGACCCCCTCGTCTCCGCCTCCTAGGACTGGCGTGTCGTTCGATTCTACATGCGGACAGCTAACATGGAGATATGGTCAGCTAGAGCGATATCGATTAGCAGTACGTAGTATCCCCTTTCCGCGGCATCGCTTGGCTTCATATCGACTAACCCTGTCATTTCTGACTAGCTTTACAAGAGCAAAGACTTCTCCAATCCCATTGCATATCTCGACCTCTCCGAGCCTGGGATCCCTATCCTCTTGAGGATATCACCCGGGTACCAGTACCTCGTCGAAGACATCCTCATGTCCGCGCTGATACTGGAGTACAAGCTCAAGATGTTCGAGCGACTAAAAAAGCACGACTTGCTGTATGGTCCCATTCTCGGGTCTTTGGTTTCGTTTAGGTAGTCCAGTGCATTCTACTCGACGCACGTTCTTCTTCTTCATCGTTCATACTTGCTGCTCTTTCTCGGAGATTGAGCTCAATTCACTGATCCCTAAGCTCGTTTTTCCGACCTTTCTTCGGCCCCCCCATCTATGCTTTCGACATGTTTATAGACTCCACGCAAACGTTTTCTTTTCTCCTCTTTTCGCAAGTTACACCCCATCCATTGTTATTTATTTCTCTTTATAATAGTGTACTTTTAGTAGTTAGTAGGTAGCCCTTCAAGTTCGCCTTCATCATCATTGTTTTCGTCTTTGACGCTTTGGCATTTTCGACTGGCATCGTTTCCGACCTTCCATGACGCACCCTCACAATAATGTTGTTCATCGTCTTCAGGGTCACATTGTACATACACACATAACTGTAATATACAACCATGCGGATTTCTCAAACACACTGGCTTTTGCGCAAGAATTCGAAGTTGGGGCAGCGTGTTCATTATTTAAAGCTGGCGTGGACGGTGGAGACTGGCAACCAAGTGGAGACGGCCTCTCAGCCACCCATCAGCCATACATCAGGCTGGCAATGTGGACTACATGGACATGAAACGCAGCCGCGGAATCTAACCCAACCTGAAACGTATCGCCCTCACAAATTTCACATTCCTTAACTGAGATGTAACCTCGGGTGAAGTAACCTCAAACTCGGAGGGGTAGTATGGATGTACAACTACGCCCACATCCGCTGTTCGGAGCTGAGTCTACCAGTCAGAGCGCCACCCTTCCCGAGATTGAGCCAATGCCATTGGTCATATCCACATCCCTTGAACTCAACACCCTCTCAGGAGACCGGGGAAGGTAAGCGTCAGCGACGGGTCTCCATAATACGGAAACGGAGTACGAAGTAAAATACTGAAAGAACCCCGATCCGAGTCGAGGAAGTTACAGTTCGACGAACTCGCATTGATTGACATCTTCGTGTTCCCGGACCTCGTTTCTCGTATCGACGTTGTCGACATTCGGTCTTTCCGAGGGCGACAATATTTGGACAATGGGAGTCGCAGCTCTCCAACTTGCCCCGACTTCTTGCAGAGATGTGAGTTTGTGGATCTGATGGAAGAAGTTATGCTGTATCATGTCTACCCATCCAATCGCAGATCCCACAATGTGGAGGCTCTTTGGAAGGTCCGACTATCATTGGGCGACTGGGGATTGGTCAGGAGTGCAAGTTCGCCCTTTGGGTAGGACCAAAGGAGACTCCGCCTGCCAGCAGTATGCCGTTGCGAAAAATGGCCCTCGCTATTTGTAGAGGTGAAACGATACATTCAACCGACAGAAGGGAACAAAGATAGGCGGAGTCATTGGGGTCGTAAACAATGCGATGCGAGGAATACGACCTCTGTGGACCCACCATCCATTCCATTCTGAAAGAACTTCTTTGACGCCGGGGCATGAAGTCGATCCATTCACTCCGCCAAGCCTTAGCAGGGCTAGCTCTCGCTTAGCTTGGTCACTACTGTATCTGTGGAAGTAGCTCAAGGTATAGTCAACTGTGCTAGTTCTGTAGGTACAGTTAACCGATGGAGAGCGTTTAGATCCATCGCGGTAGCCTATCCGACAGCTACAAGCGAATGCGGCGATGGCGAATGGGCGCTTGACTCTCGGAACAGCGCGATGGATATGTTTCCTACAAATGCCCGCCGCCTGCTCCTGAGATTGCTACCCGTTGTTCAATCCTCCAACTGGCCTACTTCAAGATTTTCAGTATACCTTTCGGGTTACATCTAGGAGAAGGATATGGAATATAGACATTTAGCACTGTGTTTCTGCTGTGACGCCAAAAAACTCAATCTCTTCTCCCCTCTCCGACGCTCAGTCTAATTAAGGACTCATCAAGGGGTTCTGCTCCCAGATCTCGAAGTGGGGAATTCGTTGACTTGACGTGTTTGAGAAGCAGAGGTCTGCTGGTCCGTGCGGCAGAGATTCTAAGTATTTATTCCACCCGTGCTAGCTTTCCTCTTTGTTCTATATTCTCTCTACCTGAGAGTCTAACAGCGTCCGAGTTGAAAGTCCAAGGGCAAATTTGGTTCTTGGTCCCTAGGCTGCTATTTCTGCCGACTCTGAAGGCTACTCGGAACTCTTGAAGCGTTGTGCATGAGAGCTTGATCTGTTCCACGTCGGCACTCCCTCCATTGGGTGCTAGTGACATTGCTTGTCTTTACAACTGCGAACCTCGAAGAATCTGTCTCTGCCGGAGGCTGGAGCCCCTATTCCTTGCTTTTCCAGTGACGTCAGAACTGGTGCATAAAGTGGCTGTGTTTCGCGGATACCAAGAGCTCGTGGCATGCTCAAGGCTGTAACTTGGTCATCCACCTCGACTGCGCGTGAGCCGAATGCAAACATAAGAAACCCTACAAATAATCCTCGTCATCTGCTGGACTCATGACATCTAATTACCAACCTCTTCCTACAAACTCGGACTCGACCGAGGACCTACATTTACACCAGCACCGACCGCCTTATCCTCCCCACCTCAAAGAACCTAGACGACCGCTCAAGAAGCGATATCTTGGCCTTGTAGCGCTCGGCTTCCTGCTGACTGCGATTATCTTCTTCAAAGCCGGACAATACTCTGCTCGTGTGCCCACTGAACCGTCTCCAACGCCATCGTCACCTGCGCAGTCGACGATTTCAACGACAACGCCCAGCAAACCAAAGCCAACTTCACTGCCAGGAAACGATACCATGTACGGAGGGAAGAAGAGTGTCGGATAGTACGTATCTTTATTCACCGGGTCGACGCTGGCTGACAAGGGTTTAGCTTCGTGAACTGGGGAATCTACGGCCGGAAATACATGCCGACCTACATCCCCGCTAACGACCTAACTCATATTCTCTATGCCTTTGCCAACATCAACCCATCGTCGGGCACAGTCTCGCTATCAGATGTTTGGGCCGACAAAGACATCCACTACCCAGGAGACTCATGGAACACACCAGCCGGCGAAAACCATCTATTCGGAAACTTCAAGGCTATCTACTTGCTCAAGAAGAAACACCGTCATCTGAAGCTACTTCTCAGCATCGGAGGCTGGACCTACTCGCCCAGCATCCACCCGGTCGTTTTAGACCCTGCCAAACGCGCAGAATTCGTCAAGAGCTCTGTCGCGCTGTTGGATGACTACGGCTTGGACGGTCTGGATGTCGATTACGAGTACCCTCAGAATGCTGAGCAGGCGAGGGGTTATGTGGATCTGCTGAGGGAGCTACGGGAAGCGCTGGACCAGAGGGAGAGGGAGAACGGCGAAGGATGCAAGTTTTTGTTGACTGTACGTGTACAGTTCGAGCCCACTTTCGTTCATCTGACACTGACGGCGCGCAGATCGCAGCTCCTTGCGGCCCAGACAACTACAAGAAGCTCCTCGTCGCCGAAATGGACCAATACCTCGATTTCTGGAACCTGATGGCCTACGATTACTGTACGCTCACCTCATCATCGGCTGCCTTTGCAAAATGCTAACGCGTTCACAGCTGGCTCGTGGGACCGGACTGCGAACCACCAAGCCAACCTGCTGGGACCTCCCATCAACACCCACGAGGCACTCGAGTTCTACGTCTCGGGCGGCGTCGCTTCACACAAACTCGTCATGGGCATCCCCCTCTACGGTCGTTCCTTCACCCAGACTGATGGGCCAGGCCACGCGTTCGTGGGCATCGGCGAAGGAACTTGGGAACGCGGCGTTTACGACTACCGTACCCTCCCTCTCCCGCTCGATACCACCTTCACCTACAACGACGAGGACCTCGGTGCGAGCTGGACATACGACAAAACCACCCGCGAGATGATCAGTTTCGATACACCCGAAATCGCGAGGTTGAAGGGCCAATTCATCAGAGACAACGGGCTCGGAGGCAGCATGTTCTGGGAGCTGAGTGGGGACAAGATGCCGGGCGAGACGGAGGAGGAGAGGAGGAACAGGGACGAGCGGGATGGGAAGATGAGGGAAGGCGGGAATATGGGGGTGGGCAAGCAGGTTATTCCTGGGGAGAGTTTGGTTAGGGTGGTTAAAGAGGCTATGACTGGTCATGGAAGCCGCAGTCTGGAAGGGATGGATACGACCCCGAACTGGCTTCACTATCCCAGGAGCCAATTCGACAACTTGAGGCAGGGGATGCCCGATGCCTGACGGATAGACTAAAGTGTAAGGCTTAGACTATCATGTCTGATAATTGATTGTCTCATCATATAATTTCTATCAGATTTACCGCCATGTATTCCGACTTAATGAAATGCTATACTCTCGTGGAACTGACTTATGTAGATGGTCGCAGCATCCTTCAAAACGCCGAAAGCTAGAAACGCGAACCGCAAAGTTTGCTTGATGCGCGCGCACCCGATACTCCTAACACTCCTGATTGACGTGCGTATATATAACCGAAACTCGGGAAAATGGGGTCCTCGGTCTTCTCAAGGTGACCTTTGTCGGAGCACTGCACCCCACGCTATCTTCCCTTTATCCGTCGGGGACTCGGTGTTGGGACAGGGGTAACGAACTGTCCAATCAGGTTGGGTATGTAAGTTACGAGCACTGACATTGGATGCCCTTTTCGTTTCGTTGCATGTTAACTGTTGAAGTGATCATTGATTGGTCTCTAAACTATTCTTCTTCTGGTAGGCCTTTCTCTTGAAAGGTATATTTGTCCAAGGAGGTTTGGGGCTCTCGAGAACGTCCCCGTTCCTGTCTCCCATCTCTTTTCACCAGCCTAGATTCGCCTTTGTTCCCTCCTTAACTGTGATCCTGTCGATCATCCTCTGTGGGCCAAGATGAGTTATGGCGGCGGCGACCCATTTGACGCCCTTTGGTACCTCCAGATTCGCAAGGTAAGCGTTTTCTAATGGTTGAATCCTTTACACAAAGCTCACTCTTCCTCAATAGTACTATGGCGGTGCGTTAATCTCTGCGTTTAATCGTGGTTGTCATGGTCTCTGAGCCCGCCTACCCGCAGTCTTCATCTGCGTCCTCTACATGTGCGACTATATCGAAACCTTCGAGCGAGAGGTCAGTCCGCCGTACACTTACCCTTCACCGTACACTTACACCTCGCCGATCTCGTACACCTCGATACTAAATAAACACTGTGCACTGTGGACGGTGTACGACCTCACTCTTCCAGGTAGAATACATGTGGAAAGGTCCTCGATGGAACCTAGCCAGGGTATTCTTCTTTTTCTGTCGCTACATTCCCATCGCACAGATCCCCCTGTTGTGGTCATGTACGTACGACCCTATCGATCGCTCTTTTCCGTTCCCCGCAAGGGTGAAAGGGTTGAGTACATACTGATCATGTTTCTCCGCTAGTGTATATACAGAATCTTTCCGATAAGGTACGTTGCACTGGCACCAGACCGACCGCTTGCTCGATTGAGAATGGTGTGCTGACTTTTTGATTACTTAGGCCTGTTTAGGTCTGCATGTGACGGTACCAGGTGAGTGGGGGTTTACGTTGTTGTGGCTGAAATCCGCTTACTGGGAGAACAAACCTTCTCACCGCGTTCCATACCCTGAATTGAATTTGCAGCTCTGACGTTATTCGGTGAAGCCTTCCCACTGGGTGCGTGAAAGTTGGCAGTAACTTCAGATGGATCAAGTTCTCCGCACTGACATTCCCGTCGCTTTCGTGGTTAGCTATTCTCCTACTGTGCCTCTATGCGCTCTGTGGGTCGAAACGAAAACACGCACCGCTCTTCTGGGGGAGCTACATTGTACGTTCAACCAATTCCCAGCATCAGCTACTGGTCATTTGTCGTGGAGAGTTGTAACTCATCCACCATCTTTCGGCTACCAACTTGTTTCTACTAGATCCTGATGGCCGCCCTTATCGCAACTCTGACCGTATTCCTCATTGGAACTACTGGTAAGTCGTATGTCTCCAAAGACGAAATCGCCACTATCGTATGTCTAAGTTGTAGCTGACTAGTTCCATGATATATCACCAGTCCCACCGATAGACCAACGAGCTGCGCACTGCTTCCCCATCCATACACCCATTGGCAAAAACTTTATGTTGGCGAACAGGATTATCAGACTTTCGGCGCATTTTGGTACGTACACGATACGGTTCTCAGATCTCTCATCGGTCACGCTGGGATGGGATGGTACGCTAACCTCGGTATTCTGCAGTCATGGCAAGTCTCGCTGCATGGCGCGGACTTGTCCGTTACAGGCAGTCTAAGTCGCCCTTGTTGAAGGCGATCAATAAGGGAGGGATGATGTACTACGCTAGTATCTTTTGTGAGTCTCTCGGATTTGTGCTTCGACTTCGATTGTACATTAACGTTTTTTGAACTGGGATTCAGTGATGGCCGCTGTGGATATCACAGCCAAATACTATTCAGAGAACGTACGTACAGCTGGGTATCTGGCAGTAGTCTAGTCTACGTCTTGCGGAGCTGACCTCTCTCTCTCTCTCTCTCTCCATAGGATCCTGCAAAACTCGAGATCTTGGCTTAGTGCGTCTTCCTCCCCTCCACCACACAACTCGTCTTCCTTCCTCGTACTAACCTACTTACCCTCTCCCCTCCAGCATCTCTCGTTTCGGCGCACCAATCATGGCCAACCGCCTCCTCCTCAAGATGTACAAAAAAGTTCGAGACGGAAACGCTTCAGCCGCTGCGCCCACACCGAGCGTGTCGATGAAGTTTGCGGCGAGGTCGAGGTCGAAGATGCAGAGTATGGCACCCAGCGAGTTTGGGTCTGTCAATCTCAATCTGAAAGAGATGGATGCGGAGAGGGGTCTGGGAGTCCCCAGGGAATCGGATGGGAGGAGGACAACGCGTATGTCGAGTGTAACCCAGGCTTCGAGCACGGTGATCTCGTGTAGATCTGACTCTTGATTGTGGCTCGAGGTGAAGCCAGCCATATTGCAGTGAATTTCTCTGATTTGTCCCGTATTCTTATTGCCTATTGACTATTGATGAACTGGCCTATGCGGCCACACTTCCCGGACGCGAAAGCTCTTGTTGCCAAGTTATATACTAGGTTGGAGCCTCCACTTTGCCCCACCACCGGCGCTAAGTACTATATTGCCACATCCCCATGGGCGGTGCCTCAGCTGATGGGTACGCGGATATGCTATTCAATTCACTGGCACTGAACTTTGGTGTGGCGAAGTATTGAATAATTTGAATGTCAGCGGAGGACAAGAAATGAATGGAGATGGTAAATCAGTCCTAAAACTGACGTACTTAGTCCCCCCTTGGAAATGCTATGTTTAGATCATACCTCCTGACACACCGGGTCGTACCTGCCGGGTGTTTTCAAACCCTGGGGAATTGTCGAAAGAGAACCTGTTTTATGATAGATGACGATTGTCGTAAACATTCAAACTTCTATTCGCCTTCAATTGCAATCTTCGAGACGCTGACGTTGCGCTGACAGCTTGAGGTAGTAGTAACCAGGGGCTTGGGAAGCACCCACAATGTTAACTTATATGAACAGTTTGAATTGTCAAGGGCCTGAGGCCTTTTCATCATCTTTCCCCTAACGCGCCCCCCTCTCAGTCGCTCCTCCCAGTCATCAAGCTCTAATGAGCGATGGCCGAAAGAGCAGGATCTTTATACTATTCCTCTGCGTTTGATGCCCAAGTAACGAAAGTCAGTCTCTACTGTGCTCTTCAATTGGACGATACGAACTTTGGGGAGCTGACGCTCGTCAACGACGTTTCAGTATTATGGAGGTAGGCTGACACTTGCCCTGAAAACGTCCTGCATTCACATACTCACTAAATCTTCTCAGTGGCTGTATGCGCCTTCTACTTGGCTGATTACTTTGAAACATTTGCAGACGAGGTGTGTCGGGATGATTGAGTGATTTCAGGGGGTTGGAGCCGCATCCTAACCCGAAGGACTCGGACTGCTTGTCCCCTTAGGTCGAGCATATGTGGAAAGGCTCCCGCTGGAACCTCGCTCGAATCTTCTTCTTCTTTTCGAGATACATCCCAATCGCACAAATCCCACTCCTCCTTTGTTGTGCGTGTAGTATTCTCATTGTTGATGATTGCGGACGGTTGGTTAATAAGCGCCCGTCTATGGCCTTACCTCCGACATGGCGGCAACTTAGTGTTCGCTCCCGCACTGCAAGCCAAGGTCTGTCGTCAGAAGCTCGTCCCGCTTCACGTTTTAAAGGCTAAATAATTGTCAATTAGGCTTGTTACGGGATGCACGTGGCGGTTTTGGGTATGTGATGTTCGCTCAATCTATATCATCTACCACACGCCTCATACTGATGGGGTTAACTACGCTGGAGTTATGACTTGGGTTGGGGAAGCCTTTCCTATCGGTAAGTATCATCGGTTTTGCACTACTAGAGTGAATGATTTTCCTGATGCCCGATGCCCAGTCATTCTGCTTTTATGCCTTTATGCTTTGTATGGCTCGAAGAGGAGACATGCCCCAGCGTTTTGGGGGTCGTACTTCGTGAGTGTTCCTACCACTTGCCGAGTGCGTTTGTGAGAAGTCAACTTGATGGGCATACTAATAGGTATATATGGGAGTCCAACTGGCAACACTTGTGGTCTATATTGTGCACACGAGGCGTGAGGAGAGGTCATCACTTCAATCAGTGTCTTGATGCTAACACTTTCCCTGGATAGTACCGCCTCTTGCCGTTAGAGGGACAAATTGCTATACCACGAACACGTCTTTCGGGGACAGATTTATGATGGCCAATCGGATTCTGAGGCTCTCCTTGCACGTCGGTACATACAGCTTCAAACAAGTTTCTAGTAGACAGCGAGATCTTAACTCTTCTAACCATTTTCTGCACACAGTGATGTTTCTGCTGGCGGCTTGGAAAGGAGCGCGTAGATACCGGCGCCTAAAGTCACCCTTGATCAAGACAGTACTAGGCGGAGAGATGGCGTACTACGGAGGGGTGTTCGGTAAGTGCTCAGACTGGCGGTGGATGTGCACGTCGTTCTGTCTAACAGGAGTGTAGCCATGGCAGCCTTGGATGTCGTTGCGAGATATTACTCTCCTAATGTAAGTCGAGGCCATGATGACTTCTTTTGGTTGGACATGAGCTCATCTGGACATCGGAAATTAGGATCCTGCCAGACTGAAGATTCTCACCTAGTAAGCGCTAGTCTAATACATTATACGTGCGCTGTCCTAACGAACTCTAGTATCTCGCGGTTTGGCGCGCCAATACTGGCGAATAGACTGCTTGTGAACATGTACAAGACGGCGCACCGTGGAGGGGCCGGGAGCGCCCACTCACTCTCGGGGCTTCGATTCGCAGGGGACTCGACGGTATCACTCACCGAAGTAAACACTGATTATTATTAGTCCTTCATTAGTGATACTGGAACTAAAATGTAAAGAGGCTCTAATGTATTGAAACTCGCCGAGGATCCCAGCTCAGAAAGTTGACAAGATATCTAAGGGGTGAAACCAAGAATTGGAACAAAGACCCTAGCCGGATGGTTATACGAGATGCCAATGATTCGAACCTTGCGCAAAGGACCGTAGGTGACAGTTGGAACATTCTTCGAGTTCTTCGAGGCCGCGATATCCCGATTCATCTCCTTAAACCAATCCCGAACGCACTCAGCTGTCGTCCTCGCAATCCATCCCTTGGTCAGGGCGCCACCGTAGGTGCTGGGGTGAGCGGTCGTGAACGAGCATACTTGTCCGCCAAAGTCGATCAGGAAGGTGTACTCCTTATTCGAAGGGAAGTTCGGACCAGTGTATTGGCGATTAGCACCGTCGAGATTGTTGGCCACCCAAGTATGGTTACACAACTTTTCGACGTAGAGTCCCGTAACGTATTCGGCCTGATCTTGATCATGAGAAACGGAGTAGAGCTTCATGTCTACTGTGCTGTTCAATTTGGTAATCTCGTACGTTTCAAGAGCCTTCGGGATGACAATGGCGTAGTCCATATCCGCAGAAACTTCGGACTTCTCCATTAGAGGAAGGTCGGAGTCGTCGAGCTGAATTGCCGTGTCGCCAGGGGGCCATGGCGGAGGAGCCATTCGGAGAGATTTGAAATCCAAGTTGAGAAGAATGGTCATTCTGATCGCTATCGGTTGGAGGGGAGTGTTGGTGAGCTGAAGATTGTGATGGATTCATCTGGGAGGAAGAGGGCTTTTATACAAGTAAAAACGCAGGTCAAAGCGCGGTGGAACCACTGCCGCTGCTGTTGTCAAAGCGGCGTTACTAGAGGGGCAGAATTTCGGTGAAGCGAACCTAAGCGCTGGGGCCTTGCAACCCACGTAATTGTTAAGCGCCCAGTCTTGGCGTCTCAACCACAGCCACGGCCCATGCTCGTGCGCGTGGGCCTCGTCCGAGTCTTTCTTCCGCAGTGTCATAGGACCCCCGAAAACCAGCTGAGAGGTCAGTTCTGGGAAATGGATTTGTTAACCGGATTTTATCTCGCAAAACCCCCCAGATTTTAACCGGGTTTTGCAGTGACCTCCGTGCCAAGCCAAAAATCGATACCCGGATTTTGGAACAGACCTCAAGTCACGAAAACTCGTCTGAATTCTCATATTTCGCTCGTATATCCATGTAACTACGTGCAAACACTATGGTATGATCAACCCTCGTCTTCATCTCCGTTGCTGTCCCCTTTCTTTGGCTGTTTCGCCACCAGTCCCTTCACGGCTTCAGCAGCGGTTGACACGAAGGGAATTGGACTCTTGAGAGTTAAGGACAAGGCGCTCGTATTGACGGTCCTGGGCGTCTTTTGACGGATAGCTGTTACCAGAATGTAGACCCAAGCCTACATATGGCTACAGGCTACAAAAAATGTACTCATTGATTCCAATTCATAGCCCAGTTTGGTGATTTACCGTCGCAAATCGTAGTCGATTGTGAGTCAAGATACTTCTACATGTTTTGAGTAGAAAATGGGCCCAAAATGGCAAGTAAATTCACGGTCGAGACCACCCAGGACCACCCAAGATCATCAGGTCGCGCGAGCCTGCCGTGCACCAATACCCGGATTTTGGAAGTGACCTCCTCAGAGAGTCGATGATACCCGGATTTAGGAACCGACCTCGACCTCGAAACCCCCCACAAAATACCCGGAAAATTTCTGACCTCCACCCCCAGACCCCCCCAATTTTAACCGGATCTGCACTGACCTCTCAGCTGGTTTTCGGGGGTCCTAGTGTCATGGTCATGGAGCCTCGAGTAGAAGATCTTATTTCAAATTTTAAACAAGAAATACACAGAAATATGACAACAATACAGCTTTCACAGCGTATCGACGCAATACAACACAGCAAGAAGTACAACATGGGACAGTACAGCACATACAGAAATACAGGGGCGCAGTCATCGACAAATTTCAGGAGTCTTGTCATTGAGGATCGTGAGTCGTGACGTTCATGGGTAATTCGTTCTGAGATCAATCAGAAAGCAAAGTGAGATGGCGGGATGAACGGGGAGTGATTTCACATTCAAAGGGAGTCGGGGTTCTACGTTGAAGGTCATTATTTGAGTAAATCTGCCAGAGTATGTGTAAGAGAGAGAATCGATGGACTCACGCCATAAGCTCCTTCGGGGATGCGATTGTCAAGCTCAATTGAACACGGTTTCCGAATTCATCCTTAGGCGGCTGAACGTCGAATACGGACAGCAAGCTCGCGGCAAAGTAGCCCAGCGCTTCGTTGCTAAGATACCTTCCGGGACATATCCTATCAAAAGGGCCACGGCACAGGTCAATGCGCTAGGTCAACAGGGACCAGCCGAACCGCGGTCACTCACCTGCGACCATATCCAAACGCGGCAGCTTCGGGATCCAGCACATTGGGGTTAATCTTGCCGTCTTTCAGATACCGCTCTGGATTGAACTCCATAGGGTTTTCGAACACTTCAGGATTGTGCATAATGGCCCTGATAGATCGGATTTCGTCAGCTTTCTATCATCTATCATTCAGGTCTATCGCAAACGACTTACCACGTATTCGCAAATAAAATGGTTCCTTTAGGAATGAAATATCCACGATACTCAGCGTCTTCTCGCGAAATTCGAGGAACTCCTGATAGGAAAGATAGGCGTCAAGTCGAACTAAACCTTCCATGGAGAGAGACAACGCACCGAGTGGGGCGACAGTATGCCATCGAGTGAGTTCTTTCACAATGGCTTGGATATACGGAAGTCTCGCAACATCATCAGGAGTAGGTAGACGGTCGGTACCAACGACGGCGTCGATCTCTTCTTGTGCTCGAAGTTGGACTTGAGGGTTCATTGCCAGTGCCAAAAACAATGCATGGGCGGAGCTCACAGTCTAATGGGACAGTCAACATGATTTCAGGTAAAAAGATGTGTAGGGCCTCTTACAGTATCGGCGCCAGCTGGAGATCGAAGGGTTAGCCAAGTCGTTCCCCTCGACGCGGGTAATCCACTCACCAGCATACGAGATGACGGATGTATTCCTTGCGACGATCTCCTTATCAGCATACTCAGGATGATCCTCATCCGGGAGACTTTGAATAAGTCCAGTAGCGACATTAGGATACTCGCTCTGGTAGCCGTTCCTCTGCAGTCCCCATCGTCAGCATCCGAATAACACCCAACAGCGAACACAAGAACACCCACCACTCTCTCCTTCGCATCATTCCAAGTGTCAACCAAAGCATTGGTGGTTTCCTCGGCCAGATGCAGTAGCCTCTTCTTCCAACCAGTACCGGGGAACCATGTGGGAACGTACGAGAGACTAGGGAAGACGTTGACGAGGAACTGGCCCGGAAGTGCAGCTTCCGAGAAACCTTTGATCATCACTTCCGCCTTCTCAATGAGGGATTTGTTGTACTCGGGGTCGTTGACGCCATACGAGATCCAAATAATCACTGAGCCGAAGAACCTGGTCATTCGTTCTCAGTCAGTGAAACAGGGTATTGCGAAGAGGGAGGACGCATGAAAGCCAAGGAGAGTCGTACCATCGAGTATCTTGCAAGAACGACTTCGGGTTCGCCGACAATCGGCGAAGGAAGACGAGAGCTTCTTGCTGGAGGATAGGCCGGTATTTTTGGATTTCGCGCTGGTGGAAGAATTGATGAAAGGTGCGGCGGTGGAGCCTCCACCAGGGATTGTAACTCATTGTGCTGAACATCCAGTTATAGTTCATGCTAACCAATGCCCCAGTGAGCCTTTGCGCCAACAGGATGGAACGTCGTGAACCTACATCTCGAAGGCAGGGTTGACGGGGCGGTCGGAGAATGTGGGAGCCCTTTTCTCATAGAGGTCGAGGACGGCGGAGTGGGAGTTGAGAACGAGCATTGGTTGACCTAGAGCCTCGAAATATATGACATCACCTGTTGTCAAAATAATGGGCATGCGTGAAGACGAAGAGAGTCAAAGGGCGCGTACCATACTTGCTTGCCCAGTCGTTATACACCAAGTATGGGAACTCAGTAGGTACATCGAGAAGGTTGCCAATGACCGGGAATCCTTTTGGCCCAGGAGGGAGTGGAAGACCCGAACGAAGTCGTCTCCATTGGCGACACAGCGACGCTCGAAGCAAGAAGAAAACGAGGACAAAAGAAGAAAGGATAAGCCAGCTTTGAAGTGAAAGCGAAAAGCGAAAAGCAGACGACGAAGGGAAGAGAGAAGGGAAGGAAGACATTTCAAGACGTGAAAAATGTGAAGAGTCAAGGATTGCCATCCTGCTCCTACACAAGGAAAGATTTTGGGGAAGGGACGACTGCGTTGGAACCAGAGCGGCTGAACTGCCCCAGCAGATATACCCTAAATTCCGGAGGTGGCGGTCGCATCTGAATTGTTCACAGGTGATATGATCAAGAAGCGAAATTGTCGGCGAGTTGGTCGAATGGGACAAGTTGGTATGGAATAAAGAGGGCGCCTGAAGAATCGCAGTGCCAAGAGACAGGATAAGGAAAGTGGGGACAAGGAATACGTTTTACTGCTGGATATTCGATGATCGAACGGGCCAGAACTCGGAAGAAACTAAGCGGAGGGCGTGCGTCAGGGGCGTTGCAGGCTATCGGTTGGGCGCCTAATCTGGCCATTTCCCGTTAGAATCGTCAAGTACTTCGTGAATCATGGGTACAGATAGACTGGCGGGTACTGGCGGCGTCCTCGTTAGTGGGTCCCAAAGATAAAGACATATGTCTAGGGTATACCCTAGACATAGGAGATGTTCGCTTCCCGTTTGCCCAGGTGGCGAAGGACACATGGCTAATGGAGTCAGATGTTACTGTAATAGTTGCCACGATGGTGGGATGTCACCAGATTCGGGATGGGGAAAAAGGCAAAGGGATTCGTCCTCGAGGTTAGAAATGCACATATGGAGTAGAGCTATCCCTAAAGGGAATTGCACCCATCCCTCGTCATTTCCACGAGCAAACTAAACCCACACTCCAGGAAGCTGAACGTTGCCCTGGATGAGTACCGGGACCGTAGACAGGCCCCCTGGAAATGATTGGCGAGTGTCCACAGGGAAACTAGGAATTCTAAAGAACATCAGGCACCCGCTCGCGTTCCACAGTGGGTGCATGGTTGGTGGGGAAGAGCAACCCGAGCCGCATGACGTCTTCGATGCGCAATGGTCCCGTCGGACATCACCGGATCGCCACAAGGGTAAGTGATTCCATTGTAAAGTTGTCGTGAGTGAGGTGAGGTTGTATCACGACGTCGTAGAGGGCGCTGTCAGACAAGGCGGGTTTTGATTTGAGTTTGATGACCACAGAATGGAGTCGGAGGACTGAATAGAAAGCGAAGACGGAAAGTCAGCGTGAATTACACAGTGAAATGAACAACATTAGGTACAATAACAATAACAAAAGAACATCGGAGCAAGTCGGTGAGGGCATGAGGACCGCAAGAAATAGTACCCGAAATTCAGTTTAAACCGTTTACGAGACTTCTCTATCCGCGTATGAAAGGATGGGACAGGGCTTCTCTTGGAGTAATCCGACGCGCAGGGTCAAGCATCAGACACTTGTCCAAGAGATCGATGAAGTTGGCCAGCATCTTGGTTTCTTCATCATTCAATTTCACCGACGACGAGGGCATCAAGCGTGCCCTCAGGTCGCGTGTCGGCTTCTGAATATGGATTTTCCGCGTAATGTCCTGAGAAGAGGATTAACTGGATGAATGCGACGAAGAGAAGAAAAGGTGACATACACTGCCGGTCAGGCGGTCTCTCTCGACACTTTCAAAAGCACCAAGCTCGTCGAAATATGTTTCTCCAAACTTGGCCTTCTTGATTATCTTCGTGTTGAAGCGGCCTGGAAGAATTTCGTTAACGTCCGGTAATCAAAGCACAGGGCAGGTTACCTCACCTTTCAGCTCCATCATCAGGCGTAGCATCTGATTATTCGAACGACCTGGGAACAGGATCTTACCGGTGTACAACTCATACAGCGTACAACCTATGGACCAGACGTCCAACGCCGGATCGTAGGGGACGCCAAGAACTGAAATGCTTGCAGTTAGAACGATTCATACGTGTATGAAGCAGACTCACTGATCTCTGGTGCTCGGTAGAACCGACTGACCAGGTAAGGGGTGATCTCGTTCTCGCTCGCATCACTTGCAGAGCCCAGGTCGCACAACTTGATTAAATTCTTCTGCTCGTTCACCTGGACCAAGTCAGCCAATTGGAACAAGTGCTGAAAGTAAACACTTACCAAAATATTATCAGGCTTGATGTCAGCGTGCATGATATTCGCTTTTCGCAAAAGACTCAGTGCAAGAAAGAGTTGATGCGCATAGGCCCGTACTGCGCGAATGTTAAGTCCCACATCCTTTCCAAACCGTTTCACCACTTCGCGAAGGTTCATACTGCAGACATGTGAGCGAGGCGATGGATGTCATAGAACGACAGCGTACCTCAGATTCTCGAACACGAGACATAGGTGGCCTCGATGCTCGAATGTTCTTTCAAGCTTGACAATGTGCTTCTTGTCTTCCGGATCCAGCGCTCGAAGCTTCTGCAAGATCTGTGCTTCCTTGAGACCCGCCTTGTACCTAGAATGTCTCCGTCAAACTTGCTGCCCCTCGAATGGGGAATCAAACTTACATGCTCTCCTGACTTCGGATGATCTTGATAGCAACCTCTCTGAGTGATTCTGGGGCAACACCATCGACAGCGAGATCCTTCCCGTTCTCGTCTTTGAGAACTCGAGCTCTCACCACGTTGGCAAACATTCCTTGACCAAGGCTCGAGAACACTTGATAGCGCCCATTGTCGATACGCTCTCCAAGAATTACGCGATAGTATCCTTCCGGATCGGCAGCAGCGTCGACAATGACATTGGGCGCCCCCAAAGTCTGCTGAGATAATCAGTAGGGCGCAAAATGAGGGCGATCCAAAACCACTTACTGCCGCATTTTCTTTAGTCTTCTTCTTTCCCGTTGCTTTCTTTTTCTTCTTCTTTGGTTTCTCTTCGTCTCCACCGAGAGCCACGGCAAACATGTCGTCAAGATCCTCCTCTTCGCTTTCCTCGTCCGCCTCGTCGTCTTCATCTTCGTCCTCCATGTCGACGTCGATCGCAGAACCTGACTGGCCATTGACGTGGTGGTTGGTGCCATTGGCCGCTTGGTCCACCCCGAATCTCTTCCTCTCGTCTTCGCGTCTGTCAAGGCTTGGGTCGTAATCGGCAGCGTTAATCTGGTCTCCGCCGGCTGGCTCAGCCGCGTTAGCGATAATTTCGCCCCTTTTGGCATCGTCCTCGCCATCTTTGGCCAACTCGAAGTTTTGGTCTGCAGCACTGGTCGGAGGCGGGGATGCCGAGCCTCGTTGCAGAAACTCTGGTCCGGGGGCTGTCGTAAGTCGGTCAGCGCTGGGTTATACGGGATGATTTGATTGGTACCTACTGGAGACCGTCGGTGTTCCTGGATCCCCTGCCAGTGTTACTTTGGACATGGCTTCGTTGACAACACCACTAGGCGTTCCAGAAGCAGATGGGGCGGTGGTAGATATTGTTGATAATGCTTGAGATCCTGTAGCCGGATTGGGTGTACCAGGAGCCGTATCAACGACGCTTCGAGAACCCTCGTATTTCGCCTTGATCGCTGCACGCCGTGCTCTCCGTTCAGCCAGGATTTCTTCTTCTGATTTCTGCGGAGGAGTTGGTGCTGTCTCTTCTTCAGGCTCTTCCACGGGTGCAGGTGAGGCGTCGGCCATAGCTACATCTGCACTCTGCGGGTGAGAAACTGTGGGAGAAGGCACAGAAGCTGGAGCAAGGGATGGCCTCCTCAGTGGTGGAGAATGGCCGCGAGCAGACCTGGGAGAGCGTGTGGTCGACAAAGGTGAACGTCCGGATCTCCTGTCTTCCCGATACCTGTCTCTGCTACGATCCCGGCTGTAGCTTCGGCTGTGGTTTCGATAATCGTCGCGATGACGCCTAGGTGGTGTTCGCCGTCGGGCAGACGGCGGTGGACTGGGTCGTGGTGAGATCCTGAAAACAATACTGTCACTACCCGGTTTACAAGCTGAACCCGCACGATACTCACTCGCCTTCCTCCTTCTCGTCGTCGACGGCGACTGGGGTGATTTCCCGTACGCTTCTCGGCGAACGCGTTCGAGAACGGCGATAGTCGTCACTGTAGTCGCGGTGGTGGCGACGTTCTCGACTGCGACGACGACGATCTCTATCGCGGTAGTCTCTGTCCCGCCGCCCAGCGGAATGGTAGTCGTCGTCCCGCCGACGCCGTCTATCTCTATCACCGCGGTCGTTCCGGTCGTTTCGGTCGCGGTCTTTCAGATGAACGTCCCGCCAGTTCGCTGGCGATGCTGCGCGCTTCCTCTTCGCCCCATCGTCGCTGCCCCCTTCCCAAGGACGTTTCTGAGACGAGGCGTTAGTCATGTTGGCTCAACGGGTAGAACGAGGAGGTGGTTGACAGAAAGAACGTTACGAACGAGCAACCCTGCCGTTTTTCTGTAGGGCGAGCTATTCGTTGTCGATGTATGTGACGATGAGCAAGAGGTCGTGGTCGCTGTTCAAAACGACGAGCTCAAGAGTCAATAGTCTGCAGCCGCCGCGGCGTGTGGAGCGTTGTTTGGCCCCGCTTGGCCCCGATCATTGCCCGAGTCGGGGGTTCGATTCCTGGCAGTGGCACTCTCTTTGTGGTACTTTTCAAGAGCAGATAACGATTTTCTTTTTCTTGGAGTTTCCATTCAGACAGCCCCATTCAGAGAGCCCAAATTGTGCATTTACTGTACAACCTCAGGAGGGACCCAACCTCAAGACATTGTGTAAGATGGAAGTTGCTCTACTTGTACTTCCCTTACTTCCCTAGACTCAGAGGGGGCATTGTGGGAGTCCCCCGTAGATGCTGCACTCTGCTCAAGGCCATCCCTTCTACTCTTTTGAAAGATAACCATCGTCGGCTGGATTTCGAGTAGATACTTTAGTACCCGCTGACCCATCCCAAAATAAATCACATACCGGAACATTGTTTACCGCCAAGCCTGATGAAGATCCCTGAGCGAGCGACCCTCCTGGAGTCTCCTCCATCGTCATATCTGGTGGCAACAGCGGATTTATCACCCCTTGATTACCTTCACCGCCATAAGACGCTTTTCTCCTCCGGATCAGGAGAAGGACAGCGATCAATGCGCATATGAGAGAGAGGGCCGCCACGACAGAAGTGATTGCAAGTCCTGCAATGACACCTGATGATAATGCGCTGCTCGAGGACTTGGAAGCGAGGCTAGACAAGGATTTTAGAAACCAATCGTACAGATGCGGTTGATCCATACACTTCGTGCGTCACAGTCACGGTGGTGGCGGGTGCAGAAACGATGACAGGACTCCCATCTGGGTAGCTGAATATATAACAAAATCAGTGATTAAGTTAAGCAATGGCAAATGATTAATGAGACTTCAACTCACCCTCCACCCAGCGACGGCGTTGTATAGACCTCAGCATAGTCGATCGCAAGCTCATAACCAGGGTCTGAGGAATCCATCACAACCGTCAGTTTGTGAGTTCCTTCTCCAAGTCCACCTGCCCAGAAGAGAAGCTGTTTCGCTCTGGTAAATCGTTGGTTGGCTGAAAAGGACCGGGCAGGTAGGTTGTTAACATTTGCGAGATATGACGGAGCTCCATTTGGGCCCACGGATCCAAAGAGCGCAACACAATCACCTAGAAAACGCATAAGGAAGGATGGTCGAAGGCAGGAGTCCTATTGTCCCAACCCTGCGAATAGATATTTCAATACCAAATGCAACTAATAAGCGGGATATAACTCGCCTACCTTGAATGTCAGCTCTGCACTTGCACCCATTTCCGATGTGCCACTAGTGAGAAAACTATCAGTATGTAGCCTGCAGCGCATCGGTATTTGTCACGACGTACTGTCCGGAACGACCGGAAAAGGATCCCACACCAGTGGGGATCGTCGTCCATGCGCCGGAAGGCTGATACACCCAGCTCGGATGAGAGTCTTGTATCGTATTTACAATCAGAGGTTCGTTCTCCTCCCCAATATTCACTACCCACGAAACCTTTCAGAGCTAAGTGACATGCAGCAGAAATTACAATTTAAACTGAAAGCTCACCGCGTCTACATCCAACCAAGCACCTTCCCGGTTAATAAACTCCACCTCGTGCGTCCCCTGCTCCAAACCAAATCTCTCAAACAATGTGGCATTGAATTCTCGTTCCCCGGGAGGCGTGAGACCATTCCCTTCTGGATACTCCTCCCCATCTACGATCGCTTGATATCGACCATGATTTGGTCTCCTCGACCCATAAATACTGACAGCAACACCATAGAACTGGAAGACCATCGACGACCCTAACCGCTCTGTCCCCATAAAGCTATGCTCTGTATAACTAAGCAGCATGCGTTAACGTTGGTGAGATCATTCTCCGTGTGCTGTGCCTAAGTTGCACTCACTTTGATAGAAAGGGATCCGAATCGCTCGTTCCAGGCCCCCACCCTTCCCCAAGGTAGGAGAAGTAAGGTGAAGAATCTTCGAATACTGAGACCACGGATGGCATTGCTGGCAAGGTGTTTAGTAGACTGTGTGTGATCACTGGTCAGCGAGAGGGCTGACGATGGCGCATTTAAACCGTCTCAGATATAACCACCGTCATACAGTAACATTGACACAGATGCGAACAGAGTGGACCACTACTTCATCAGTGCATGATAGACGACGGTGTTCAAGGTACGTACAGGCTATCTGTCGAAACGCGGATGAAAGTCGCTTGGGAACCGCACCATCAAACATTTCATTTGCGCGCTAATCCACATCATCTTACTTCAATGGAATGCTTATTCGCCGACATTTCAAAAGGTTGGCTCTGTGAACGCGTATCTCTACTGGTATTCTAAGCGACTTATGCTCTCCTGACCGACGCAGATCCAACGACTGAATACCAAGGACAGGTCCGACAGGCAATGTCGAGGGTGCAATTAGATGTCCAGCCGCTGTTGGTTGACGAGACACACAACTCCCATCATCACCGTGGATCAGAACTACATAACCACGTTCCCGGGCGCTAACATGAAACACGTCTCGCTCCGAGTTCGCCATCGGACTTGGCGCGCGCCAAAAGTGGCTGTGGCCGTCACTCGCATCGCTCACGTCACCGAGGTTGTAGTCGACAAAGGTCATGGTTCCAGAATAATATGTATGTGCAGCTTCTACTAATACAGAAAATGAATGTTCCAGATAAGTTAGAGTAGACTAAGTTATGTCAAGGCCTAGAGTATATGAGTCTAAACGAGTGAGGAAGGGTGAACGATCAAACATCTGAAATTCACACTGTCGCCTGGTATAAAGGAGGTGCTTCTGTCAGACGCCGATTCGTGGCTTGCACGAGAGCATCCGATGACCAGTTCCCTGCACCCGAACTGCTTGAAGCGCTGCTTTCCGGCCGCTGGCCCACACGAACTTTGCGATAGAACGGCAGCATTGATGGAGGCTTGGAAATGAAAAACAACATCAGTTCTGGATGTCACGGAGCGTGCTAGGGACTTTACTCACCTGGTCCGGAGTCTGCCTTGAGGAACCTCCCTGAACAAAGACACCCAAGTTCGCATCTGCGTTCGTATACGTCATATGTGGGGGGAGAAGCGGGTCAATTGCGGCGGTCTGTGCATCAGGAGGTGGCCTCCTTCTGCTTCGAAGCAAAAGGAACGTCGAGACCGCTGCACAGATGATTGCTAGAGCAGCGACTACGGAAACGACCGCGAGTCCAGCAATGACTCCGCTCGGTAAGCCCTCGACTTTAGCGATCGGCGTATCTGAGACGAGCCTATTGCCGACAATTGGAATCAGAGACGCCTCGTAAATTGGGGAATAACGTACACTCGTTGTGTCACAGTCACCGTTGGTGCGGCAGCGACGACGGCAGCTGCTTCCTCGAACCTATCGTAAATTAGTGCCTGGCAATTCACTAGTACACGCCCGCAAATGAACATACCTCCCACCCAGCGAAGGTGTCGTGTAGACCTCGGCATAGTCGATAGCAAGTTCTTGCTCAGCACGGCTTGACTCCATCGTCACCCTCAAGGTGTGATTCCCTGCACCGAGACCTCCCGCCCAATACATAAGCTGCTTCGTCCTTCTCGCCCGCTGCTGTGCTGAGAACGAGCGCTTCTCTCCACCATTGAGTTCCACCGAGTATGAGCTGGTCGAATTAGGGCCGACGGATCCGAACAACGCTATACAGTCTCCCTGAGTTATGCGCCGTCATTCGAGATTCGTTCTTGTGGAACAAGCGGAGACCCTCACCTCGAATGTCAGCTCTGCTGTCGCTCCCAGCTGGGTCGTTCCACTATTGAAATGTACTCATGTCAACGTGCATCAACGGCCTTCAAGTGGCCGGAAACGTACTGTCCAGATCGTCCAAGGAATGAGGAGTAGCCGAGTGGTGTCGTCGTCCATGCGCCCTCCGGCTGGTAAACAAATCTCGAATCTTCGATGGTATTCACTATCAGCGGCTCATCATCCTCGCCAATTCGAGTTTCCCAAGAAACCTATAACGAAGGACTGGGTTTAGCGTGTGGGTACTGAAGCCAATTGGCCCTGAGCTCACCGTGTCAACATCCACAAGCCCGTCGCCATTTATCAAGGTAACTTCGTGCTGTCCGTGTTCCAGGACGGCGTCGATAAGCGTAACGTTGAAATTCCGCACTCCAGAAGGCGTCCGTCCGTTCCCAGAAACGAATTCTTGCCCATCCACCTCCACCCTGAAGGTCCCATGGAATGGCCGATGGGCGCCATATATCCGAACGGCTGAACCGTAGAATCGAAGGGTCATTGTTGAATCTGACCTATGTCCAACGGTGAAGGTGCCATCGGAGTAGCTGAAAAGTAGGAGATATACGTGAGCAAGCCAGAGACATTATACCGCCGTGACTCACGAAGCAAAGTTTTCGTCATGGCTAAACCCTATATTCCACTCACTCCTGTATTCCAGATAAGGAGACGTGTCTTCATAGACAGATACAAACGAGGGCATGAGGAGGAAGGATTTCGGGCACGAAGAGGGGACTCTGGAGCGGCGCGCAAGGGAGGGAGGGTTGAGCAAGGGCTAACCTCGCATGAAGCACATTGGCTGCGGCGTGGGGAATCCTAGTTACGCCCATCATGATCTCCGTGCCATTGCCTTGGGCGCTAATGGCATGAAATTGATGAGGCTTCTTCTCCCGCTGATTGGCAGTCCCCAATGGGACTCCCCAATAGGCTGATACAAGCCGATTCCGGGTCTTGGCAGGTCTCCCTGTGGAACTGAGTAATCGGAGACTTGTACTTACGTACCTGAGTAACCAGACCCCAATAAAAGCTACTTACCGGTGAATGCATATGTACCATCGCGCAGGTACTTAAGGTTACAAAGGCATTCAGTGATGTTGTTGACCAGCTGTGTACTACGCTCGGTCCCGGTGCCCTGTATTGATTGATGGTAAAGAGCTTGTGTTGAATCTGCGAGGCGCAGTGGCAGCCCGTTTGTTATTTGTACTTGCTTTTTGTAGAAGTCTCCGGAGATCTCCGGATATCTACGGCACGGATTTCCAGCCCCTGAACAGTTCTGAATCGCAGCTATCCCCATGTCTTTTCCCCAAAATTCAATGAAGAGTTTTTGGTGACCTAACGCCTGCTGTGAAAGCAAGCTCTGTAGGACCGGTGACTCTACTCAAATCAGCCCAGATTCTCTGGCCAGCTATTAGTGGTTTGTGGTTTGAATGGGTGCGGAATTTGCTCTATTCGTGAATCGTGTTCTGACTGGCTCTCTTAAGTCTCCCAAGGAATAATTAATACACTTTCCGTTAATCTAGCCGCTCAATCGACAGTTCACGGATGGACCGAATACCCTATCGTTGTGGTCTATTTTAGTCCGTGGTGCCGTTCTCGAAGCCAGGCATGACGCCACGAAGCCATTGAAGGGCTGACAGCTCTGAGAATTCATTATGTATCTAGTGAGCATAAAGAAGGTTGACGAGAACCCTCCCTTGTTGACTAACCACACCCACAGTTGCATGGCCCGACCCACAACCATACATAGGGCCTTTATCGGTCTGTCCACCGCGTTCTGGCTTGCGCTGGGTGCGTATGTGGACCCGCAACTGCTAGACGCATGTCCAGGATACGTAGTCAAAGGCGCAAGCTCGCTGAACGGTGGGACTGACTTCCGAATTTATCTCGAGCTAGCGAGGGCTCCAGGATGCAATGTGTTCGGCGAAGACATTGAACGATTGCAACTAACCGTCTCGTATCAAACTGGTAAGCCCTTATCTATTGTAAGTATCCTGCGACGACTAACGGTCAGAACAGATACCCGGCTCCATGTGAAGATCACGGACGCCTCGAAACCTCGATACGAAGTACCAGATGAAGTCTTTCCTCGTCCAACCCCTCAGCGAACCCCAGTTCGAAAGTCCCAGCTTGTATTCAACTATACCGCATATCCCGAACCGTTCTCGTTCACCGTATATCGCCGTTCCACCAGGGAAGCCCTATTCTCAACGCGCGGCCATCCCCTGATATTCGAGGACCAGTATCTCCGCTTGAAGACTTCCCTTCCCCGAGACGCCAACATCTACGGACTGGGAGAACATACAGAAACCTTCCGTCTGGACCCCGACAACCATGGCAGAGGCATGGTGCGAACCTTATGGAGTCGGGACTCGTTCGGGCTTCCCAACGGCACCAACCTCTACGGCAACCACCCTGTGTATTTCGAGCATCGTGTAACAGGAACGCATGGTGTCTTCCTTCTCAATTCGAACGGGATGGACATCAAACTCAATCGAACGAGTTCAGGAGCATCCCTCGAATACAACGTGCTTGGCGGTGTTCTTGACTTCTACTTCCTGGCGGGGAGCGAGACAGAGCCTGAGGAGGTGGCAAAGCAGTATGCCGAACTGGCTGGGCTCCCAGCGGAAGTACCGTATTGGGGGTTAGGATTCCACCAGTGTCGGTTCGGATACAAAGGTAACGTGCTGGACGTTCGGAGGCGGCTTGATACTGACAGAAATTCTCGGTAGACTTTGTGGACGTCGCAGGCGTGATCTCCAAATACAAGGCGTCAGGGATACCACTAGAGACGATGTGGGCTGATATCGGTCAGTCTCGTTTCCGATGCTTCCATTTTCATATTGAACTGAACGTCAATCCATTAGACTACATGGATCGCCGTCTTATCTTCACCCTGGACCCTCAATACTTCCCTCTCAACCGAATGCGAGAGATCGTGGACTATCTACACCGGAATAATCAGCACTTCAGTGAGTAGATTGGGGTTTTGGTATTTGGAGATTTCGCTTATTCTCGATCCAGTTGTCATGACGGACCCTGCTGTAGGCTACCTCCCGAACGCAGGGTACGGGCCTTATGACCGGGGAGAAGAGTTGGGTGTTTGGGTGAAGAATCCAGACGGATCGAACCACCTGGGCTTGGTTTGGCCCGGCGTGACCGTGATCCCGGACTGGTTCCACCCCAAGGTTGAAGAGTAAGCTTATTTGCCTATCCGGATTCCCTCCCAGTCGACTTATCTTCCGTAGATATTGGACTGCAGAGTTTGCGCGGTTTTACGATTCGGAGACTGGTCTCGACATTGACGGGGCATGGATCGACATGAACGAACCGGCTAGCGTACGCTCATCACCTCCATCTCTTCTACCCATGCTTACTCCCACCTCAGTTCTGCGAATATCCCTGCAACGACCCTTTCGAAGAAGCCGAGAAACAAAACCTTCCACCACCCCGCAACAATCCCCCTCCCAACGCCGATGCACCAATCTTCACCGACGATGTAGATCAGAGGGACTTCAAAGCAGAGAACGACGTCCGCGCGACCGAAGAAGCACCCAATGCCATCGTGATTAACGCTCACGACAGGAATCAACCCTCTGTCAAACGCCAGTCGGGAAGCACCGAGGAGGATCTACTGCTCGAGCCGCTGTATGCCATCGAAAATGCCGCGGGAGCGCTATCCGCGAGAACCGCCTACGTATGTCTTATTCTATTCTCTGTAGATTCCGACTACTGATATAGCGTTCATATAGACGACAGCAGTCCATGCGAACGGACTTCGAGAATACGACACCCACAACCTCTATGGCACGATGATGTCTTCATACACCCGCAAAGCAATGCTAGCTCGACGCCCTGGTCGTCGTCCCCTAATCATCACCCGTTCAACCTTCGCTGGGGCAGGACGGGATGTAGGAAAGTGGCTGGGTGACAACTACAGCACCTGGGCCCATTACCGCGTCAGCATCGCCGGGATGCTGAACTTTGCCTCCGTGTTTGGCATGCCGATGGTTGGAAGCGATGTTTGTGGGTTTGCGGGGAATACAACCGAGGAGCTATGTGCGAGGTGGGCAATGTTGGGGGCCTTTAATCCCTTCTTTAGAAATGTGAGTGGCCCTGTCCATAGTCGCGCGAATGGAAGGCTACATAATGATGCTCTCTCAAGCACAATGGGGACACGTCGATCAGTCAGGAGTTTTACATCTGGCCGAAGACTAGACAAGCAGCGAAAGCGGCGATCGACATTAGGTGCGTAACATTCAACGAGGAATTTGTGGGTCGCTCTGATCCCAACTTCCGATTAGATATCGTCTCCTGGATTACCTGTATACCGCGCTCAACAAGGGTCATCTTGACGGGACGCCAGTTCTCTCGCCCCTCTGGTACAAGTACCCTAAGGACAAGACCACCTTCCCGATCGATCTTCAGTTCTTCTACGGCCCCTCCTTGCTCGTTTCTCCCGTTACAGATGAGGGCACCTCCACTGCAACGTACTACCTGCCGAAGGATACCTGGTACGACTTCGCCACCCTCGCCCCAGTCCCAATGTCCAGCACAGGCACGTGGGTCACCAGTCGAGCTTCATTCACCCAAATCCCTCTCCACATCAAAGGAGGGTCTATCATCCCAATGCGCACCGAAAGCGCTCTGACGACCGCCGAACTTCGAACCAAGCCTTTCAACCTTATAATCGCTCCCAGCCACGATGGTTCGGCAAGCGGCACTCTCTACATCGACGACGGCGAAACCATCGACCCTCCCCAGTCTCAAACCACCTTCGTCGATGTGAAGTTTAGGAAGGGAAGGCTGGTTGTGGATGGACGGTTTGCTTATGATGCTGGGGAGGGCGTGGGGTGGCGAACGGTGAAGATCTTGGGCGTTGAAAAGCAACCGCGGGGTGTGGAGCTCGATGGGAGGGACTTGGAAGTCGATGGTAAAGCGATGAAGTATGATAGGGAGAGGAAGGTCTTGGAGATCGAGGTCGAAACTCCAAAATTAGGAGGTTTCGAAGTCATCTTGAAATAGAAAGCGGCGGCCCTCGATGTAAATTACTCAAGTATGCATCTCGAGAAGTATTCGAACCGAGCTTGGAGTTACCCGTTCGTCGTCACTTTGACTCTGATTGTCACCAATCAACATACCCTGTTTCCGTGATAATCAAAGTGCTCGGCCAATGAGTTTTGAATCGACGCAAACCGGTACAGTAATAATTAAAACTCTGAGAGCCTGTGGTTTCTGCTGATACGATGAACCAGATATCACAGTTTGGCCGAGGCGTGCTATCATCAATTGCACTGGCCAGGTAATGTTAGTCGTTGTGTCAACGTCTAGGCTGGGTGAGCCCCGTGATGGCGTGGCCAGTGCTGGGTAAATGCGACAGAATCAATCAGCCTTGCGGTCATCAAAATAGCATTGCGCTGCCACCATCTGGCTCTGATATTGTTGTCTGGTAAATTTGCACTTCTCGCTGCGAAGCTGACATTGGCAAGGCTCGTCGCTTTCTTTGCCTCGGGTGACCGTGTGTCCTCCCCCGAGTCGGACATGCCCTTGAAAGCCGCAAGTTCGAACATGGCTCCAAGCGGTGTTAAACAGTACCAAGCGGCTTACATGCAATGAATGGGGTTTTGGTAGAAACTTGAGGAAATAGCGCCTTGCCTCGACGCGAACCAAGTCCAAACCGGACGTATCTGCAGAACCGTGTACTGTTTTGTTTTTAGGTATGCAGATGAATGCACTATCGGAGTGCCGGTTCCGGGTGGCGAAGGTGTGAAATACGCGTCCTTACTCAGCTGTCGGCCTGCACGGTTGACCTGAAGTAAGTCACAAAGATACATGCAACTTCCATAATCTCTGACGAAGCGTCCGTGGCTTGAATCCGGCCCGAGGTTGTAGGCCTGCCTTTCTCTCATGGTTACAGCGGACAGGCTTGGGTGCTGGAGTCCCGACATAGCACAAAACAGATGGATCAATACGTGAAGCAAAGTAAAACAATCTAACCAACAACTTGGGCGATGTCAAGATCTAAGAGTATGGAATCCGTCGATGTCGAAGTCCACACAGAAGAAATCACCATCGTCAGGTAACTACTATATTCAATGTGCAGCTTCAACCGTTCAAGAATTATGCTTGTTGGCAGTTAACGCAGTAATTCTCGACTTGAATCCCTTGTGTGCGATGTAACCGGATGTGTCAGTCGTAGAGCTTACCAGTCATGCTGACGGGGATGGACTCACTACGAATGTCGGGGAACCCACGCCTAAGACGTCGTAGTCAGTACCACCCAGTTTCTTTTTGCGTCCCCTTTGGACTTACTGTTGAGTGCATTGGGCTCGGCAGGCGGCTCCATTGCAGGCAGGCGAGTGGGTCGAGCTAAAGCGACAGTTGGGTTTTGCGCAATCAATCTACACGGCGGTTGGATGTCATAACTAAAAAGCGCAGTTTCTCGAGGAACTCTTCACACTCACCACATTCTCAGGCTAAAGCGATTCGAGGCGTAAATGGCTCTATACAAACACAAGACACAATGGTTTGAACTCACGAAGTTCTCCTGGTGACCGCATAAGGTAAAGATTCTGACAGCTCTGCAAGGAGCATTAACACCCTGACTGGTCGGCCAGTCGCCTAAGAGTGAGCTCACCGGATAGGTCGGCACATCTTCAAGTTAATGAAATTCGACGGTTAGGCTGAATTAAGTCGGTGTTGTGAAGAAGAAAAGGGCGAGAGGGCTGATGTCGAAAACCCTTCCATCCTCGCCCTGTTTTATACGAAAGCTGAGGACTGATTGAAGAACGTGAAACCCCACAAATGCACTGACCTTCAGTGCTGTCCTCTATTCCAGTTATCCTTCCGTATATCTCGTTCCGTCCCAAGTGCGGGATCGTCTCAATTAGGGACTCCAAGTATGGTATCGTGAAGACAAACCGGTCCATCGTGATCGCCATCCTTTAGTGCACTGTCCTGCGGAGCCTCAGTTAACGGCTTGTCGCAAGGAGAGTGAGACGCGGGATCACCCGTTTCATTCTTCGACCCGCTTTTCAGCCCTCAACATACGATTTCATCATGCTGGCTTCTGTGAAGAACCGCGCGCGTACGTGAATAGTGGCACTCCTGGCCCGAAGGATCGCCCACACATCAACCGGAGCCTTTAACCAGTGCCTAGTGACCGCTGGCGTTTAATTAAGCATGACAGGCCATACTTCCTGGCAGATATTACCCAGTGTAAGCAGCGCAAACGAAAGTGCAGGCAGGGGGAAAAGACCGGCATGGATCGTGAGGATAATCCGAGTCGAAGATATATAGAATACAGTTAACCATGGTGCATTAGTGACTCACCAAGTCGAGATGTCTCAAGACAGATACTCGTGGGCACCAAAAGTGATGGCACCCTGTTACTGGCAACTCGTTCAAGACTTTTCTCAGCAATGCAGAAAGATTTCACCAAACCGCTTGAGATATAAGTTTAGGCTGTACGTACCTACCATATCAAGGAGTTTGAGTTGGAATGACTCCTAAACTGAAAGTGCAAGAGGAAAATTATGTCGAAAATATACATTTGAGACCAATGTGGATCTCGGCGAGTATTGTCTCTATTGGGTTCATCTTTGGATAGCTTATACAAGGCTGAGAACGAACTCTTCATGCAAAGTTTGCAAGGAATACGTGCAGTAGGTACTGGCTTATCGCGGCTACAATGTCGCGATTTTGGCAGAGAAACCGTGAGAGTGCCATCACTTTTGGTGCCCACGAGTAGAACTGAACTAACCTGCTGGGACCCAGCGTCATACTTAGTAGAACGCCGTCGATCAAGTCGGCATGGACTCTGGCCATGGGTACTTATCTCGGTGCGCCGGAATTGGGAACCGGAAGTTCTGATCTCCGATTGGCCTACGCAATCTCCGACCCAAAACTTTTCCCGTGACGCAATTGGGGCTGGGTGCAGGTTGCCGTGTGTGAAGGGGCCGCAGTGGGTCTTGCTTCTTCCACTCATGGGGCTCGATGGCACTTCTGCGACGGGAAAGGCGAAAGGGAAAGGAAAGCAGCGCAAAACCTTTCTCAATAATGATGTAAGTTTTTCTCATATCCCACTTTCGTCTCGCTCACGGGTGTGTTTGTGGACGTCAGGGAGCGCTGAAATTAGCAGAGTCTATTGCTACGGCAAAGGAAGAGGACAGTAAGCTCAAATCAGAAAGGCGGATTCAAGCGGTAAAGGCGGGTAGTTGATGAAGTGCTCTCTTTAATAGTCTCACTGACACCCCCGAAGGACACAAAACCGAAAAAACTTTCTGAAGCGAGATTGAAATTGGTGTGTGCCTCGTCGTCGATTTGACAATTGAATACGCCTTCCCAGTCCCAGAATACTGATATTTTTTCGTGAATTTGGTTCTATCTAACAGAAAGAGAAAAAAGCAGAATTAGCCGCTCGGAGATCTAAGCGGAAAAAGCTTAAGCGCCAACAGAAGGAGAGCAACGGGCCTCAAGAAGCTCAATCCTCCGCATCTGGCGCATTGGCGATCAAAAAGGAAAAGAAACGTGTTTCCTTTGTATGACTACACACAGGTTTCCCGTGCACCTACACGATGATGTCCCACTCGAACTGCTTTAAACCAATCCGGTCTGCCCTTCTGATCTCCTCGTCGCCATGAATCATAGATTCTTCCATTTCATGATCGGTAGGCACTACGCTGAGTGGGAAGATGTGCTCGCCACCAACATACCCGACAATGGGCGGCGCCCAAACTCGACAGTGGGCTCCGAGAATACCGCAAGATTCATGATGATCGGTCGCGTGCCTCTCTGCCACGTACCCTTGGAGGTCTTAAGGGTGAATTTGGACGGGAACATCCTCCCGTAGTCAAGAATATCCTCGTGTGTGTACAGCCGCCCACAGGTATGCACTGAAGTGCGCCAAAAATATCTGGTTAACGTGGCATTGCGAATGTACAACCTACGAACAGTGAAATATACCGACGGGCGCTTAAAGCGATCCGCGACTACTGGCACTTGGGACACAGCGAGTGCACCTGCATGTCTGTCGCACGGGTAAGTTCATGATGAATGATGGTTCCGCAGAAGGGGCTTATGCTTACTGTGGATAGAAGGGAATCCGCGCCTAAGTAATCTGCGAGTCAGTACAGGATTGGGGGGAGCAACCGATGACGAGTACGCACTGCTGAGCGCAGGTAGTTCTGCAGTTTGGCGGGGTACAAGTAGGGGGATGGACAGGGCTGAACCTGCAGTTAGCGCTTCCACAGTCCATCTGGGTTAAAATCGGGTCAATCGAGTCGAACAGAGTCGCGACGAATCAAATACGTACATTCCTTTCCGGCTGGGTCAAGTGGAACATGGGGTCAGAGGTAGATTCGGTTTCGGCTCAATGGTAAATGGCGCCTACGAGTTGTTCTTGGTGCTGGCAGACGGTGTAGACCTTAATGGCGCTGAATAAATCATATTAAGTGAGGTGAGCCCCCAATAATCTGTTTTGAAGACTCTTACCGAATGATGCGACACATTTCAATACAGGTGTGTTGGGACGAAAGTTGAGAAGCAGCGTTAGAATGAACGCTGAAAGGTAGTGAGGATGAATATGGAGACTGCTTCGGTTTACAGGACATTTATACTGCTCGAATAAGGCCTACTCAGATTCGAAATACTTTCGACTGACCTTGTGTTTCGAGAACAAAACACCAGGCATCACATTAACGCCCCATCGCATCTTCAATAGGCATGCATCTATCTGAGCTGTAGAGTGAGATGATCTTAGGGAAAGGGCTGTCCATCACGCTTCATCGAAATCACTTATCTACAAAGGCAGAATCTACCACTTGGTGAGTGTTGGTCCAGTTGGGAGGTACGTGGGGAGACTGTTGTGTTCAACTCAATCCCAGCGACGCCAGTTGAGTACAACAAATCTTGAAATTTAAAGTGAGCAGTGCAATAATCGAAGAACTGTATCTCATGCGAGTGGGAATGAGGTCCTGAAACTCATCCCGAACTCTGCGGGAAAGCACTGGATATATTAGATCCCCGCAGTACGTATATCAGCAGTTGCTCATATGACAGTTTATGTCATTCCAGTAGTGCCCAGCTGCTACTTGAACACATTGTTTGCAGAATGCCGCTTCCCTGGGCGAAATCTTTCCGCAAGGATCCGACCATACCACCACGTTCGTGCCCACGTCATCCACCTCTGAGGTCTAAATCGCCTTCCAAGAGAGAGAGGCATATACGAGGCGGACTACAGAGTGGTGGGATAACAACGTTCTGATATCTATGAATATCACCGAGAATTTAGAAAATGAAACTGAGGCAGTCCGATCCGATATGTGTTACCCCCACGACGGCCTTTCTCTTCGTTCAAGAACAACACTGTCCAGATTCAACCTCCTAAAACGCCATTACAGTGCATGGCAAACCGTTTCGATTCGCTGGCCTAGGGGCAAGACGAGTCGTGAGCATTCTCGAAATCGTGATTACGCACACTTACGTTTTCCTCTCCTGAAAGTGAGGTGAAACCCATGAATTGAGGAGATGGCTATCCGCTCCTCCCAAACAATTTAACAAGTGCAATGGATGGCGACGTTGACTTCCATGCAGCTGTACTGTTTGTTGGGTTCTTCGTTCTGTATGTCTGTGAGTGGCGCTATGGGCAAATCACACCTAGAATATCGGTCGAGTCCCTCGGTTGCGAAGTCTTCACTTGTTTTCCGATCCTCACGCTGCTGGAGCCATAGCCCAACAATACCTACAGCCTCTTCGGTTGATACCGTGGTCCATAACTCGTGTGTTCCGATGATAAAAAAGTCTCCTGACTCGATCTTGATGTTCGTAAGATCAGGGTCTGCCTCGACGATAGGCCCGGACTAGACAATGGCCCTTCATGGACTATTTGGAGGTTCAGACGAGGAGCATTCACAAGCTCGTTCTTGTACATGACTGCCCCGTTTGAGGCCAGCGAGCCCAAACACCTTGACGACAGGCCGGTCAGGTCGGCAATCGACTTTCGAGTGCAGTCGCTGAGGCCGTGGGTCATTTTCGAGTCACGTTCCGAGAGAAGGTGGTCCTTGGTGACGACGTGAGCCGTGTACGTCACCCTTCCGCCTGGAGTTCTCGTTGGTTGACCAAGGATGGCAGCGCGACAGTCGTCGAAGTTTGCGATGGTCTGTGCCCGAGAAGCAGCGTCGTAAAATACCAGTGTTGCACAAGCGCCCGAGTATACCCTGTCGAGTAGCAACCGGGCAGCCCGCTGGTGATGGGATTCAGCTGATAAGATCAGGTCGACAAATGTTTTATCCGTGTCTGCGAACGCCTCTTCCAGGTAAGTAGTCATGAGGCGAGTCAAGCACGAAACGGGCGTCTGGTTCGTCACCCTCCATCAAAGCCTGTTGTTGATATTGTCGGAGGTTTGCGTTAGGATATGCCTCCACCTCTCCAGCGAAGAGGTGAGATAGAAGGCCAGCTCGGCGCCGTTGAAGCTCTCTGAAACCAGGAGATACATCCAGCGAAGAGACAGTGTCCGGTGGAATCACTGCTTTTGAGACCACACTTGTTGCAGAAAATGGTGCCACCCTGAAAGGAAAGGCTGGTGTGAGAACAGGAGGAAGACACTGAAACAGGACGTACCACTGGCACTTGTGGTTGTGGTATATATTGACTGAATCGATGAATTCGAACGCACATTCGCCGAAGTCCTTCTGAACCATACATACACCTACAGTATCCAACTTGAAATTGTCCCGATAACCAATGTGTTGCAATTATGGCTGGGGACCGCAAATGATAAACCCAGGTAACAGGATAACTGCACGAAATGGTGTGTATGAAGGATATGGATGGTCAATGACGCGGAAAGCAAGCGAAAAAAAACATGACCGAACGCGGCCGTTTCGCCAGACTGCGGCATGGCGATGATGCCTTCTTGCCGAGGCATTGGTCATCCGGAATGTGCCGGGCGGCCCGGGCCAGGCCACGACCCCGTTACACTCGCCGTCAAACGCTGTCACCTCTGCAACTTGAGCTTGAGTCTTGAACCGTGCACCAAGCTTTACGCGTTACGATTCAAAGAACAGCCTCGGCGACCACTCTGATATCAGCAGCTTGAACTCGATATGCATGACGCTTCAAGTGATGTGGATCTAATACTATCATTGGAATCTGACCAGGTCCGAGTCTCGGCGTCTCGACTGCCATCGTTCTCCCTGCTTCTCCCTGTCGACAGAAATCACGGTGCCAAATTGAGTACGGTGATACTTTTCAACACCAGCTAGAAGAGGACCACAATAACCTGTAGCCTACCGAGTGCTATTACCATCAGCGAGGACCTTGTCCCTTGTATTCTGGCATCTAGGATCCAGGAACTGCCACGGTCTCTTGGGGTCATCTCTCGCCGGAACGACCCTACGGTCCTGATCGTTGGCAGGTATGTCCTTGTACTCGTTTGAGTCTCAATGGGGCGCAATCTCAGAGACAGGGCCGAACCCTTCAGATCGACTTCGCCGTGTTACCAATCTCGTTCCAGGTTCCTCTCCCGACGTGTTACTAATCTCAACTATGTTCGAGTGCCCTCCAATTGTGGCAAATGCCACCTCGTTCAGGGGGCTAGAGTCGCTAGATTAATCGTTGTCGCCCTTTCTACCGAGCCCATTTTGGAGGGCCTGTTGTCGTCGCTCAGTAATGCTTGGTATCGGGAGGTGGAGGAACAAGGTCTGAACAAGACGGACGATTGTTTCCGCTCGGAATAATCATGAGCTGGCGCTAGTTCTGGTGCTTGTGCTCTCCGTGGTTGGGTCCGCGATAGTCCTAAACATATAAAACTGTGGCTACGTCGAAAGTGAATTCCCAACCTCCTTCCCCGCTGTTGAACCACGCGCTGCACGGTAAGTCCAGTGATGGCAATCCGACTCTTGACTCTGACAGAGGGCCCATCATAGTAATGAGTCGTTCAAACCCTCGGCCTGTACTAGGCTCCGTACAGGTGAGGAAACGATGAGCTTCCCCTTCTTCACAAGTACGATGCTTACAATAATTTTCTTAGCCCATCACACAAGACTGGGGTTTGCTCGCACCAGGACAGATCCACACTTTATCTGTTCCCGTTCATCCAACACCACAATCCATTCTCGACGGAAGCTACCAGCGGATGAATGTCAACAACAGAGAAGATGTGGTAACCTTACTCCCTCGCCGACCAGAATTTCTGGGACCACCATCGGTTCCTAGCATCTTGTTCAGTGTGAACGGAAGACCGGGTCCGTACATCCGGGACATCCTCCGAGAGGAAGTCGAAGTGGACAGTCCGTTTGACCAAGTCTTCTACTCACGTGGATGGAGACAGACTTGGATTATGATTGACGTACGTCCCCATCACGCTATCGTTCCTTTCTCCTTCTAATACCTGTGTGTTTGCTTCTACCAGTGGCCTGGGACGGACAATAGCAGAGAGACGTTGGGATGTATGACAGATCGCGGACCGCTGACTCGCTCTGAACTAGCAAAGTGGCTGAGCTTCAAGATAAGTGAGTTTATTGTGGCAGGTAGAAAGGGAAAGTTGGTGCGTGTGTCTTTGCAACTATTCTTTGTTCCTTTGGTTCTTCGCTCACAGTCGCCACTCGCAGCAATGGGGCCCACAGCGCCTCGACGCCACCACTCGTCGATGGGATCTCCGGGAGGTCAGCACCTCGCAAGTTCGCCTAATGGGATTAAACTACTACAAGAACACCTGGATCCCCGTCCTCGCATTTGATTGGGCTTAACTAGATGTGGCTTCGTTGACTTCTCCCTCTCCCTTTGTCAACTGATTAAATTATGTTGTATGTCCATATCCTTTAATGAGTCACTGCTAATGGCTATTCACTTGCATTTCCCTTTCAAATGTCGCGGCCTTTGTATACGCAACTGTGGCCTTGAATTCGGACGCTCGTTGAAAGGGAAACATGCCTCCGAGTGGCTAGACTCTGGCCTCAAGAACTTCAAAGGGGATTTCCATTGCAATTCAAAGACACTCAGTGGCGACTAGCCCTCCAAAGAACATACTTGCAGAGTATAAATAGAGAGGGGTCGCTCCCTCCTGCTCACCAATACAACTTTCTTCATTTCATTAACTTAACTTTCCATCTACCCTCCGCCTTCTTTTATTGCTTTTCTACAGTTCCCTTTCTCTATCAACCACATGCCCATCCTTCCACCCATTTCCGTCCCTAAGGCTGGCCTGAAGGACACCAACCGCTCCCTTCCCAAACCAAGTGACGCTGTGAAATGCAAGCGATCATCCCCAAACATACGCGCCCCGAACGAAAACCTCCCACCATCCCCTACGAAGCCTCTTGGAAAGAAGAAACGGCGTCATAATCGATCCGAGTCGAATCAGGCCGTACCTCCACTGGGCCAGAACCAACCCCACTCTGCACGCGATGCCATTCCAGCCAATACCCGCGCTACCACCAATCCCAAGGCCACTCATACCGCCAATCCCAAGGCCACTGCACCTCTCGTCAGCAAGAACAGCTCGTCGCCTAAAGAGTCTTCGTCTTCGTTGGTCAAGAAGGGTTCGGCGGCAGATGTGCAGGCTACAAGGCGAGACGCGACGACAAGGAGTGCTGTTACGCCTGCATCCAAGGCCCACACCTCCGTTTCTCCCCCCATGGCCAGCAAACAACCTCAGGACGAGTCCTCAACGAAGGCTGCCATAGACGACTTGAAGGATGTCGAATTAGAGAAAAAATGGATTGACACATTCCTCAATCCAGACTCACCATACCCGAGCCTGCCGTGGGAGTTCGCGAATGTTGGTTTCAATTTGAGCCAACCGGTTCAGCGCGGCAAGAACATTGGCTTTGGTATAGAACACGCAAAAGATGTCATTGGCACAGCCGACGGTGTAAAGGTTTCATTGGACCCCAAGGCCAAGACAGGGCACAAGCCGTTGGAGGCCGTCATAGGTATTGGTCCGTACGATTATGCAGCAGAGACAGGGAAGTCGGCGGTCACTATAACGTTTATTCTGGACAAGAAGATGGGTGTGCCCATTCGCCACTTGCTCGAGAAGAAGCCCATTGATGACGGCGAGGACCTTGCTTTCGAGTTGGGTGGGGCTTGTCCCTTGATACGCGTTGCCTACAATGTGCGTAATTCTTCCATCTGTTGACGATTACATTGATATTGACGTCGAGCACTTCTGAAGGTCCCCTTTGTGAAGGAGGTCGATGTGCTACCTGGGAAACCTCTGCTATGCTGCTCCATCGCCAGTCTCGACGACTCGGAAGCCAGAACCCCCAATATTTTGAACCCAATGCTCGAGTCCATTACTCGACAAGAGCTCGCACACAAGCTTGGTAGAGAACTGTTCAATCTCTACTCATCGGTCCAGGTAAAGGACTCAGTTTCAATCACCTTCCGAATACTTGTTAACTATGATCCCCATCCTACTACAGAGGAAAGGAGTAGACCCAGAACCCAGCGAGCCTCAAAGCAGGACATATGCACAAGAGAAATGGCCTGCAGCACGGGACCTGGATCTCGACAAAATTCGCTTGATAACTCTGCAGCAGAAACCAAAGGACCCCAGTTTCGTGGATTCACTTTCGGTCTGGTATCCCCGAGTAACTTATGACTTATGACACGGATGATGCCTCCTAGACGCCACGTTGGCAAGACGAAGTCAGTAGTATATTTCCAAGTCATGAACAGCGTCGTTGCCTACTCTAGTATCCTATCGCTTGTCAGTTACAGTGACTGGCCTCTAATGATAATGATCATGGTTTTAAGCGCCCGTGAGAGTAGTCCGACGGAAAGTACTTGGAAAAGTTAAGCTGAGTAGCCAAGTCTGACTTCTGTACACCTCCCTTGTGACGATTAAATTGAAGAGGAGAGCATTGCGCATCCCTCGCAACTCATCGGTATCGTCGAGTCAACAGCCTGAGCCATCGACAATCGGTTCGAACCTGTTCGAACGAACTCTGGTGCCGACTTCCGCCAAGGCCCAAGACAAGGCACTTGACTCGTTTCAAATCACAGATGATTACCACCGCGGCCCAAGCCTTTTCCATCCTTTTCATTCAGACACTTTACAGCGAGTCTACTTGATTGTATTTCAACCTAGAAAGGTTAGAAAAGTGGAAAAGTGGACGCCTGGCGCTTGGAATGAGATGACCAGTTGATCTTGGCACATTGTCCACGCTCTCCAAAATCTCCAGTACCAAGCCAAGTTTTGACGTCGGTTGGTGGTACGATTTGATAGTGATCCCGAGCTGCGGAACAACCGAAGCGCGTCACAATATTTATTATGCAGAAACGGATGCACCTTTGCCGTAACGCCCACCGCATTCGTTGTTTCCTGCGGCGACCACCATGACCTCGGTCGACGAGGCGGACGAAAAAACGCGGCCCTCAGAGCAGCCAAAGGCGAGCTCGAAGAAATGGTACTCACGTTCGAAGGCATCATCAGTTTCCGAGAAGAAGGAGAGGATCGACGACGCGGAGGGTACAAAAGATGTCGAAGTGAAGGCAGACCCCGCGGTACCACCTGTTACCTTTACCCAGCTTTTCAGGTGCGCATATCTAACTCAAATGACATATCAGAGCGGTTTCTAATCGTCACCCTAGGTTTTCTACCAAATTCGAACTCTTCCTTGATTTAATTGGGTTGATTGCTGCTGCAGCAGCTGGGGCGGCCCAGGTAAAGCAGTTTTTATTGTAAAGAATGGCTCGGTCTGACTCTATATGTTCTCCTAGCCATTAATGTCTCTGATGTTCGGCAATCTTACACAAGACTTCATCAATTTCGGTCATGCAGTCAGTGGTTCAACCGGCGACGCAGACTCTGCTGCAGCCATCGCCGCCGCCGCGGATAGCTTCCGCACGAATGCGGCAAAGAATGCCAGCTACTTGGTCTACATCGGTGAGCTGTTTACTCGCGTCCCCCTTCTTCGATCCCGTCTGACATCGATTAGGTTTGGGAATGTTCGTATGCACCTACCTCTACATGTACATCTGGGTCTACACGGGAGAGGTCAACGCGAAGAGAGTCCGAGAGAGGTACCTCCAGGCTGTCCTTCGTCAAGACATTGCTTTCTTCGACAACGTCGGTCCCGGCGAGGTCGCCACTCGCATCCAGACCGACACTCGTACGCTCCTTATGCCATTATCTTCAAGGTCTCTTTTTCATAACCGTTTCGTCTAGACTTGGTTCAACAAGGCATCTCAGAGAAGGTCGCGCTGGCAGTCAACTTTATCGGCGCCTTCGTTTGTGGTTTCATCTTGGCCTACATACGCTCCTGGCGTCTCGCTCTCGCGATGTCCTCGATTCTGCCGTGTCTTCTCCTCACAGGCGGTTTCATGAACCATTTCGTATCCAAATACATGACGTATGTCATTTTCACGCTTGTCCTTTCGTCTCCTGCTCACAGTCAAGACAGGCTGGCGCGCACTCATATTGCGGATGGCGGCACTCTGGCCGAAGAAGTCATCTCGACCGTCCGCACTGCCCAGGCATTCGGGACGCAGACCATTCTCTCCAACCTCTACAATGTTCACGTCGACAAGGCTCTAGGGTATGACATGAAGAACGCCCTCTGGAATGGCGGTGGATTTGCTCTTTTCTTCTTCCCGTATTACGCCGTGTATTCATTGGGTGAGTCGGGTGCCTCCTATACAGCGACGCTGGAACCTGACAATATCTTTAGCCTTCCACTTTGGAATGAAGCTCATCAACAGCAACCATGGTATGTTTTTCGCGCTCTTTTCCGTCCCTAATCTCAAGTGAACCACCTATTCCCTCTAGCTACCCCTGGTGAAATCATCGCAGTCATCTTCGCCATTATCATTGGAGCCTTCTCGTTGGTCATGTTACCACCGGAGCTTGAAGGTACGATCGCGCAGTCGTCCTAGTTGGTCATCAATGCTGATTCGCCGAGATAGCAATCAACAACGCCCTTGGTGCTGCGGCGAAGTTGTATAGCACTATCGACCGTGTCCCGGACATCGACTCTGCAAACGAAGGTGGCCTCAAGCCGGCGACTGTCACCGGCGAAATTACATTGGAGCACATTGATTTCAGTTACCCGTCTCGTCCCGATGTGCAAGTCGTCAAGGACCTCTCTCTCACTTTCCAGGCGGGGAAAACCGCAGCACTCGTCGGTGCTTCAGGCTCAGGAAAGTCGACCGCTATCTCCTTGATTGAACGTTTCTACGATCCCACATCCGGAGTTGTCAAGCTCGACGGTGTCGATATCAAGGACCTCAACTTGAAGTGGCTGCGATCGCAAATCGGCCTTGTTTCCCAAGAACCCACGCTTTTCGCTACGACTATCAAAGAGAACGTCGCCTTCGGTCTCATCAATACGCCCTACGAACATGTATCAGAAGAGGAGAAGTTCAAGCTGATCAAGGAGGCTTGCATCAAAGCCAATGCCGATGGTTTCATTTCCAAGATGCCTATGGGTTACGACACGATGGTTGGCGAACGTGGGTTCCTTCTTTCTGGTGGTCAGAAGCAGCGTATCGCCATCGCCCGTGCTATCGTCTCCGACCCTCGGATCCTGCTGCTGGATGAAGCCACCAGTGCACTTGACACTCAGTCTGAAGGCATTGTCCAGGACGCCCTCGACAAGGCTGCTGCAGGTATGTTCGGTACAGTCATCTCCAGCGATTTGGTCTGAACGCAGTTTAGGTCGAACCACTATCACTATCGCCCACCGACTCTCCACGATTAAGGATGCCGACGTCATCCATGTCATGGGCGAAGGTCGTGTGTTGGAATCGGGAACCCACACAGAGCTGATGGCCCTTGATGGACATTATGCCCGGTTGGTCCAGGCTCAGAAGCTCAGGTCGCAAGAGGGCACGGTCATCGATGAAGCACAGGAAGAGTCGGGTCCAGACGAGGAGGCGGACATGGACAAGGCCGCCCGGGAAGAAGTCCCATTGGGCCGTCGCAACACGCAACGTTCTCTGGCCAGCGAGATCATCGAGCAACGTCGAAGCGAACGAGGCGAACAGAAGGACGAGGCTCACGGTTTCGTCGTCATCTTCAAGAGACTAGGCCTTGTTGTCCGGGATCAATGGGGCAAGTACTTGTGGGGTACGCTATTTGCCATTGGTGTGTACATTTTGTTCCCGTCCCTCTGTCAGTTGGAAGTATTGACGTTCTCCGATAGTTGCAGGCATGGTGTATCCATGCTTTGGCTTGGTCTTCGCCATGGGAATTGATAGCTTTGCCTTGGAAGACCCTGCAGCCCGTCGATACGAAGGAGACAGAGCTGCGTTGTGGTTCTTCATCATTGCGATTGGATCGACCATTGCTATTGGTGGTACCAACTACTTGTTCTCTGCCTGCGCGGCCATTTTGACCGGTCGACTTCGGCAGTTGACCTTCAAGGCAGTTTTACGACAAGACAGTCAGTGATCTCATCTCTTGTCCTTTCATCCCTATCTGACGAAGTACCGAATTGCAGTTGAATACTTCGACCGAGATGAGAATAGTGTATGTGTATCTATATTCCCTGTGCTTCGCTTGCTCATTCCTTTACAACAGACCGGAAGCCTGACATCTAGGTTGAGCGAGCATCCACAGAAGATCAGTGGCCTCGCTGGTGTCACCTTGAGTACAATCGTCCAGGCGATCTCGACCTTGATCGGTGGTTCAATTCTCGGTCTAGCGGTCTCCTGGAAGATTGCTCTCGTTGGAATTGGTAAGTTTATACCCTTGTTGGCCATTTGCAGGTGCTAATGTTCTGTACTAGCGTGCATGCCCCTGATCATATCCGCCGGTTACATCCGTCTCCGCGTGGTCGTCCTCAAGGATGAGGTCAATAAAAAGGCTCACGCAGACTCTGCTCGATTGGCCTGTGAAGCAGCTGGTTCCATCCGTACTGTCGCTGCGCTCACACGAGAAGACGACTGTTTGCGCGTGTACAGCAAAAGTCTAGAGGAGCCTCTCCACAAGTCCAACAAGACCGCCGTTTGGAGTCAAGGAATCTATGCATTCTCCCAGTCCGTCGTCCTGTTCGTTATCGCCCTCACCTTCTGGTTCGGTTCCCGCTTGGTCGCCAAATTCGAGATCACCACCTATCAGTTCTTCGTTGGTCTCATGGTGAGTTCTGTCCTCCTCCGTTTGAGAACAATGATTAATTTTTGTCCAGGCAACCACGTTCAGTAATATGGAGGCGGGGAGCGTCTTCTCGTTCGTTCCGGACATTTCGTCGGCCAAGAGTGCCGGCTCCGATATCATCAAACTATTCGACTCCCATCCTGAGGTCGATGCTGAATCAGATGCTGGGAAGAAACCCGATCGCTCTCAAGTCAAGGGACATATCCGCTTCGAGAACGTCCACTTCCGATACCCAACCCGACCCGGTGTCCGCGTCCTTCGTGATTTCTCCTTCGAAGTTCGACCTGGTACATACGTCGCTCTGGTTGGCGCTAGTGGTTCCGGGAAGAGTACTGTGTAAGTCCCGCGCTATGCTCATCTCTCGGCCTTTTCTCTGAAGCGTGTTCGATAGAATCCAATTGGTTGAACGGTTCTATGATCCGCTTGCTGGAGAGATCTACCTGGATGGCGAGAAGATTTCGGAACTCAATGTTCAAGAGTATCGCAAACAGTTGGCTCTTGTGTCGCAGGAGCCCACGCTTTATGCTGGTACCATCCGGTTCAATATCCTGTTGGGCGCCATCAAGCCTCATTCCGAGGTCACGCAAGAGGAGATTGAGGCGGCCTGTCGCGATGCAAACATTCTCGATTTCATTCAGTCTTTGCCTCAGTAAGTATATTCCCCGGTGGTCCAGTTCCATTGTGCTGACCTAGTTTTCAGGGGCTTCGACACAGAGGTTGGAGGTAAAGGCTCGCAACTTTCAGGTGGCCAAAAACGTGGGTGTCTCGAGCTGGTTGTCTCGACTCTGATTCTAACTATTTCCTTTAGAACGCATCGCCATTGCAAGGGCTCTCCTTCGAAACCCCCGGGTCCTTCTCTTGGACGAGGTACGCATTACCTTTCTGCCTGGCTTTCGAGTTGACCTGACCTTCCCCACAGGCGACGTCTGCATTGGATTCCAATTCTGAGAAGGTTGTACAAGCTGCGCTCGATCAAGCTGCGAAAGGTCGAACTACGATCGCTATTGCACACAGACTATCTACCATTCAAAATGCCGACTGCATGTGAGTTGATCGCTGCCCTACTACCTTTCTCGCACGTGAAGCTGATTTGCCTTCCTTCGTACTTAGCTACTTTGTAAAAGAGGGGCGCGTCAGTGAATCTGGCACCCATGACCAGTTGATTGCGAAACGAGGCGATTACTATGAATACGTCCAGCTTCAGGCACTGAGCAGCGACCACTAACTGGAACACTTTCAATTTCAAGGCTATAGAATCTAACATTGCATGTCTCATGATATCCATCTTGCTACCATATATCCCGCATCGTTTTTGTTGTGTTAATTGCTGTCGAGTGTCTAGGTTTAATCGGATCATATTGTCGAGGTCAAAGTGCTCGCTCCTTCGACGAGTCAAAATCCACAGCGAATTCGGGGATCGTTAATTACAGACAAGGTCGTACAGGTAGTATTGTTGGATTTACATGAGGAGGGTCGTGAACCACATCCCTAACGCAGCAGGTAGTACATCGCGGGTTCTAACAGACTTCTAGATATTACAAGGTGAGCTGGAGTCCGGCACAAATGCCCATGGTAATCAACAAGGCCGGCACCATCGCACCCGCTTTGGACATTGCCGATCCATCCTCTTCCCCCTCAGGCTCGGCAGATGGTAAAACAAGTCCTTCGGAGTTGACGACTGTCGCCCACGGTGTTGGGACGCCGGTGACAACCCCTTCGCTTGTGGTGATGATAGCCTGCTTGTTTACTTGAGCCGACGCTTCGAGCTTCACGTTGCAGACCATCACCCCTTCCTCGACTGGTGTATCGCTGTCGACGTCGTGCGTGCAGTCGGAGGAGTAGCTGATGGCGGCTGTGACTCCCGCGATCATTGACTGAGACGTGGCTTTCTGGTGGATCCGGGAAGCATCTGCGCGGAAGGTATCTGGAAAGAGTTAAGTATCAGCATGCCATCGCACAACCTAGCAAGGGCGGGGAATATCTACACTCACATGTATTGGTGGTCGGTGTAGGAAGGTGGACTGTGGCCAACTGGTCGCCCCTCACAGAGGCGACGATACTCTGTGCTTCAACTGCGCGGTAGAACGTAGCTCCATCTCCTCCCACCGCGACGGGAGCGACTTGGACGATGCTCTTGCTATCTTCGGCGGCTTTGAGAGCGCTTTCGATGGCACCGAGCTCGCCGGTTGGAGTCTCTGCGTTGTCTGGTGCCTTCCAGTTGTAGAGAGTGATAGTCTCCTGTGCGTGTGAAGCTGGGAGAAGGGATGCAAAGTAGATCGAGAGGCCGGTGATGGCACTAAGCGCGAGGAAATTCTTTGCCATGGCGAATTAGGAGTTCGGTTGGGAGATACCTCTATCATTTCCTCATCGAAGGGCTTTATATACCGACTCTGTGACCGTAGAGCGCGGCTTGGCCAGACTTAGAACCTCTGAAGCTGTCCAAAGCTGTAGAAATACCATGCGTCGGGGAGCGCTCGCGGGGGCGTCTACGGTCCCGAGATGGCCAGAGGGCACACACATAAACTCAAAATTCCGAGGATGGTGCGAGTAATGCCTTTTTTCTTCTCAATGGCCTCGAGTCAAAGGGGTGGCATTAACTCTATTTACCACCATTGAATCTGACCTTGCACTGCCCATGCCCGATGATGGTGAGTGTGTCCATTTGGTGCCCAATGATGTGGGCTTGGCATCAATAGATCCGCCGTGGCTGTGTCATGTTGAACTTTGGGTCTCAGCCGCGGCCGACAGCGAGCAACTGGCCTTGTTCATCGTCCACGACGACGACCGCGACATTTTCCCAATTCTGCTCATTGGATACCTCGTTCTTGACGTCTTGAACCCGACATTTACGGTCTGAACGTTCCTGTTGACCGCCTAAGTCGGAATTGTGACAACGGTGCTCGAGCCCGCTTGATATTGGTTTCTGGTGGCACGACGTTGGCGACGAGCTTGACATTGCTTAGACGTCTATTGGGTACATTGGTGAGCAAAATCCTTTGAAGAAAGAGGAGGAGAACACTGAAACCGCTCCCAGCACTGATCTCTAATGAACGGTCAAACGGTCGCAGAGTCCTCTTCGAGGTCGAAAGCCAGGTCAAAACGGTCCCAGCCGTTGGCAAGTGCCTCGTCAAAGACTCTATTTACACCGGTGTTCTATGACTCGTCAGAGCCAGGCCCGTCTTCGAGGTCGTCCAATGACCAAAATGGCCTCCAGGGCGCGTCGTCGAACCTCAGCGACGCGACGATGAAGAGACTCCAAGAACTCTCCCGGATGCACGTCGCGTTGTCCCAGTCCGTCCCTGAAGTTCCAGCTTCAGACTGCGGTTCTCCTCGACCAAGCACGCCTCCAGGGAAAGAAAAGGCTCGAGAATTGTCGCCTGAAGCCTTGGACGACCTGCGGGCTGGAATCGAGTCACCGGTGGCCCAAAATCCTCGCATCCGGAACCTACGAAAGAAGATTGTTGCTGCCTTGGAAGACTGCAATTACGATTCGAGCAACGGGAAGTGGGCTATTTTGCCTTCGCTAGTCAAGATTGGGGTTATCTCTGGAGGTGCGCGGTGGGTTGGTGCGCGAGGGGATGACCCCAAAGGAACGACGTCCATTTACGACAATGTGGAATGGTGCAACGCTGAAACCGAAGAGGAGTGGTTCCAATGGGAGAGGAAGTTTGAGAACGAGATGAAGTTGAGAAGTCGCGTCGAGAGGTGGAAACAGGGCATAGTCGCAGGTGCCCCAGAAGACGAAGAGGGTGAAGTTGCTGTCGCTGAAGAGTCTATGGAGCAATCATCACCACAAGATGTGTCTGTGGAAGCACACGATCAAGCCTCAACCAAGACAAAGGACGTTCCCGCTCAGAAGAAAGGCAAAGCTCCTGCCACTGTGGCATCCAAACGTGTTGTTAACCGCAAGAGTCTCATCGACGACCCCCTCAAATCTTCCTCTCCCCTCGGATTCGCCATGGGCAAGCGAAGCGCTGCCGCTCGACTCGCGGCCTCGAAACCTCCATTGAGGCCCATCCCCACCAACCCTTCGGACCTGGGCGACCAACAATCGCACCAGCGCAACACTCAACCAGACCGCACCACCCAGGAGCGTGCAGCATCCGCCAATAACTTTGAGATACCTGTCAAGCGAATCGGGGACTTGTCTACCTCAGATTTTGTACGTGTCGAATATACACCCTTCGGAAGCATCGACTAACACTTGACCCTAGTCTTTCCATCCACCGTCGTTCCCTTCATCCCAATTGGTTACTTCCACGCCCAAGCAGGATACACTTGGCGTCCATGTTCCTCCACCGCCCTCCAGTTCCCCACTGCCACCCTTAACTTCAACACCGGCCCTACCTGCCTCTCCAAAATCACAACAAGCCCATTTGTCTCCGCCTCAAACTCCCCGCCGTTCTGTTGGAGACGCCTCCTTTCCCATTACCAACTCGCCGTCTTCGCCCTCAGTGATCAGGACATACGGCAAAAGCACAAGGACGCCTCTCACTCCACAATCCGGCTCCAGGCATAACTTGGACAAATCATCTTCCATGCCGGTGATCTCGCATGGGTCTCCTATGCAGGTTTCGCCTCTTCGGAAGGCTGATTCGGCTGTGGTCGGTGCCCTACAGCCATCCACTTCTCCGCTAAGAGCTGCGTTCCTACATGAAAGTGTGACGAGCAACGCTCTTGGCAAGCGAAAGCTGGATGAGCTGGCTTCACCTGGAGACCCGGACGTTGGGAAGAAAGCTCGTTTGGATAATCCCGAATCGAGAGCGGAGGAAAGTGCCGCCCTTCCCGCCGATGAATCCCAGTTTTCGCAAGATCCTTGGCCGGTGACACCCCGTCGCGACTCGATGCCCCAGTTTATCGACCTACTAGCGAGCGCGAAGAAGGACAAGCAGAAAAGGAGGCAGAAGGCTAAAGCTAAGAGGAAGAGCTTGGTCAAACCGGATACGACGCCTGCCGTCCCCGTCCCCAACACCACTGCCCGTTCACCGTCACCTGCACCAGCTCCAAAAGAGCCCGGACCGCCGCCAGCCATTGACAGTGCTCCCCAAGAGCCCGAAGAGTCTCAAGACTCTTGGGCTATCCCAGGGTTGGAATTGGCGAAGAAGCCGGCCCAGGAACCGGTCGAAAAGGAAGGCCCGCCTGCTACACCCATGTCCCCGCCTGAAACACCCAAACGACCATCAGATACCCAGCAGTCGAAAGACAGTCTGTATGATTCGCCGATGGCAGTTCAACCTCAACCCCAGCCCCAGCCTCCCCCCGAGAAGCCCGTCGTGGATTTGCAAATCTCGAAGGATAGCCTTTACGACACTTCTTCGATGGCGATAGCTGAGCCCAATCCCACTGCTCCGGCTGAACAACATGTCCCAGTCGTCACCGAAGATCCTCGACCGCCCGTGGCTTCCACCAGTAGTAATGAGATCGATCTGGACCCCCAGGAATCCCGAGACATCGACATCGATTTGGAGAAGGACGTTGCGCACCAGCGGGACCTGGATCTCGAACTGCAACATAGCGAACCCTTGCCATTGGAACTCGAGGACGAGTCCAGGGTGTCTCAACATCCCGACCTGGAGAACCACGAAGCTCACCTCGAACCCGATGATGACGACGAACCTCAGCCCCAATATGACCTCGGAGAAGAGGAGGAAGACGACGAGGAGGAAGAGGAACCTGAAGAACACCTTGACGTTGTCGTTCCGGTCCGCGACCATGAGCTCGAGCGGCTCAACCGCGAAAACATTTATACGTTTGACGATGACGAGGACTCGCAGAGTGTCTATGCGGTCGATGTGGCGAGTGACGTAGATCTCGAGTCTCCGACGAAGAGTTTGTCGTCGTTGGCTGGGTCGGATAGTGAGGACGAAGAGGACGAGCAGGGGAAGGACGCGTTGCCCACAGCCGGTGATCGTGATCCCTTTGCATTCGATGGGGAATTCGATCCCTTGTTTACTTCGACTCAGCAGCAAGCACCTCCAGGGCTCTTCCCCTCCAAAACATCCTTCCCGACCACACCCGCTCGTGGGATCTCGAACCTCGACAAGGACACCCCGAACCAGAACCCCGCCGCCCAAGCGCTCTCCCGATCGCGGTCCATTGATCAGATCACGCCCACTCCCAGTCCGGTAAAGGGACATCCGCCGAGTAGTGGGTATGGATATGGCTTTGTGGGGGGTTATAATTCGCAGTTTGATGTAAAGGGGAGGGTGGAGGAGGTGGAGAGGCTTTTGGAGAAGGATGTGAATTTTGGGAGTTGGTTGAAGTCTTCGCCGGAGGATGGGGAGGGAGAAGAGGGTGAGGAGGTGGAGGCTTGAGTTTTAAGTCGGGGGTTGCGGTTGGTTGGGCTCTGCTGCTCTGTATCTGTTTTGTTTCTTGGTTGGAGTTTGGTACTATTCGTGCTGCTCTCTCACTCCTTGCGATACCTTTTCTATCATCTATCGTTATGCGTCTCGTAGTCTCAACCGTACGGATCATTTGTATACTGGTTTACCTTTTGCTTAATGCGCACTGCATTTACGTGTTGTATGAGTTCTCTGGAGAGCTTTGACAGGTATACGGAGTAGAGTCTTTAATAAAGTGCGAGACCTGTGCATGCGACAACGAAACCGAGCAGGAGGGAAGCTGTACTGGTACTCCCTTGCCTCACTGCAGCGCCGAACTCCCAACCAGTCTCAGTGGGTAGCACCAAATTCTCGGGGACGGTGATAGTTGTCAAAGGTCTAACTCCTGCAGTAACTGTGTGCTCCACCGTGTGATAGGTCGTCTTCTGACCGTCAGGGAGATTCTTCGCCCTTTCAGCGAAGACGATCTGGGCGCTGCAAATCATTTCCCTCTCTTCCTCTGGTATATTGCTATCAGCGCCGTTGTGCACGCAGTCATCGATGATGTGGACTTTTGCTTTGCCTCCGAGCGGACCTGTCCCGTCGGTTTTGTATTCTCGGTAGATGCGGGATGCGTCGGCGCGGAATGTATCTGGATGCGCAATTGTCAGTATGTTAAACAGGTCAGGGCCATGAGATGAATGGGGAGCGTAGCAACTTACATGTATAAGTGGTGGCTAGACTCCCGGTATGGATGCCCAAGCTGCCGTCTTCGTAGGTTACCCTGTTCAACGCGGCGCGAGCTTCCACTCCTCGATAGTATGTTGCGCCTTCTGGATCAACTGCGATGGGTGAGTAGGGATCGGGACCGTTGGGGATCTTGACGAGAAGCATGGCGAGAGGAAATGGGATCGGCTCTTCGCCCAGTTTGGGTAACTCGATGGCGTAGAGTGTTGCTGGTCCCGGAGTGGGAGTGGGAGTAGTAGATCCGGAGTCGCTATCGCCCGTGCTTGAATCGTCTGTACTGGAATCATCTTGACCCAGCGCTCGTGGAGCCAAAGAGAGGATAGTAAGAGAGGATAAAACGGCTAGTTTGGTGAGGGAGAACTTCATCGCGTAAATGTTAAGTCGTGAGTTGTGAATTCGTATAAAGGTTAACATATCAGAAAGGATCTTTGTCCACATATATACGAAATTGTCCTTCCGTTGTCACCGGGGTACAACGTAAAATAACTTCTACCGGTGCATTGCATATGGTCAGTTTTGGTTCCTGTGATCCGTTTACAGCACTGTCGCTTACCATGCATTTCTCGTCGATCGGCCGTTTGCAGTACCCGGGTAGGCATCGGTCCACGATGGGAAATTTACAAAAGCCCTGCTAGCCCTCCCTCCCCTTCCAGCACCCGATAAAAGTCTGCCACTAGGTATAAGCTCCCCGCCAGGGCTACAAGGTGGTGAGGTCGATTGGGAGGAGGGGTTGCCACAAGGTCGGCATCTCGGATGTTTGACGCCACCCAGCTGAATGCTGAGGTCAAGCCTGTGTTTACGCTACCCTGGATGCTTCCGTTCCCTGAACTCCATACTCGGGCGAGCGGTGCCAATACCTTCACTGCCTCTTCAACATCCTGTGCAGGTACGGGTTGGACCCATGGCATTTGGTCTGGAGGGGTGAATTCGACTGTGGCCACGTTCACTGCGGAAATGGCAGAGGGTAGGTTCATGAGGATTGGAGAGAGGGTTTCAGAAGGAGGTTTGGTTGGGGAATGCGATAAGGCGAGGATGTAGTGGAGGTGGACGTTGTTGAGTTGGAATGTCGAGATAGTCTGATTGATGTACTTTGCGAGTGCCTGGCTCGAGCCTGCGTTATGCGCACCGTCAACGAGGATCGGGTGATTCAAAGACCCTTGGGTGTCGAGGTTTAACGTATGCCAACTCAAGCGACCTTTCCACTGAATATGGGAGATGCCTTTGGTGACTGCGTCGGCGGAGATCTGAAATTGTGCGGATCGGATTAGACTGTCGACTATTCCTAGTGCTGTGGAAAGATTCGAGAGTTGGTGATCGCCCGAAAGAGGGAACGGTGCTGACATCGATCCGGATCCGAGGGCAGGAAGGGTGAATTCGACATGGCGGGAAGGTATAGTTTTTACAGCGTTCGTTCGAAGAGAGATAGCCACGTTAGCGTCGAAGTGAAGCTCGGACACAGGAACGGGTCGTTCTAGCATCGCTCCAACGGAGTGGAGAACCTCTTTCGCAAGAAGCTCGACGCTGGGGTGTCGCTGGTGTCCCAGAACCAAAGGTTTTCCTTGGCGAGCGATTCCCAGTTTTTCTCGGGCGACATCCTCGATGGTAGAACCAAGGAATTGCTGATGGTCGAGATCTACCGTTGTGAGAGCGGAGACAAGGATGTATTCGGTTGGGATTATGTTCGTGGCGTCCAGGCGTCCCCCCATCCCCACTTCGATGACAGCCACATCTACTCGACTTGATTCAAAAATTTGAAGCGCGGTCAAAGTCAAGACTTCAAAAGGTGTCAAGGAGGCCCCGGAGTCTCGAGATAGCGTTTCGATCCGAGTGCGAATCCCGTGGTAGGTCTCGTCGTCGACAGGCTCATTGTCTATCGTGATGCAGTCTGTGATCTTCGTCAGATGTGGAGAGTTGAATCTCCCAACGCGAAGTCTAGGACTAGTAGAAAGCAATATTGAGGACACAATTGCAGAGACAGAGCCTTTGCCATTCGTTCCTGCGATATGAATTGTAGGCCTTTGGAACTTTGTCGGCAAATGTTGGAGGAAACTCCGCAAGCGTTCAAGGGAGAGGTCAATAGACATCTGTGTAGTATACTGTTAGAAAGAGAATTCGTAAAATGAGAAAGAGATATCTCCCTGGCTTAGTGTCGATTGCAAACTTGCAGAACTCGAGAGGTGGAGCCGAACTTCGAACTCGTAATAGATGGTGGAAAAATACACCGGCAGCCATCAGATCCGAGACCGGCACGGTGAAAGGCGGGTCTAAGCGCTGGCCAGCCTCTTTGCCTGTTCCCCTCCCATCGGATTTCCATCTCATGTTGCGCCAAAATTTTCGGACTGCTCTCCTCCGCTTACAGTGTGGGGGAATAAAGCCTCTCTGGAGTCTCGACGCTGAAACAATTGGATCGGTAAAAGCAGTGGGAACCTTCACAACCGACTACGGACCAATGCAACGATGGCGCTTGGTCACTTGACGAAGGGCCCGACATCTGGGGACATCTGGATACAGAACAAGAGCAATTCGCAGGCACCCCCCTCTACATATACATCTGTTGATAACCTGGCCCCTGGCTACCTCCTCTCGTCAACTGCACTAGCCCGAACCTCCAGTGGCACGCATCCAAGTTCTCCCAGGTTCGAACAAACCTAGGGGAGCAGATCCTTCTGTCACTTTTTCATTCAGCTCTGAGTCGTTTCATAGAAGTCCTGGGTATTTCTTGGAGACTCGCGCGAACGACATGGATGACGGAAGAGGACCTTCATCACAGCGAGGGCCGCTAAATTCAAGTAAAAACTTCGGGAACCGCTGAGTCTGGCTCTCTCTGTGAAGTTCTGTTCTTGCTTCTGAGCATCGCATCAGAACAGCATGTGGATCGCCCCTTTCTTATCTGGGTGTTTCGTGCCTTTTGCCTCTTCGTCGAAAAAGCCTCAACAGCGCTTAATTCCCCACACGGTGGTGGAGACGGAAAGTAGATTGGAATCATGGCAAATAGGCACGAGGCAGATCGTTTTCATAATTGCACACTTTGACCCCATGTCTTTGAAGATACCGCGTTGCCTGGCAGCTACTGCACCCCTGCTCCCTGGATCGTCTTCGGTGACTTGGCACCCTTCGCGTGGATCGTCGGCACCTCTCCAGAGTAAGAATTGACCAATCCATTGGCTCAGAAACATCCGAAGCATCCATCACTGAGGCAAATTCGTCCCTATCGTCTCCCGGAAATTTCTCCGTTGAAATTCATAAAGATTTCCCGGATGTATAAAAACACTCTCGGAAGGATGTCTCGACTTCAACCAGAATCTGAACCAGGCTCTGAATCACCATGAAGTTCATCGTCTCTGTCCTTTTCTCTTTGGTGGTGTGCGCTTCGGCCCACTGTGAGTAACCATCCTCTACTCCAAGCATGATCATTTGCCACAACCTTTCTGCAGATACCTTCCCCTCCTTGGTCGTCAATGGCCAGACCACCCCTGCCTGGCAATACGTCCGACGAACTGACAACTTCCAGTCGAACGGCCCAGTGAGTATTGCGCGTCGTGTCTCGTAACGACCGCACTTGCTCAACTTAGCTGTGCATGACAGGTCACGGACGTGAACAGCCCCAACTTCCGCTGCTACAACCAGGGCACTGGCGCCACTGCCCAAACCTACACCGTCAATGCCGGAGCCAGAATCGGCTTTGCTACCAACGGCGCTGTCTCCCATCCCAGTGTATGTGAACACGTTCAATGGTCGTTGGCCTTTCTGCACGGCACTAACGCGGTCATCAGACCACCAACATCTACATGGCACGAGCACCCAATGGTGTCGATGTTGCCAACTGGGACGGAAGTGGCCAAGTCTGGTTCAAGGTTCATGAGATTACTGCCGTCACTGACGGTGGACGATCCATCCGATTCCCCTCAGAAGGTATCTTTTCCCACTTAAAACACTTGTTACGATACTTATGTGACATCGATTAGGCATGAGTACCATCGAATTCAACCTCCCGTCCTCGCTCCCAAGCGGCCAATACCTCGTCCGAATTGAGAATGTCGCTCTCCACGGTGCATCTGGTTTTGGTGGTGGTGAGTAGATCGACCTACACGTTTATGAATTCCCACCTGACTGAATGTCTTCAGCGCAATGGTACCTCTCCTGCGCACAAATCAACGTTCAGGGTGGCGGAAACGGCACTCCCGGTCCATTGGTCTCCATCCCCGGCGTCTACAACGGTCGCGTAAGTATATTTCTTTTGAGTAGGGACGGCTTGAAAACTAATTTGATATGTTAGGAACCCGGTGTCATGCTCAACATCTACTGGCCCATCCCCACTTCCTACGTCCAACCCGGCCCTGTGAGTGCTTTCTAGGTGATGAACCGACCCTGTGCAATTGCTCATTTCGCTTCTAGGCTGTCTGGCGAGGATGAATAGTAGCCTTACTCCTCAGGTAGTGAAGAGCCTCGGTGTCAGTCACGCAGTAGATGGGTTTTCTCTTGGCCATCAGCGATGGAACAAAGATTGTAATACTAAAAATTGACTTTGTCGAACCGGACAGGGTAGTGGGATCAGCGTTAAGACTAACGGAGGTTTCCCGTTGCATGTTCTTTCATTGAAAGCATACTCCAGGATGGTACGCAATATGGATTATATCTCAGTTTCTAATGGAAGCAAGCTGCGACCAGCCAATGCATGGTTGGTGGGCCAGTGAATGGCTATCGCCGCCTCAGCGAGCAGAAGGTACCTACTATAGGGGCTAACTTCCAAAACCGTTCGTGATCCGCCTTCGGCACCAGCACCACGTGGGCGGAGTCACAACTTAAGCTCAAAGGCCCGAACGGTCACCCCACTGGAGTCTGGCACAAGTTGGTTGTGGAGGCTACGCTCGCAGAACCGACTTGAACTCCGGCTACTGCTTCACATCTTCCTTTTATTGGATGCTTACCTCTGCGGAAAAACGGTTAACCTTTGATGACACCCCACACTGTCACGACGTCCAATAGGGTCTTTTTGCGAATCTATTGCTTCGAGATACTCCGGTTTGCAGGTGGGCGGTCGCTCCAACGGCCAAGGAACCTATACAGGGTGTCTTCTTCAACCTTCGTTGATCAAATCGAAGTCCCCTCTCTGCTGTGCTTTCTAGTTGGACAACCTCAAACTACCTGATCTCGTACACAATCAGTGACACGACATCGTCAAATTCCGTCACAGTTTGCGATGCCCCCGCGTCCTGGCGTAAACCTCGGTCGCCCTCACTCGAGATTCCGGTTTTGGAGATCCTCCTCCTCTCTCCAGGCAATCTTCTTTGGGCCACATGTTGCTCTTGTTTCTGTCTTTGGAACCTCTGCGCGCAATGTTTATTTCGTCGCAGTGCGCTCGAAAATAGAAGACCACAGGCATGCTGGAAGTCTGTCCGATTTCCTGGGAGCTTGCGTATTCCAACTCGAGTCGAGGGCGTCTCTGAACGGACAAAAGGATATCTGCACTGTTTTCAAGACTTAGAGACCTTCGTTGAAACGTCGGGATCTCTCTCAGCAAGGGCCGACCGGCGAGCCGGTGCTTAACGATGGAAGCGACGTTGGAGCGACGAGAAGCCATTCTAACTGAGGCAAATTCTTGTTACCCGGAAAATTCTCTGTTGAAATTGCACATCATTTCCCCGACTATTTAAAACCAGTTGCACGATTCAGGTTCAGTACCCAGAATCTGTACCAGACTCTGCGACACCATGAAGTTCATCGTGCCAATTCTCCTCTCTTTGGTGGCCTCTGCCTCCGCCCACTGTGGGTCCCTGCGTCTATCTAAGGCGTTCATTGCCGGTCTGACGATCTTCCCCCGCTCACAGACACCTTTGCCTCTTTGGTCGTAAACGGCCAGACGACCCCCGCATGGCAATACGTCCGACGCACGGATAACTTCCAGCACAACGGTCCCGTATGTGGCTCTTACTACTCGCTACAGCGTTCCACTAATCCGTTTATGCAAAGGTCACTGATGTGAACAGCGTCAACTTCCGATGCTACAACCAAGGCACACGGGCCACCGCTCAGACATACAATGTCAACGCTGGTTCTCGTATCGGCTTTGCGTCCCCTGGTGGTATTTCTCACCCTAGCGTACGTCCACACCTGATAATGGTTGGGTTCTCGCTTACAAAGGGATTTAGACCACAAACATCTATATGGCACGAGCTCCCGACGGTGTCGATGTCGCCAACTGGGACGGCAGTGGCCAAGTTTGGTTCAAGGTATGTGTATCTCTTTGGTTCATTCTTAAAAAGAATACTGACTGGAATGCACTGCAAGGTTCACGAGATCACTGCTGTCACTGACGGTGGTCGCTCCATCCGATTCCCTTCCGAAGGTAATTGCCGCCTTTCGGTGTTCATGCGACGAGGACCACCCGCTGATTCTCCTTCGCCTAGGAATGAGGACGGTTGAGTTTACACTTCCCAGCTCCCTTCCCAGTGGTCAATACCTCGTCCGAATTGAGAACGTTGCTCTTCACTCTGCTCAAGGATATGGTGGCGGTAAGCAGCCTGTTTTGTCAGCTCGCCACAAAGGCAACAGTCATGCTGACTACTGTGGGTAGCTCAATGGTACATCTCGTGCGCCCAGATTAACGTCCAGGGTGGAGGAGGCGGTAGACCCAGCCCATTGGTCTCCATCCCCGGTGTATACAACGGCCGGGTACGTTCTCTATCCAGTTTGGCCGCACACACTACTAATCTTCGTCGTCAGGAACCCGGAGTTATGATCAACATTTACTATCCCATCCCTGCTAACTACGTTCAACCCGGACCTGTAAGTAACTTTCCGCAGTCCATCCATCCTATTGCTCATGGAATTATTCCCAGGCCGTCTGGAGAGGATAAATGCAAACATCGTTCGTTGGAACCTTCTCGTTTGGTTCATAATTGCTCGGTATCGTTACACGGTCTGCCTCAAGGCTATCGCTCTCTGTATCATTTTACTAAAAATGAATTCGTATTCTGATCTTTGTCCCATGAACAAGGACCGGGCTGTACTTGCTGCGGACTGAGCTTGTTTATCCCATGATCGCAGGTCACATTGGGCGATAACCGAAACGTCGGGCCAAGCTTGCTTTCTTGATTGGTTCTGTGTATACACTGGACTGTGATGTTCCATGTCTTTCGATGGCCCATGGGGTCCGTGTCAGAGTTTGACCCGGGCGCTTAATCGATCGAGTCATTCCAATGCTACTTCCTCCGAGCCTCCCACGGGGCGCAGCATCGCAGCATCCCTATATCTAGGCCTCTTGCCCCTGGAGCATCCCCTCGTCACCTACGAGCTCTCTCCTTTGTCCTAGCCATGCCCTCAAAATCAGCCGCTAAGAAACGTGCGGGCAGACCTTCTGGAGGAGCCAAGTCCCCTCCAGAAGGGTTGCAGGCACCAGGGACTGGCGATGATGCCCAGCGAGAACAACCTTTGCAAACGTATGCTATATGCAGATTTAGTATGCTTGTATCTGCGTAAAGCTGCTAAATGACACTGACCTGAGATTTCCGGTTTTTTGAAATGATCCCAGCTGTCGTACTTTATGCAATCTTAAGCCAAGTTTGCAGAATGTTGCAGCCTGAGGAGCAAAAGTTCCCACGTGCCTCAAACTCGCCCGTATTCTCAAAGTAGGGGCGAGTTTGAGGCACGTGGGAATTTACCCAGCCGGCTTACCGGCAAAAGCGACAAACGAACCTGACCTGTCGCGCCCAGCCCGCAGCAACTTGCCTTTCCCGTCATCTCCAATTCATGTCTTCTTCAACAAAGCCTCGGAATCGTGAAAAGGAGAAAGAGCGTGTTCCCTGCAATTGCAATCGATGTCTTGGTGCTCTAGTCTGCAAAAAGACGTTCCGAAATCACAATCCCGAAGCAACGAATCGGCGGAAACGGAACCGCAAGCCTTTGGAAGAGGTTTCTGGCAACTCGTCAAAGGCTGCGGCGACGGATGCTCTGAGGACTGTGCAAGAGGTTGAAAACTCGCATGTCTTGCTGCTGTCGAAGAAACGGAAGGAGATTTCTCCGGAGGAGTCACGCAGCAGGATAGAAGAGGTCTCGCACGAGGACCACGAGGACGAGAGAGCTAGGAAACGGCTACGCGAGTCCTCTGATCAGGTACGTGGCTACATACACCAGAGTGCTCTACAGTGACTGATGAATGTTACTTAGATGTTTGAGTTCGCTGAACAGCCATATGGTGATCCTGAGCGCATTGCCGAGAGTACTACTACCGGAGCACTCGACCTGTTGAAGGAGCGCAATTCACTTGAAGGGACATCACAGTGGGATGATGTTGGTATGCTCCAGGGCACCGAGAATGAAGTACACTCTTTGGGAATATACCTATTGAATTTACTCACAGCAAAACTGTAGCTTGCACGTCCGCCATCGCCAGAAGTTGGTATTGGTGATGCCTGCAACGGTCCATGCTCCGACCAGGTGCGTTTCTTCTTCTATTTTGCTCGTGAAATTTACCTATGTGTCTACAGGAATCATTGTCTTCTCTGTCTTCCGGGGCTGGAGAAACAAGTGAAGACCAGGCACTTCGGGACCGACAAGATATTCTCCGGACACTGCACCTTCGCGAGCGACTTGAACAGACGGCAGCTGAGAGCATCTCCGAGACAGAATCCTCTGCTTCAAATACTCCTGACCCAGATGAACCACTTCCCGTCACCTCAACAATCGAAACTGTTCGCTTTGCAGAGGAATTCGTCAGTGCTATCAGTGTGGCTACCCTCGACGGCGATAAACTCGACGCTGCAGTTCTGGACCGACTTCGGAACCCTCAGCCTCCTATGAAGGATCGCGACCTGGAAAAACATAGACTCTCTCTCGACCTCTATTTGGACTGCAAAACTGGAGCAGAGGACGTTTACAATTCAGTTCGGGCAACACTAATGCGGCATCAACCTGGACTGGACATTCTTTCGCTCTATTCTGTCCGGCAGCTCATCGAGACAGTAACTGGTATCTCTCCAGTATACGACGACATGTGCATCGATGGCTGCTGTGCCTATGTCGCCTTTCTGAAGGATAAACTCGTCTGCTTTGTGTGCGGGAAGCCTCGTTACCTCGATAATACGGGCAATAAGCTTGTGCCTTATCAACAGGCATGCACCATTCCGCTCGGTCCCCAGCTACAAGCCCTCAAGCAGTCGAAAGACGGTGCTCTAGCCATGCAGTACCGGGCGCGGAAGATGCAGGACATTCTCGATGCTCGTTCTCGTGGAATTGACATTCCCTTTGACGACATATTCTCTGGGTCTGATCTAATCAATTTGGGCAAGATTCTGGATGTACCACCACCTAACGAGGACGACATTCTGATTGGGCTCTCAATCGACGGTGCACAGCTCTACCAGGACAAAAAGTCCGACACCTGGTTCGGAATTTGGATTGTCTATGACTATGATCCCCTTATCCGCTACAAACGACGTCACATCCTTCCCGCGTTCATCATCCCTGGCCCCGAGAAACCCAAAAATGTCGAATCCTTTCTTTTCCGATCCTTATATCACCTGTCAGCCCTTCAGCGTGAAAACAGTGGTGCCGGATTCAAGCTCTACGACGCACTCAAGGGCTCTGTTGTCACATCGCGGCCCTTCTTTGTCTTTGGGACTGCCGATACTGTCGGTCTGGTTGAGTTGGACGGTCGAGTTGGTCATCAGGGAGCTAAGGGCTGTCGGTTAGGCTGTCCGATGAAAGGTCGCCACAAGCCAAACGTTGGCGTCTACAACCCTGCCCATCTGAAGCCCAATGACTACACTGTCGACGGCTGTGATCATCCAGATTACGACTTCCGCAACATTCAGAACCCGACCGTTCAGAAGTATCGTACCGACCTGAAGACAGTTGCTGCAGCACGCACCCAGACTGCATATGAAAAGGCTAGGCGCAATACTGGTATCTGCAAGCCAACATTGATCTCAGGACTCCGATACGCTCTTCCTCCTCCTAAATGTTTCACAGTCGACCTCATGCATCATTTGTTCCTCAATATCCCTGTCGCTTCTCTGGATCTCTGGCGTGGAGTTATGAAATGCGACTCTACAGACACCAAAAAAGACTGGGACTGGGTTGTATGTCAAGGGAAGAAGTGGGAGGAGCATGGGAAACTCGTCGATGAAGCCAAGAAGTATACGCCCTCTTGGTTTGATCATTTTCCACGGAACCCCGCACTCAAGCTCAACAGCGGCTTTAAGGCGACAGAATTCAAACGGTACTTCTTCGAACTAGGCCCTGTTCTGTTCCGCACTCTCCTTCCCGACAAATATTACCAGAACTACATCAAGCTGGTGCGTGCCGTACAGATCCTTGTTCAGAAGCGTATCACCTTGAAGGAGCTGCAAGAAGCCCACAAGCTGCTGATACAATATGTCGAGGAGTTTGAGCATCTTTACTACCAACGTCGAGCCGACCGTCTTCATTTCTGTCGTCCGTGCATCCACACTCTCCTCCATCTAGCAAAAGAAGTCCACCGAGTAGGACCAGGTGCTTACACCACACAGTATACGTTGGAAGGGACGATTGGGCTGCTTACAAGAGATATCCGGCAGCATTCCACACCCTTCGCTAACGTCATCCAAATTGGTGTCCGCCGTTCCCAGTACAACGCCCTCCAAGCAATTTATCCCCAATTTGCGGAGGCTCCAAAATCCCTTCCCGAGCATTCCAAAGAATGTGGCAATGGCTACATTCTTCTTCCTCCCAGAAGTGAATCCGCGACCACTCTTCATTCTCCTGAGCAGTATGCTGCAATTTTTAACGCAACTGGTCTCAAGGTTGTCCGAAGATGGGGGAAGATTATTCTTCCCAATGGCCAGACAATACGGAGCCGCTATCAGCAGGACCGACCCACCACACTCAACCGAAGGGTAACGCGAATGGTGAAGGTATGATTTACCTTGATCTACGCGCAGCCTCTACTTACAAATTCGAATTCCAGCTCCAATATGAGGACTCTATTGCCTATGGCGAGATACAATTCTTTTTTCATCATCAAGGGGACGCTTACGCCCTCGCCTCGCTATTCTCTGAGCCCAACACTCAGATACACGAGGAGACACTCAGCGCCGTTTCAGCGCGACACTATCTTGGAAACAATAACCTTGTGGTGGTCAAATCTGACCAAATATTAACTCTAGTTTCGATGCAGCCTCTCCCACCAAAAGCTGGTGAACCGCCAAATTTATGGGTTGTGATGGGAAAGCTAGGTGTAGACGAGCTGCGACCAATGGAAGATGTTGGCCCTGATGGGGAAGAGAATGTAGACGAGTAGTTCTGGTTATTTGGCCTGGCATCCCGTATATACTCACATCAGACCACTGCCTTATCTTATCTCTTTACTTGGACCACAACCATGTCTGTCCACAACGATCTCTATTGCGCTGGTCATTACTCCCGTGAAACGTATCATGGGTCTGATTCAAGCCCAACTGAGATTTCTTTTACTGAATTGTCGTTCCCAATTACCCATGAAAATGCGGCGGAGTCAAGAAAAAGTGATATAAAGAGCAATCCTGTTGGAATGGTGAGGAAATATTCTTGAATTTCCTTCTGTAATGATTTCCAGCCATTTTTAGAGTCTTTCTGCAATACGCGAACGGGTTATTACCTGGCTAGAGCAGTGCGGCGATGCAGACATAGGGAACCGTTTACCCTGTGGCCATCGTCATGATCTCCCGCTATCTGACAATGACTGGGTGGTACCTACCTCAGATGACATAGAAATCGAGCCGGTAAGTACCACCTCCCTATTCTCTATGCATCTCTTTATTCTAACACATCATTAGTACACATTCACCAATGTAAAGGAAGATGGCAGTGACTCTGAGGACCATCGCCCAAAGAAGAAGGCTAAGAGCAAGAAATCACTTGAAGAGGCCCTTAAAAATATTGACGAGAGTCTCGTCGATATTGAAGAGGAGATTAGTGAGGCTTTTAGGCGTCGAGATACCCTATTAAATACACGTTCTATACTAGTCCTAACTTTGGAGGGGTACGACTAGACGCACTGCTTGTAACTTGATATCTATAAATAGCTGTGCCAATGCAGATTCTTGCAGACAGCCAAAATTCGACAGGCTTCTCTAGACGTTCGAATTCTTTTTTTCTTTGCTGTCGCTTTTTTCCTCCTACCACCACCATCCCGTCGCTTTTTCAACATGTCGCCTCAGCAAAGTCTCCAGCTCCAACTCAACCGTAATAGTTACAGTTCCGAGCACAACTCTGATGTTTATTCAAATGTGGCCACACCTAGTTCGCATTCTGTGAGTCCTTTTTCTATGCATATAAGCATCCAAGCTCACATGTGCTACGACATAAGTTCCTTGGGCCATATGATACTCCTACTCCCGATGTTTTCAACACAGGATATAGGAGCAATCACACCCCGGCGTCTAATCTTCCTACGGGTTCTAACTTTAATACAGCATCCGTGGCGCCGATACCTAATCGGAACGCTGATTTCTTGAACCCAAGGTTTCGGGAGCTGTGGGAGGAGAACATTAAGCTCAAATCTGAGCTTGAGGCTCAGAGGTACATCATGTTCGAATTCCTTTTTAAGCTTTCTACACGGGCGATAAAACAATTTTTAGGTCGCAAGTTGCCCTACTGAAGAGGCTCCTTGATCAGGGGGCCTCAGGACCAGGGCCTTCTGCTCCTCCGACCACCCAACAACCGGCACCCATTTTCCAGACTGGCGAACAGAAACTTCGTTCCGAGATCGACCAACTGAACCGTGAGCAACCCTTGGGACAGGAGCCGAGCATGGCGGATTACCTTTACCAGAACTGCACATTCTGGGACAAGGATAGTGTCCGAGATCAGAACAACGAACGTGCTAACAACAACGAGCCAGCCCTAGAGAAGTGGGACTGGGTGACAACCATCGACGGTGATCGTGTTTCTGATGAACGTTTGGAGGAGATGTGGGGATATGCGACAGGACTATTTGACCAGTACCATTTTAACTTTCTTTCACCTAACCAGTGGAGCAGCAAGCAGCCAATCGTTAAGGAACATTGGCAGGCAAAAATGTACCGGAAGTTTCCCGAACTTCGCTACTGCTCTGGCGGGTGGAAGGTGGAGAGGCTTGCGACGCTGAAGTACTTTGAATGGCATCGGAGCCTCAAGTCAGGAACAAAGCCCCGTATGTCATTTACTACTGTTGTAGATGGTTCTGACTGGTTTTATTCTAGGATGCCCTATAATCTCAGCGCATTTGGGACTTCCATGCGAACCATCAGGCTCCCAGAAGCGAAAGCGACGGGGTGGAGACCATTCTCAAGCAAAAAAAGCCAAAGCTCTGGCGCGCGCCACTGCCTCCGCAATGGTCAACAATTACTTCCTTTTTATCAGCATCTACTAACCGCTTTTTGTATGCAGGAGACTGAAAGTTCTGCGACAACAACCCCCGTGCCTTTGAGCTCAACACCAGCTCCACCTGGCCCAACATCTGCAACCGCCACAGCTGCACTTGATACTGCCGCCAAAGCTGGTAGTGCAAAAGAACCGTCTCCAGGGCCCTCTGGTACAGCTAACAAAGAACCCCCTAAACTCCGTAAGGGGGAGTATATCGTTGATGGCCATGTGTTTTCCTACTCCCGTGACAATAGCACCGCACCAGGTATGGCCCTCTGTTTCCTTCTCGAGACGTTCCTAATTACGCTTACCTATTTAGATGAGATGTTGCAACAAAACCACAACGAGGGAGATGAAGACGACAGTTCGGACATATTGTAAGGTTTCTTCACATCATCTCCGCTTCCTGTCTATCATCTCCTTTACAGCAAAAATCTCGACATCCCCCCTCCTGAGCACACTGTCCCATTGAAGCCACAGGATCCTTCCCAGAGCCCCGACCCCGCCGTTGTCAACCCTAAGCCAAAAAAGAAGGGCCCTAAGGAGAAGGTAGCCGAGGAGCCTTCGAATGCCATCACTGCTCGGTATGTTTTCCTTCAATCTCTGAGAAGCTTTCGGATTTCCTTATCACGTTCTTTCAGAAACCTATTCTTAATCGATTACATCGCTATCCATGGGCGTGTTCTTACCAAATCCGAAGTCACCGCTGCGTTTCATAAATTACCGGGCTCTGTTGAGTTGGTAAGTCGTCGATTGATACCTTGCAGCATCATAATTTTCTGAATGAGTTTGTTCAGAAATACAAATTTCTTGCCACAAGTCGGAAGAAGAACCAGGAGTTAGAGCCGGCCCTCGTGCCCTCCTCAATACTCAAGGAGCACGAAGAATACGAGAAGACGAAAGCCACACAATCGGACCCTGCGTGACACCACAGGTCTGTATTCTATGTTTGTTTGGTCATCGATTTCGCGGTCTGACGTCCTTCTAGTTTCCGCCGACGTTGAGCAGGCGCTACATTGACATATCTTTCTTGGTGTTCTCAGTTGCAGAACTGTGCAGAGAATTGCAGAAGGGCGACATTCGTTGTGTAGCATACCATTGCAGAATTGAGCAGATTTGACACACCAACAAGAGCAACGTGAGCACGAAGCCGATGAGAGGAACAAAAGTCAGAATGCATATGAGTCCATATATTTGCAGACAGGTACGGAAATTTCGCTACATCCTTCTGCGACGCACTGCATGTTACACCTTATATACAATATTTGGGATTTGATGCAGATGTTTGCATACCTTTGCACATCACTGCAGAGGTCGTTCTCGCTGGGGATGATGGCTCGCGAGGACAATTAGTGAATTGGAAATTGAGTAAGCCCTTGCACATAGAATTGCTGCGTTGCCTCGAGTGTTCAAACTGCCGTGATTGACTCATTTTTGTCTACCTTGTCAAGCTGGCCACACAAATACTGTCGGCCACAAGCGCACGGGCTTTGGAAAGGCCGGAAAAGCTATCAAGGTCATCGTTAACTGCTATCCAGTGAAAATGGCTAGTCAAATTGTACATCATTACGATGGTACGTCGGAATCTACAGTTACCTTATCGAGATAAGCTCCTTCCCTTTCGGTAAATTGGACTCACGGTGATCCCTAGTTGTCTTCGAACCCGAAAGTCTTCAAAGGCCTCCCACTTCCTTCAAGGTCATTGATCGTCTCATGGATGAATTCAGTCCAGGAATCTTCCCTAAGAAGGTGGCTTTTGATGGAAGGAAGAATTTGGTGTCCCCAGGAAAGCTCAAGTTCAACGGCGGGGCCAATGCCCAAACTGTACGTTAATATTCGATACCTCGGGATGTTCTCACTCTGTGAGCTTCCACAGTTCGTCATTATACTTCCTTTCAACGGAGGCTCTACTCCAGGAGCTCCTGTTCATGTCAGGCTCACACACGTTCAAGAAATCAACCTGGAGTAAGTCATCTGTCGCATGCGCGGGAGTGTGCGTCTGACCAGATCCTGACATAGGGCCCTGGATAATTTTACCTCAGGATTCGGTTCTCAGACCTCTGAGAGCATCACTGGGATCACGGTAAGTCCTCCTTTTCCTCGGTTGAGGACTCTGCTTAAAGTGACCGTAAGGTATCCAACATCGTCCTTCGGATGGCGGCCAATCTACGGTACCCTCACTTCGGGAAGCACCTTTTTATCGAAGAATTGGGGATGAGGTCCATTGGAGGAGGCATCGAGCTGTGGCGTGGACTGTTTCAATCACTTCGCCCTGGGATCGAGGGACTATACCTCAATGTGGATCTGGCCACGGGAATGATGTATAAGCGAGGAACGTTGTTGGACGTTGGGATTGATATCCTCGATATCCAGGGAGGAAACGCATCTCTTTTTACACCTGGTCACCTCAACTTCCGAATTGACAAGATCAAAGAGGTCGAGCAGTTCATAACGGGCATTCAGGTCACCGTTCCTACTACTGGTGATCGGAAACGCCGAGTTTTAGGCCTCAGCACCATCCCCGCTAATGCAGACTTCTTCGACAATAACGGTGTCTCAATGAGTGTCGTGCAATACTTCTCCGGATTGAATCATTTCGTTCAATATCCAGGCGTAATTTGCGCTCGAGTGAGTAACATTCCTGCATTTCAGCATTCCTCACGCTGGAGCATTAACACCTTTCCAAGGTTGGCTCTTCATCGACCCATATCCCACTTGAGCTATGTACAGTGACTCCAGGGCAGATCATCAGGAAGGAAGTACCCCAAAACAAGACCGATGCGTTCGTCAGTTTTGCGAGGCAGCGCCCTCAATCAAGATTCAGCCTCATTGAGAATGGAGCTCAGGTAAGTCATTTTTTCACTTAAGCGATCAGTAAAATAGGCTCTCTGACTCCGTCGTTTAGCTCGTTATTCGCAAGGACTCCGCGTACCTAGAGGCGTTTGGGATTGACGTCGGTGTCGGAGGTCCTGGAACTGCGGCGAACGGCTTGCTCGAGGTGGACGCGCGAAAATTGAAGGCACCGGTCTTAACTAACGGGAGTGGCTCATTGAACAAGGTGGGCACGGAACACGATCGTATACCATGATATGGGTTCATGATAATTACAGAAACCAGCTGAAGGGCCTTCGTGGAATATGTAGGAACATATGCTTCGATCTTTGTTTTCATAGTTAACACAACTACAAAGGTACCAGAGGAAGGTCTACGCGGCCTGTCCCCCTATCACTGACTGGGTTTTCATCGTCTACGAGGTGGATAGCCAGTTCAGCATCGATGACATGCGGCAGTCGATTCATGGACTTAAAGATCAGGCCAATCGTCTGGGTATGGTCGCCTCCTTTGCTTGATCCCCCGTCGAAGATCTAACCTGTTCGTTTCGGTGAGATAGGTATCAGAATGGATGATCCCAGGGCAAAATACCACCTGAATGCCGGCACCGGCAGTATTCCTGGTGTAAGTACCCACCCACCGTTCTACAGACTCTCGTTCTCGTTAAGACCTCACCATCCATAAGCAACTGTTCCAAAAAGCAAAGGAATTCGTCATGACTTTCAAAAGGCGCCCTCAGCTTTTCGTCGTAGTTTTGCCTCAAGGAGGAGACGAGATTAGGATTGGGGTCAAACAGTGCGCTTTTCCTTCAGTGCTAGATAATCTTAACACTGATGCGAGCCTCTAACTGGAACATCAGCTTTGGAAACTTTATCGTGCGTTATAGAAGTCGTCTTTATTGGTAGGCGAACTTTAATGAACTCTGACTAGAATCCTGGAATTGCGACGCAATGCTTGAAGGGATTCCAGTGTCGCGGTGCGAGACCTCAGTATTGGGCTAATGTCATGATCCAGTGAGTTTCTTACACAGTGACTCGGCAAGGCGACATGGTTGTGCTAATTGTAATTGTCACGTCACGTCTACGGTCTGCTAGAGTAAATGGAAAACTCGGAGGGATCCACGCAGTTCCGAACTCAACAACGTCAGGTTCGTTGGTTGACGAAGCAATCGCCACCATGCTTATCGGTATGCCCTCGGATCTGATTGGCTTTATAACCCATCTCAATTCAATGGACAGGGGCGGACGTTACCCACCCTCCTCCGGGAGACCAAAGTAAACACAAGCCCTCTTTTGCTGCAATTGTCTGGAGTTGGGACAGGCACTATGCAAGATATCGGGCTCGAGACAGCATTCAACGAGGTCGTGAAGAGATCATCCAACACATGAAGCCTATGGCAAAGGTTAGTGCTTTGATAGTGGCTCTGGCCAATTCTATTGACGCTATTCGACACCTATAAGGAGGCTTTTGATGACTTCAAGAAGACGAACGGCAAATATCCTCGGCGTGTGATTGTTCTTCGTGGTATGTACTAGCCTGGAATTTCTGGAAAAGAGGGTGGTGCTGATGCACTGTACAATTACTGTAGATGGCGTGTCTGAGAGCCAATTCCGAGAGGTTCAGAAGAAAGGTACGTCGATAATCCACACCCGACGCTTGCGAGCGATTAACATTCGTCTTGTTTCAATCGACAGAGTTGGCCATGATCAAAGGTGCGCTCCCAGCCTCTAGTCCTTGAATCTCTTGGACTAAATCCGTTCCAGAAGTCTTGCGTGATCTCAAAATCAAGGAGAACGATTGTAAAATCACGTATATTATTGTTGGCAAACGACACCACATTCGGTGAGTGGATCTCCTAACTCTGACTCACTGGAAGACCTTGGGAGCTCATGCGAGGTGCGACGCGGGCTAATTAGATTCAACGCTTCGGATCCCAAAGATCGGGACAAGTCAGGAAATGCACCTGCAGGAACCGTGATCGACACTGTCATTACGCACCCCCTCGAGTCCGACTTCTATCTCCAGAGTCACGAGGGGATCATAGGAACCTCGCGATCAGCCCATTACTCGGTGCTGTACGGTGTAAGATTCTCTCAGTTCTCGCTCTCATTATTTTAAATTGAAGATCGTTGACATGGCTTAATATTTATCCAGGACAACAAATTCACGTAAGTCTCGTCATCCCAGGCCCCGTCTTCAGGCTGACTATCCAGCTGGCTGACATCTTGAATAATTTCAGAGCTGACGGACTCCAGCAAGCAATGCACGCCTTGTGCTATGGCTACGCGAGTGCGACACGCGCCCTCTCTATCCCCATTCCCATTTACTGCAAGTTTCTCGTCTATTACTCTTGGTGAAGTCCCGATGCTGATCATTCACAATCCCTTGCTTCCATAGATGCCCACAAGGCCTGTGAATACGCGAAACACCGTTTCGCTCCTGGCCGACAGATGGCCCCCTTGCCCAATGACTCCGATCCAGAAGCATTCTTCACCACTATGGAGGAGGAGTTTAACAGGATTCCGCTGTCAAACTACGCGAGGGACTATATGTACTTCTGTGTACGTTCAGTGCAGTTCTCCGAGTCCCTCGTCTTGGGCGCTTGCTGACTAAACATGATCCCATAATTCCTCATCTAGTAAATCACGACATCGCTTCTCGAGTCTGCGTTCCAGCCAGCTGGTTTCCAGCATCATCTTCTCGACTGATCACTCTACCGCTTCTTGGTTCGTCATATTTATTCAACCATATGCAAACCCATCAAGTTCCTCCTATCCATATGTTTCTTCGATTCTCTGTAACCTGTCCGCAGCACCTGCTTCCACACCCTTCGTTGTTATCCTTTATTTTGGATCGGTGGCCGTGGTCTTCTTATCCTTTCTCATGAACGTAAAGTCAAATGTACCATTAGTATTTATAGCCAGTCGCAAAACATATTTATAAAACATGTATTTGAAAGATTGGAACGAGGTTTACGACACCAAGCAAACGTAAGCGAGAACAGCCTTGAGACATTGACACACGACTATTGGAGAGCAAGGCATCATGGAGAGGGACGTGGCGACCAACCCAGCTCATATAGCTCGAGAGGGATGACATCCGTCAGGACCCATTGAGACCTGAAGTCAGCTGGAAGCATACTCGGACTCTTGCTGACCACGCATTGGGCAATATGTACCAGAAACATACCAGAGACGATGACATAAAGAACCTGGGGGGAAGCCAAGGCGATGCCACATGTCGCTATTGAAAGCACACCCAATCCTTTCTGTTGACAATTGGAGCGTCAACTTCGCCCAGTATCAGATGGTCATGATGGATAGCCTCTGATATCCTGAGTTAACTGGAAGAAGCGCCCGAAAGGATGCAGGAATGTCATCTTCGACGAGACCGGGATTCCAGAAACAAAGATCCGCCGGTCGAATTAATAAGTTCGCGCGACCGACTTACCCTCGTATCTGAACACTGGAGGAATGAACGATCGGATCGGATTATTGCTGTTTTCATATTACCTTGCACTCTGATGTCTCACGCGCGCGCGAGCAATCTTCCGCGCCCAATCTTCCGAGGCTTATATCTCAGCAACCACTGCACGTATTGCTATGATTTATGGCTTGTTTTAATCGTAGAAATGAACTGTAATGCAAGCTTTTTTTATTTTTTCAATTTGACCAATAACTGAATGAGATCGAAAAACCGAGGTTTTCCTGTACTGTTGTTACATTGGACGCTTGGGATGACGAGTATCCTTAGTTAAAACTGGCCAGACATGTTCTCTAGTATGGGATACATTGCAAGATACAAAAAGTTTGACGAGATTTGATAGGGTAGTGCCGAAAACTCGCCCAAAGAGGGTTTAGGGTACCATCAGGGAGGGGGGACCTTATGTTACAAACTTGAGTCCCTTACCCTCAAAATTCCGAAGTAAAAACAGCGCGAACGTACTCACATAGGTCCTCTACATTGCAAGATGCACTTTGTTTGGCCAAATTCGATGAGATAGATGTCGAAAAAGCACTCGCAAGGCAGGGCATCCAGGGTCTTTGCCTTAAGGCATCAGCTTAGATCAGCGTGCACCCTTACCCGTATATCTTCCTCATTCCACACGTGTTTTCTGCATTTCTCTCTCTCTCTCTCTCTTCTCGAATATCTCTCTCTATTTATACGATGACTCGCGGTCGTCGAGCGAAAGGGAAACTCACTTTCCGCAAGCGCTCGGGTCCCCGGGCCCGCCAAAGCTCAAAGCTTGCAAACGACGATTCCTCTGACGACGATGCTACCCTGGCCCATTCAACACCAGCTTGCAGTACCTCGTGGCATTACGATGATGACGTGGATGAACATGATGAGTGGGAGGAAGATGTTGAAGAAGTTGACCAGCTGCTTCCTTCTGGTGAGTTCGACTCTAATTCCATTCCGTAACATTGTTTTGATCTGATCTTCGGTATGTAGAGTCAGACCAAGTTGAAGTCGAGGAAGAGTTTACCATTCCCATGGAGGTTCCATCGCCATGTGGTAATGCTACGCGGGACCTCGATGGAATCACATCCACGACATCTTTCACCTCATTCCTCACCGATCTGGCTCTGCGCATGGGATGTTCCGTCTCCCATCTCATGGCTGTCAGCATTGGCTATGTCCCGTCTTGGCTTCCCAAAAATCCCAAGCCAAAGCCAAAGCTTCTCGATGATGAGCAATCATGGGAGAAGCTGGTGAATGTCGTCCGCCAGTTCCGCGACGATGCAAAGGCGAAAAAGAAGGGTAAAGGGACAATCGCTCTGACATCGTCAGATATAGCTTTCCCTCGAATAGTAGTCCTAGGCATTGGTAAAAGCTCGATAACGAGAAGAACAGGGAGTGAAAGCAAAATGCACAGAGCCCCCGGATTATCTCATCTTGATCATCTCTGATCTGGATGCCCTGCCTTGCGAGTGCTTTTTCGACATCTATCTCATGATCTAAGCTGATGCCTTAAGGCAAAGACCCTGGATGCCCTGCCTTGCGAGTGCTTTTTCGACATCTATCTCATCGAATTTGGCCAAACAAAGTGCATCTTGCAATGTAGAGGACCTATGTGAGTACGTTCGCGCTGTTTTTACTTCGGAATTTTGAGGGTAAGGGACTCAAGTTTGTAACATAAGGTCCCCCCTCCCTGATGGTACCCTAAACCCTCTTTGGGCGAGTTTTCGGCACTACCCTATCAAATCTCGTCAAACTTTTTGTATCTTGCAATGTATCCCATACTAGAGAACATGTCTGGCCAGTTTTAACTAAGGATACTCGTCATCCCAAGTGTCCAATGTAACAACAGTACAGGAAAACCTCGGTTTTTCGATCTCATTCAGTTATTGGTCAAATTGAAAAAATAAAAAAAGCTTGCATTACAGTTCATTTCTACGATTAAAACAAGCCATAAATCATAGCAATACGTGCAGTGGTTGCTGAGATATAAGCCTCGGAAGATTGGGCGCGGAAGATTGCTCGCGCGCGCGTGAGACATCAGAGTGCAAGGTAATATGAAAACAGCAATAAGTTCTATCCAGGAAAATAAATACTACTTTAAGTATCTGAAGACATTCCGTTCGCCAATGGAAGGACTTGGATGAGAACGAATACACTCACGTTACAGGCAATGCAAGTATATCCTTTCCTCATGGGAGAATTGCAGGCAGACCACTAACCGTGATCCTTCCATCGAGCTCGACCCTAACTCGCCCAATACCGTCCTCGGTATCTCTACCAAGACTCCTGAAGTACTCGATGAACACAGCATCGATCGTGTCGAGGGTCGCAAACTCCCCGCTGCCCTTCGCTGGCCAGAAGTTGTCGCCGCCAGTTGCCAAATAGTCGATGGTAGCGACAACGTATCGCTTCTCGCTGTTCTCGCCGCTTTCACCGTCGATGACATCCCCGTTGGCAACTGAGAGGGACAAGAGCCTCTCACCCACCGGTCTCGAAACGTCAGCGGAGAAACGAATTGACGATGAGACTTGAACGAAGGAAGTGACAGGTTGATCGTTGTCCAGGTTCTGTCGGGATACGATGCCTTCGAAGATACGCCAGAGCTCACGTCCGGTAAAAGTAAGCTCGACGACGGAGTTACCGAAGGGGAAGGTTTCGAGGACCTGTTGAAGGGTGACATTACCGGGGCCGTCAATCGACGCCCTGATGCCACCAGCATTCATAATGCCGCCGGCGAACGTGGTGTCAGACGGAGGGGTGGTATGGTTTCCGATAGGGCTGGTCGTGTTGCTTGGTGACATCGCTGCTAGTGCGTCTCCGATGAGATCACCCAAGGTACATTCGCCGAATTGGCATGTTGTCTGGTCGAGTGGGAGTTCCGTGAAGCCCACGACAGTCCTACCGAAAGGCGCGAAGCCGTCTGCCCATCTTTGTACCTCGGCTTTCAACTTGGGATCCTCAGCTTTGGTCGAATTATCGGTGTTGGTCAAGTGGATAGGAGCCCCCTCGTAACGGACGATACGCCCACGCTGGTCATACTCGACGTCGATGTAACCGAGGTACTCGCCCCATCGGAAGCTGGTGACAACAAATACCTCCTCGCCTGCCGCATTGTCGACGATGGTTGGGTAAGGACCGAGGGCGTTGGGCATATCGCCGAGGAGGGTATGGGAGTGGCCGCCAACGATCAAGCTGATACCGGTGGTCTGCTTAGCGAGTTCGATATCTCTCTCGTAGCCAATATGTGTCAAAGCGACGATGCGCTTTACGTTCCGGTGGTAGCGCTTGATGAAAGTAACGGTACGCTTGGCAGCTTCGATGGGGTCTTCGAAGGTGGTGCCTTCGCCTGGCCTTGAGATCGTCTTGGTCGCCTCTGTCGTGAGACCGATGACAGCGAGCTGGTGCTTGTCCCATACTTTGTAGGGAACCAGTTGCCTGGCTAGGTCTCGATTGGTGGTTCTGATGTTGGAGGCGATGGTGGGGAAGGTAAGATTGCGACAAAAGTCAGCGAGAAGGTCATCCCCATCGTCGAATTCGTGGTTTCCAAGTACGAAAGCGTCAAAACCGAGTTGATTGAGGATGGAAGAGATCGCGGTGCCCTTGTAGAGTGTGTAGAACAGGGTACCCTAATTACCCAGCGTTAGCAGTCGCCTACTTGTGGGAGATGAAAACCGACCTGGAACTCATCACCTGCATTGAGCAGAAGGCTGTTTCTCTTCGTAGGTCTCTGCTTATCCAAAAGCGCCTTAACTCGCGGGTAACCACCAACACACTCTGTGGAACGTAAGTAGACCATCACTACCGAGAATGCGACTAACTGACCTCGTGATGGATCCGTGCAGGCGGAGCCGCTGGGACGGAATTCATCAAGATGGCTAAAGAAGGTTTCAATACGTGATGGCATGAAACGCAGAAGAGGACGTACGCATGTACATCGTTGAGATGATAGAAGGTAAGCTCGTAGTTGGTTCTCGTCTTCAGCCTCCCTTGACTATCTTTCCCCGCATTACTCTCGTCCCCACCGTTGGCGAAGCCAGAACCACGCTTTACTAGAATACGCTCGGCGAAGGCATCGAAGGCGCGTCTGAGGAACGATGGCGCGGGCGGTTCTTCATAGTAGTGGCGGGAAATAAGACGATCGACTCCGACTTGCGGTTCAGCGCCAACGAGCTCCAAGTTGGAATGGAGACTCAAAAGCAAGAGGAGAGAGGATAACTGTCCAAATGGCCGCATTGTGGAGGAAAGTCAAATGAGCGGAAGGGGGTGCCAAAGGCTGGACCGAGATGGACAAGTGTCCGAGGGGAAGGTGAACAAGGAAAGATGGCGTAGATTTAGCGCGGCTGGTTAAGTATGTGAACTGCTCCATCCCGGAAATGTGATGGATGATCAAGCTTCTTCAAATCTTCCTACCCCTGGCTCCAATGCATGCGATCCCCTGGTGCCGGTTTGGCAGGTTGCCTTCGATGTAAGTCCGAAGCACATGTTACAGGTCTTGGAGCCGTCAGAGTTCCTCGAAACGCGGCTATTTGGCGGCCCAGAGTTCACGGCGTACCTCACCATGAGAACCTTGCCAATCCATCTGTCGTTCACACCTCAAGCTGAACTAGATCTTTGTCAATTGAGCAGAGAAGATCTGCAAGCGCACACACCTGACAATTCATCCCAATGCGAACACGTTCGAATAGTAGAGGCGTATCCAAAGCAACTGCGACCAATTTGAAGGGACGTGCGGTCTCAACGATGGCGCATGTGGAAAGATAAACCCAAGAGCGCCCATGGCTCATGGAACGTGTGATTCCGACTTCATCAAACTCCCACACAGCATCGATATGACGCACGGGCCACCAACGAACGCGATGGTCTCTTGGATGGGGGCGCTTTAGCCCCTCAGGGCATGATGGCAAGGGACGATAGCCAATGGGTCAGCATTGTATCGACTGCCATGTATCACAGCTCTGCGAGTGAGCCTGGGCGCTTCTCCGTCGCTTCTAATCCCCAATTCACACCCGGACACCCCTGAGGAAATTGTGCCCAGGTCAACCCCAGGCAAGCAGATTTCGAGTGGAAAAAGACGGCGGACAGAGTGGGGGTTGAGAGAATGAAAGTAAAAGAGTAAATGAAAGAATCGAAGCTTTATAGGAGCTTCTTGAATTTGGTTGCGTTTGCCTTCCCTCGCCGATCATAAGGCACATGGCTGCGAACTCCGTGGTTGACTCAAACGGGCAGCCGCTGACCCAAATATGGAATCACTCGACTTCTGTTGGACGGTGGTCACCATTCGGGGGGCCTTAACGGTTCTTTGTACGGCTGTATACCGCGTAGGCTAATGTAGGATCATACCCATCGCCTGTCAGGTCACCGTACGGGAATCTGCCTCCGATTCAAATTGGACTGACTGGGATACACTCATAGTATCGATGCGGGGTTAGATAGACCGAGATCGTGCGCCAGAACGGAGAGTATCAAGGTGGCATCGGGTCCAGGGCACTCTGCTGTCCAAACTGACTGAGTAGGGTATCCCCTACCCCACGCTCATCGACGCACGATTTCTCAGGAACCCTTTGCCTTGCCATTAACATACGATCTACCATACTCATAGGATAAACTTCGGGATGTCGGTATCGCCGGCATCAACAGGGTCAAGGGACCTAAGACGCGAGCATAAGTCTACTACTCAGTAACGGACTCTCAAGTCCCCGGGGCCTCCGCTGTAGGGTCTGGAGGTGTGTTGTACTATCCCGAAGGTTTCTGGTCCTGGAGTGCACAAGCCTGGCCATAACGGAGACCACTCCCAGGACGCAATTACAAGTTCACAATCTCAATTCATGATCAAACGAGTGTGTTCGGCATGCAAGACGCGTGTATTGCGATGTCTGTCTACTAGGCGATTATGGAATGAATTATAGTAGGGAATGTGGGTAATTAGAGGCCGATGTTGATGGGGCTGCAGCCGAGGGCGATGACACCGTCTGAAAGAATTGGTCAGAGACTGACGAAAGGCATACGGCCGAGACTGTGGATACTCACTGAAGCTGTTGTTGTTGCAGCAGACCTTCTGCTGGGTGCTGTAGAAAAGAACGGCGCGTCAACGGGGTTCCGATAGAGAATAACGACGCGCAAACACATACCACTTGGAACCACCACCGATGCCGAGGACGTTGAGGCTGGTGCACTCGGTACCGACGAGACCAGTGATCTGCTTGAGATCAATGCCCAAGAGGCCGAGGAGGCTCTTGGTGGTCCACTCGAGGGACTGCACACTCTTGGTGCTGTTGCAGCATTGGATTTCACCACCGTTGCATTGCTCGAACTCGTATTCGGTGCCGCCGGGCATGGGAGCAGCGAGGGCGCCAGCGAAGAGGGCGGCAGAGACGAAGAGAGCAGAGACACGCATGTTGAGAGAGAGTAAAAGAGTGTGGTTGGTTGGGTGAAAGAGTGTGGTGGAGTTGTTAGCTCGAGTGGTGGTGAGTGAGTGACTGGGAGTCTGAGGATCCTAGGTCGAATTGAAACCCCTTTTATACACAGAAAGCTGTCCGATTTTCGGATAGGTCATCGACGTGGCCAATTCAACTCACGGAAGTTCACGAAATGAATTGGCTTGCATCGTGGTGCCCAGTATGCAACCCTGAAAATGAGGATGTCTGTATAAGGACCTGTATACTAATCGAAGCAAAGGCTGGCGGCACGCCGAAGCTACTGACGTCGGTTGCGCGATAACTCGCTTCCGGATTTGGTTTAGAGCCATTAGACGCCCACAACAGCTCCGTTTCGGTATGGTCAACTTATTAAGTGGAGATACCATCAGCTGCCTCGTTGCTGGCCCCAGAAATCTGGGAAGGGTGGATGGAGTGCACGTGTAAGGCCGACCGGCTCACACATGTATTACCTCGACGGGAGCTCAGATGCGAATTCGTTTTCTGCTCGAGACAACAAGTGCACGTAGGCTCAGCTGAGGGACACGCCAAGGAGTGCTGGTGACAGTGACAGTGATCTCTCGCAAATTGCCGTAAGATGTGTAGCGACGCAGTGGAAATCAAATTCAATGTTCGCTTCCTTCCCCCCAAAATAGCTCTCCTCCTATCAAGGGTTTGCCGTTTACTTGCAGCCGCCTGGCAGAAGCGCTCGCTCGCTCGGCCTCTCTGGAGTCTGAGTCCAGTTGTTTGCATGCCCGAGTCTGTGACTGAACCAAAAACGAGAAGTCATCCAAAAGCGAGCATTTCTCGTCGAAAGCACTGAGTCACAGCTTTTAAATAGTGTATTGGTTTTGTGTAGATGACATCTACATTCACGCTATGTATCCAAAGGTGACTGGGCATCATCAAGGGTATTGCCGATGGATACGCTATTTAAAATAATGTAATGCAAGTCCGTGTTGAGCACGACACCAAGCGAACTGAGCCCCAAAAATGAACTCTATAAGACGCTATACAGAAGTCAACAGGGGTTTGTCAGGCGGTATCTTAAGGAGAACCAGACCATGTAGCAGTTAGAATGTGATTCGCAAGAGCTAAGTATCCGTTCTCTGGACCAAGTTCGGTGCCCCCCGCTCATGACTCTTAGCGCCCATATCACGTGATACAGGTAGCATGTGACTGTCTGGGAAATTGCGGCGCGGTTGTAGCCGTCATCGGTTTCGACATGTCCATCATCGTCTCCGATGCCGTTCGCAAGGGCATCGAGGATTCTTCCTCGCAGCTGTCCTAACAAGCGCCAGTTCTCTACAACAGCCAAACGGCTAACGCACTACCAAACACTCGGTCTTCCTCAAGATGCCTCGAAGGCACAGATAAAGGTATCTACCTTCCCGTTATTATTGTCGTTCGGTTAGGCTGACATGGAGCGGTTGTTTGGATTACCTAGTCGCATTTCTATAGGGTAAGTATCATATCTGACACAAAATAAAGGCGCGACTGACCAGGTCCTGTCTATAGTTGAGTAAACAACACCACCCGGATCTTTCTAAGGATCCCAAGTCCCGGGAGGCCTTCAGTAAGATCAATGAAGCCTACCAGGTTTTAATCAACGATAGAGACAGGTTAGCTTCTTATCTACCTGCAGGGAACCTGGCTGAAACAAGACCTGCTTCATTATAGGAGAGCGTATGACCGCAGCTTGATGTCGCGTGGTCCACCCTTGAACCAAGGGCACACCCCATACTCGCCTCATGCTCCTCCACCACGAACACCACGGGCCACACACGCCTGGGAGTACACTTACTCGACCCGAACCGCCAAGGGTACCTACACCCACCACGCCCGCTCGACAGGCGGCTTCAAGAAACCACAACCGGACTACGACCTACATGGCAATCGGGCAGGTCCCGGCGGTGCCGCCTTCGCCAGCCGACCGTTCACCCGACCGCTGTACTACGACGTCCTCACGGGCCAGAGGAAACGGGAAGAAGACTTCCATCGCGAAGTCGACAAAGTTCGGAATACGTCGATGACATGGAGGGCGACTCAAATTTCTGCATTCATTATGGCGGGCATTTCAATATTCGGAGGGTTTGGACTGCCAGCTTTTCCGGGGTTTTAGTACTAGGTCAGCCCTGTCGTCGTCGTTATCTTCATTGCAAAATATGTGGCTTTTGCCTTCCAACACCCCGCACGAAATAGGGTGGAAGTACCACAGTCCACAGCCTTGAGGAACAAGCGCCCAACCACACCTTTTCACTTGATCGGCATGAAGTCGAAACAGCCTCGTGTATAAAGCATTGATGGACTGGACTGCGGACTGCATTTCCGTCCCCTAATCATGTCTGCTCAGCAGTTACCCACTGGGCAGTCGCCAGAACCCTTGCCCCTCAAGTTCGTGCTCTCCACTTCAACACCATGGAACACCAACTATTGCACGGAAGACGGCCAAGTCATCTACAAAGTGGAATCAAACTTTACCTTGAAGCTCTTTCACCGCAGCTCGACAATATATAAGATCATTCCCAACGAAGGTACTTATTTGCCAGGTTGTTTCCTCGAGGACACTCGCCTAAGCTCGTGATACAAGACGAAAGCATGAAAGACCAGTTCACTCAAATTGCGCACATCGACTTTCGGGTGATGAAGCCTTCGATTATAACGTTGGGAGACGAAGTATCCACTGTGGACGAGATCTTTCGAAAGGGGAAGATCAATTGGTCGCGTGTCGCAAGGCGAGTCCACATCGTTCCCTGACCCGCAATGGAACTTACCCTGAGCGCAGGGATCGAGTATGCACAGGCCCAGACGGGAGGGAGTACCGCTGGGTGTTGGGAGATTCCAAGCCGGAGGTCAGTGGGGACTCCTACGACACCAATTCCGCTTCCTTACCCAACTACCTTTCGCCGCACAGCTCTACCTCAACGACAAATCCAAGACCCTCATCGCCAAGTACCACCTCAAGCACTACGGGATCATCAAAGACGCTCGTCCAGCTTCCCTCGAGATCTACGACTCTCGGTTTGAATTTCCTCCAGAATCGCAGTTGCCGCCTCCGGACGAGGGCGAACGTACGAGAAAGAGTGCACGCATGGTCGACTGGATCGTCACCACCTTTGTGTATATCGCCAAGTTGAGAGAGGATAGAGATAGTGCGCAAACCACTGCAGCGATTGGTTAGATAAATGTATCAATTCAACGAGGTTGGAACTTCCCTCCGAAACATAGCTAATGACCTGGGACTGTAAAGCTTCTTTCTGATCCATAGAAAGTAGTCTGTATTGATAGGGGTATAAACCGCATATGTAGTACCTTGTACAACAAATAAAAATCCACAGCATTCTCGAGCTTCTGTCCTTCGACGAGGGGAAAAAACTCAAACAGCCGTCAACCGTTCAACCAGCCGCCGATCCACAGGAGCAGGTGTATACCCCAACAGGGGTATATACACAATCTCCCCCAGCTCCAAGTTCACTATGTACGCCAAAAACCCCATAAACCTAAACCCATCGGGATTATAAAACTCTTCCCCCACATCCGCATTCAAACATGGCGGCCTAACCACCTCCATTCCCGGCACGTGCTTCTGCATATGCACCCAAGCCTTGAACTCATCGTAAATCGACTTTGCAATCACATGAGCCATGTACCCCCTTGTATGAACGTTTCCGTCCGTATCTTGCATAAAGAAAGCCGAAAGCCTGGGTTCGGAGGTTAAGAACTCGTCTTTAACGACATGGATCGCCCGATCTCTGGGTGGGTTGTTCACATTGAACGCGGGTTCCTTGCCGGAGGGTACATGAGCCTCGCACCACGCCGCAGAACTCGCCATGTCCTTCAGGTAGAGCGCAGGCCAGCGCGATGAGACAAGGAACTGGCTTCGGTTGTACGTCGCTTCCATCCGCGGGTACAAGAATGTATAGTCCAAATCGTGTGTTAGGTGCCTCGGGTAGTCGGGGCAGGCGGTGATGATGTTTGTGGGGAGGACACGGATACCTGAAGCGGAGAATGGGCGAGGGAGAAAGAGTAGAGTGAAGGGTGGGTTGAACATGAAGTTCTCGGTGCGCTCTGGCGTCAACATGGGATCTGGTGTCACCATGGACGTTAGAGGGAAGGGCAGGTTGCGCATGAACCTTTCGAGACGATCTGGCCGATCTGGCGGTACCATGGACGGTAGAGTGAAGGTTGGATCGAGCATGAAATTCTCGGGGAGATCTGGCGTCACCATGGACGGCAAGACGATGCGTTGGGTTGAAGCTGACACCATTATCAGTGACTGTTGATGACTGTTGAGAGAAGTTACTGTTGAGAGTAGAATGCAGTGGACGAGTATGGAGGGGTTCACATTGACGCCCGCTGCTTTTTATACTGGCGCTGGCACCTATGGCCCTTCCATCTCTCGACAATGACCACCAGACAGCCAACGATCGAGATGGCGAGCTCAAATGGCCATACCCCATACCTGGCCCATCATCCCCCAGGTTACCGGCCAATACGGAGATAATTGCCAGTACGTTGAAGCTCCCCCTGTTGCTAGCAGAAGAGATGGCCTTTCATCCCTTCGGTATCGACGCTCGGACCCAACAGGCAGCGCATCAGCGAAACAAAATAAGCACAACAGCGCACACAGAAGGAAACACGCACAAGGTCAGAACTTGACGCGCCCCGTTCAATAACAATAACAATCTCCTTTTTACATCCAAGGATTGAGCTATGCAGACCCACGCCTTACCGTAGCGATGGACAGAAATGGAAGATTGGCTGGCAGTGTTAGTCACGGTGCTCAATAACGTCACGGGACATGGATTAAGCTCTCCCAGAAACACACTATACATGGGCTCAAAGGCCCTTTTTACATCCCCTCCCCCCGGGCCAACCAACCCCTCGGCGGTCGTACCCCCTCCCAAAAACCCCAACCTACATCTGCCCTCTCCGCATCAAATTCCTCCTCACCCTCCTCTTCTCCCCACCAATAACAGTCCCACTCACATCACCCCGTCCCCACTGCAAATACGGCACCTGCGACTTTCCAGACGGGTCCACCACAACACCATTATCCGCTGACGAATGCGAGCCCCATGCGCGCCAGTCCAACAGTCCCCATACGGGCATCTCCAACTCGCCTTTCACCCACGTCCTAGCTGCAGGGAGGTACGATGTAGGAACCGGTGTGAGGACTTGGAGGAGTGGTGTCTGGTTGTCGCTTCCGTGCTGTGATTGCGGATCGACGAGGTGAGGAGCAACACCACGCACAAGGGCCAAGCCCACGCAAGTAGAGGTGTATGGCGATGGGGGCGCGGATCCCTGGATGTAAGGTATCCCAAGAGGCGGCCCTTCACCCTGTTTGTCGGTTACGCGTTCGTCGTTCCCGCCGTCGGGTCCACCAACTCTGATAAGGGCCACAACCGCCCCATTCACCGCCCTGCCAATCTCGCTGGGTACTACATCCTCATACCCAGCTCCAGCGAGGACGACTCTATCCAACGCAACCGAAACGTCCACTTCGTACGGCGGGATGGCGAGGAGAGGAGCTGAAATCGACCAATGCGAGATTCGGGTATCGAACTTCGACTTCGTTTCGGGAAAGACGCCGTAGAAATACGAAAGCAGGGTTAACGTTCGATGGTCTGCCGCCGTGAAGCGCTGAGATTGCCGGTTCCTCGATCCGCTATCGTCTTCAAGATTCAGAGGTGGTTGGAGATGGTACACCTCCCTCTGTACGCCATTCTGGCTGGGTCCAACTAGCATCCCCATCCCTGATCCTCCTCCAAAATCATTGGCGTTTCCGAATGCGCCCACCCCGCCTTCTCGATCGCTGCTCTCGCGATCCTCGGGATTTCCGGTAGCTTCGAAACTGAAAACGACGGACGGATGAGAGACTTCTTCAATACGCCTCGTCAAGTCTCCTCCGAGACCTTTGGTCCAGCCCATGGTGTTGACGATGAGGGGCACGATGTGGTCGATTTTTTTCCGGGGCGCGGAGGTATTGTTTTCGTCCTGATCCATGGCTTCATCGTCCTCTTCATCAGAATCGAGGGAGCCGCTGCCCCTCTCGACCTCCGATTTGTACTTGTCGAGGAGTGCTTCGACGGCTTCGAGATAAAAATCGGGCGAGGACCGGGGCGTTGTGGATCCAACAAAGTGGGCGGCGTATGGGACGGAGAGATGTGTAAACGGTGGGCCTAATGAAGTCATTCAGCTATGGGCGAGAATAACGAGGAAATGGACACGCACCGAAGACTTCATTCCCAACTACACTCAAACTGACCATCCCAGGAGGGGTAAACTCCGTCTGACCAAGATCACAGTCCAAGAACGCTACTTTTTCGTAGATGCCCAATAGTCGATTAAGAAGTGTCCGTGCTAATGTCGATTTGCCTGTGTTTCGAGGGCCTTTGACGACGTAGACGGGTGCGTCGCCAGATGAAGCGCTTTGGTGTGAATTCTTCAGAGCCTTGTCGAGGGCATCTGACCATGATGCGGGGAGGACGAACGGGGTAATATCTCGAGTTTGTCGGTACACCTGCAGATGTATTAGAACTTCAAATATGCACAGGCAGAAGGAACGTACGATGTGAACACCGGGAATACCCAAGTCTCCAACACCTTCCTCCTGCATCTGTTTCTGCCATTTAGAAGGCTCGAAGACGCCTTCGAACGACCTACACACAACTCCCAAGCGTTCCACGGCAGACGGGAGGTGCTGGAACACGAGAATCGCCCCCACGCCTTCAGCTTCGCCGTCACTTTCCAGCAACTCGCGAACCCGCGGCGGGAGGTTATCCAACCCGGATGTCCTCCCCTTTCCCTCGAACGAACAGCGAATGACAGGGAGCGGCGACGAGCTCGGGGAATAGATTTTGTGCGTTTTCCGAGGTGAGGAATGGATGGTGGTTCCGAGAATCGAGATGGATCCGTGCAGGACGGTGAGGGAGCAGGTGCCGAGAAGGCAAAGCGTCTCGTGCGGCGAGAGGACGACAAGTGAAGTCGCGAGAGAGTTCGAGGACGAAGGGAGGTTGAAGTCTTCTGGCGAGATTTGGAAGATATTCTTGTCGAGGACAGGGCGGAATGTAGAAAGCGTCGAAGGCTCTGAGGGTGGAGCTGTCGCTGGAGGCCGGGACAAAAGACTGAATCGGTTCATTTGGATGATATCCAGGTCCATTCCTCCCTCTTCTTCCTCACTTGAAGAACCAGCGTCTTCTTCGTCCTTCGCAGAGCGAGTGCGAGTGGGTTGGATCAAGGTGACCCCGTCGTCGTCGTCCAATTCAAGGTCGTCGTCCTCATCATCTTCCTCCGAGCTAGAATCAAGTTCGATGACATCCTCCTGGCGTCCGAACGAGTCTCCCTCCGTCTTCTGAGCATCGCTAATCGAAAAGTAGCGCTCCGGTTGGCGGGACCGTTTCGAATTTGGTTTATTCTGTTTGGAACTGCCTCGTCTGGAGCCAGGCTTGGACCTCGGTTTGGTACTGCTCGAACTCTTCGTTTTCGCCTTTTTGTTGCTCGAAGACGCCGGATCGGACGAAGGTGACTTGCGCTTCGAAGTTGGTTTCGAGGTTTCTCGATTTTGAGGCTCCGGTGCTGGAGATGCGCTCGAGCTAGCCTCTGCAGAAGTTGACTTTGCAGCGGCGGCAGCCCTTCTGGCTGCTACAGCACTGATCATATCGACCAATAGCCGCAGTTAGAGAAAACGAGAGAGAGGAGGGCATCATGGTTGCACCAATCGCATTGGCTTGGCACGCGGGGACGAAAACTTGCGATCACGTGTCGCGATCAAGACGCGTGATAGGGGCATTGGGCATCGATGCGTCGCGTTATGGCAGCCTGGAGGGGACAGAACGAGACGGCTGTCTCTCCAAACGTCATTTTCATAAAGAAGTAGGGCCTCAGGCTCTATAGGAGTTAACCTGAATTCCATATACGCGCATGTAGTCTGAGGGAATGTTAATTCTTGGTATATTAGGTCAGCACTAGCGGTTTGGACATCTGTAAGAAACCTACGTCTACGTACAATCCCACTGACACCGACTATGGGATTATCGATTATATCTTTACCTTAGTTGCCAATAGATATTATCTATAGGCCCATACTGCGACAAATGCCCGAGTCTGCTGTCGACCCTCGATTGACGGTCCCAAGAGAGTGCGGGCCCACCTTGCGCGGGTACAGGACGTTTAGTTCTGACCGGTGCGACGAAGAGAAAGGGAAGAAGGAAGGAAAGGACGTGGATATCCCCAATTCCTCTTCTTCTTATACCATCGCTCGAGCCAGGAGCAAACAATGCATAACAAGTGATCGGGATGCGGAAGTGCTTGACATCTCATCGGCTTGTACCAAGTTGGTCGAGGCAGACCTGCGCTTTACTTGAAGCTTCAAATTTAAGTGTTCACAGAATGCCAAAGTTCCAATTCTGCGCATTCAGCAGCTTGGCTCGTCTAAACACAGGTTCCATTTCAGGGACAGCTGCACAATTGTCAAAGAAGAGTACTAGTTCATTTTCGTTTTCGAATCTTTTGTCAAGCATCACCTTCGACAAACATCGCTCGTCACGGGGACGAGTGCTTCGCGGGGCCTCAACCCAGTTACTTCGCTCGAGGACTTTGGACAAGCCTTCGAGTGAACTCAACCAAGGCTCTGCAATCACGAAAACCCGTCAACCACTCAACAAATACGCAAAGCCTCTTGACCACGTCCACATACCTAACAGGTCGGCCAGGCATGCCCTTCTCTTGGTACTCAGTAGACCGAGTGGCCGACAGAACCCCATTCCTTCAGTACCCGTATCTAACCTACCGTTGATCTGAGCCTTACCTCCATAGCACTCGCCATATCAATATGCGCCCACTTGATCTTGGGCTATCACATGGTCCTCCGTTAGATACTTATACGTTGTACAAAGCCAGGATCATCATTCCGGTTGGATTCCGCATAGAAGCGTTACGATATAGCCACCATTCTTGTACTTTCAACCCCGATGGAGAAGGTAACTGCGTCGAAGGGGATTCAAGGACGATCTTTATCAACCTTCCGAGCCTTTGTTCCCGAAATCAAGCGTGTTGCACACCGCCCAACGAACACCATCAATCATTCTGTACTGTTATGGGCGCCTACAGCAGTATCACAGCCTCGTGTTGGTTTTAAGGTTAGGAGATTATTCACGGCCGGTACACAGCCCACACCTACCATTCCTCCTCGTGTCGGTGACCCTCAGACTTCTCTCGCTGGGATGGCGATCTACATCCTGTCTCACATCATTCCCTGGAACGCGAGCTACTCCACCCCGGATGGACAAGTAATCTACAGAATACAAACGTCTTCCGATATCTGGAGGCCGCGAAAGGCTGTAATCGAAAAGGCAATCTCTAACAAAGGTAAGTACGACATGCCAAGGTGGAGCTCGCCCATTGATTTTGGGAATCCTGTTACAGAATTTGGAGAGGAAGAACAGCTTACAAGGCTGGGCGAGATCGAATTCCATGTCTTGAGGTCATCAAAGATCACGTTGGGGGACGTATGCAGGGCAGCAGGGGATATATTTCGGAAAAGAGGTTTAGGGTGCTACGGCCGGGATAGAATATTCCAAGGGCCCGACGGTACAGAGTACCGGTGGGAGCTGGGGCCATTCAAATCTAGGGTAAGGCCCTCCAGTCCTTATGCTGTAGTTCTCGGTGCTTACGGTATGAGCTGCTCGTGAAACAGCTTTGGTTGAACGACGGGTCGAAAACAATTGTTGCAAAATATCATCAAGACCACTACGGGCTAACGAGGGACGCATGCTCAACCTCGTTGGAGATATTTCCTATTGGCGAACACATCACAGACCTTATCATCGTTACGTTTGTGTACATCGAGTTCATTCGGCTAGGACGAGAAGAATTCAGTGAAACTTTCTGAAAGAATACCAGGGACACTATTGTTAATTGCTGTTATCGTAGATATTCAAGTGTAATCATAATAGAGTGATTGTGGCGGGATCATGCAACCAAGAATAGGAGCGAGGGCTTTGATTACTAGAAGCTATGTGCGCAATTGGTGAGGAATTGGATGCGCTCGATGGGATATCGCTCAAACGGATCGTTCGGTTATCTAGAACTATTTTAAATGGATTTCATTGTTGGTTCAAGAAAGGTGCGGAAACACTGAACAGTACTACCAGGGATCCTCTGGCTTGTATCCAAGAATTGGAACCAGGATGTTTAACTCGAAGTTGTATGTGATCGCAAGCAGTCGAATGCGGTCGATAAAATACTTCTCCAAAACGTGTTTGAGGTAATCCGAGTTATTCTTTCGTTTCCCAAGCCGGGTGTACGAAGACACGACTCTTTTAGCCATCTCGCGGACGATCCATTCTCGAGTTACGGGTCTTCCAGAGGCGGCAGGACTGCGTACAACGACTTGCTCTATTTCGCCGAAAATATCGACGTGAAATGTGTACTGCGGGTAGGTGGGGAAATCGGGACCAGCGCAAGACTCCTCCGAGAGATACAATTCAAGCCAGCCAGGATGAATCAGATCAACGACAAAGGGCCCATGGTACTCCCCCTCTTTGGATAGCATCAAGACATCGAAGGAATTGCTATTACCCGTGATCTCGCCTGTTGACCGGTCGTTGCGTGGTAGAATCAGAGAATACTCAATGCCTGGGTCCGCTTCAATATCGTTGCTGAAGATGACCGGTAGCCTTCGAGGAACTTCAAGTGAAACCGCCATGAATGGCGCAAGGGAGGAGATCCGGGCTTTGTTAAAATTATGCCTTCCCATTGTGTATGTGGGTTGCGAAGGATTCCAGAGCTTGCCAATTGGTCGGAAAAATGGGAGCGAGCAGACTGAGGCTCTTTTCATGGCAGCGACCCTTTATATGTGTCTGACCAAAGCTCTGCAGACTCGGAGGCAAAGTTCAGTGGCGACAGCCACGCTTTGACTCCTTTCTACTTTTGTCCTTTGTTCAAATAGGTCAAGGGCCAAGCGCCCTGCACTGAAATATGCACTGCCAGTGTGTGGCACTTTGATTTGACCACCCCATTCAGGAGCTTGGTCCTGACTTGGTCGTCAAAGAGCCATCATCGTTACTACCGCCAAAGACATCGTGTCCGCCCCTTCGATGAAATGTATGGCCGGGGTGATGCGCAAAGATTTACATTCATGATTCCCTCTTTACCGTTATCCCTGTATGTAGAGACTGGGTATGGAAGGAAGGGGCCACGCCGAGCTTTCGCTGCTTCAGCTGAATCGAACAAAAAGATCTTGGACCAAAAAAGCGTCACCTGAGCGATTCGAACACTCGCGGTCAAAGACCAACCGCTTTGCCTGGCCCGAAGGCCAATAGCAGGCGATCCCGTTAACCACTCCGGCAAAGTGACCTGCAGACGAAGGCCATTTAAATGTTTATATGTACATAGAGGCACGTTTTATTTAGGCGCTCGGGCGCTTCCACTGACGGATCAGCAGACTCAGGAGGGGAAGCCACAAACGCATGGTTCTCGGCACTTCTAGTATCTCCTTGACATTGAACGATTGAGTCTGCAGTATGGTGTATTTAAGACCCTGCATCAATTGAAAGTGCGCAGTAACGTAGAACAGTTTGACAGTCAGACCTGGTTCTCTTGGGATTATCCGGCATGGCGTCGGTATACACTCCATGACTTTAGACAGACTTGGGATGAAGCATTCGACTGGCAGAGAGATTACAGGGGAGAGTACAACTAGCTACAGTATCCAGGAAGAATGGGCGGTGTCCATCAAGACTTTCCGGTCCAGACGGATAAACTGTACCGAATGGTAAGTCAACAACAACAACAACAACAACAACCCTCGGTAAGTTCGATGCCACGTACATAGATCAAGCATCCAAGTCCTCGTAATCGCGGGCATCCAAATCGAAGTCGTCGAAGCCCCTGCTTTCTAGGATGTCTTCATAATCTCGGGCTTCGAGGAACTCCTCAAGATCCCTGGCGTCCAAATCTTCGAAATCTCTGGCATCCAAGTCTTCAAAGTCTCTGCTTTCAAGGTCGAAGTCGTAGTACTCGCGAGCTTCAGCAAGGCCTTCGTCGAAATCGCGGGCCTCGATGTCGGTTAAATCATCCCCGAATCCCTGCGCGGAGACGAGCGCCAACCCGGCGAGAAGAGAGAAAAGAGTGAAGGAGAAACGCATGGTGCGGCTTTGTTTTGGGTGCGGGTGGGTTGGGTAGGTAGGGTAGAACGATATCGCTTGGTTGAGGTGTGTGTAAGTGTCACAGTCGTTATATATCTTACAGAGATTCGTTGGCTATGCACCGGAGCTTAGACTGGTCTACTACCTTGTATAGGGCGCCATCAGCATCATGATGAAGTGAGAGCATCGTGTCAACAGATCTCTCTCTATATATATATAATCTACCGCGCCGTGAAGCCCACTAGTCTAAGTAGGGAAGAGTGGGCTCCTTCCAGTTTCCTGGTAGTGGATTGAGCTAATACAGGAAAATTCTGGCCTGGACGCCAGTCTCGCGGCTTGGGCGCTTATCACTCCGTCCCGCTTAGACTCACTCCTAACCCCTCTGCGAGAGTTAGTACTAGCAGAAATTACGGAGTGGAAGTCAAGAGTTGGCGAGCTCCACAATTCTCAAATGCAGTGGGGTTGTGGTGAGTGGGCGTCGAATGGGCGCTGTTGCTATCCGAGGAATCGGGCGGTGGGGAAGCCCTCAATTACTCGATTGGCAAGTGGCTATTTCTGCAAGCACGTCACGGTTTCAACAGGTTGCCTCATCAATCCACCATCGGTCAGGTTAAATGTCAAGGTATTCGAATTCAACATAAGTATACAAATGGGATATCAGTACATACAAGAAGAATGCGGACATAAAAATACAATGGTGGAATTGGATAGCGCTGAAAGCATGTAACCTTGAATCCGACAAACCCGTGATGATACATCGTGAACAAGTCAAATCACAAAGCCAAACGATATCGAAAGCTGAGATGGTTAATACTCGGCCAAAGGGATGACCTTGCCTGTAAAGCAGAGATCGGATGAGCAAGCGGCCTCCACGGTGATAGTAGGGCGGTGAGAGCATACCGATATCACAGAATGGAGATTTCTTCTTCCTTCCAAGAAGTTCGACGCTTCCACTATCGAAGAATGAATAACCGGCTGCAGAATCTAAAATGAGAACACAATCCCGATATCAACATAGCCAGGGAAACTCACGCATGGGGACGATCTCCTCTTCATCAGACGAATCCGAGGTAGCACCATTGATGGGTCGACCAGTCTTGCCATCACGCAGAACACCCAAGTGGTCGACGAAGGGAGCTGGGCGTGCATTGGCAGCGCGGTGGAGTTGGACCAACATCCGCTGGATCTCAAGGAGATAGTTCTTGAGGGTATCCAGGTATCGCCGGGTCTGTAGGTGCTTCGAGGATGCGCAGCTAGATGGATGTCGTCAACAAACAATCGAGATCAGGATATGAATAGAATACGTACATCGAGATACCATCCTCCTTGATGATGTACCCAAGACCATAGCCTTCAGCAGCAACGGGGCCAAAGCCAAACAGCCTTAGGGCTGGGTTGCCGCAGTTGGACGTCGAGAGGATTGAGGTGCAGAGCTGGGGCCAGCCGGGGTCGGTGAAGATAGCGGGCATCTTGCTGGCTGCAGCAGGTTTTGGTGCAGGATCGTCGGGAGATGGATTGATGTTACCTTGCAATTCCCGTTGTAGGAGGCAGTACAAGGCGTAGAGGTGGCTGTGGCAACATGGTTAGAGGATGTCGCTTGGTGAACGAATCGAATGAGTTCTTACCGATCCTGACCGAGACCCTGAGCGCACTCCTTGGTCAGCTTGGAGTGTCTCTCACAAGCCTTTCGGAGGGCGTTGACCTTCTCATGAGGGGTAGCGTCGGAATAGAAGGTCTGCAACGTAAATGTACGTCAGTGCACCTTCTTTGCATGAAATGCAGCGGAAACTCACCTTAGTGAACGCTACGCTCTCGGGCTGCACAGAACGAATGGCTTCAGTGCGACCATGCAAGAAGGCCTTGGTCATGGCAGGCTCATAAACACATTCGATCCGACCTGCATGTGTTTAGACATCGGCAAAGTAGAATAGCGCGGAGCAGACTCACCATATAAGCCAAAGTAGGCAGCTTGGAACGCCATCTGGACAAAAGCATCGGGACTGAAGCCATGGCTCGTGATAAAATTCTTGCCATAGCCCTTGAATTCCAAAGCCTGGCAGTCGTTCTGGCAGATCAAATCGCTGAGCCTAGTCTCAGCAAATCGAACTCCAGCACGGAGCTCCCGTGAGAGCTTCCACTCAAGCTTCTTCGGGGTGGTATCGATGGACTCCCTAGGGCTCACGGGAGAGTCACCGCGTGGGGGTTTGTACGACTTGGCGTATGGTGAGAGTTTGGCATGGAACATCGTAGGCGCAGAAGGGTTGATGGATCGTGCGAGCAGCATGAGACCCTCGGTGAAGACGTCAGCTGCGAATCGAAGCACAGTGTGACCGTCCACGCCTGTGTGCTCGAAGTTGATACCAGCCGCTCCATCCGCACAGACGATGATTTGGAGCTTTGGAAACCTGTTGAATACGAACCCCGATCAAACAGAACGTAGACCTTACCTTATCGTACCAACGGTTCGTGCATGTACCAACCTGCTCACCACCCTCCAACCTGTAAGTGCCACAGAGGAAGTTGCTGCAGAGATCAGCGAGGTTTTCGGGAGCCGTGTCGTCCAAGCAAACGATGAAGAGAGCATCGTCGACTACTTCCAAGCATGCCTGGTTGTTGCGGTCGGCGATGAGCATTTCCCGGAGAGTGGACCATGTCTTGCGGTTTTCCGTCGTCAGAACACCGATGGAGTTCCGGGCAACCTCACCAGGTTACAACAGAAATCAGGAGGGTTGCTCGAAAGAATAAGAACCACGGATACCTACTTGGCAAGGATCAATCTTATCTGCATCCGAGACGATGGCTTGCAGGTTGCGGAGAATTTCCCGTTCGGTGAGGAGTGGTCGATTGTCCTCGTCGATGACATCGAACCAGTCTTCGAAGAATTGGTTAGTCGAGTGCTCCCCAAGAATGAAAATGCCAACGCACAGAATTGGCCTCGCCGAAGTACGACAATGTGTCTCGATTCGGGATGAACATCCATCTTGCAACCACGCTGAACGAATGGTAAGCGAATGGACGGTGATAACGGAACTCGGGGAGCATGCTCACGCTAGTAGGAATTCGTGCTGCTCCAAACAGCCTTGTGTACTGATCCATGTCGAGGGGTGTAGATCGAATCATGTCAGGTTCGAGGAGACCTGCCCGCAGGTCGTGGATGAAACCGAGAGAGGAGATGATGAGTGACGCTGCCCGAGGAAGTTGGGCACCACGATCAGGCGTTGGGTCATTTCTGAAAACGCAATTGAGCTATGCGTCAGAACCAACAAGGCACCAACTTACTCGAGGACGAAGAAGGGGTTGAGGGCCAACACTACCGGGTCGCTGTGTGAGAGGTATGATTCATACCTGAGAACGGAGCGTCAGCGACCCGCATTTGGCCATAGCCGCCGAAGAAGCCTCACCAGAACTCTTCAATATAACTATCGAGGGAAATTAGCCCTGCGGGTCACGGCGAAGAAGAAGTACGACGCACCTATCCTTGGTTTTGGCCCAGTCTATCAGCTTCTGTTGGATGACGGGTCCTTCGTTCTCCAGGAAGTCCTTCACAGCAGTCTTGGTGGCTTCGTGCTCCTCCGGATCTTGCAAAGCGACGAGCGCCCGTAGGTATCTCTTACAGGTATCCTCGAGAGGTGGGATCGGTAACTTGGGGAGCCGATCCTGGTAGGCGAAGGTTTTCCCGGCAGGTTTATCCTTGACCATTGCGGTTGAGGTTGACGGGGCAGTCCCGTTGATAACCAGCCCTGGCATAGCTGTTTCGGTCGTCTGACTGGTGATTGGTTGTGGTTGGGATTGAGATGGAGGTACAGTCGAAGAAGAAGAAGTTGGCGAGGAAGAAGACGGAGAGAAGACGCGAGCCAGGGAGGTGAGGAAGGTGGAGTTCAGCATGGAGACATCATGGGCCAGAAATAAGTAGTCGAGCGGGGCTTTACCTATTATCAGCCATGGCAATCGGAGCTCCTTTCTGTCACACACCGCCAAGGCTCTCGGATCGGCGGGGAAATGCGGGGAAGGTGGGGTCGACTGGCCGCCTGAGCCTTATCCCGGCCAACAAACCAATGGACAAGCTTGAATGACGGAAGTCAAGCTTATCGGAGGATTTAACCAGCAGGCTGAACCATATGGCTCCCTGGGGTATGTGCACACTCCCTTCCGCTGTTTCTTGACGTTTGTGGATCAGGAAGGAGGCTGTTTCAATCGAAAAACACGGACTCGTGCTCCTCGCCGCCACTGGAGCGGACGGAACCCAATTTGGAATGTCGGGCGCTCAACACCAACAGCTGCATTGTTGCAGAAACCCAATGAGGTTAGACCCCTAGTCTCCTTTACATTCACATCACTTCAAGCTGTGAGCAACCGTTTGTCAATCACATCGTCTCACGTACCGACAAGCAGACTTCACAGACCTCTGACGGAGCCACTGAAATCTACGACATCGCGGACGTCCGTTGCGGACACATTGAGCGCTACGAAGCCGAGGAATTTGAGAACGGAGGTTCGGACGATGGCAAAAAGTAGAAGAGCTCCATCAATCGTCATTGGGCCGAATGCTCCAGCGGCCAAAGCCATGGGAACCAAACACGATATGCGGCAACCACCGACGCTCAGCGGAGCACTGTCCGGCGTAACGAAGATCCTTGAAATGCTTGGAAGGAGCAAGGAAGTAGTAGAACGGCTTAAACGGGCACCAAAAACTCATTATTGCGCAACCTGTCGATGTTCTAATCTGCAGTGAAGCATTCTGGATAAGAGATATGTAAGATACATGGGGATCGGGGTATCCGACGCAACCACAATCGGCATCGGTTTGTGCCATCTCGAAAGAAGCGCCTGGGCATTCTGCGATACTAGTCCTCACATCCACAGACTGACAAGGGTCCGGCGAGACATCTGCAACATCGGGATTCTCAGCAGGATTAGACACAAGGTCGAACCTAGCACCCACGGCATGATCTTCGCGCAAGGCGCAAGAACCTGACCCCGTCCTCCCAGAGATAACATGCCGACTTGTTCACAGGGTCTTCCTCGTCGTTACAAAGGTGATCCAGGAAAGGGTCAGCTGATAGGCTTAACGAAACGACTAGAATGAGGAGAAACCCGTCAACATTCCGGGGATTCACCATTGCCAGGGCGTGCAGAAGACGCGATTTAGATTCCGACCACGAGCGGTTGAATAGGGTTGAATGGGCGACCATGATGGAACCTCCCCCCATAGCGTCCTCCATTCATTCGCGCAAGCCTATAAATAGGATCGAAGACCAAAGTTACCAGTCGCCCGGATGCCCTGAGTAAGAGAAGCCATTCACAGACAGAACGGTCTAGATACAGGTAAACAACGCTAGACGAAATCGCTAATCATAGTAGGACCACCTCTGACACGGGGTCCTTGTCTTCGGCTGCACCGAGGGAATTTATTTGCTTTGCGACAGAGGACCTTCGCTTCTTTGCTCGAGAGAAGCTTCGAAGCAGATTCCAGAAGGAAATTTGCTTCTCGCGGAAGGTGCGATTAGCGCCTGAGGCCGCACAACAGATGGTGAAGCCGTCGGGGAGGGCAACATCACTCAGCCAGTCACCGAAACCTGACAAACTTGACGATGGTGGCCCCTTCTGAACCGCTTCGATGTAGTTCAAGTTGTACTGAAGGCCAATATGTCAAGAACAATGAAAGTTTGTAGAGGAACATTGAACTCACATGTAGCAACCCATCACTGCTAGATTCCATGGCCGCATCGATGCAATAAAGGACTTCCGGGAGCTTCTGGGCACTCCGCACACTCCGCCATAGTGCACTGAGCACCCTACGTTATCGCCTTGGAACTCTGCCAGTGCTGCATCACAGGCCTTCGATTTCATCGAGGGCTCCATGTACTCCCAAGTGCGGTGAAAGGTGGAAACTGCCCCGCTCGAAGGTTTTACGAAGCCTTTCCAATCCAACAATTGGACGTCGAGAGACAGAGAAGCATCGAAAATCATGATTCTCAGGCCTAAGATCCTCGAAATCCTTTCTTGTCAGTCGAAGGCAGGGCAGCGAAATGGTGGCTGGGGCTTCGACTTCCATCAAAATGCTCCGATTGACGCGGTGGTAATATCAGCGCGCGCGTTCGAGAGCCCTATTCCGGGTTTCACGCGTCTCGACGCGGCGTCGCCTAGACCGGTGAGGACATTGGTTTTCATGGATCGCTTGTATGGTGGAGTAGTGCCCAAAGGCACTACTCCAACTTACTTAGACTAGAGCACTCTTAGACGAGCATAGAGACACACACAGACGATTAGATTAGATCAGATTACATAATCCGTAGACTACAGCGAGCACGTAGACATACAGGGTAGATAGAACCAACCAATACGACAGACTCAACGACCTATTCTCCCTCTCCAATGGGCAATCATCCTGGTACAATTGCTTATCAAATCTAATGGTTTTATCGAGGCCAATGTTTAGGCTCCTGGCACTGAACCTGTTTCTATTAAAACATTTCCGAACGATGGCATCGTCACATCCCCATTCCAGGAGGTGGAGACACGCATGAATGGCCTTCATCTCTTCCCTCTCTGGTATATTGTGCCTTCGTCGGGTCGGGGAACTGCAAGTCAGAGCTTACTATCTTCCCTGCTTGCCAATGCGAGCGTACGAGGCCACTTCGGGCACAGGCTCCGGAGACCAGGGCGCCCACGAGATACACTTTCTCCGGGTGGATGCTGGCGTCGGTTCTATCACGCTGAATGTTGACATGACCATGTAAAGCACACACTGGTACAGGATGCGCCCTTCCGACTGGCCCCATTCATAGTCGACGATATCGGGGAAGTCGGGAGATTTCCCGACGGCATCCAACGTTGTGGCTAACGAGAGAGCCCTCTCTGGGTCAAGAGAAATGCATGCTGGAACCGCACATGCGAACCCGTTTACTAACCACCACTCTGGCTCGGCTGCGATTGCGAGGATTTGCTCATCGGAAGCATCTTCCGCGGCGAACACAACAAAGACTCTATCGTCTGAAGGCATTAGGTGAGTTCTGTTGAGGCGATTGGCCACTCTGGTTAAATAGTCGCACATTTTCAGGCATTATGTGTACACATGTCAGTAGACTCACCCGAGCGGTGCGGAAATGGGATGATCGTATTCGATTTCTCGAAATGCTTCAATAAGCGCCCGCGCTATTGCATCCGATCGTGCAGGGGAAGCCACGTGCGATACTTGCTTGGCACGTTCGTGGGGTTCTGCGGGACCGACGAATGCGTAGGGCACACGACCGTTGATTTATCTGTCGACGATGCAGCTGAAGACAGGCTTCACCACACCCCTTCCACTGCCACACAATGTCTTTCTCAGCGTTGGTTAACCGTGGTATCCAGCGGGCGATAGGGCGAACACCGGACGACGCTGAGGACTACGACAGGGCCAATGGGGACCAGGCATACCAGGCCAACACCTCCAAACTATCGACACGACTTTGGGATGTCCTTTGCAGGACGTTCGATCTTGGGTTTATTGGCTTTGGCGGACCACCCGTCCATTTCCAGATCTTCCACAGGAGGTTCGTAGAAGGGATGGGCAAGACACCGTGGATCGACGAGCAGACGGTGAGTCGATAATCTTCCGAGTAAGTCGAGTAACCAGTTCTAATTTCCTCAACAGTACCAGGAAATATTTGCGATTTGCCAGGCCCTACCGGGGCCAGGATCAACCAAGATGCTGTTCACAATAGCCCAAATCCATGCTGGATTGTTGCCTGCCATCTTCGTATTCCTACTGTGGTCCCTTCCTGCAGGCATTGCAATGTACGGGCTGGCGTTGGGAGTACAAAGGATCTCCACAGTCCTTCCAGAGCCCGTATACGCCCTCCTCTCCGGCCTCAACGCTGCCACCGTCGGTATCATCGCCTTGGCCGCCGTCCAGCTTTCACGGAAAGCCATCACCGACCAGGTCACTCGACTCCTCGTCGTCATGGGTGCCTGCGCAGGAATGTGCTACAATGCCCTCTGGTACTTCCCCGTACTCATGGTCATCGCTGGTATCGTCACCGTCGTCTGGGACATGTGGCTACGCGGCTCCATTGCACGATTCAAGGAAAGGCGCAAACGAGTAACCAACCCTTCCATCACCCCAGAACCCCTCGCTGAAAACGGCATGGCAAGCCCGACCACATCCAACCACCATGAAACAGACATGAAAGCCGATGCAGCCTCATCTCTCCACCGCCGACAGCCACAGACGAACGGGTCCGACATCGAATTGGTAGAACGCACCAGCACGGCCGACGGCGCGCAATCCGCCAAATCAGCCTCTCCAACGCCCACTCCAAAACACGAGCTCAAAGGGCACGGCATCCCCGTCAAATACGGGCTGGCGCTCATCGTCCTCTTCTGGGCCGCCTTCACAGCCCTCATGGTCGTCCGCGGCACACTCGACACCCCACCCCTCCTCCTCGCCCTCTTCAACAACATGTTCCTCGCAGGCACCATCATCTTCGGCGGCGGACCCGTCGTCATCCCCCTCCTCCGCGAATACGTAGTCGAACCCGGCTGGGTCTCCCCACGCGACTTTCTGCTCGGCCTCGCCATCATCCAGGCCATGCCAGGTCCCAACTTCAACTTTGCGGTCTACCTCGGCGCGTTGGCTGTGTTGAGCGACGGCGGGAGCAAGTCGCCTGGGATGATGTTCGTGGGCGCTCTGCTCGCTTTCATCGGCATTTTCACCCCTGGAATCTGGCTTTCGGTTGGGTTCCAGTCGATCTGGAGAGCCTTGCGCTCGAAGCCCATTGTCACCTCATTGCTGAGGGGCGTAAACGCGGGAGCCGTCGGCCTGGTCTTCACAGCCGTTTACCGTCTTTGGGAGATTGGGTTCTTGACGGTCGACTCCAACCGGGGGGTCAGTCTGGGGAAGGAACCTTGGTGGCTGGTCGTCGCTGCCTCCACCTTTACCGGTGTCGAGTGGTTCTCGGTACCACCGCCTGTCGCCATCATGCTGGGCGGCGTGGCTGGTTTGGCGTGGTATGGCGTTGTCAGTCAGTAGGTTCGAATAGTTTTTAGTTAAGTTTTGTAATGCATCGGTCGGAACGTTTTCCGATTAGATACTGATGTCCTTTTCAAAGCGGAGCTTCAGGGGGAAGGGGCCGGTTAACCGTGAAAAATGGGTGAACGTTGCCTGTCGGGTTCTCTGTAACGGCCGCCCACTGAACACGAGTCCGAACTGTCACATTCAGTTAATTGTGTGTTCTTTGTGAAAGGCTGTTTCCCTACTGACAAGCGAACACACACAGGTGTACAGCTCCTGAGAAAACCGTTGACGGTAGCGCCATATATACTGTCACCGCGTTCAGTTCAGATTCACAACGCTCTCTACAAGATGTCTGAAGAAATCCTCTCAGTCTTCGCTGCAGACGATGCTCCAGACCAAATCCTGGCCCAGATCAAAGCTAAGCCAGAGTGGTGGGTGGTAAACGAGTTCGTATGTGCCTTTCCACCATATGTTGCTCGTCACCCGGGGAGGGCCCTCTCGGTTGCCACAACGTTGGACACCGTCGGTAAATCTCCCAACTTCCCCCATATCGTTGACTACGAGTGGGGGCCAGTCTGAAGGGCGCATCCTGTACGAGTGTGTGCTGGACATGATCACCTCCACATTCAACGTAATCAACTTCGACACCAGCATCCACCCGGAGAATGGCTATCTCGTGGGTGCCCTGGTCTCCGGCGCCTGTACCCGAAGTGGCCTCCTACGCTCGTATCAGCAGTCAGGGGAGATAAGCTCTGGCTTGCAATTTCCCGACGAAGGTGTCGATCCAGATGCCACACCGGAGAGGGAAGAGATGAAGGCCATTCATGCATGCCTCCACCTTCTGGCATGGGGTTACGATGCCATCGTTTGGAACGAGCTCCCGGAAGTCGATCTCATCCTTCCCGCGCTTTTGGCCATCGAGCAGAAGGGGATCATAAAGCACCCAGGTGGAAGGAATCTTCTTGAGGTGTGTGTACCCTTGCATTCTTGATACCATAAAGTAACTTCTAGCCTTGTATTCAGAGAACTATCAAGGAAGCTCGAAACAATTTCCCGGAGGATATACCGCTGGAAGAGATCTGGTCAATCCTATTCCCCCAAGCTGCCGCCGACGTCGACTCTCCGTGCCAAAGTGCAGCTGACAATGATATTTTGGAGTAAATTGCACCAATTGCATCACATACTATTGGAATGTATACACTGGACATACTTAGATACAGTAGCAATATTGAACTCGATCGACCTACCGACCGAGCTATCGCAAGCGCAGATGGCACACCCCACCCTGGGCCGCCTGGTCTTCTCCGCTTTTGTGTCGGTAGTGCTTTCGGTCTGAATCCTTGGTTGAACGGTTAAAAAATACACGATTGTTATTAATTTTTCGACACATGATTGACCAGAGAGTGCAACAAACGAAAGCGAAGGGAACAGACAAAGCGACGATACTAAAAGTACAAACAGGCAACTACGAGAGAACGAAGGGCAACGAACGAGGAAAGGACAGAAGCACCAACCACAGTCCACCATTGAACGTTCACTAAACAGCGTACGCAAATCAGTATCCTCTTCCAAGCTCAACGGAATCAACGTGGAAAAGACTTACAGAGAAATACATGTTCCTCTGAGCATACCTCGACAATGGCATAAAGTTCTGCTTGAAACTTTCGAGCATGGAGGCGGCACCTCCACTGGTTTGCGTAGCAGTATCGGCGAGCAAATGGCGGCCTTGAGGGTCGTAGTGGGTCTTGGCTCTAGCGCAGACGATGTCGGCATCTGAGGAGCGCGAACATGATGAGAACGCGAGGACGAGAAAAAGAGAAAAAGAGATTGGACGTACAGTAAACGGGAGCCGGGATGGAAACGGAACGGGTGGCACGCGCGTAGACGTGGCAGAGCGCGTACGAAATACCCTGCATCGCGTCCGAGCTGGAGTTGTACTAGGTTAGCAAATATCGCAGAATCAGGACGACACGAAAGCTCACTTGAAGCCGTTTTCCTGAAAGATCGGACATATCAGCGTCAAGGCCACAAATTCCAGGACAAGATACACTTACATCGTACAACACTGAGTAGTGCGACGGCCTACTGGTACCCAACAACCCTCCCTGACTCAAGAGGTAGTAGTCAAACTCGGTGGGGTGGGCGATTTCGCGATCGACAACAGTTCCAGCGGGCGCATTGCCAGACCTATCGGCGTCGGTGAGGGGGTTGAATCTTCAAGCAGGAAAATCAATCAGCAAGGCGAGCAAAGAAAGGACGAAGAATGCGGTAGGTTACTCACCGAATGTGGTGTCGTTTACCAACGACGACAAGGGTGACCTTGGTGTACTTGTCCAAGCCCTTTTTGGCGAGGGCAGCTTTGATGAGCGGTAGTTCTAAACGGAGGACGTCAGACAGTGTCAGAAAGTGGACAGGTAAGTGATTACCATTCTGCAAAACCTTGGCGAATTCGCCCTCAGAAACACCGTCTAGCAGAATTTCATTAGCACAGAACGATCCCATCCCGAGAACGACCTACCCCTGAAGAAGATCAAGCGCTTCGGCTTCAGCATGTTTGGCCCAGCCCTCTCCACTTCGCGTCGGTAGTCGATGTAATTCGTCAAACCATTCTGTAATGAACAAGAGCATAGCGTCGTCAGACGAGCAAAGAACTAGGGGGAGGAAACACTTACCTCAACCATCGCTTCAAGGTCTTCGATGATTTCCGTTCGCCCCTCCTGAACGTTGTTGCAAGCGATATATTTCGTAGCGTGGGTGTCGACACTGGAGACGAGGGCGGTGAATGAGGGTCGGCCCTCCGATCCCGGCGCTGGGTGGATAACATCGGCGCCTGGCACGCGTGTAAGCTGACCAAAACCGGGAAGATGAGGTTCATTAAACATTTACGCACCCATAACGACGGTAGGGTTGGCTGGGTCAGCCAATGGAGATCCTGAAGGGTCGATGATCGAGTTGATGCCTCCCAACTTGACGTTGACCCTAAGCAGGAGAGATGTCAGTGACGACACGCCCCGAGAGACCAAAGGAAGAACGTACTTCAGGAGAACGTTGGCCCAGTACTGGGGACGTGCTCGCGAGCACTTCCGCCCAATCAGACATTGCGTCGCTACCCCGCGCTGTCGTAAAGCTCAGATCGCAGGTGAAAGGTCGGATCTCGACAGAACACTTACGACAATGTCGCCGAAACTAGAGAATACACATGAGCGAGGTTCATCGAAGAGACAAGAAGTAATTGACTCACTGTTTGACGGATGTATAGATTTCATCACCACCTTCAGGGAGAATGACGACAACCAGCGTGGGCGGGATCTTAGTCTGCTGAAATACCTCCCTTCCGACCTCGTCGAGCTGCTTGGATACATGCGGTCCAGGTGATTTATACTTCACAACCGGGTTGGCGTGCTCGAAGGTCATGCCTACTCAGCTATCAGGATCTGCGTACCGCCGGAAACACGACAAGATTCCCGCTCACCCATTTTCTTTGCTTCGCCGACGAGGCCCTGTATGACATTGCGGCACGCTTCCTGGTTGAATCGGCGCTCGGATTCGTAGACGACCATGACCCATTGCTTGATGGGAGCGCAAGGCTTGAAGACTCGTGTTCCAGCCATGTTCCATGAACCGTCGCGAGGCACCTGGTACGAATTCCATGAGGGCCCAGCGATTAATGAAGTGATGAGTGACTCACGATGGTCGCGTCTTTGCTTCCTCTGCCATAGTTCAACCTGGGCGGGTTAAGTTTGCGGGCAGGGACTTCGAGAGGGCCTCCAGCTGTGGTGACCGACATGCCGAAAGATCGGATGTACTCAGACTGGCCGTACTGGAGGTACTGCGAACACGCGATTGAGGACGATATGAATACTTGATCAAGGTGACGCTTACCTGAGTACCCCGTCGAATGATTTCGAATCGTTCTTGAGGTTTCTTCGTCGCAAAGTTGAGCACATCAGTGGTTTTATGCGGCGGGATTTGCTTGCGGATGATCTGCCCGGGCACGACCGTGCAAACTTCAAGCGGGACGATGGCATTCTTTCCAACCTGCACCACCAATCATCAACATCGTCACGAAAAATAACAGAGGCCAGACTTACCTCAGCACAGATGAGTTTCGGGAAACGAAGCGGGCGACCCAGCTGGGCTTGGAAGTACTGTGCAACGGTGATAGTCCGCCCGTTGTGGTCGAAGGTGATTTGGTCTGCAGACTGCTTCGTGAGAGATCGAACGACGCGCTTCCTTCCACCAGTGGTTTGGACGATGACGTTGACACCTGCGATGAAGCGCTGAACGCGGATGCGCTGGTTATCGGGGAGACCGAGGCTGGGGGCAAGGAAATTCGGGTCGTTGCCGCGCTCGAGAACTTCCAGGCAAAGATCGAGGAGGCTGCCACGCTTGTACATCATACCGGTTGCAATGTCGACGTTGACGAACATTCTGCTGATTCCTGGGCGAAGGGATTGGAAGAGGCCGCGCCATAGTTCGATACCATAGCCGATATCGCGTTTGTCGAGTTGCTCGATGAAGAAGGAACGAACGTTGAACGGGAAGTTCAAGTTCGGTTCCATACGAAGCGCAATGTTGCAGGCCTATCCTCGCTTAGCGTGGCGAAAATGCAAAGCGAGGGCAGAGACGTACGGTTATGGCTGTAATGGCTTCATTATCATGGGACTGCTGCCCACGGATGAAACGTTCGAGAAGTCTGTTGGGCGTTGAGTAAACGCGACGGGCCAGCGGTAAATGAAACCCACTCTGGGTTGATCGTGCTGGCGTGTGTCAGCTTGACATTGTACACCTTCGGTGCCCTCGTGGGGTTAGGGCCGCCGTTGGCCTGCGCGACGGGGACGCTGAACTGTGGCTCTACATCAGATCGAGTCAAATGGCAGATAACAGAGGATCGTCACAGTTTGCGATAGGCCATCAGGCCCGGTCAGTTTCAGAGCGTGCGCCGAGAAGATATTCTTTCGACCGTCGTAGGCGACGCGCGGGGTGAAAATGTTTGGAGCCACATCGTTCTGTAAGATCTTGATGATTTCCATGTTCAACCTCGCCGGGAGGTTCGACGGGTCGATGACTGGAAAACCGTATGAAGCCAGGCCTCAAGTTGAACCAAAAAGGCTACCTACCAACTAAAAAGGGCAGATCGGTGACCACATCTCACAGGAAAGACGACTGACGTACCATCATAATGGTGGATCTTCGATTGAGGCAAAGTTGCAGGGAAGCAATTAACTTGGACCTTAAAAACGCGACCTGCTTGGCCATAATCCGGTCGTCGAACACCGATCGTTGTAACGTGGGCAGCTTTCGAAAAAAAGGTCGCAAAAAAAGAGTCACAAATTCGTCCAAAGCAATATTTCTATTCAAAGACTGCTCTAAAGTCAGAAAACTCACCAGGGGTTACCAACGTTGGTCCGACTGAACTGCCGCCACGACTTGCACCTGAACCAGACCCGCCTCGCGGTCCCCCGCCACGTCCAGGGGGTCCACCGCCGCGGCCGCCACCACCGCGACCGCCGCCACGGCCACCACGGGCAAGTCCAGTTCCAGGTACAGATTTTGGAGGCATATTCAGTAGGGGCGACGAATGAATCTGGGAAAGAACCCGTTGGCCAAGCACCTGCTTTTGTACCCGAAATTAGTCTGTGGGAATTAGATGCGGGTTTATCCGGTTCGGGGTCTGTTGCCGTCACGCGTTGCAGTGTGCCCCTGTCTTTTATCTTCTCGAGGCGCGTTTGTTTCGTCTGTGCCACTTCGTGGGCCTGCGGGTGGCTTTCTGAGGTCTGATCGACGTAAGATCTTGCACAAAGGCGTAAACTATACCCTGAAATTGAGATGTTTCTCTTAGTCTCCCGGACGATTCGTTTCGATTTCACCTTCTCACGTTCACATCGACTAGAAACGAGGCAATCGAAGATAGCTGCGGGCTCAGCGCGCAGTAACAGAAGACTACGCTTCTGATGTCACAGAAGCTTTCATATACCTCACGTTCATAAGTATGATGTCCAAGAACCGAGCGAGTTCGCTTCTCATTATCTCCTGTAGATAAGTCATGATCCAGTGACCTCCATTCCAAGAGCGCCTAAAGCGGTGTGGCTGCCTTCCTTTTCGGATTAACGGGTCACAATGGGGCAACAGAAAGATGGCAACAAAACAATGGCTTCAAGTACAGGGTTCAAACGGCTGAAGAGGTGAAAGGGGTATAAATAAGCCTGCGTCTTTTACTGGAAAGGAGCCTTTGAACCCGTTCCAATCGAGTGGCTTTGGTCAGAAACCAAATTTACTATCCTGGAGATCAGAACGCCTCTCAACGCAAACGCCACGGCCACATCAACTAAGGTAGACCCCCACTTCTCGACTCGGTTTATATCACATCAAGGAGTCTACACCGAGCTAACCGTTCATCACGTTCCGCACAGGTCACTCTACACCCACCAGCATGTCCGTCAAAGGTATCACTAAAATGCCTTCACTGGAGTTCCACCCGATGGTCCCTCGCACACCCAAGACACCCGCTCGAAGTGTCTTTACGTTCGAAGGCCAGACATGCGTGACCCCGATGTCGGCTGCCTTTGACCACGATATCCCTCCTCGGCCGGGAGCGCCCACGCCATTGGCCGCGATGTTCGGTGGATCGGTGTATGATGCTGCTGGGCAGAGTACGCCTCTGGGCTTTCCGTCCAAGTTTCCTTCAGTTAAACGAGAAGAGGACGATCCGGAGTTGTAAGTCTTTACTAGATGCTCTTGAGCTCAGTTTCTGATGCAGATTGAATGAATGCCTCCTAGAATCTTCGCGGCGCGGTCAAAGAACAAGTCGGTCACACAACCATCCCGTCTCGTCGCCGCCCTCGGCCTTCGCGCCCGCCAATTCGAATCCAATTCTGAGAACTCTGATTCCGACGATGACCTGTTCTTCGACGCATCTGGGTCAGGCAATGACTCTCTCTTTGGTGAACTCGAACTCGACGATGAAGCGTGGTCCTCGGACGGCGTCTATGGATCGGATTACGAGAACGAACTGGAGGAGGACGATGAGAAGGACTATGTGAGTGGCCATTACTCGGAGAACGAAGGAGAACTGTCGACTGTATTGGAGGATGCGGAGGAAGAAGACTCGGAGGGGCTGAAGGACGACCCGGAACTGGCTCCCGACGCGAGCTTGGAAACGGTCAAAGAGGATTGCATTGGAGGAGTTTCGGAGCCTAGCAAGGAGAAGGCAGATGAACGTACCGCTCAAGATACAGAATACGAGTCGCCACACGAGAGGATACACACGCCGGATTCCATTCTGGACGGCGTTGTGCTCAAGAGCCTTCCCAGAGACTGATTCGGGCGTCGACTGGTTGTTTTTATTTTAGTTGGTCAGTGACTGGAACGCTAGGGATCATGTTTCTGTATTACTTTAGCCAGGGAATTTATATTTATCTTTCTTCCTTTAAGCCACCCTTCTTCTTGGATGAATTCAGTGCTGAGCGCTGGACGAGGACGAAGCCCCTATTCTCCCTTAATCACCTAACCTTGGCGCCAAGGTCTCCGACTTGGCCTTGGTGGGGACCTGAAAGCGAAAGACCAAGGCCCAATAACCTCAATCTCTGAGAAAGGCCTTTCAAGCAAAGGCTGCCTGAGAACTGGGACTGATGTGCTGAGACCAAAGCGCCCACAAAAACCAAACACAACGGACCCGAAGGACACCGAGTCAAAAATCGGAGTTTCAAACGCGCTCATTACATTTTTCGCGTCCCGCTGGCACGCGACAGCGCCATCAAAATCGGTTTTGACCTCGAACCGTGACCGCAACGACAAACAATAACTGCAACCAGCACGACGGCCGCGACGACAACGACGACGAACACAGCGACCACAGGTGACCACCAGCAATGAGCAGACGACGACCAGCGAACCACAACAACGTCCGAGGGCCCACCTCAGCATTGACGGCGTTCTTAAGGGCATGGTTTCATCACCGTTCATAAAGACAAAAGGCGGACTCATAATGGGCGCTTTTATAGGATTCTGGGATTACCCATGCAACCATAGCGCGACGAGCGGCGACACGCCAGCAGCAGCAACAGCAGGACGATGACCAGCAACAGGACGATGGTCAACAAGGCGACGGGCAGCCTCAGGCGGGCCCGAGCAACGCCCAGCCAGAGGCAAGCAGCTCGACGTCGACGCCGTCGAGGAGGCCATCCAGAGCTGCGAGCCGACGGGTATTCCGACATGTTAACCGGCTTCAGTACAATATCCTGACTTTCTATAGGTATCAGGGTATGGCTCGGACAATCTCGACGACGAAGACGAAGACGGCGACGGCGACGTTGAGATGAAGGAGGCCACGGACAATGAGCCTGAGCAGCAGGAAGCTGTCGAGAGTCCTGCTCCAGCAAAGAAGCGCAAACTGTCAAAGAAGGCTGAAGCGAAACTCAAAGCTGAAGAGAAGAAGAAGATGAAGGGGAAGAAAGGAAAGGGCGGGGACGACGATGATGACTACGACGACGAGGACGACGACCCTTATACCTCGCTGTCTAAGGCGATGTGGACAAACTCTGGGTCCAAACCTGCGCCAGGTAGTTTCGAGAACTGTGCGAGGTGTAAAAAACAATTCACTGTGGTGCGTAGTGTTCTGGTCTTGGCCTGTATTTGCGGACTGAATGATTCCGTAGACCAAGTACACGATGACTGCGAACCCACCACCGGGCTGGCTCTGCCATGTATGTGCGAAGTCCTCAGGCCAGGACCCATTCAAAAAGCCAGCCGCCCCCAAGAAGCGCAAGACTGCCGCAGACAAGCGGGAGATTACACATTTCGTCGAAAATCGACTACCCACACTCGTCACTATCTGTATCAGGCTTGTTACCAAGCACATCGACGACGTCGAATCTCTGGGCGACATTGGTACCCTGAACCTGGAAGCCATCGCAAAGGCCATGTCGAAGAACCGCTCCTTGACACCCGACAACGCCAAATTATTCTATAACGCCTCCAACCCCCGTCTGACCTTCTACGACGCGACGAATATAACACCTGCAGCGTTCGAAACGCTTGTATATCTCAATCCCAACCTCACGTCCCTTCGCCTCGACTTTTGCGGTCAGCTTGACGATACTGCGTTCAAGGTCTTCTGTACCTCGCTTCCCGCCCTCACTCACATCGAGTTGTTGGGTCCTTTCCTCGTCCGTGCACCCATGTGGCAGGAATTCGCCAAATCTCATCCTAACCTCGAAGCTTTTTTGATCACCCAGAGTCCCAGATTTGACCTCGAGTGTATCAAAGCTCTGGTGAAACACTGTCCAGGGTTGAAGGAGTTGCGATTGAAAGAGTTCGCCAAGATGTCTGATGTGTTCTTGGAGGAACTCGCCGCTCTGGGAGAAGGCCTGACTTACCTCGACATCTCGTGTCCGGGAGGAGAGTCCTGCAGCGAAGCCGCCATTATCCAGCTTCTAGAGTCCGTTGGGGGATCATTGAAGAGCTTGGACGTGGCGAAGCACGACGATATCACGGATAGGCTCCTGAAAGAGGGTCTGATTCCGCACGTCCACCATCTCGATACGCTGAACCTCTCCCACCTGAACGAGCTCACAGACGAAGGCGTTGGCGAGTTTTTCTCGACTTGGGAGAATCCACCTCTCGTCCACCTCGACATTAGCCGGAACCCAGATCTCGGTACGAAAGCTCTTGAAGCGATTATGAAGCACTCGGGCAAGACGTTGGAGGTTTTGAACATCAATGGTTTCAAGGACGTTGAAGAGCCGGCTCTGCGAACAATTGGCAGGTTAGGGAAGGAGATGCGGAAGCTCGATGTGGGATTCTGCCGGAATGTGGACGACTTTGTGATCAAGGCGTGGTTGGAAGGCGAGGAGGTGAATGGGGTCGTGCGTGGTGGATGTAGGCAGCTGCAGGAGCTGAAGGTGTGGGGGTGCAATAGAGTGACGGCTCAATGTCCAAGAAAGGTGCGTCCATTGGTTTGCTTGAATGAACCCCTTGCTGATGGTTTATTAGTCTGGTTTGATGGTGCATGGCGTCGAGTCGCATATTATTCGCATGAACTGAAGTCTATCCTGCTCTCTTGACATCTAAATCTATCTTGATCTATCTTCCTTTCCTACGCCATCTTCTCCCCATTTCCACCCACCAAATCCAATTCGAAATCCACTACCCGCAGGTCCACCCACCGTGGCCCCACTTTGTCGACGGTGATCATCCTGGACACGCCCAACATCTTCCATCCGAACCGCTCGTAAATGCCGACGGCGGATTTCTGGTGGGCAGTTGTTGACAAGCGGATGGACATGATCTCCTGGTTGCGTGCGTGCGCGAGGACGGTGGTGAGGAGTTTCTTGCCGATGCCGCGTCGTTGGAGGGAGGCGTCTACCGCCATTCGACGGAGTTCGGATGTGGTTGGTGGGAAGGGGTTGGTGGATTTGAATTTAGCTGGATGCATTATTGTTTGGCGTCAGCTTGAGTTTCGGTACATCCATGAGGGAAGAGATTACCTAGTCCAACGCATCCGACGACCTGTCCTTCCTCCTCCCCGTCCGCGATAAGCTCGGCGACCCAAAACCCGTCTGCTCCCAGTTTCCCGTCTTCACCTATGTTGTAAAAGGTGCGGATATCTCTGAAATCTGTGGATCTCTCGACGCTATTGGCGTGTTTGAGGAACCACCTGTTGATAAGATTGCGGTGGTAGAAGAAGAGAGTTGCGGAGAGTAGGCAGAGTGCGAGGCCGAGGTATCGCGTCGCCCGCGGTGGGCACAAGGGGGACTCGTGCGGAAAGACGAGCAATGCAGCTCCGATGAGGAAGAAGATGTAGGTCGATATGCTGAATAGGCCTGTCAATGACCCCCTAAGTGCGGCGTGGCGCGAACTCTTGGGTCCATAGCCTATACCCGTCTTGAATAGTTCGTGAACGCGGGCGGTGTCGCTTTCTCTGAATACTCGGATGCGGATGTGGGTGTTAGGGTTCGGGTTTACAACGTCGATATGGATTGGGCCGTCTCCAGCGTGCGGTTTCAAGCTGGGTTTGTGATGGGAGGAAGGAGACATGGTTCGTCAACTAGTCACGGTGGTGTAGTTGTGCGTCCTTTGAGTGAAGATAAGTAACTCGCGGACATATGTATATGTGCATCTTTGTTGTTTTGCTCGGATGCGCTGGAACGAGATGACTCGTGTGTGATGGGAATCGCGGTCATGGTGTTTTGTCTTCATCGCTGCGCGTCGATCGGAGGTTTCGAGACATCATCGATCGGCCTCGTGGCCCAGATTTATGTATACCTTTGACAGGAAGATGGAAGGCCGCCGGTAGTGCGACTAAAATAGACCACGCATCAGGGACAGTGTGACCTATTATGTTGAAGGGCGCGGGGCAATCGCAAAAAGATTTCAGACGTTATCATTGTATTGTATTGTCAGCAAGCCCATTCTAAAAATACAGAGGGTATTACCGAGGACTTCTACGAAGAGATAGGAATCATGTCGGATGCACTGCAACACGGGGAAATATAGCTTCGTGTCAAGCAAAGTTTTGTCGGACCAAGTTTACAGCCGTTTGCATTAGTCTTTGCGCGAGCGATGTCGCAGAAACCAATTGATGGCGTGTCGGAAAATTCCGTGGGGTTCCCACCTGCCAGGTTCCAACCAGGTTCTTCCTCCAATACATGGCCGATTTTACGAATTGTTGGTGTGAAAGGGACATTTCGCTGTTTCATACCATTGGAAGTACAAAGAGAGACGGTAAGGGTACGAGGATGAGGCAAACATCTCATACCGAAGCCTGAACGACGGTCGTCGAGCGTGACTTGGGCTGCCATACGGAGTTTTCCGACACGCCATCAATTGGTTTCTGCGACATCGCTCGCGCAAAGACTAATGCAAACGGCTGTAAGCGCCCAAGCCAGCGGCTGATGATTGGGTGGGTATCGGGTACTATGTATCAGTGAGCGGAGGAGTGTGCGGTCGCCGTCGCCGTCATTGGGAGGTATTCTGGGTGACCACTGGTGTATGTGGTAGTTGGTATACTTGTACAGATATTGGAGGTGAATTGGATGTCATTGTCGTTGGACTCGTCTCTGGTTCGTGATACGGTGCTGTGGATGTTGAGGATTATCCGGTAGCCCTGAGGGGAAGTGAGCTCGCCTGAGCCTTGGGAATTGGTACGGAGACATACGCATATTGAGAATGCTGTGTTGAGCCACCTGGGAACAGTGTCGAGGTCAAGACAGAATCCAGCATCCTAACAGTAGTGCTCGTACCCATAGAGAAACCCCGTGTAAGCTCCAGCCGCGAAGCCGTAAAGCAGTGCTTCACAGGTTAACACGACTGCCGGAGAGGCATCGTGAGACGACTTCACATACAACTGGTCGAGATAGAAACTTACCGAATAGAAGGCCAAATGCCCAGGTGCCGTCCCTGAGAAGAAGCTGGACGATGGGAACGTGGCCCCACCCCGCGCGAACGGCTCTGCAAAATTTCCAGACTGTTGCTCCGAAGAGGAAGGCTTGAAAGGCAATGGGACATCCTCTGCGGGTGGAAGATAAGGTCACGTTCATATGTGGCTGTCAGTTTGTGGCGGGGTGGATGTGATGGAATGTGATGGTGGTACGCACGCTGCCGCGGTGAATACGATAGGGGACTCCGATACCACGCATCGCTCGTCGTACTTCAGTTGAGGAACGGCCAGGCCGATTCCAACGCTCATCATCACGAGCTCTGCGACGTAGAGAAGTGAGGATATATATCTGACAGGTTTGTTGCGAGGATACATGGCGTGCACTGGTGAGCGAAAGAATGATTAATTCGGGATGCGAATGAGGAGCATCTCGCTTGTCGGAGATTCAGAAGGAGCGAGGAGGGTGCAGGTAGATGCTTACCTCGAAGAATGAGGATGTAGTCCACAGCCGCAATGACGAGTATGGATGACAATCCTTGATATACGTTCCAAATATAACACCCGTGGAAGGAGTAGGTGAGAGGGAGAGGCGCTCCGTAGAATTGGGTGGACCTGGGGATGGCAACAAATTGGTATGGCGGGTGAGTGGGAGAGGACGGCGACCCACATCTCTAAGCATATGGGGAAATAGCGAACAAAGAAGAATACAGCTTTTGTCAAACTCCATGGGATTCTGAGATTCGAAGGTGGGGGGGGGGGGGGCGTTAGGTTCTGACGGTTATTGAGGTCGAAGTCGCTCCCAGACTCACGGCCAGATGTAGGTAACCTGCAGGAGCCCTTTAATCGAAATGGTTTGGATTCCGTCGAGGTACACTTACCTCATCTCGTAGAGTTATGAGAACGTCCCAAACAAGGAAGGTCACCGCAGCCGCTACTCAGAGGGAGGAAGCGAGGTCAGTCACCCTAGAGTCGTTGAACCATGACTTTGCCTCTCACCGTAGCTCCATCCAACGACCTGGGTCCCTCGGATATGCTCCAAGTATTTGCTACTTTCCGCACCTTGAACAATGTTATCGGTGGCGACAAACCTTGTGGTTAGAGAATGTGAGGCAGTCGTCAAGGCCCGGGTCGCGCTGACGGGATTTGGGACGAGTTGAGCGCTCCGTGTCACCAAAGAACAGAAAGGAACATACAGCATCGATCGAGTCTTGTTGGGCCGACGACGAACATCGATTGAAACAAAATCGGGAGCCCAAAGGCGCCGTTGCTGTCGAGCTCTCCACCTGGTTCAGAGTGGAAAAATGAACGGACCGTCGTAGTGCTGGTTAACGTGAGGACACGAGGATGGCACTGGGTTAAGTACAAGGTCACATTCATTTCTCATGTCAATTCTCGCGAGGGAATCAAAAGGTACGATCCTGGAATGTTTGCTCCTTTCCGGACTTACTTACGTCCTTTGGAGCGTAATGGAATGCCGGAACACCCTGGAACACCTCGATTCGTTGGGCAGGTGCCAGTAAGCATATGCCTAAACGAGGATTCGGGATCCCACTGGGATAGGTCATGTTGGGAGGGAGTGGGAGATCGATCAAAACTATTTAAATTGAATTTAAAAGTTTCTCGGGTCCGAAGCCCCATTGGCGAGGGAATTGAATTGGCCAGGGCCAATCAGAGGCAAATCGAAAGGGTTCGCCGCTTTGAGAGTCAGCGAAGACCGACCATCATGGGTTCAGTCTGCTGATTGGTGTCGTTCCCATGTTCCTCCAAATGTCCTGCGTTCTCGTGCGTACGACTTGTGGGACCGAGAAGGCACCCCTCACCGACAAGCGCACGGTTGGGCTAAAGTTCCGAGGCCTGTTGGGACTCGGGTTCTTTTGCGCGGGGTTTCGCGCGTCCAAAATTCTCGACACCTTAAGGCCACGTGATGTCTGGTGAGGTCGAGGGTTCGACTCTCGATGTTGCGGATTTTTCTTTTGTTGGTTTTGGGGCATTTTGTCCCAACAGGCCTCGGTTGTATGCCGTTTAACGGCCCGCAGCCCACTAGTCTCTCAGAGTGTGTACTACATGTTCGTAAGAGTCTCCATTCCCGTCTGTCTTGGGGGTTCCACCAGCGGCATCGCACATAGTCTTTGGTAAGTGTAGTAAGTGTTTGGTAACCACTCTCTTGGTGACCTGCCTACAAGGGTCCAGTTTCAACGGGTACATCCCACCTAGCCTCGCCAAGCACGGCGAACAAAGCGCTGTCGAATTAAATTTGATGTGACGCTGTCCACCAGGTTGGAGCTAGGTTGGCACTAGGTTGGAACTCATCTGGACCTAGCTGTCACCTTCGATTACACAAAGGACATATGAGGGGCTGTGTGCGCATGGCAGCAATGAGGACGGGGTCTCTTTCAATTTCGGCCTCGAGTACGGACGCCCGGGGGTCTGGCTGCATGGGATCACCGTCCGCTCGTGGCAGCCAGGGATCATCAGATAAATGGTGATTCTAATGTCATTGAGGGGTATCCAGCCCCTTTCCGCCTATCCAGATTTTGAAACCCAGTCTTAGACGCAGTTACAGTTAGATGAGCTGACGTTCAGCTTTGAAAACGGTTGCGGACCTTCAACATTTCCATCTCAGTGGACTTGAAGAGAATTTTGGTGGAACACCTTATATAACGAAATTTCCCTTTGTCATCGTGACAAAGGCAAAGTTGAGAGACTCAAACCTCTACTGCATTTCTGGATTTTGTGTACTTTACAAGGTCCATTGGTAGTTGATAGTATTTTTGCATTGTAACCCACCACCCGAATATCTGGAGGACTTGCAAGTCTTTTTTTGCCCTGCGAGAAATACGATAGATTGAGGTCGGTGAATCATAGAGGGGCTTCAATCCCCCAGCTGGCCGGTGCTTTTTTTCATTGACGCCAGCCCGAATCCTTACCTGACCAGTGGCTATCGCCCGGCTCACGGCCTTCGTTCTGCCTCGCGTTTGCCACGCGCTTCCATAGCCCTCGAGGGCCCCTTTGTTTCCGAACGGAAAGGTACTCACCATGCTGGCTCCAGGTTGGCTCCAACCTAGTTCCGACCTAGTTCCAGTTCAGACGACTGCGTCACCCACAATCAAATTCAACAGGACTTTGTTCGCCGTGAAGGCTACACTAGTTTACAAATCGAATACCTGGCTTAGGTCTCGACTTCAAGGGATGAAGCCCTCACAGCAAGAATCAGCAAGAAATCCGCTGTCGGGGACGGTACAGCTCGCGTGTGGCGTGCCTCATTAGAAAGGACGCCCCTTTAAAGAGCGCTCGTCTGCAAAGTGTCACTTTGGCGGGTTGCGGCAAGGTTGCAGTTGATAGTATGGGTCCCAGTCTCGGGATGTTCCATGACCTGCTGTGGCGAAGCTAATGGTCGCCTCTCCGTCAAGAATGTAAGAGTCGGGAGGCAAAGCTTGGGCATGTCCCGCTTTCTTGAGGTTGAGAATAATCCTGTAACCCTAGAGTAGTTGTTAACAGGGGGTTGGATGGGTTGAGGCTTGAAGGGCATACACAGAATGCGAAAAGCGTGTTTAACCACCTTAGAAGTAAGTTCGCCGTGAGCTAGATACAGGTCCGTTTCTCCGGAAGGTAACCCACTTACCCGTACATCACACCGGTATAGGCTTTGGAGGCGAAACCATATAAGAACGCTTCGCTTATCAGTAGTACTGAGGCGAGTGCTCGATCAACTTCGGAGACACAAATGGGACAGGGTTTTCAACTTACGGAATAGAAGAATGAAAGCCCACGTCCCGTCTCGAACGAGAACCATGGTAAGATGTGCATACTTCCATCCCCCTACCCTGACGACGGAAATGAACTTCCACATTGTAACAGCAAACAGTATCGTTTGAAAGGCTACTGGCGCTCCACTGTGTACGATAGCGCATGTCAGTTTGGAGGGAGAGGAAGGACTGAAACACGAACATTGCGACAAGGAATATTCGGGGAGATTTCACAATTGTGCAAAGTTCATCGAATTCGACTTGAGGGACCGCCATCCCAAAACCAATTGCGATAGCAATTATCTCTGCCGCATAGAAGAGACCTATTAGATATTTGACAATTCGGTTGTGAGGATAAAGCGCATATACTGCGAAGACTGTTAGTAGAGCTCTAGCTCGTATTTCGCAGGGACTTACTTCGTGCGACCAGAATATAGTCGACAGAAATGATGATTAGAAAGGCCGCCAGAGCTTCCCATACGCTCCAAATGTAGCATGTCTGCAGTGGACGCCGGGGATCTCGAGTTGATATTTCGACGAATTGAAGGGATCTAGAATTCGAGTTCAAGCTGCTCAGGCAACGAGCGAAGAAATGAAGGAAACGCAAACGCACATGAGCACAATGGCCGTGAAATATTGGATGAAGAAGAATAAGCCCTTGGTTAGCGAGAACCTTTGACTACGGCCTCTTCGAAGTCAGCCAACTACTTCAAAATCCACCAATGAAGGCGATCTCACGGCCAGATGTATCGGACCTGTAAGCACCTGGGTTCAAAGAGGTGATTATGACGAGAATTAACAGGGAACATACTTCGTCATCGAAAGTCAGCATGATATCATAAACGACGAAAGCGCATGCTGCAGCTGGAAAGAAATTGCGCAAGGCGTGGTTCGAACTTGAGATCAGCTGGGATCAGAAGACAAGCGCCCACCGGTACTGAAGACTACCGCCCGCGCTCCTGCGACGAAATCAAGGAAGTCTTGATATTCTCCTTCCGTTAGGGCCATCCGGAGACTTTGGGATGCCTACTTCTCGCGTACAGTGAAGGAGCAAGGTGGGGAATGTCACAGAAGCCTTGCGAAGCTTCGTTAAAAGACCTGTTACGAATTCCGCCCCTATCTTTTCTCTTCGCGTCCTTTCTCTATCACATGATTCATTTTCTTGTTCACATGATCTCTTTCTTTATCTCGTGACTGTTTTATCAGTTAATTCTTCTTACTGCTGCGGCGCAGCCTTCTTTGACTCTTTATGACTCTTTCTTGCTGCGGCGCAGCCACTCTCTATTGTTCTCTAATTTATCTCTGCTGCGCTCCGCAGTGACCTGTGCTCGCGCAGCCCTTTTCTCTGACTTCTCTTGACTCATATTCACGTAGCTAGATAGGTATATAAGCTCTGTAGATACCTCTCTTGTTCCTTAGCTAGTTCTCGTGAATCATACCCACTTCTCCTCTTCTCTCGAAACTCGCTCTAGTCGTCTTAAGACAATACCTCTTGTGAGGCACTCTTAGACGCCTATACCCTCGAACTCGCCTCGGAACCACGACTCTACGGTCGACGTGCATGCTCACTTGAGTTTGCGTCCCTTGACCGTAACAGAAGAACTAGCTCCTACACATCGTCACTCGTATTTACGGGTGACGACCCCATCGACCACACAGAATTCCCACATACTCGGCATCTGATCCCCCGGAACGACTCCCTACACCACCGCCATTTGTCGACCCAGTAGCCACCCTAATTGCCTCAACACCCGGATCCCAGTCAACCACACCCAGAGGACGTCTCCGAGGGCTTACCCCAAGCTCAACCAGACCATCAACACCATCTTTACTAGCGGTTAACCAATTGCTCCCTTAAGAAGAAACCGAAGAAGAACAAGAAGACTCGGAAGACAAGACAGACAACACCGACTGCAGCAACTTCGTACACCAGTTTAACTGTGAACACTACGACACCAACGAAGAAGACTGGTTTAACTGCGCCCAACAACCCTGCCCCAACTACCCGGAAGACCCAAGACATCGACCAAGCAAACAAGAACCGTCAGAAGTTTCTTTTGAAGAAGAGCCTTCTGCAGAATTCCAAGACGCCCAAGAAGAACCTAACACCGAGCCACAGCATCAAGAGGAAGGACCCTTGATTCCAGAACGTGAAGAGGAAGAACCCTTTACGCCAATCACCCTTGAACAACCAGTCACCATGGTCAGCCCCGCCAACCCAGACAACGGAACCCGAGACGTCGTAATGAGCGACGAAACCAACCAGAAGATCCCCGAAAGGCGAATCAATCCGCCATCCCCCTTCACCGGCAAAAAGGAAGACCTCAACACCTTCCTCAAAGATGTGAAACTTTACTTGAAGGTCAACAAGCACATCTACACCGATGACGACAGCAAAATCACCTATCTCCTTTCGTTCCTCAAAGGAGACGAAGCCTCTGCTTGGAAGGAAGCATGGCTACGATCCAAAGAGACCGAGTCCGATATTGAATTGGGCACCTGGAAGGACTTTGTCGCCATCTTCAAACAGGCGTTCACCCCAATCAACGAACAAGAAGACGCCTTACAGCGCTTGAAGACGATGACCCAAGGAAAGAAGACGGCTGAAGAACATGGTAGCCGACTTCCAAGATTGTCCTATCAAAAACCAACCTCCTCTCCAAAGACAACGCCAACAAAACCGAAGATCAAAGAGTTGCAGACACTGGAGACACTGTAGCCCGAGACTACTTCCAAGCCAGTCTGAACGATCCACTTCGAAAGAAGCTCTTCGACCTCGAGAAACCCCCTCGAACCTTCAAGGAGTGGACAGAGAAGGCCATTGACAAAGGACAACAACTACCGTCGCTACTTTGCCCTCATCAACAAAGCTTCGACCTCAACCAGGCAGTGGAACTTCAGTCGCCCCGCTCCTGCCAAGGACCCTATGGCCATGGACATCGACACCATCATCTCCAAAGTCAAAGGCTTAGACCAGTCTGCAGGGACCGCTTTAGAGCAACACATCAGGGCAATTGGCCTTGGAAAGCTCTCTCCCCAAGAGAGAGCCGACCTGATCAAGAGAGGAGGATGCTTCCGTTGCTGAAAGGACGGACATCGCTCCTGGGAATGCCCCAATAACACCACCAACAATCACTCTACAGGGACCAGCAACCAGAACACCAGTAACCGTCAAAACTGGTCTTTCCGCCCAAAGAATGGCAAGGTACACCAACATCCGGGCCGCGATCCAAGAAGCAGGAGAGGAGGTCGTTGAAGAATTTTACAAGGAACTCGAGACCAACCAGGGTTTTTAGAATGGAGACCTGCATCAACGTCAGTGTCTCCCTATTTATCAATTCATTCTGCCTTAGTAGCCTGAAAGAACAATAAATGCTTATTTATTCCAATGCATCTTGGAGGGCGAAACGGAGAATGGAAAGATAATCGTCGACACCGAAGGAATGATAGATTCTGGAGCTGGAGGAAAATTCATCGACCAAAATTTTGCCCCGAAACAAGAAACTCCCGACTCCAACTCCTTCCAACACCTCTGAAGGTCTACAACGTAGACGGAACCCTGAACAAACAAGGAACCATTCGATATTCAACCACCATGAACATCACTATCCACGGACACACATGACCCATTACCTTCTACATCACCGGCCTTGGAAAACAGAAAGTCATCATGGGTTTTCCCTGGCTTGAGGAAGCCAATCCCATCATCGACTGGAGGAAGGGTACTCTCGAGTGGCGACAGAGCTCTCCGTCAACACCACCGATCAGATGCACCATCAAGTCTTACACCCAGATCTTTAAGACAACCGTCAAAGAAATCCCAGACACGGAGCCCCTGAACCTCGACCCACTACCTGATTGGTATCCGACCACCTCTCCTATGATACCCAAAGATCACTTCAATACCTTTGAAAACTACGTCAACGAGCTTATGGAAGGGAACTTCCATTGGGACAATGACGAAGGATCCCTCTTGACAGACGACCTGGTGATCTCATTCATCAATGGAGAACTTTCCGACAAAACGGAGGACATCTGGATCAACACCACCCTCACCCATTCCCAGGCCTTCGAGCTCAAGTACAACCAGCGAGAAGAAATCAAGGACATCAGGCAACATGTACCTCCGGAATATCACGAATACCTCTCTGTCTTCGACGAGAAAGCAGCTTCCCGGTTCCCCGAGTCTCGTCCCTGGGACCACAGGATAGATCTGAAACCAGGATTCGAACCAAGGTCATCCAAAGTTTACCCACTCACACCCGAAGAAGAGAAACTCGTCAAGGAATTCCTTGATGACAACCTGGCCAAAGGATACATTCGACCGTCGGACTCTCCACAAGCATCCGGATTCTTCTTCGTCCCCAAGAAAGACGGAAAGAAGCGCCCATGTCAAGACTATCGCTACCTGAATGAATGGACCGTCAAGAACGCCTATCCCCTTCCCCTGGTTACGGACCTTATGGACAAACTGAAAGGAGCCAAATACTTCACCAAGCTCGATGTCTTGAAAGGTTACAACAATATCCGTATACGCGATGGAGACCAGTGGAAAGCAGCATTCAAAACAAAATTCGGCTTACACGAACCTACGGTCATGTTCTTCGGCATGTGTAACTCCTCCGGCAACCTTTCAGGCAATGATGGACCACATATTCTCTTTGCAGATTGAAGGGAATTTTGTCATCATCTACATGGACGACATCCTCATCTTCTCCAAGACCAAAGAGGAACATGAACAACACACCAAGGAAGTCCTTCGGATCCTCCGCGATAACGATCTCTACGTCAAACCTGAGAAATGCGAATTCACCAAGGAAAAGATTGCTTATCTCGGGTTCATCATCGAACAAGACCGAATCTCCATGGACCCAGCAAAGGTTAAAGGACTCCAAGACTGGCCCGCACCACAAACCATCAAGCAAGTCAGATCCTTCCTCGGCTTCGGAAACTTCTATAGGAAGTTCATACGGAAATACTCCGACATCGCTCGACCACTCAACGAACTCCTCAAGAAGAACCAAGCATTCAAGTGGACTGACGAGTGCCAAGAAGCCTTTGACACCCTGAAGAAACGCTTCTGCGAGGAACCTGTTCTCATGATGCCCGACATGTCCAGACCATTCCAGATCGAATCCGACGCCTCCAAATATGCCTCTGGAGCAGTCCTGACACAGATGGACTCCAATGGTAACCGCCACCCAGTTGCTTTCTTGTCCAAGTCCTTCTCCCCCGCCGAACGGAATTACGAGATCTACGACAGAGAACTCCTTGGAATCATTCGAGCACTTGACGAGTGGCGCCACTACATCCAAGGAAGCCCGCATGAAACTCTGGTCTATTCTGATCACCTCAACCTCACTTACTTCCGATCTCCACAGAAGCTCAAACCTCGACAAGCACGTTGGCAATTGAAACTGACAGAGAGCGCCATCAAGTTGTCACATCTACCTGGACACAAGATGATCCTATCGGATGCCCTGTCCCGACGCCCCGACCTGTGCCCCGAAGAAGATCACGATAACGAAAACATCACCCGGCTACCGGAAGAACTATTTGTCAACCTCGCCGACTTGAAAACCCTCACCATAGGACTGGTCGACATAGCTTTACAGGAAGAAATAGCCAAATGCCAGAATTTCGACACGGAAGCCACTGATGCCCTGAAGATCATCTTATCCGATGGACCAAAGGCCATGAAGGACGATCTACAAGATTGGACAGTAGAAGAACGTGATGGATTCCGACTCCTATTTTACAAAGGGAGAAACTATATCCCTCAGGACCAAGACCTTCGACGCAAGATCCTGCATCGATAC